GTTCATCCTGATATTGATATCCCTCCAATAACACCTCCCTACACCTCCGCGACGCAATCGGACAAGCATCATCAACCCTCAACACATCCCTTACCCCACCCCCATCCATCTGAACCCCCTCCATCTCACTCCTAACCACCATAAACAGAATCATCAAGATACTAAACATCTTCGTCGCTCTCTTCTCCACCCGCACCTTTCCCTCGGAGTACCTAATCGCATTCTCCACGCTCTCGAACAGTGCCATCCGTTGATAATGGACACTTTGGTCCATGTATTTCGAGATATTACTCCCCGGTAAGGGAGGATCGATTACGCGGTCCTGGGATTTGGCCTGTAAGCGCAGCTCGAAGCAAATGGTTGCCGCGGCGTGGAAGATGTCGTCGCGGAAGAGGCCGCCTTTGAGGTGCAGGATGTGTGGAGGGAAATGGTTGTTAACTACTGGTGGTGGTTGTGGTGGTGATGTGTGGTTGTTGTTGGGGCGGTGGTTTGAGAAGTGTTCTAGCTGAGAAAGTAGAGCTAGGCTGGTCTGTATGCATACTCGTCTGGAATAGTTGAAGGGTTCGTCAGGGGTTTCTGCGAAGCGCAGGAAGAAGGGTCGGTGCAGGGCGAGGAGGCTGCGGTAGTGCAGGAAGAGGAAGAATGAGCGGCGGAAGGATGAGGTGCTGCTATCGTTGTCGAGTGAGCCACCTGCGGTGGTTGTTGTGCTGGTGTCGTCGCGGAGATCTGGCGGGGCCTGCGCCAGTCCTGTTGTGAGGCGTTCGCTGAGGGTCATGATTTCATTGTCGTATGTTGCGCTCAGACGTACCCGGTTGACGATCTTGGATATTGCCATTCGGGTTTCTAATGTCTGCGCGAGAGCAATCTGGAAGGACGTTCTGGTTAAGGTATCAGATCGTCGTGAGGGAGGCAGACGTGGTGAGTCGATGCTAAAGTCCTCATCGTCGATATCAGATGGCAAGGGACAGTCGAACTCATCCCATGATATTGCCAATGGTATCCCGCTGTATAGAGAGGCTTGGAGCTCCAGCTCGATGATCGTCAGCCAGAGGCGTTTTCGCAGTTCGGCCCAATACGGGGAGACGTTGGGGAAGTTGCATGGGTCCCGATGAAGGCCCATTAGCATCGCTTCGCGGAGTAGTGAGCCGGAGGCCATGCTGACTAGGTCGCCCTCTTGGGCGGTTGCTTGCTGTGCGAGCAGTAATAGGCATTTGATCTGGATCACGTCTAAATTCATTTGGGCGTGGCTTGTCATGGATGCTAGCCATGTGGTGACTGCTTCGATCCATTTCTGGCACCTCTGTATCAATGAATGCGGGTTGAAGCCGGCGGATGTTAGTGGTTCGGCCTTATTGGTAGCGAAGCAGCTGGCACATGCCATTAACATGAGGAGTTTCGCGATAAATACGTCGGTCTTGTTGCTGTTGAGGGATCCGTCAGTGTGGGATACACTACGATCCCAGAAGGCGTTCCATTCGCTGGTAAATGATGGGACGTGTAATATGCGCAGTGTGGTCTCGAAGGTTGAGAAGTACAGCTGCATCAAGTACTCAGCTAGAGGACGTTCGGGCAACAATTCAACTAGCTTGAGTTTTGAGGAGGGTACTTGACCCCCCTGCCGTCGTCTATCAGGTCCCCTTAGATCGTGCTTGAGTCGTCTCAGGGACAGATAATCCGTAAATCCTGGGTTGGTGGGAGTTTGCTTGTTTCGATAGTACTCATGCAAATGGGCGTTGAAATCGGGGAACTTCAGTTGACTCGTTAGCTAGATGATCAATCGATCGAAGAAAGAAATAGCTTGATCCTTACCATCCCAAGGGTGGTCGCCCAGTGACTCCGTCCAAAGAACCGGGTTCTTTGCTGCTTGCCTCGAAATGACAACGGGGACAGATTACGAGAAAAGCTATCATCCCCCGACGAGGACAAGACCTGCCCCACGTCACGATGAAACTGTACCTGAGAATACCGAGGGGCAGTTATTCCCTGCGTCGAACCCACCACACTCAACGGCGACGATCGAAAGATAGATCTTCTCACAGCGGCATCTCCAATACTGTCCGTACTCCCATCAGTGACAGTAGACGGCGGTGTATGCAGCGAAGGCCCAGTAGATGAATGCCGGCCCGCACCCTCATGTAGCACATCTCCTTTTATAATGGTAGACCTCTTAGCAGTCCTGGATATCGTTCCCGAGGAAGATCGCGACGGAGAAGAAGTAGCTGGAGGGTAGAAGCATGCATCTTGGGCATTTGCGCGCACACACTGAGCGCAAGGTTTTGAGCGATCGCATTTAACTTTGCGTTCGCGACACGGCGTACATGAGAGGAGTTTCCTGTGTCTTCGAGTAGGGACGGGCCTTCTTTGGGGATTTACTCTCATGATACTTCGCTTGGTTGCATTTAACTGGTCCGGCTGCGCGGGAGCCATGACGTGGGGCGAGAGTGGATGGGCTGGAGGACCCGCTAGTCGGAGGTGGACATGTGTGGTAATATGAGGATCCGAGAATTTCGGATATGAACGAAAAGGAGGAGAAAGGGAAGTAAAAGGAGATTCAGGTGGTTCAAGTGGAAGAACAGAGAGTTGTAGTGTTGATGTCCTTCGGTGTTAAAGCATCTTCCGTTTAGGAAATCTACAAGTCCGGCCCGGCGTCTTACCGCTTTTGGTAATCATCTGTCCGTCGGCCAATCTGGTTTCCCAAAGAGGTAAACCAGATATGGGAGGTGAGCCTATACAGGAAACAATTGGGCATGATTTTGGCTGTATGGAAACCATGTACCGATTCTATACAGCACTCTGAATCTGATACTGCTGTCTACTTACAACAAGCGCTGGTCGACTCAACCGCCGAAAGACGACAGAAACACGAAGCATTGATGGGAACATCCGCCGAAGCCAGCGCAACGTCGCGTTGAGCACGGATATACCGGGCCTTGTCGTGCAATCCCTGTCGGACCAGACATTCATACAAGCCATGCAAACTCCAGACATTATTCAGCCTTGCCTTCCGACGCGGGAGAGTCTCACTCAACCCAAGATCCTCTTCATACACATGCTGTGCTTCGCTAATGTGACCTTGTTCGAGAAGCAAAGCTCCCAGAGCATGTCGCGCAGGCTGCATCCACGGCGGAGGATCCGCATAAACCAGGTTATCCTCCAGCTTTGTCGCTTGTCGCAAGTGATTGAAAGCCTCCTCAAAGTTGCCCTGGCGATACTCGATCTCTCCTTTCAACATAGCCGACCCGATCTCAAGGACGTCCACCTCGCGAACGGGCAGACTGTTCAAGCGAGATGGTGGAACCTTTTCGCGGGCAGCCTCAAATTTCTTCCTTTCTTCTTGGGCCTCGTCCACTCGATTCAGTACCGCCAAAGCAATGCCGCGGGCATAGTATATCATCGCTGTCGTAGAGGCGAATAGCTCCTTGTCCTCGGGGAGCTGTAAATCGAGAATATCATCCCACCGTCCAAAGCGGATCAACACATGGGCTATGGCGCCCAGAAACCCTTCTGCCCAATTGGCGATCGGAGGGCTGGTTATAGACAAGAGCTCGGGAGTGAGGATCTCCTGAAGGCGCTTCATACCGGAGATTGCCTCTGCAAAGTTTCCGGAGATGACTGCGCCATAGACCTTCACGTAGATGTTGTGCGCTCGGTACATAATATATAAGATGGTGCCCGGCTCCCTGGCAAAGTATTTGTCGTCGACAATCATGGCCTGGTTGTTCGAATCAATGACCGCCCGGTAGTCACCACAGGCGACGTAAATATGGCTAGGCATATGCAGCATATGCGAACCATCCGGCACGAGTCGCAGAAGGCGATCCGCAGCTGGTAAAGCAATCTCCGGATACGGCGCCATCTCCATGAGATGGATATAGAGATGGCAGTATGCAGGATTGCTACTGCCCCCAGGAAGGGAGGTCATGGCCTTCTCAAGAACCCGACGAGCCTCAGTGGTATGCGGACCACAGGGTTCACCTGTGTCAAGATTCCACAGAGCCCGTGGGGATATGCACATGAGCGCCTCGACAAAAAGAGCCACGATATCAGGGTCCTCCGGATAAGCTTCGTAGACAGGTCGCATGGCTTCTGCATAGGCACGATCCAACGCATGAAGATCCAGGTTTTCTGGCTTCGTTTCATCATCATCTTTGGGAAATCGAGCCTTCAAGGCCTCAATTACAGCCCTTTCGGCCGGACTCGCCCCCTGTGCTGCCAGGGCCTGGGCGCGTTGGAGCACGGGTCTCATTTCCGTAATAGTGGTGGCCAGATCCGCTAGGTCGAAACGAATCCAGGCCTTGTTGTAGTTTGGTCCACGGGCATAGGCCAGGCCCCAGTACGCCATGGCACAATTCTCATCGGCCTTGCTGGCTTTGATGAAGCAACGGGACGCTTCTTCGTGATTGAAGGAGTATGACCAGACAAGTCCGCGGTTAAACCATAGCTGGGCATCGGGGGAGTTGGTCGTTACAGTTCGGCTGTACGAGCCTAGGTTGAAGTAATCGTCCGTCATGATAGTGGTGGAATGATATGATGATATGAATTTCTCATCTAAAGCGAAAAGAACGAGATAAATCTAGGTTGAATCAGGATGTTATTGAGCTGATAAGCTTGAGATGTGCCAGTTGGTTTTCCGGGCGGGGTCGGCCTTATTATAGTTTCTGTCGTGCTACTCCTCGTACTAATCAGGCTGCAGGGTGTGACCAGGGTCTACCTGGCTGCATGTACCACTACTACTGACCCAATATTGATGGTAGTAGCATGAGGATTCACCAAGCCGAACGGCAGTATCCGCAAGCCACCAGGCGAAGGAGTAATAGAATCCATATGATCAGACATATTGATCCACCAAAGTGTGGGGAAGGCATTCATCAGCACTGGACCGGTGATAAGATGCTACCGTAGCAGGCAAGTCTTATATCCGAGTGCCCATTTGAGTGTCTCACAAATAATAAGCTACTCGATACTAACTTTTAAACGACTTGAATGCCGGTGGAGCTGCTCTTCTTTCCACCCCGGAGATAAGCGGGAGACAACTTAATCAGGAATGCGTCTTTTTCGCGTGAAAAAAAGAACTTCAAAGACAAGATGAGAAGAGCCACTCCTACCACAGAGACTTCCCCAGATTGTGACCTTCTTCCACCATGACTCTCAAAACGATCCATAGAACGAGTTCGATTCTTCGGATAAATCTTCCCACTCGCCTCTTCTCCATCCTCTCCCCAGCACAAGCCTGCCGATCCACCCAGACCCCAAGCTGTCACAAACCATCCTCAGACACCGGAAATACTACATCATGTTCAACAACCACAGGACCACCACAGTCCCAAAATCATCTCACCTTCAAGTTCTGGACGAGCAAGTCTGCCTGGAAGCGCGCCAGCATCAACACCCTCCGCTGCCTCGTCGGCTGCACACTGGGTGATTTCTCCGCTTTATGGATCCTCCAAACCTACTATCCCCATCTAGGAATGGGCCTCATAATGGGTGCCTCAAGTACGTTCCCAAATCCCCTTCTACAACTCAACCCTTCCGAACGTCTTTTTGACCAAGAGCACAGTGGCCTCAGGAATAACCACCTCCGTCATCCTTGAGACCGTCCTTCTCCGCCGAGGTGCGGACCAACTCTCCTGGCCAGCGGCTGCCCGCACCGCCATGGGAATGAGTATGGTGTCGATGCTGGCCATGGAGACGGCGGAGAATCTGGTCGATTATCATCTCACGGGAGGGATGGTGAATATCGCTGACCCAATGTTTTGGACTGCTGCGGCTACGTCCATGGCGGCGGGTTATTTGGCGCCGTTGCCGTATAATTATTTTCGGCTGAGGAAGTTTGGGAAGGCTTGTCATTGATGAATCAGTGTTTTGATGTAGTCTAATATATGTATTTATATTTTTTGCGCTTGTATGTATGTCTATTTCCTACTGATCGGAGATAAATTGATACTATCGCATGGATAAATCTCGGCTTTCTGCATCTAGCTGGTTCTCTGGAGGATGGCCTCATACACGCAAGTCCTTGTTATAGGATCGTGAATAAACCGCGAAGGAGTTACAAACAGTATCATGTCTTCTGGCATTGGCCTATTATAGTAACACTTTTTTTGCTAGCTACGGAGTATACGAATTAATTGTATGTTAGTTTAGGCAAAACACAAAGGTGGCTTTGCGCCCCTGCACGTGGGTCAAGTACGCATCGAGCTCGTGATCTTCGTCAATTACAAACGGGATCTCATTGCCCTTCTCATCGCGGTCCATCCCCTCGATCTTCGTGACCACCGCGTCCGGGTACTTCTCGCCGACAATCTGCTGCAGCTCAGCCACCGACCGCGCCGTCAGCTTCTCCACCCAGGTCTTCGAGTCGCCGTGCAGTGGACTCTGCGGATGGATACGAAGGTAGACAGGTACATGCACCACGGAGGGCCCCAGCATCGGGTCCACATAGCCAAACGCAGCTGCGGAATCCGAAGGGCCCGTCGCGAAGGAAGGGTCATTGGCAGCTTGCAGCAGGGAGGGATCGATTTGCATGTCACTGAGATCACTTGGGGCACTCGCCAGCGCCTGCGAGGCGAGTGTACTGATTCCGTTGGCAATGCCACTCCCGTAGCTGCTGCTGACCGGAGGACTCTCGGGTTCTGACTGAGCCGGGGCGTGAGGGACGGATGGTTTGCGGGCGGGATCCCGCTTGGTCTGGTCATCCCGGAGCCGCTTCATGACGTCGCGGCACAGCACCTCCAGGGCCTTCACTTTCGCCGCATGCTCCGGGTCTGCGGGGCCGGGCGCAAGAATCTGACGAAGGAGCTCCGAATTTTGGATCCATTGGTCCTTTAATTCCTTCCAATGTTCGTCGCCTGCCTCCAGCTTGCTCGTGAAATGGTCCGCCTTCAGGGTGTTGTAAAACGCATTTCGTATCTGGCGGCTCTCCTCCGGGTTGATCCCGAGGACATTCTTGGCCTCGGCAATGGTCATTCGCCGTTCCAAAGTCCTCATCCTTTTCGTCACATCGGTGCATAGCACATCTAGGGCAAGTGTTTTAGCTTCTAGCTGGTTGGGATCGTGCCAGAACACCTGCTGGAGATGTGGTGATCCCTCGATCAGTTTGTTCTTGGCGTCCTGCCATCTCTCGGGTCCCGCAACGGTCTTCTTGATGAAGCCTGCTTCTTCACAGATCCGTTGGAACTGATCCCGGACCTGGCGATACATCGCATTGTCCAGCCCGAGATACTTTTTGCTCTCATCAATGGTCGTCTCGGAGGGGAAGCGCGGAGGTCCCGGCGGGTCAGCCGGCAGCCCTGCCCATCCACGAGTCCGACGGCGACGCTTCCTGCTCGCCCAACGCTCTTCGCTTTCCGCTTTGAGCCGCTCGAGGCGCTCCTTGCGCTTGGCAAGGACTTCGGGAGGCAGATTGGGCGAGGTAGGGTCGTCTGTTGTGGGGGTGGGGAGGTTCTCGGTCTCGTCGAAGGGCGGTCCTTCGGTTTTGTATACTTCCTGCTGGAGAGCAAGGAGCCCTTCATCTTCGGGCAGCTGGATTGGGGTCTGAATGCGCGATTGCGACTTCATCCCGTTAGGGACCCGAAGTAGCCAGCGGTTCTTGGCCCGCACCCGCATCAGCTCCCGCTCCTTGATCTCGAAGCCCTCCTCATTCAGTATGCGAAGCATATCCCGCTGGCTTGTATTCTTCTCCCATAGCTGCTTTACTCGTGCTACCAGCTTGGCGTTTTTATGCGCAGGATTCTGTTTCGAAGGGAAGCCCCACCGTTTAAATTGAGTCTGAAAGGCACGTTTACTATGAAATTGCGAGGTTAGACAAAATAGTAGACGAGAAGGGATAAATTTGGGATGTTTGAGATTGGAAGTATGAACAGGAGCACACAATGAGTGTCGTGTCAAAGATGGCGCGTGCGTAAAGTCACTCACCTTGGGGCGAACTGGTAGACATTCTTCATATACTCCATAATCTCCTCCAGGGCCTTCTTATCCTTGATATACATCTGATAGCAGATTTCCCGCTTGCCATCCCAGTCGTAAACCATGGTGACGGGGATGAACGGGGGAGTGACACACCCTCCCCAGCGGAGGTAGTGCCTGGGGGGACAGCAACCCAGCCAGCCCAGCTGGGTGGAGTGGAGAGGAAGTTGGGGAAGGTAAAAGAGATGGAGTGATTGCTCAAGACACTGGGGGTGCTTGCTGTGCCCCGTAGTCGCGCCTGTGAATCCGTCGTGCTTCTGGACCGCCGTAGTGCTGGTCGGTTGAGGGGAGCCAGACGGTGCACTTGCGCAACAACCCGGTGGTCACCTGACTTTCTGACGTGCTGACTTGCAGTCGGCCCGGATTAATAATCCAGTGCCGATATGCCCCTCCGCGCTGTGCCGTTTGTGATCGGCGGCCTCCCCGCAGATTACTAGATTTCTTCTTCTGCTACTGCTTCTTCATCTTCAACTTTCTTATTTGTGAATTGGATCACTCAATCATCATTACCATTACCGTGGATCTTGTCAGGTGCTGTCACATACGTCTTTGAGTCATTTCTCGCAATGTCCGACTCCGTCTACGCGGATTATCCTCCCCACCTGAACCCCGCACAGAAGGAGTTCCTGGTTCGGACCGTGAAAGACTGGACTGTTCAACATGGATTGATGATCCGTCCTGCACCGACATTCATCTCCAAGGAGTCAGACCCTCAAGGCGTTGTGGCGACCAGTGCCCCGGTTACCTTATTCCCCAGTCCTTTCCCCAAATCTTGCTTCGAAGAGGCCCAGGCCCTCCAGACGGTGTACAACCAACTCTATGCCGCAATCACCTGTGACGAACAATGGATTGGGGACATCATGGAAGAGTAAGGGGCACCTCTTATCTGTCATCTTGCTCTCAGCTTCATGGGACCAGTTTTGCTGCGTTCTGTTGCACTTCGTTTGGTTTTGAATCTCCAGATGTAGATGCTAAACCGTTCTTCACTCTAGCCTCATTGACGTGGATGACTTCATCTCGCACCTCTGGAATGTCCACCTCGCAGTCAAAAAGGAAGGTTACGTTCAGAACCTCTCCCTTGGCCTCTATCGGTCCGATTACATGCCTCACATGCCGTCTGCCTCGTCTCCTCCCTCCTTGAAGCAGGTCGAGTTTAACACCATCTCCTCATCCTTCGGCGGGTTGTCAACGCTCGTAACGTCCCTGCATACCGAGCTTCTCAACTCCCCACCGGGTCATCCCATCGCGTATCCGTCGCATCCCCTACTGAGCACCAGCCAGCCCCCCAAGAACACTTCTGTGGAGACCCTCTCGGCGGGCTTAGCTGCAGCACACTCTGCCTATGGACCATCCAAGTCATCACCAGCTCTACCTACATGCATCGTCTTTGTTGTCCAGGAAGGTGAACGGAACGTCTTCGATCAATTAGCTCTCTCGAGGCAACTTGCGCAGGTTCACAAGATTCCCGTATTCCGTTTGCTCAGCTCCGAAGTCTTCACTCACACTCACATTCCCGCCTCCAATCCTTCCCGGCCGCTCATCTACCGCCCCCCTCACGCCGAAGGAGTAGAATTCGAAGTCACAACTGTGTACCTCCGTTCTTTCTACACACCGACAGACTACAAATCCGAGCGTGACTGGGATGCTCGCATTCATCTAGAGCGTTCCGCCGCCATCAAATGCCCCACTGTCCTGAATCAGCTAGCGGGATCGAAGATCGTACAGCAGGTGCTCGCGGAAGCCCAGGGGCCGGATCATCTTGCCAAGTTCTTGGCCGGTACCGACTCAACTACAATCGAGAGGCTACGAGCCACCTTTGCTCCGCAATATGATCTTTCCTCGAATGGCCGTGGACGAGAGCTTGCCTTGACCTCTGAAACAGCAGCCAACCACGTGTTGAAACCCCAGCGCGAGGGAGGTGGAAACAACATCTACAAAGAGGCGATCCCTGACTTCCTGCGATCCCTCCCTGAGACAGAATGGAAGCGGTGGATCCTGATGGAGCTGATCCAGCCGCCCGCCGAGGCCAAGAACGTGGCGCTGCGACCAGACGGCGAAGTCCTCAGCGGAAATGTCATCGGAGAATTGGGCATCTACGGCACGATCCTCTGGGACCAAGCCGGAGGCAAAATCCTGCACAACGAACAGGGAGGCTGGCTCATGCGGACCAAGGGCAAAGACGTCAACGAGGGAGGCGTCGCCACGGGATTTTCCAGTCTGGACAGTATCATTCTCTACTAGGACGACATGATAGGCCCATCTGTACACCAGCTAGATCATCCATATATATCTACTAGTATAGACAATATATAGATAACTAATTCACTTCTCAGAACCACCACCACCACTACCAGTAGCAGTAGCAGTACCATCCCTAACCCAATGCCCACTCTTCCCCCCCTTCTTCTCCAACAACCTCACCCCCGACACCACCATCCCCTTATCCACCGCCTTCAACATATCATATACCGTCAACGCCGCCCCCATCGTCGCCGTCATCGCCTCCATTTCCACCCCCGTCCGTCCCTCACAACTCACACTAGCCACGACCCGCATCCCTCCATGCCCTGAATCCCATCCACCCCATCCATCATCCTCAGCAGCGTCCGGAGCAACCAACTCCACATCCACCTCCACCCCCGTAATCCCTATCCCCGGATGACACAAAGGGATAATATCTGGTGTTCTCTTCGCAGCCATGATCCCCGCGATGCGCGCTACGCTAAATACGTCCCCCTTCTTGGTCATTCCGCCGCCGCGCAGGATCTCCCATGGCCGAGTGTTGGAGAATTGAATGTGGCAGGTTGCTGTTGCGATGCGGGAGGTGATGGGTTTGCTGGAGATCTTGGTCATGTGCACGTTTTGCGAGGCGTTGAGGTGTGGGAGGTCGGGGTCGGGGGTTGTAGGGAGGGAGATGGGTTTGGGGGTGTTGGAGGATGCATTGCTATTGTTTCGATGGTTGGTGTGGTGGTATCTCGATTGCGGGAGGTTTTGTGGTAAATTGCTCAGCCATGGTACTTTGCTGGAGATGGAGGGAGTAGGGTTATAGTTGGTTCGCGAAGATGGATTATCTATTTGATGTCTATCAGCGGAGAACATATGCATGATTCATGTTTCATGATAGGTCATGCGGCGAGCATTGAAGTGGACATCGCAACAAGGAGAACGGATTCACAGTTTCATGCTTACCCACCAATAACTAATATGGGGTTGCAGCTTGCTAATCTGGTGCGGCGAAGGGATGACAGGAGCGACGTGACTCCCCGCCCGCGCCACAAAAGGTCAGTCATTTTATTCTTTTAGGAAACAGTCCGGCCCGGCGCAGACAGTAGGCTATAGGGTCATTGTATGGAGACGAAGAGTCGTCCCTTGATGCGCGTTGAGTGAAGGAGTCGGAGAAAGCTTGGATGTTGTTTCTTATCAGTGGGGATGCCCTGCCGCAATCGCCGCGGAGATCCCCGGTGCGGGTCACGTGAGGAGGGCTGTAGGAATATGCAGTTATTTGTGACAAGCATCATAATAATGTATCTAGGATATCACTATGTGTGGACTCATTGAAATTAATTTATCGTTTGTCGTTGTTGTTGTTATGTCATGCTGATGATCCACTCGTTATCCTTCACGAAAAGAAGAGACAATCTATGGGGATAGCTGTATGGCCTCCCAGGCCAGAGATAGAAGAGGCTGAGCTGATAGACTGAATGTCGGACACCATAAAGAGTCTATGGAACCATCGACAATGGTTTTTTAACCTAAATTTGATGCTATCATAAGCATTGATCCAAACTAGTCAGTTACCATCTGCCTTACATACAGCCAGTCCATGAGGTGAACTTTCCACTCGCTGTAGTTTAAGATATTTCCACTTCCCCGCTCGCGAGTCTCACACGCTTGACGACCATGTGAGCAGCCAAATGATGGGTTGATGTGATAGAAGAGGTGATTGATGCTGCTGTACGACCGAGCAAGCAAGTAATCAAGCAGGAGTCCCTCCGCACTACCGACGCCACCGTTGAAATCTCACGTCATATCGTATCGAAGCAGTACCCGACTGACTCTAAGTGGTTCAATAACTATCGGCTGAGAATATACTCTGCTCTGCAGACAATACAAATAGTATAGTGAACTACCAATAGGCAAGACGCAATCATGCTCTCGGCGTGGTTCCTGACCCATTCCATGGCTCCGGCCCGTTCCCCGCGGCCAATTCCCCGCATTTCCGTCCTCCGCTTCGAAGCACTTCAATGCTCCAAGACCCATAGTGACAGGAGTGGCGTTGTCGCATTGCAGAAATAGACAGCAGGACCAGTCTGACCATTAGCGATGCTTTTCCGAACTAGGAAGTGTCAGACAACTGACGGGGTCCAGAAGGGGTCAAGCCGGATGCAAACTCATCAACTATCGAAAGCTAGCTTGAGTTCGAACAGGGTCCGATAAAACCTCTCCAGTCAGCACTCTGTACTTGTGAGACATATTGCTTTCGCGTCAAGCCTTCCCTCTCAGGACCCATGCAATCCAGGTCGCTAGGACGCCTGAATATCAGTTCCCTGTCTCCCGAGTGGTTCAACGTTGTCTCGGTCAACTGCGGAACAAACCTGGTGCTGCATTAGAAGAAAGCTAAATTTAGTCCTAGGCTCTAGAGAACCAGGCCCGTCTTTCGACCTAGAATGACATACCCGGTGTTGACCGTCTGGAGAGGGAATACTACTACGGATAGGAAGAGACGTCGTGCAGAAAGGGAAGGCTACCGCTATGAGTCCCACTGAATGCATGAATCCCACGTCACAAGGTAACACCCGGAAGAGAGACCTCGTTACCCGGTTTACCCGGAATTCCCGTCGTGGTGAGACTTTTGCAGAGTATCCTCGCTATACAGCATCACCAGCCAAGATAGTTCCAAGACATGACTTGCCTGACGAGGGAAGAGGGCAAGATAGGCGTCTATAGTACTATTTCAGCCATGTCTTCCGTGAAGACAGCCTTGCCATCATGGCTATATAAACCATGCCGTATCCTCCCATGCAGACTCATCTCTCATCCTCAGAAACAGATTCTCTACCCTCAAGATACTACTAGTATATCCACTACATCATGTATCTCACATACCTCACCATCTTCACCCTCCTCTCCTCCCTCGCTACAGCACATGTTCCCCGTGCTGGCACTCCCACCACGCTCCTCGCGGCCCCAGCTGCAGCCATCAACGCCGTGGCCACCCCCTCTCCAATTCAGCCCGGCATGACCAGCAATTGCGACTCCTTCCACCTAGTGTCTAGCACCGATACCTGCGCCACCATTGCCTCCAGTGCTGGCATCTCGCTTGCCAACTTCTACTCGTGGAATCCGAGTGTTGGCTCCGGCTGCGAGACTCTCTGGCTGGGGTACTATGTCTGCACTGGAGTTAGTGACACTACCACCACTACTACGACCACATCTACTACGACCACCTCCACCACAACAGCCGTGACTACCCCATTGCCCACTCAGTCAGGGATGGTGAGTAACTGCGATGCCTTCTATCTGGTCGCCTCTGGGGATACCTGTACGACAGTGGCGCAGAAGAAGAGTGTGTCGGTGACGGATATCATCGCTTGGAATCCGGCCGTTGGTACGGGTTGCACTAATTTGTGGTTGGGGTATTATATTTGTGTGGGTGTGTTGTAGGTGAAGTAGGGTATGAATGATGAGTGAGCTGAGATTTATGCGGTTCATGGTTCATGCTGATTGTCGGCTGGGGGATGGTTAATATCGCTTTTGTTTGGGCTTAATCTAGTAGCTGAGTATTAGCTAGTACTACTACTCGACTTTGTTTGAGAGGAATTTAACGGAGAGATGCTTTGCGGTTCATTTGGCATACTGCTGTTACTCAATATTATGGATCTACTAGAGTAAATCCACCGATAAAGATGATACATAAGTCTCGATCGAAACACAAGAGATCAAGGACTACCAACAATATATCCATATATTGAGATAGTACAGAAGCGGGGTGATCTTGTGACCCTGCCAGATTATGTAGTTCCATGATGCTGTACCACCTCTATCGGGCGACGAGGCTTACAAGTTCGAGAGGCTTTGATGTATGTCGCTGTAAGCGCAAACACGGGCCTGAGCCATTGTGGGAATCTATCAGGAATAGTAGTAGTCATTCAGGAACATGTATTCATGCTACTTTCAGGAAGACCTGCTTGATATTAAGAGACAGTCTAGTAGTCGGGAGAGCATTGTGTAAAGCTAATAAGAACCTTTCTTAGGATCGAGCAAGGGACAAGAAAAAAGAAAAAGAAAGAAAAAAAATAAATAAAATAAAATAAAAAAAGAAAGAAAGAAAGAAAGAAAGAAAGAGACGGAGGGAGAGAGGGAGGGAGAGAGAGATAAAATGAGAGAAAGAAAAGAAATGGAATTATGGAATAGGGCTTTCTTTCTATATATCATAGCATTTTATGAGTAGACTAACTAATACATCATCCTCTGTCATACATTTTGCAATCCAAAAAGACCAAACTGAACACATAATAGTATAGGAACATACGAAGGAATCCCAACCAGTAGGGTCAAGACGAAAAGACTAAGGAATATTCAAACAGAAAGTAGATAGCCGAGCATAAACAAGGAAGCAACAAGGCCAACAACTGCTGGACTCCATTCAACGAAAGCAAAACGGGAAGCCGAAATGAGTGCAAAGCATAAAGTCAGAAGTGATTGGACAGACTCCCCATCAATCATGGCTGATCCTTGCCTGAAAATTCCATTGTTGACTCTCGGATCGGGCATTCTGACTGGTCGCTGGTGTTCGATACCTGGATTGTGACTGACGAGAACCACGCGAGGTACTCGTTCCTTGAGGACGCCTGGGAGGGGCGGGAGTTCTTGCGGGCGGTTGGGGGTTCGTTCGCGATGAAACGCCACGCTGATAAGGAGCACCGCTTTGCCGTCGCTCAGATTCCCTTCGGCGGTATTGGCGAGTGGGTGTGCCAGGGTCTTCGGGAGTGCTCCGACGCTGACTGCGGCGAGGGCTCGGGGTCAGGGTTGCAGAGGACTCAGCTGAAGGAGAGGAGCTCGCCATGGAGCATGGAGTCTGATCTGGCGAGAGAAAATAGTCTTCTGGCTCTTGGGCACTTATATAGGCATCATCCGCGTGACTCTCTGACTTGGGCTTTACCATGATCACCTGTGGAAAGAGGTCGCGGCGGTCCCTCTCGACTGCTGTGCACATGATGGTAAGATCCCTATAACGCTTTCTTATCAAAAGGTTAGTAATCGTGGCGAACAGGATTGTAACTTGTTCTAAAGGGCTATAGTCAAAAGCACGCACTTACCTCGCAGTATCAGCGGAATAACGATCATCTCCTCTTCTCTCCACTAGCTTTTCGAAAACCTGCTTTGAAAGGGTTCCCTCGTTCAAAGCCAGGATCATTCCCCTCAATAGCATACAGTCTTCCATATAATTCCATGTAATCGGAGGCCGTTTGGAAACTGCCGGGGTGCGTGGAGGCGTCTCAGGCCTATTCCTGGTTTGACGTCTCGAAGAAGTCCTGGCCATGGTGGTATGCAATTCTAACCGCCACAAAAGAAGTGGGAGCCGAGCAAAACTAACAACTGGCTAGTTAAGTGTTGCTGAAGTGTGGAAATTGAATAGGGAATTTATTACGTCTTATATTGCGGCCTAAGGAGAAAATCCTTTCAGCGCACACGACGTAGGAATTGCCCGTAGTCAAAAGCAATCTGACATCCTCACTCAATGTATAGACAGTTCTTTGATTCTCTGAGTGGCTGGTAAAGGCACAAGGGTGTCGTATGTCCCTGACTGTCCTGTCTGGTGTGATCTGGCCAACTGGTGGGTAGGTTATACGCAGGCACCGAGCAAAATCTGTGTCTGACATATCCGATATACCATGAATGGTTCATTTTACCTGACGACTGAGTAGGGAGGTGGGTCTGCAAGCAGGTACTGAAACATCCTCTCTATGTGACATATGTGGGTGGGGGCTGCAGGACCCAAGCTGAGTGACATGTCCACTGGTAGTCTGTCTTTGGGCCAGCTGGAAGACTCGACACTCCGATAAAATGAAGGATTTTGCAGTTGAGCCGATATTATTCCGTACTTCGTGTGCTGATAAGATTGTATAAAGAAATAATAACTCCTTAAACTGAATTGACGACTAAAATGCGAGTAGTCATATCAGCAGACTCTCTGCTACTACACAAGGATGGTACCTGCCAGACTCGGAGTCTGCAACCTTCTCAATTCGTCCCAACGTTGTTTCTGTAGAAACGCAAGGCAGTTTCGCTGCGGATCTAGTGTGAACCTGACGTTCTGGCGATCAGCTCCAGTAGTGACTCCCAGACGCCATGGGCCGGCTCGAGCCGCCTTCTGCGGATCTCAACAACATCATGCAGATCCCTCAATCGAGTGCTCTTGAGATCGTGGGAACGCAACCCACGAAGTCCTCCTTTGCGAAGTTCCAATACGGGCAACACCAAGCGATGATAAAAGGGATTATTTAGGCCCTATTTCGGCAAGAGAAATTGAGTTAGGGCCGCTTTTGACCGCGGCAAGAGTAGAGTCCGCCCGATCTCGGCCCGGCTTGCATAACAGGAACTTGTTCGAGCTAATCAATTTTTCTTGTCCTCATCCACTCTTTTCCCTGCAGCCTTCGAGCAAAACCGAGATGTAGGAAGCTATCGTAGCCAGCGATCCAGCAAGCAAGCGAGTCGGCGCGAAACCACTCCCGAGTCAACCCTTACAGCTTACCTTCCCCCAATCCAACCTTCACGATACATCACAGATACGATCCTTGTCCCAACGTCGGCTTGGGCGGCTACAGGCTGAAATCATATGCCAACCCTTCTCCAGGATCAAGGGTACTTCATTTGCCCCCGGAAACGAGAGCCAGCCACATTCCTCTTTTCTACTTAGCTTATCATAGGCATATGCTTCCCCGCGCTCCGTTGGATCTATCAACTTCATTTACGTATTTTTTGAGCGCAACCACAGAGTCCAGGTAGCGTACCTACGTATGGCGTATAGTACAGAGCAGTTTCGTACTGGATCTATCCATCAGCTCCTGCATTTTCTAGGTGCGACTTGAAGTATACACACATAGACTATCTCTGCAGTTTGCAACCTCTCCTTGGCTGCTTAATCCCTGCCCAAGCCCTCACCGCCAGAATGACGGAGTGACCGATCTTTGTGTTTGTGAAACTGTTGTCAATGCTGCCTTTTCGGGAGCAACAAGGAAATTGTGACTGAGGTGCTTGGTTGCTTTCGATCCTAAGGAGAATCAGGGATTGCAATACGAGCATGGGTATACCGGCTGTAACCTCGGTAACGTCTTTTGTCACTTGATGCCGGGGTTCTAGTACGTCTATGGCTGGATCTAGACTGTAGCTGAATCCTCCGCTTTGTTATATCCCTTGCCCCTGCTCTGCTGCGGTTTCCAGCCAGATCGATTCCCACAATCAAGAGTCCCTATACTGTGGGCACCAATTGCGCTCTAATGCTTCGTAGTACAGGATTACCGAAGACAACCTTTGTAGGAATACACTCTGGTTGCATCGTGCCGAGACTTCCGAAATGCTAAACACTTACTGCACAATCGGTTTGTTCTATAGTATGACTTTGTCTCCCCAAAATCATATGATCCCCACTGCAAACCGTCATAGTTTGTCATATCTTGAGGAAATAATCACCTCCGGTACATCTGACAATAGAGGGAATTTCGGGTATCACTGACATATCATTACCAATGTACTAGTTGCCTGGTTAATTACAAACGCAGACAGTAGCTCTTGCCCCAAAACAGTGTGCTAGATGGATTATGCCAAAAGATGAAGAAGATTGCTCTCATGATCCATGAACATATAGCGTAGAAGTCTCAGACTAGACGTATTCACTGACTTCTCTACTGAGTCTAACTCATCAAAATCTTCTCCGCTGGTCACACCAGGCCTCAGTGGTGTAAATCCCTTGTCTCTTATACGCATGGCTGCCATCGAGCTTTACACGAGCCCGGTAAAGACACATTGCGGGCTATAGAGAGCCGGTGAAGCCTCTGCAATCCTCCTTCCGAACAGCGCGAGAGGACAAGCAAGCTTAACCTTCAAACAATGCACGCTCCTCATACATTGACGGAAGCACTGACCGACCCATGGAATAGCCATTCCAGAGTCTGATGGCCACACTCTGTTGTACTGAGGGACTGATATACTTCGACAGTAGTATCACCTGTCCAGTGTTACTGCTTGGTTATTTAACTTATATTGGACTTCTCTCTCGCACTCACAGAATACTTATTGAGCAGGTGGCCAACTTAGTAGGCTTTCCGTGCCATGGTGAAGCAGATAGTGCCAGGGCATCTGAAGAGGAATGATCCCACCACCTAGTATCAAGCTGATTTACGACAATCAATGCGGCCTGTACCCTATACTGGCCATCCCAGCGTCTATGGTTGACTCTCACTTCCCATATCCTCTGTGTGCTTCCAATTGCAGACGCAAACAACAATGGGTACCCGACTTGACCCCATCAGTGCGTCACCATCAGTGACCGTCCACAACACGAACAAGACCAACAACAGCCCCTCATCACCTTCCTGAACTGGTCTATCCCGAAGTGCCGAATGCAGACGCTCAAACGACTTAATCGAAATTCCGGCTGCCGGCATGAATGAAACCTTGTTCCAGCTGCCGCGTGTTCCGTTTATCCAAGGACACCGCTACACCGTCCGAGCAACAGAGGGTCCGGTCAACCAAACGACCAACCACCAGCTGGAGAGTATGGGCGAGCCCGAACGAGGCAATTCAAAGTCAGTGCTCGGTATGTTGACCCTCTTCTACCCGAGGCAATTGCTCTTGACTGCTTTGTTTTACCTCTGCTGCCTATGGTCACTTCTCCACCCGATTGCTGGAGAATTATCCCTAGATGTCCAGACATAGAGACATGATGAAAGTGGCGTCAGCATGATCACAGTCACACGAACACCCTTCCCCATCCCCATCCATGTTTACTGCACCCCGCACGTAATACGCATAACTTATAACCTCCCCCGGATCCTCGCCCCAGAATCCTTCTCCCCACCAACACCAGCATCAGAATCCTTCTCTCCACTCTACTACCCTTACCCCAGACTCAAACACAAGTACACTCACAATGACCTACTCAACCACCCCCATCGACGTTCTCCGTGACGCTGAACGCGTCTTCGAAGTGATCAAAAACCAAGGCATCGCCCTCATTCCCGGCAGCATCGGCTACGGCCTAGTCGCCAGCGACCCAGCAGCCCTGGACCGGCTCTTCACGACGAAGCGCCGCAAACCACACAAGAAGCACGCCATGATCGGAAGCTACGCGCTCCACCAAGAAATCCACGTCCTCCCGGCCCGCGAAGAGTCCATGGTTCGGACTCTAACCGTGGATCTGGATGTGCCCGTCGGCGTTGCGGCCCCGTTTCGGGCCGACCACCCAATCATCCAGAAACTCGGCCCTGAGTTGCTCTCGCGCTGCACGCACGACGGCACCCTCTCCATGCTAGTGAATGGAGGACCCTTACAGGATGAACTTATTCGACTGTGCCATGCTGCGGGATTACCACTGCTCGGTTCATCGGCTAATATCTCGGGGTCGGGGATGAAGGTCCGCCTCGAGGATATTGAGCCCGAGATCGTGGAGGCCGCGGATATCGTTATCGACTATGGCAAGCGCACGTTTAGCGTGCCGCGCGCGTCATCGACGATCATCAACTTTCGGGATATGAAGCTCGTGCGGTATGGCGCTTGCTATGATGTAATTCAAGACGTATTGAGGAAGTTCTATGGGGTGGAGTTGCCGGAGGACCCGGGCAAGGACGAGTTGTTTTCAGGACATATTGATGTTCAGCAGGCGACTGTGTATTGAGCACAACTCACCTAAACTATATACCGAACCTATTTATGCACTGCTTGCAATGAAATCCACATACTAGTACTAATCATACCGATAACAATAATCCCCCCCAAACACATCCATAACCTCCTCCACCCTCCTCGGCTCATCCAACACCCCAAACTCCATCACCGTATCCAACGTAACCTCCGGCGCCCCAGGAGGATTATGCACAACCGTCGTCCCATTCAACGCATCTTTCCTCGCGTCCCAATCCCCAAGTTGCCACAACGTCCACACCCGATCCACCATAGCATGATGCAAAAAGAACACAGGGTCCTGTGCCGACGCAAACGTATCCAGCATATTCGCCCCCACACTCGCATGCCCTCCCTCGTGAGCCCCCGCATACCCATTCGCACTGGGACTCATCAGCTCCAAGAACCCCTCGATATCGGTGGCCGCGAGCATGTCGTCCACTTTGTCCTGGGTGTTCAGGGCAGCGAGCCAGTCCGTGGTGAAGTTCCGCGATAGGCAGCGTGGGTTGTAGGCGAAGGCGTTGGCGGGGAGGTCCCCGTAGGGAATTACTTGGGAGAGGGAGAAGGGGCCCAGGTGCATGGACCAGTTTGAGAAAGGGCCGGTGGTTACGCACCCGCCGCCGGTGCCGGGGGAGGGGCAGGGAGTGATGTTTAGGGGGCATAGGTTCGAGGTGTTGTTTTGGGGTAAGCCGTTGCCGGAGAAGGAGGTGGGGGATCCGTCGAAGACGGGGGAGGCGGTTAGGTTGGTTGTGGTGGGCCAGTTCCAGTATCTGATGGGTTGAGTTGGGGGCTTAGGATGGTTTGGGGGAGGGAAGGGTTAGGGATGGAGCTTACGGGACGGTTCGTTGATAGTCGCATTCGTCTTGGAGGGCCTTTTCGTAGAGGTAGGTGAAATGCCGGTGCCAGGGGAGGAGGAGACCGTCGTTGTGAATGTTGAGGGTGTAGTTGATGTGTGTGCTGGTGTTATCTTTGTTAGATGGTGGATATAATGTTAGGATGGCGAGGAGGGAAGGATTCTACACTTACGCTACAAAGTCATCGTGGCGATCTCGTACTCCTGGGTATTGGTCGTTGGGAAGGACAGCCGGACGTCCTCGTAGACACCAGACTGCGTCTATGTAGTCGGTCCTTTCCTGGGTGCTCAAGTCATCCCTGGGGATGTTAGCTTGGGAGTGGAAAGAAGGGTGCAGCACGTACCAGTCTTTGCGACTGCTGGCTTGTGCTGGACGACAGCGGCCGGTTGCAGTTGAGGCTACCAGGACCGGGAGAAGAAGTATAGTATGCCATGCACGCATTGTATCTTAACTATGATTGTAAGGTGTTAGCTGGTGTAGGGAGTCAGGGGCTATGGGGGACTTCACGAATGGTGACATGGCTTCTGTTATATAGTTAAAGCAGACAGCCGTAAACCAGCCCCTTCGGCCATTCATCAGATATCTCTATACAATTTCAAGATCGGTGACAACTCCGCGCAGCCATCCATTGGTATTGGCGGGCCCTTCCGCCAATCGGTGCACCTCCTTGTGGAATAATCAGGCGCGATGCCTGCACTGGAATGCTGGGCACAGGATGAATCGGGCATGACGTTTCGTTGTACTCACAATGCGCTACAATTCTTTGGCGTACTCCAGCTTGAACAGCCAATGGTTCAGGAACCGAAAATAGATCCAACTATACATATACTGGCTTTGGCGAAGCATGGTATGTTGGAAGTGTGCTGCTTTGACCTAAACAAGTTTAAATATACGGTGACTTGGCATTTTAGCAAGAGCCACCAAACTAACTTGGATCTACTATTGAATTCTTAAGATCTTGTTTAAGCCTTGATTACGTTTCAGCTGATGTATGCATGTACTATTCAGGAGCCACTGCTTCCATGCTCTATGAATCTTAGATATAGCTTCACATAATTAACATGTAGCAGCTCGCCACATAAGCTCTCGGGGTTTCATGAATGATGGAAAGTTATCCTCCACCATCTCAGATATAACATACTAAGATAATGGACAGCACGATACCGTAGCTGCAGCCAGAACCTATGCGAAGATGCTATAAGGTCCACTGCGATGGATGTTAGCCGGTCCCAAAATGTATCGAGCTATCCATGGGATAAGCAAAACCCAGCTTGGCAGCAGTCATCAAACGGTGCTCTCATGGAATGTCTCCCTTCAGCTATATACTCAAACAACCACGCGGTTATTCAGGCATTACTAACCGCGGTCATGGACTTTGAAGCGCCGTTAGACCCAGCAGAGCGCCCAGATTGTAAGATTGGATTGAAACATATGTGACACCGCACTGAGTCCGACTCCGTGACGGCTGAAATGTGCAAATATTCATATGTGTGCCTATTAAGAACCCCTCGAAGGGCGGAATGTCAGCTATGGTTGTCCCTCGTATAGCGTATCCCTTGCATCGTTGTTCGCGCGGCAGGGGCGCGGATCCCTCTATTAACGGCTACTCATCCCCTCTCAACGACACGCTAGGATCGCGGTTGATGCAAGGGGCGATACGAGATCAACGCGGCCGAATCCTTCCCCATTAACAGCATGTTATTTACTTTGACAATGTGGCTATGGCCTTTTTTCCGAATGATTGCCCTCGTGGGATTGCTTTGGATCTCCAACGTAGTCCTATTTAGTATCTATAAACAGCCCTTTAGAGGAAGAGCAAAATGACCTGAAGCTTTGACATCCCGTCGAATTGAAGTTGAAATTTATGGACAACTGGGCAAGATTATCGAAGAATTTATGCCACACTATTGGTGGGTGGTATTTTTGTTCTACTATTATGACAAGATTCCACGATGGTTTCCCTTCTTACATTGATGCCTAACTCTTGGGGATGTGTTTCAGAGTATGAAGCACGCTATGGGGTTATATACAAGGTAGAAATTTAGGTGCAATCATTCAGAAAGTCTATCTCAGTTACCTTATCACAGTGAGTAATTTTGAGAGAAAGCCTTCCTCTTCGATTGTCCAGAGATGGAAGTAGATGGCGATTACTTCCAGAGGCCCATATGTGGAAAGGCAACGCGCTGAATAAGGATAATAACTATTTTGTAACCCCAGTTATAAGTGCTGTGATAAAGTTGGGTTATTCTATATGACATTTTCACTCATGAATTTCACGAGATTTAGCTAGGTTCTGGGACCGGGAAAGATTATTTATATTAAAAGTAACTTATATATTAGATGAAGTAAGAATATAAATAAAAAATAATGAAAAAAATCATTTACAGGCAGCTGGCTAGACAACTATAATACTTATTTATATTTTTTTATATATCTATACCTTATTTTATATTTGTTACTTATTTTAGTTGTATTCAGCTACAGCAATAATCTTTCTATATCACGGTATACATTGCTTCTTATGATTTATATATATCTACTGTAAGTTTAAAGGATCCGATAATATATAGAACTATATTCATGCTTTAAACAGTAAACTGCATAGCTAGCGTCTTAGCGGGCTCGATCAGGTATAAGAATTTGATTTGATTTGAATTGAATTGAAGCCTTTCCGCTCACGCATGTCACCAGATATTGCCTGGCAGACGCCGCCATGGTCCCACCTGGCTCATGACAGCGTCGCCGAGCCGGATATCGTGTTCCTCGTCCAGTCGAGCGATGCCGCCACCTATGCCGGATGGTTGGCAGAGAAGCAAATAGGCTCGAGATCTTGACCGCAGCCGAGGTGGTTTCGTAGACTCCGGTGGGTAGAGAGGCAATGACGATATTGTGCTCTCCCAGGCGACCCCACGTATAAACGTTCTCGTCGGTTTGGAGTCGACTAGGAGTAGTATGTTCGACTGGTATAGGTGGACCGAGTAGATCGTCGACTGGCCCGGTCTGAGCGACGGTCTGTCTGATCGTGGCGAGAACTCTCGAGCCCTTGGCTGGCCACACTGCCTGTGTAGTCCGATCCCGCGGGTAGGTAGTACTTTCGCGGTCGCTTCCCTTCGATGTTCAGTTGGACGGCCCCCGTGTCACCCGTTCGAACACTGACCCTCTTCAGACCTACCGACTCCTGCGGAAAGCTCATTGTGACGCCGTTAAGAGTCTTGATGATATTGTTATCCTCCTCCGGCCTGTCGGTATCCACGCCGCTGCTGTTCTGAGTGCTCGCGTCGCTGTCATGGTAGGAGGTAGACCGTCGACGATCCCGGATGCTGCCGCTGCTTTCGGGCACCATCGTACCCTCATCTGATAACTTATCCGCAGGGGCATTATCGCCGGCCAAGTGGTCAACTACGGGCCGGTGTCGTCGATAGGAAGAATTATCATATCTGGTAGCAGGCCGACGGTTTTGCTCTGGGATTACGGTCTCTTTGGTGGATCGATGATATCCACTTTCAGGGAGGGTATCACGAAGCTCTGTTAGGTTGACCGAGCGAGATGGGTGTATTTCTAAGCGGTTGGACGACGAGGTATTCGCCTCCTTTGAATCTGTTCTCTTTGGGGTCTTTCTGAGACGACGGCGCGGTGATTCGGGCTCTTTCGGAATAATATGCGACGTGGTGTTGTACTTTAGAGGTGGTGGTGGTGGTGGTGGTGGTATTTGGTAATAATCTTCATCGGAGTCGCTGGCAGAGTGTAAGAAAGGCCCCTGGCGGGGGAGGGGGACAGAATCATGGAACAACCCTTGATCGCACTCCCAACATGTCCCCGGGTAATGCCGTAATTGAGCTGACCCTCGTCGCTGGGATCTTGGGAGTGATGCCTCGACAGGCTTTAGAGGCATCTTACCCGGGACATCATGTTCGGGTTCAGGTGTGATGACGCCCAGGTCCTCCTCCAAAGAAGGATTATCTCCTTCAACTTGTTCGTCAGTATTCCCTTCTTCCTCCTCAACTTTGCCTTCTTCTTCCCGGTTTTCAGGTCCATTGACTGATCCATCGTCTGAGCTGGCACCATCATCTTCAGCATCGTATTGAACAATCTCGTCCGTACCCACAGGGACGTCAGCAGGCCTCTGGTGATAATAGGGCAATCGAGCGTCTGTAACAGAGTGAATTGCTTGGAAATATTGATCCGATTCAGGTCGGTTGAGGGCTTCAAGCCTTTGCAACTCATCTGAGTAAGGTTCTCTTGGGATTTCAGTCGCCAAAGTTGTGTGTTTTTGCTCTGGGTTGTTGTCCGACTTTCCTTGGGGGCTGGGAATGATAGTATGATGCTGAAGCCTAGGCTCTGTAAGTGAACTATCCGGTTCGGCGGTGGTCTCTTCAGGGTTGGACAATTCGTCAATTGGCGGTACTTCGGCAATATCACGGTCTGAATCAGCATCCCCAAGCGATCGGGGTTGAGAGTTATCGTCAAACTTCCCTTCCTCAGACAACTCAAGCAATTCATTTTCCTCGTTTGCTGTGCGAGGAAGTACGAATAAAGCAAGTTCTTCCAAGTGACGGCCAACGTGTCGGTTGAAGGTTATAGCTGCCAACTGGCTCTTCTTGCAGACAGGACATTGATAATGGCTATCGGCAACTTTTCCCAGACCGTGTTCTTCTTGGATATGGCTATACCATTGCCGGCGGCTACCGTATCGTTTACTTGCAGTTGGGCAATCAGGGAAGAGACAAACATACGGCATTAGGTCGCGAAATACATGCCGCGCCCAGTCCCCGGTATCCTTCACGGTAATGATAAAGAAGCAGTAGGGACATTCAAAGGGTTTGCGGCCCGCTGACTCCTTTGGAGGTGGTGGGATTGTCATCTTGTTCTCCCCTACAAATAGGGTACCTGCGTACGAGGTCTCATAAATGCCAGAGTTGCTCATAACGTCGTTATTTGCCTGCTCCGGAACAGGCGCTTTGAACGAGGTGGCGATCGTTTCCGACAGCCTGGTCGAGGCTTCGTTTTTGTCAGCGTCCAAACCGCAGCTCAGCTTGGCGTGGTGCCGTTCTCTATACTTAAGCGTAGCTCTCTGCTTCGCCATTGCTGTGCTAATGCGGTCCGCGATCAACGCCTCCAGCTCGGGGTGTTTATGGGAGACGTGCTGCCGGGCCCAGAATTTGAACGGCTCCGCATCCACTCGGCCTATTCCGATGAGCCGGTCATGATCGGTGGGGTTGCGAATAATCATTGACATTTGGAAGAGATGGGAGATCGTATTGACGACGCTTTGATATATCTCTTGAGCCTGCGTGGTATGGTTGCTCTCGTCTTCGAATTCACGGTACAACTCTTCCATCTGCTCGTCAAACGGCCCATCGGCATCCTCAATGCCACCAGAAGTGAGATCTTCCAGGTCTATAAGTGACTCTTTCAGGGCTGTCAGAAGCCTAAATATTTGGCTCTGAATATGCGAGGCATCGCGTAGGCGATAATCGAGAGAGGATAGGCCCTGCTGGTGGGCTCCGATATTGGCTGCCCAGACACGGAACCTGCCGAGCTCGTCGGTCCAGGCATGGACTGGAACCTCATTCTCAAGACTGGAAATACTATCGGAATTTGCTACCTCATTTAACCTGTCTAGACACTGTCTGAAGAGCTCGGCAATCTTGACCATGATTGGTATGCAATCCGAGCTTTCCCCGGGGGGGTCTCCCGAGAATCTTGAGGGCAAGCCGATCAACCTCCAACGAGGTTTTTGGACAACTTTGAAGACAATATGGAAGATTTTTACTATTACATCGATGGAAATGTGCGTGACCAAGTCAGATATGTGTCAATCTGAGTGAGACTCGAGGAGTGGGGGTTCCAAGTGCGGGGTTCTGTGACCAGACAAGGCTGCTCAACGTTCTGCAGCTCTCTAAGCGGGCTTTGGCTTTCTCCTTCCCTTTTTCTGTAGGCATGATGCGTATCCAGCTTTGTGCATTGTAATAACAGAAGGACGAAATTTCGAAGATGGTTACAGGCGTCGAAGCAACGGGGATTGCGCTGGCAGTACTTCCTTTTGTCATCAACCAGCTCGACAATTACGTTCTCGGCATCGAGAAGATCAAGGTATTCCGGAGGTTTCGCCGGCATCTCGCCAACTATGTGCTGGACATCGGAACACAGCACGCAATATTTGTGAATTACCTCGAGCAGGTGCTAGATGATGTCGTTGACGACGAGGATCGACTCTCCGACCTTATCAGCCATCCCCCTGGCCAGACCGTCGGGAATGACCCGTGGGCGGACCAGGGCTTGCGGAATCGGCTTCAGGCAAAACTGGGGGGCCACTACGAGTTTTTTATTGGGAACATGACGAGGGTGTACAGCTTGTTGGAGAGCCTCGCCGAAAAGTTGGATATGGACCTGACCAACCCTTCGCCGGTGAGTTGTGTAAAGCCCTGGTATTATGTAGCGCATTGTCTCTGTCTGACGCACTGCATGTGGTAGAAGGAGCCTGGCGAACACCGATTTCGGGCGATCTTATCAAAGGCAGTCTTGGATGACTTGCTGCAGAAGCTCACCTCTGTCAACGACATCCTGAAAATATTGATAGATCAGTCCGCGCACCGCGGGGCTACCCAGACCCGAAGGAAACGGGGTGGGTGGAATAATACCCTCCTCCAACGATATCAAAGGGCAAGGAAATATGCAGAGGGTCTCTTCAGGGCAATTTTGCAAGGGGAATACTGGAAGTGTCGCTGTAGGGAGCACCACTGTGTCTACCTTCAGTTCCAATGCAATCCTGTCGGGACAAATCACGGCTTGAACGATAATGAGAATGAGTCTAAATTTCGTGTTCTCTTCTCCAACACATTGACACAGGGCTCTACGATTTGGAGCTGGAAAGAAGTGGAATTCGAACCTTCGGAAGAGGGTATCACAATGGCCCATCTCGCCATCACCGAGCGAACCGGAAATATGAAAAGGAGGGAGCAGCCACTTGAAACTATGAAGAAGAAGGAGAAGAAGAAAGGGGTCCACTTTAAGGTTGATACAGTAGTCAACATAAAGACCTCCAGCTCAAGCTCAACCGGTTCTATGCTGGAGAACATAGGAACAGATTCTGCCATTGACAAAAGCATGGCAGGTCCCATCCTAGATTTCTGCTCAGTCCTACGCATGGAAACGTGTACTGACCACCACAAAACCATCGGATTCATATCCCATGGTACTACTGATGGCAATGTTCGGTACACCGTGCATGCTGTCAAGAGTTCGCACCAAAGGATGCCTCAATATTCCGTCCGTGAGATTCTTTCTACAACAAGCCGCCGAGAGCGGCTGCACATTGCGGCAGGTCTCGCCTGCGGGCTAATTCAGTACTATGGAAACTGGCTTAAGCCATCCTGGGAGAGTTCCGACGTGCGGTTGGCTGTGGACAAGGACGGCCGCACTGCGCTTTTGGATAACCTATATTTATCATGGCCACTCTCGGGCCAACCCGCGGGCATCACTGGGGAGAATGCTCCATCTTGCCCTCATGTGCAGAACGATATCCTCTTCCCACTAGCTTTGACTCTGATTGAACTGTCGGTCGGAGAAACGATCGGTGCGCTATGGATCACCGAGGATGGAAACGGAAACCCACAAACAACCAAATTCAACACGGCATGTCGACTGATCAAGGAGGTGCAATGGCATAGTGGTGCAGCATACGCTGAGGTTGTCCGTACATGCCTCTTCTGGTCCGGGGTGGGCTCATGCTTTGGTGATGGACAATTCGAGGAACGGGTGTTTGATACTGTCGTGTCTCCTCTGGTCGAGGATCTAGTATATTTCGAGGGTCTTCGTGTCATATAGTTCACTGTACCACTCTTTGCATATGGATCAAGAAGCAGAATTTCTTGGGCACTACGCTGATGAGCAGTGACAGCTCTTCATACATACGTGTCCTATACCCCCAAATGAAAAGATTATGCTAGTTCGACAGTATATCGAATGCCTTCTCAACATGCGTGCGTGCGTGCGTGCATGTGTAATTATACTTGGATTCAGCACAGCCAGGATACTCTAGCCAAGTTACTTGATAGCCAGTAGAAGATTTCTCTTCTCTAATACACGCTAGCAATTTTCTATCTATTTAGATACAGGCGGTACATGTTTCTATAGATTCTAAATAATAAATATAATTCTATCTTTTATACTATATCCCAGTTATCTAGCCTTCGTGCATTACCACCCGGAAGTTATCAACCTTCTTTATATATATATATATTTCTAAAAAGCTGTAAAAAAAAATCTTATGAAGATAAAAATCTACAAAAGATCTTATTATACTCAGTACAGAAACAGCAAAGTGATAGGAATAAGAACTATATTTTATAAATTCTCTGAATATATATTAAATATATTTTTTTCCTCAGCACTGGATATATATCTAGTTAATAAAATCCTCATCTACTATAATTACAATAGCTGCAGGAATCAAATCTACTACATTTTGTACTTTGGCATAAACTAGAGAGATCTCTTTATTGGATGCTCGTAGAAGTGTCATCCAGGGTAGTTACCACTACACCGCCCGGCCACCTCCTTCTCAACATAGTTACGACTTGTGTCACGACACTCGCGTGAACCCCGGGATTCATTTCCCGTCGCACGAAGCCGAGGCTGTAACGATGGCAAAATGACACTAGCCACGTTAGGCAGCTGAATCTACGATAGCGGTGTGGCGAAAGCTCTGCTCCTTCGAGTGCCGCTGAATTGGCTTCTACATGTCTCAGTTCCCCTCAAACTTGCCATTATCACGGGTAATATAGGGTGTGAGGCGGAAGCGTCTTCCTCCAATCCGCATTCGAGCGAATTCAACTTGGCTATGGGGCTTGGCTAGTTATGGGGCCTTGGCCATTAGGCTTGCTGCAACGACGAGTCCACATGTGCGTGTGAAAACCCGCCTTTTCATTCTTTGGGTCGGTCGGGTACCATAACAATGTTCATGAATCGAACGATGTCTTGCCTCGTATGTCCAGGATTTGCTTTTTCGGCATCAAAAGACGGAGGCCGAAATGTACGGTGTAGTAGTAGAATGGAAAAGACTTTATCCTGACGTTTGATTGGACGACCATCCGGAAGGGAAAAAATTTCTTCTTTTGAGGTGATAATAAACCGGGTGTGAGCCATTGTGACCCCCTGGTCAGATGATACTGGAGCAATTCAGCCCTGGTTCCCTGGACATAGTAAGGAATGAATAAGCACCGGGGCAAACATGGAGCCTGGAGACGAGGGGGGGAGGGACCCATTTCTGCCCCGGCCCCCAAAGGTGGAAAAAGAAGTGCCACATGCGCCGCCCGACCAACTCATGCGGTCTTCTCCGGGTTTCGGGTTGACGCGGCTGTGGGGGTAATTGGAGTCACACCGAGACCCATGGACGGGCCACGCTTATTGGATCAGGGATGATCGCACTCTCGCGTGGACAAAAACGAGGTCGTGTTAATTTCGCGCTGCTAGGTGCTTTTTTGCCAGACCCGTTCTCGGCAAGTTAGCCTGCTGCACTACGGGGCGAACTCAGGTGCGTCAGTCAGAGTTTGGACCTCGGAAGGATTGCGGCGATGAACCAGGGAATACTTCCTTTGAAGATAGACCGTTGTTTGTAGTAATATCGAATCAATTTGGACCGTTTCCCGAGTCTTAATCAGATGACAGTGTCGCTTCTGAGAGATGTTCATGAGGTAAGTCTGCCGATGGATGCGACGGTGGTTCGAGTAGGGCGAGGCTGGCAGGGATTTCAAAGATACCCCAGGGGTCAAGGCTTTCGCTCCGTCAGCCGTACAGTAGTCGTAGTTTCAGGTTATCCCAGCAGGTCCGTGCCTTGTCGACGTCATTTTGTGCCTGTGCCATGGGGTTTGAGGCATTTGTTTGAGTCTCTTATTCGCAAGGATTGAGACGCGTGTTGGATGGTAGCTTTTCCCTGCGTGAGCGACGATCGTCGGGCGCTACAAGCGTGGGCGATGGACGGGCGCTTTTTGTGACAGTTGCGACATGAGCTGGGGGGACCTGCGTGGTCGGTGCCTGAGGCGCTGGAGTTTTCTGTCAGTGCGGTGTTCGGCATCCCGACAAATATCCCAGGGACAATTCATTCTCAGCACCTGCTCGGTTTGTGTGTGGATATTTTCGCGCAGCTGTGGTTGAACTTTGCTGTCGTGGAAAAATGTTAGAGTTCCCAGAATTCGTCGATACGAAGTAGTAGCGAGTCTGCAGGTAAGCTTGCAGCAGGACGATCGCAACTGACACGTGAAACACGCGATGGGATCGTCTGAATAGGACCAAGGGCGAAATAAGCACAGTTCCATTCTCATCGATTATAATTGAACTGAAGTAATAGACATTTTTGAATCGAACTGCGTCCCTGGTACTAATAGTAGTACTATTGCATTCCTACAATAGTACTCCGTAGTACCGAGTGATCAGCATTCGCGTATACTAGGGGTATATATTTACTCCTACTAGTAGTATATCTTCACCAACAACTTCCACTATGTACAATGCTACCCCTGTGATTCAATAGTCCCTTGGATGTTTCAATTACTATCATTTCATTCTGCTAATGCCCAGACCCTGCTATCGGCCGACAGCATATCCCATCAAAAGTACTACTAGTATTTACATATGCACTAGCCAGCTGAATTCTCATAAGCCACATAACTGCCGAACGATGCAAACATAGCACCGAGTCCGGCCAGACCCAACCATCTCACCAGGGGTGCAGTGGCTCGAATGATCAGCAAATACAATGTCACGACCGGCTGCCTACATTGCCTAGAATGCATTAAGCGGATCGCAATGAATCGGGCTGAATACGAAATGTTGAGGACAAACGTGCTTTGCTTTTTCCTCTCCCCACGCCACACTAGTTGACTGGTCCCGAGGAGATAGATAAGTTTGATACTTGCCCCTGAACTGACAGGCAATGGGTAAGTAGTACTCTACTGGCCAGATAGTCTCAGAAAAAGTTAAGCGCTAGGACAATCTATAGATAGTTACATTTAATTCCGTTGTAACTATCTCTATTATTACTATACTAGTATCTACCGACAAAAGAAATATATTCCGTTTCTAGCAGCACTAAATCTCAGTACCACCCAAGCAAGGAGCACAGAACGGACCCGACCAGCCGGGCGAATCTCAGATAAGGTTCGACAGGAGAGCGGCATACCAATAATTAAGTTATTTATGACTTACTGGAGACAGCGAAAATCCATCTATGGAATACTGTGGCTGGCTGGAATGCTGTCTTGTGGCGTGATTCTAGTAGCTGGCATTCCTTCCGGAACCCTTCAAGGGGGGGAGAGAGGAAGGGACAGGCCCCGCGGAATAATGGGTTGTTTTTGAACTCCTTGCGAAGGATAGGTTCTTGAGGCAACTACACATCCTGCTGAATCTCTGATACGTATATCCAACCCCCGAGATTGGTCGAACTGAGGTCGCTTATTATCCCCAAGCAAGGAGAGAGACGGGTGGGAGGTAACACAAGACATCGGGTGAGCCCTGCAATAATTTAGGGTGGATGCCAATGGTGGTGTGAAGATCCATAGTAAGTACTACTACCCGTCCGTGTCTGCATGCATTCAGCTCTCCCGGATGAATGCAGTGTCACCCACCGATCGGGTCTTCGAACAGTCCAGGAATGCACTGGAAGATGAGTGCGAGACAGGAATATGTAAATAAATACTTATCATATTATTGTTAATTATAGATTGCGTTTTGAAGCACCTCTTTTCTTTTTTTTTTTCTTTTTTTTTTTTTTTTTTCTTTTTTTTTTTTTTTTTTTTCTTTCTTTCTTTTTTTTTTTTTTTTTTTTCCGTGCGACTCTTTCTATTTTTTCTTTTATTTCGTTTAATCAGAGAAACAATGCCGAGTCATTGCAAACAAACGACGAATTTTGCAGAGGATTCATGTTCTAAACAGCAACGTCGGATGAATTGGATTAGTTTAGTTATGTAGCAGTAGTGCAGGGTTATGTAACCAGCATCGAGGTGGTTCCAATCAACGTCTACACGTGGGTGGTTCAGCAAATGAGAAAGCCGTGCCTCTCGTGTGTCCAGACAACGTTGTCAGTGGCTCAGAGTTCTAACTAACTACAAGCCACTTCACAGCAGATATCCTATCATCAGTGGACAATAAACAAAATAAAGTACTGTGTACGCACAACACATACATACCAAGTCACACCACTGACCTGCCCACGCCAGTCAATCGCCTAGGCTCTTCCTGGCTTGACGCTTGCCTATCTACCAGCTCTAAAGCTCGGAGGGCGTTCTAGAACCGTAGTAGCTGTCATTCGTACCTTTTCGCGCTCTAATACTACAACAACAACGGGATCGCGCGTCCCTGCGCCCATGCCCTGTTTTGATCCCAGGTGAAGCCAGACGCAGTTAGAACCCCCCCCGGAATAGCTATTATTGGCAATCAAGTCTCCTCTTCGCTTCCATCCTTTCTATCTAGTTCTCTCCGTGTGGCTGTCCTCGTGACTCGACCCTCCGAGACCTCCGGCATCCAGACCGAGATGGCCTTTTTTTTCACACTCGGCACGCCGGTGCCGAGTCCGCTGTTGTGTATAAGAAGCATCGGCCTCCCGATTCCCCCTTTTTTTTCTGACTGAAGCTGGGAGCTAGAGCACAGTATAAATCCTTGGGGGGTTGCCCTCCTGATTTTGGCTGCGATTATGTCTTTCCTTTGTCTACAGTTGGCTGCTTCGTCAGATGGGTCGCACACACAACTTTGTCTGTGTCGCAACAGTGCCAAGCTCGGCTCACTACAACGGATGATTGATGACTAACAGGTACAAGGCTGCACCGGCGACAACAGCAAACATCTCAAGACAAGCCCTTCGGTGTGTGTACTTGGTTCTGGGTGAAGGAGAGAAGAAAACTCTACTCTCACTCTAATCACCTGTTACTTAATCGAAAATTCAGTCAACGACTCGAACCTTTTGCCGATGTCCACTTGCGCCCCTCCAATAACCACAGGCCGACCTTTCTCAGACCAGACGAATGACTTCTTACGTGATACGGTGAATGGCGGGAACGGTTGTTTCGCAACACAAACCAACCTAAAGCAACATATTTTCCCTTTCCGCACCGTCGGGCGGGCCATCTTCCTGAAGCGTCAAGGTTTCCGTCGAACTTCCCGACTTGCGTTGAGAGAGCCAAGGCCGACTATCAACCCATCCGGTCTCAACAATCGGGCCGTCCGCGTCGAGATGTTTTCAGCCTGATTTAATCTTTTTCCAATTTCCCACAAAGGAAAAGGGTAAAAAAAAGCAAAGAAACGTGGTCGGCTAGAAACCGAGGATTATCCAGGAAAAATATTTGCCCAGAAATGAACGGCGACTTTCCGTTCGTTGTATGCTTGTGCGTAGACTGCGAAAAATGCACCCACTCGGGGAGATGGGCATGAACCAACCAACCCGAGAAATCCTCGTGTTTTCCCGTCCACTTGGAGGTAGGCACTACGGCGGTGATGCCTGCAACTAATGCTAGAGCTCTTTTTTCCCACAATAGGTAGACAGCTGATACGGCATTGACAGTCGCTTCGACGTCATCATCATGGGCGGTTTAGCCCGCAGAAATCATTTTGTTAGTGCATCCTGGAAAGCATTCGTCGCGGCCGTTTAGGCAGCAGATACGCTCGGACAAAGAGACCAACCGCATGATGATGCAGCGTCATTATCCTCATCATCACCATCATGAACTATCAGCAACAGCATGTGCCGGTCGCTTAGTCGGCTACCAACCCAACTCCTGAGTGGTGTTACTTACTTTTCCAGGTCGTTTCTTTTACCCGGTTGGTCTGTTCGCGCCGGCACAAGGAAAATTATCATCGTCGTTATTCGACCCGAGCAACAGCTTCCACGCAGGTTGACTGCTTAGGTGGACCCTTGGGTGTCTATTCCGCGCCGATTATTCGCTATCCGGGAATCCGCCGTGTTCCGGAAAAAAAAGCGCGAGTCGGCGAGACACATACATGTGTCTCTCTAGGCTAGACTTTAGTCTAGATAGCTAGATTCATGCAGTCTGTCTCTTGGTCGGTGAAATTAATTTCCCCTACGAAGCGCCAGAGGGAATGGGGCCATGTGCGTGATGGAGACCTACTTTTTTCCTTTCTGGAGAGAGGAGGAAGAGGGGGGGGACCCAGAAAAAGTCAGATTGTGTTACCCTCGAATGAGCCAATCTTGGGATTGGTTCCGACACAGGAACAGTCAACCAAATTGGGAGGGGAGCCAATGGAAGGGCTGAGGGCCGAGGGAAGATGACGATTTTCGGTCGGCGCGCGATGTTTTAGCCCCCCCGACCGCATCCACTCGATCTCCTCAAAAAATTGGGTCCGCCTCTCTCTGTCCCCCCACATGCTTTTTTTCCTTTGCGCCAGCCCCCACCCCGTTTTTTGCCGAGAAAGACTTGTCGATTCTTGGTCGACTCTTGTTCCTATACCAAGGCCAAATACGATGAGCTTCGGTAATTCTTCTCTGGCTTGTCGCCTTGGCGCCGAGTTTTCGCGGTCAGTGCGGGTATACCGGAACGCCATTGACGTAGTTGGCCCGGCAAAAAATGGGGGACTTCACGCAGGGTTTTCCGGGGAGGAGGAGGAGGGGGGCAATGATGGGGATGGGAGGGGAGGAAAGGATTCGCTACGAGATCTCTGACAGGCACGTTCAGCTGCGCGACCATGGGAAGGAAAGACGATGGCAGATCCGGGCGCATAATCTCCTTACGGGTCTACAGGACTGTCAAGTGTCAGAGTTTGCATTATTGGCAGAGAGAAAATTGGGCAGTGTGATATCTTAGATCCAATTAGCACCGGTGGAGACCATGAGGTGCGACTATGTCGCAGGCTCGCAGCTCACCTTGCAGGATGTCTGTCTGTTAGGAGAGATAATAGTAATATTACTTACTACATCTGTAGCTGTGAAATTCCGCTGCCTGCTCTTGGCTTGTCTCATGGGGATAAACGAAGGATGGATCGATTTTTTTTTCATGCAGTGAGCCACGGCTAATCATATTGCTCTGCGCGTGTTGTCGGAGGGAAGGTGTTAGGACGGGCCAGCGGACAGTTTGATCTAAGTCTTTTTCCGGCATTCGGTGGAGATGCAAATTCGAGAATCATTGGATCAGCCGTGGAATGCTAGCAATTGGCAGATGTCGCTGACAATCGGAAATGGAAGGAGGAGTGAGAGATCACTTGACGAAAAGGGCAAATCAAAAAGTAGGAAAATAAAACTGCAGCGGTTACATCCTTCTCACACCCTCGGGACGCTAGTTCCATTCGGGCCAAAAACAGAGAGATGATGGAGATGGAGATGGAGACGCGGAGAGAGGGTGATATTAGCCCATAGTATAGACTAGTAGGAGGTGGGGGAAAAGAGAGGAAAAAATTGGGGAGCTGGAGACACCGTCGCGGCCAGAGACGGTGCGGGGTGGAGCATCCCAGCCGACGGTGGAGGATGGCGCCGAATCACCATGCAAAGCCTCCCTCCCAAAGCACCATGAAGGAGGAGCCATTACCCTACCAGTCCCCTCCACGTTAAACCTCTTCGGGCCAGAGCTTATTCATATCGTTGTAGATATCATTATTAACTTCATGTTTCCATTGGCGCAGGATGTGTCTCGCCTTGCAGGATGAAGGACGCTAGGCGCGGTCGGGAAACCTCAACGGAAACAGCTTCCCGAACGACGGCCGAACCTCGTTGCATTCAAGCCGTCTGCTTTTCGTGACGCGAGGATTCGGGACGGCAGAAGTGGTAGTAGGGGAGGTAAGTTCGCTACGGTATGGAAATATGCTGCGGTTTCATGCTGCACAAAACAAAGGTGGTGAACGGCCCCGTCTGAGTCACCCTTGATCACGGGGGATGCGGTTAAAAGATGTGTGGACATTTGGCGGCTGAAATGCTGAACGCACAATGGCGCCCGCATTCAGCCTGCCTACTAGTAACTACACATACGATGGGCGAAGATTATTCAGCCAACAGCCAGTCAAGCTTAACTAACGAGTTAGGCGAAGTTCCCCGTGGGATTTTGGCGATGCCTTTTCCTCCCTCGCTTAAGTTGCTGCCTTGGGACAGAGAGGACGACCAAATAGGCAGGTCAGCCCTGCGCGGTCAGCTCCACGTTTGGGTTCAGGTTCCCGCAACGATGGACGGGCGCGGCAACGATTGGCCAGGGCGTGCGCGCACGTCCGGTCTCATAGGCTGGCGGCTTTTTCAGGGCAGGATCATGAAAAGTGGAGCCGCACGGTGCCCTCGGGTTGGGTGGTAATGGTTGATGATGATGATGACGATGATGATGATGATGGTGATGGTGGTGGTGGTATGGAGTCGTAGTGGATGGTGGTGGAGGAGATGGTGTGAAGCCATCAATCAGCCCAGAAGGGATGGATGGATGCTGGATAGAGTGGAAAAAGATTACTCGCCAAACCTGTAGGTTAGTAAGTAGATAGACGTAGGGAGATTCTGACCTGTGCTGTACTTTGTTAGTACTGAAAGGGCTGAATGGCCAATAATAAAATACAGGGGCCGACCCGAATGTTAGGCTATCTGTGTACAATCCGTGGATGAATGAGACCAGTATGTATGGTTCCCCCTTTTTTCGCTGTGTTCGAACCTTTTTTCCGAATTGTTAAATGCTTTGAATTATTCTTTTCTTTTTCCGCTGGTTTAATCAATAAAATAGAATATTGAATTTTTTTTTCTTTATCCTTTCATTTTTTTTTCTTATTAATTTCCCATTTAGATTACCCAAGGGGGAAAAGGCACCAAGACCGGGCTGCGTGATGTCATTGCTCACTGCATTTCCAGCGCATCCACAAGTGGGCCACGGGACTGCGCCAAAAAAGATGCTTAACCCAGCGTTATTGATGCATCCGGTCCCCTGCTCCACAAAACAAACAATGGTACGGCTCACTATGGGTCTGCGTAGCTTAGTGGAGCTCTCCCTCCTCCTCCTTCTCCTCCTCCTCTCCAGTTAGTTCAGTTCGGGGGATAAGAGATTGTCGGCCAACATGCATGCTTGCCACAACCGACAGGCCTGTCGTTCTTCGAGAAAGTAGATAACCCCCCTTCTTCCCCCCGTCTTCTCCGCGTTGGCTCCAGTCTTGTTTTTTATTTTTCTCTCTTGTGTCACATCACAACTCCTCCTCCTTTCGACCAAGACAACAACAAAAGGAGCAACGCGACAGGAGTCCCTTTTCTTGGAGAGAAGTGAGCGAGTCAACTTAAGTGTTCGATCGCTCCCCAGATTCATTGACCATTGTCCTCATCCATTGGTCATCTTATATATCAACAATACTCTTTTCTATTTCAGCCTACCGTCTCGGTATAGCATCTTTTCACAATGGCGCCGACCTACGCTGGCCTGTCGGGCAGGAAACTGTCCCTGGCCGTCTCGACGATTGCGACGATGGGTTTCTTGCTGTTCGGTTATGATCGTGAGCCTCCCTCGCCGCTATCCCCGATCTAGTCATAATCGGAATCACATGCTAATTTGAACGTCCAGAGGGTGTCATGTCCGGTATTATCAGCGATACCGCTTTCGAAGACCTCTTTACCGCGACCAAGAACAATTCAACCATGCAAGCCTTGGTTACATCCGTTTATGAGTTAGGTTCGTTGCAACGCCCCTCCTGAGTTACAATGCGCGCCTCCTCATTCTAACGCGTTTCGTCGCATAGGTTGTCTTGTGGGTGCCATGTTCGCTCTCTTCTTCGGTGACAAGACTGGACGTAAATGGATGATCTTCTCGGGTGCCATTGTCATGATTATCGGTGTCGTCATCCAGGTTACCTCGTATGCCGGACACATCCCGCTTCTGCAGTTCTTCATTGGTCGTGTCATCACCGGTATCGGTAACGGCATGAACACCTCGACTATCCCGACCTACCAGGCCGAGTGCTCCAAGACCAGCAACCGTGGTCTGCTCATCTGTATTGAGGGTGGTATCATCGCCATCGGAACTGCGATTGCCTACTGGATTGACTATGGTGCCCACTTCGGTAACAAGGACCTGGTGTGGCGTTTCCCCATTGCCTTCCAGATCTTCTTTGGTCTCATCATCATCGTCGGCATGTGGTTCCTTCCCGACTCTCCCCGTTACCTCATCTCCAAGGACCGCGTCCAGGAGGGTGAGTACGTGCTTGCTGCCTTGGGTGGCTGGGAGATCCATGACCACGAGACCCAGCTCCAGAAGCAGCTGGTCATTGACTCCATTAGAGCGTAAGTTTGCCGGAAAATACCTGGATAACGCGTGGCACCAGATGCTAACAGTTCTGTGCAGTTCGAACGCCGCTGGCAAGGATGTCGGATACCGTGACCTTCTCACTGGTGGCCGCTCCCAGCACTTCCGTCGTATGGTTATCGGTTCCTCCTCGCAGATCTTCCAGCAACTCGGTGGTTGCAACGCTGTCATCTACTATCTCCCTGTGCTGCTCCAGGACTCCCTTCACGAGACTGAGAACTTCTCCCTGGTCATTGGTGGTGTCAACATGATTGTTTACGCTATCTTTGCCACTTTCTCCTGGTTCTTCATTGAAAAGATCGGTCGTCGCAAGCTCTTCCTGGGTGGATCTTTCCTTCAGTGCATTGCCATGGTTATCACCTTTGCCTGTTTGATCCCTGGTGACCAGCAGACTGCCAAGGGTGCTGTCTTCGGTCTGTTCCTTTACATGGCCGCTTTCGGTGCCGCTTGGTTGCCTCTGCCCTGGTTGTACCCTGCTGAGCTGTCCCCCATCAAGACCCGTGCCAAGGCCAACGCTGTCTCGACCTGCAGCAACTGGCTCTTCAACTTCCTGATTGTCATGATCACCCCCGTCATGGTCTCCCACATCGGCTGGGGTACCTACCTGTTCTTCGCCGTTCTTAACGGCCTGTTCATCCCCTTCATCTGGTTCTTCTACCCTGAGACCGCCAACCGCAGTCTGGAGGAGATCGATATCATCTTCGCCAAGGGTTACACTGAGAACATCAGCTACGTGCGCGCTGCCCACGAGCTGCCCAAGCTCACCGACGACGAAGTCGAGCAGAAGGCCATTGAGTACGGCTTCGGAGGTGCCAGCGACGAGGAGAAGGTTACCCACGCCGAGGTCTCGGGCTCCAACAGCGCCCGCGAGTCGGAGTAAACGGTGAAGCATGGAAATTTTTTTTTTGCATGGTCATGAATATAAAATGTTGGAAGCATTTTCACGCTTTTTGATACCTGCTACGCGATTTTAGAGCATAGCCGGCCTCCCTGAGACCACGGTCTAGGGAGTTCTAATCGTTATTATTCCCCCCTGTCTGTTTTTCCTGTTACTTAGTTTTAGTGATACCAGTGCAAAACAGGATCCAATAAGGCATCCTTGCGTGACAGAATTCAAACACTTGTGCATTGACAAACCATTTTCAATCATGTACCTTGTAGTCGCTCCATAGTGCTTTCCTCAAGGCAACCTCAATATGCCAATGTTGCCTAAGGCAACCACAATTTATGTCTCCAAAGTATTCCTTCCGCCTCAGGCCCTCAGTCCACAGACCGGGATGTCCAGGCCAGCCTACCTACCCCGATTAGGTAAGTGGAGAGTTCACTTGCAGCATGTGTCTGTCGCTCCTCCGAGCCATTTTTCAAATTGGGATTTATCCCTTCCCCTAAGTACTTCTCTCTGTCGATCAAAAATGGAACCATACCGATAGGCCAAGTGGGAACATGCAGCTGCAAAGCATCCCGCTGGAGTCAGTCAGTCGGTAAAGGACCGGACCTTAGAGCTGCAGGTCACCTCTCCAGAGTGGATCTGGAAGATCCACCCACAGTATGGTTGAATCACAGTATGCACGGGTTAGCAAGTGCGGGGAAGATGATCGACCTGAATGGTTAGTCAATTCCCTGTGGGTGTCGTAGTGTGGTGGCGGTGGGTTGACAATAGGTGTGTTACAGAATGAGATGACTCCCTTCCACTGGGATAGTATCATGCACTTATGGACCACTCAATTCGGCATCGGGGCTGGGGCTTGGGAGGTACTTAGGTAGAGAATAAACACATGGTATCCATCATATATCCAACACAGGGAACGAAATACAATTCATCGATTGAATGGATCAATCCTTCTTCACCTTCAGGCTCTTATCCAAACATTCAACCACATCCTCGACCGTCTGTCCCCGCTGTCGATCATCCGGCTTCTCTTGCCCCAGGATCGGATCGTCCGCGACGGATTGATACACTTGGGCCACGGCGTAGAATCTATCAACACACACAGGTTAGCATCATGATCACCATGAGTGGGGATATATGGGGCACACGTACAGATCACTCTCAAACCCCCCATCATCCCTCATCGTATCACCGATCTCCTTCATCTCCCTGACCCACCGATACGCCTTCGGCGGCATCCCCACCACACCCTTCTCCGCTATACGTAGCGTCGCCGGGTTATATTCCTCCATCAGGTCCTTCAAATGCGGCAGCACGCCCAGCGAATGGGCCGTAGTGAAGGACTGAATAGCCAACGCGAAAAACCCCTTCGTCAGAGACGCAAAGCACATCTTCAACCCGGTCGCTACGCCGATTTTGTCCGAGATATGTTTGATGTTCAGCGTGCGGGATAACTTCTCGTCTGGGAGCTTCTCGGGGCCAGAAACGATCAAGCTGGGACAATGCCAGGATGGTTCATTCGGGTTGGTTGGCTGCAATGGCCTGGGTGGACCTCCCACGATGCCTCCATCGATGTAGCGGAGGTGCGATGATGATGCTGACGCTTCAGTAATCACGGACTCTATCTCGCGCGCTGTCTGTGGGGACACGGCGTTCAGATCGATCACCCATAGCGGGGTATCGCGGACCGCGGGCCGCGCGGACGATGCTTCCACGATGCGATGGGCGGTTGTGAGTGCGTCCCGTGGTGGGACGATGGAGAGGAGGCAGTCGCTTTGGTCGACGAGGTCTTGCATTGAGGGGCGGAGCTCGATGCCTGCTTCCCATGCTCGGCGCTGAGTGGCATCGCTATTATGAATTTGTGGTTAGCTGCGATGACATCTGGATTGAGCATATTGACTATACCTCCGATCGGCCGCATAGGTTAGGACTCGGTAGTGGTGGGCGATTAGGAGCTGGGCAATGCCCAGACCCATCTCTCCGATGGAGATGATGCCGATTGCTTCGAGGGGGTAAGACATTGTGTCAATGACTGTGGTAGATTTACGAAGAGGTAGGTGAAAGAAATAAGAAAGGAGGATGATGATAATGGCTGATAGTCGTGAGGGGTAGCTTAGATTCGGGCCCTAATCATCAGCCCTGTCCCTCCACGGGCTTTTATCCTCCGTGCCGGGGTGGCACGGATAGTCACGCCATTCATATCACCACTCGGTAGACAGATAGTGATGCTGACTATCATACAATGTTGGATGATTAGGATATGGAATGGATTTTTTCCACTGGCTGGGAATGGGCTTTGTAGGTGCGTGGAGTGATTGCTATTGAATGGTCTCATGGCTGTCGTGCAATGGTAGTCTTAGAGTGGGATGCTTCGAATGAAGATAGTGTTATCTTTGGTTGTAACGACTCTTGTTCTTATCGCTTCATTCAATATAATACTGAGGCGTGTTCTCACGTAAATATGGCTAGCCATCCTATATTCCGAGGAAATACTGTAGGCAGGCAGAGCATCTGCTGATTTTGTCTTATAACATCTTCGGGGTAGCTATCAGGAGAATGAATTCACATCCTCTTACTCTGATGTAGTGCTTTTTGCTCGATATATGGGGAATTTCCTACCTCGATCATTTATAATACCTCGGATGTTTTCTGCATGTCAACCAAAATCCTGGCCGTTGTTTATAAGGTCAAAAGGCTATCTTAGACATCCGCAAGCCTTTGCCCTTTTGGAACTGCCCCGGGAGCGTATAAAAGGAACAAAAAAACACTGAAAATAATAAAATGGAGCTTTTTACTTCGTCAAGAAAAGTGCCATGTCGCTTGTGAGCCTGATGACCTTGACGTGCATATGCTCACGTAGCAGTGTTCTGAACACTTGATCCCACTATACGTGTTAAATGAGTGCGCAGAACACATAAGACACTATCAGACACCTCCGGCAACCTTTCCAATGTAGCTTGGCTGGCATTGAAGCCAATTTAGCTCTTAAGAAGGACGGTCAGTGAGCATAATGTCGGAAGAAGGACACACGGTGTAGGTGGTATGATATAAGCAAGCGGATACAACAGGACGATAATGGAATGGAAGCACGAAGAGGACAGACTGGTAAGGACCCGACCAGGAGAAACACAGGGATAATTGAATGGTCATGTAGGAGCAGAAGGTAAGACACGGAGCTCAGTCATGAGAAGCGAGATATAAGAGATTTGGTCTTGAGAAAAGCAACACAACACCGATGAGGGAGACGATGAAGAAGTAAGAAACTAAGCAGCAAAACCTGTGATTTCTGCCTTGCCGGATTAGTGCAGTGTTATGAACGCTAACTCGCTTGCCATGTTATGCTGTCTGATGCGGGCCTGGCTTTATTAATCAGAAACTCCTTGTCCAGTTAGCTTCTGCCTTTGCCTCAGCCGGAAGATAGCACGGCGAAGGCAGAGGTAATTAAGGAAAACCGCCTTTTTCAGTCTTCGTCATCACATGGAATCGAAGCTGTCATTTAGTGATAGCAGGTGGGGGTTTCTGTGGCCAACAGACATTGCCAATGACCCTCCTCTTAGGACATGGCTGTCAAACTTCTCTCCTTATCATGCTGATGAAGCCAAGGAGTCGTAGCTTCCTCTTTTGACTTGTGGATGAGCGGCTAGGCCACAGCCTGCATCGCGTGGCAAGCTGTAGGACTCCGGATCTCATGCTACCGTGAGATTAAGAACTCCGAATGGTAAGCCATCAGAAATGAGTCAATAGGCTGGACGTCTCAACTTATCAGTTACTCTAGCAAACGCAAAGGCAATCACAGATAGTGATAGGTGACCAAATATGCAGCAGTCGGCCTATTATGTATACCCTTGTTGCCAACCCCCTTCACCGCGACGCTAGCGCATCCCTTTGATGCGAGCGAGATCTACATACTCGTGACAAATTCTGAAGGTCGATCAGTGGTAACACACATGGCGGGGTTCAAAGAAATGCCTGAAATGTCACCTGCAGTGGATCGAAGCAGGTCCGAAGGATTCAGATGACTTCCTGCGATCGCAAATGTCATCCAGCACATGGGCTGGATCTACTGAATTCGCTCCAGCATGGCAAATCTCCGTTGGTTGTGCTAATTGCTTTTCAGATCGGATATCCTCCAATCGCCAATGAGCACCAGAAGACATAATACAAGCCAAGGATACTTTGCTTTGTCGATGTGAATGAGTTCGGTTTAACAGTTGACATATCAGAAGACCTGTTAGCGCGCATCACGAAAGCATGGCCAAACCTACGAGAGATGGTCTCTTTCTGATCTCGAACTGTAGTGCGTGTCATTTGGCAAGTTACACCGTCGGCTCGAAATGACGCACCCTCGATGGCTACACGACAGCTTGCTATGCGCACTAGTGCGGATTAGCAAAAGAAGCAAAAATGATACAGATAGGAGCACAAAAAATTTCACGCTGGCCGCCTGAGCGACGCAGGAACAACCACCTCGCATGGGACAAATCTACGGCACGGCAAATAACATATGTGAGTCTACGACGACTCCTCTCAGCGTAATTCAACTCCCCTCCGATGGGACTCGTCATCATGCAAATTCCCGCAATCCTCCTTAATGTCTATCATCCCTTGCCTCAAGATGACACAGTGGCTGCATCGTGGCTGGATTGTTCCCGCGACCGCAGCGAGTGCATATCATAAATGTCAGTGACTACCAAGCTTCTCCTTGATTGCTGATGCACGTTAAGTAGTACCCAAAAGCAACGACGTCTGACCATTGACTCGCCAACGGCGCAAATCAGGAAAAAGCAGGTGTTCCGGGATACTTTGATCGCCGGCGGAGTATCAAAATCACTGCAGAGGGAGCCCCTAAAGGGATAGTGCTAACCCAGGGATGGTCGATCTCAACCAGGAGCCCTCGTCCCCTAGTGATTCAATCCTCCGCGGCCGTGGGAAGCTGATGTTTCATCGAAGATCCATAGCATCCTCAACAGAGCCCGGCATGCCGGTCATTGCTGCCTAAGATGACATGCCGACGTTGGCTGGTAGCTATTTGTCTATGGGCAATGAGCTTAGAGAACAGCAGACGAATGGCAAGCTCAAGAGCTCCCAATCCATGTGCAGGAACTGGATGATCAACAAGTACGGGATATGCAGCCGGGCAATCATCCGACGCAATCCCAAACCATCCTGTTCCCCAGCCTTGAATAGTTCCGCCGATCCGACCGATCAGTTTGCGACACGATGATGCGGCCCTGTCGATCATCAAACCCGGGGAGGGAATGCTGAAGGCCAGAAGCAAAGCTGCGCGATTTCACATGCCAGCCAGAAACCATCAGAAGGTGGTCAGTGCGTTTGCAGTTGATACGACTGTCCACCAAGCCCTTATCGTAGGTCACTGATGGCGACATTGCTGCGACCTCATCACACACCGCAACACGATATCTTGTCAAGTTGGGCAGTTAGGTCGCAACAGAGCAAATGATAGCAGCAGCACGCGATAAAGCTGCAGCGTTCTGGAAATTGAAATCCGATTGAGACTGGGCTAGATCAGCCGTGGATCAACCATGGATGCTTGGGATCCACACGGATGAGCGACGCGCAAACCACCGCAAGGGATTCCAGCCCACCATTGCTGTTAGCGGTGCAAAATCTTATCGCTAGCGTCACTGTGTGGCCACGGCCCGGTTTATCAAACGGCCTGGGACTGGCTGAGGCCGAGTTCACGACGATGGATGATGGCTCATTGCTGCCCATTTTTCGAATTTTTCAGCGCCTTATAAATCTCCAGACCCAAAAAGCAAAGGAAGCACCCTGATACTCCGCTGGCCCGGTCCACTTTGCCTCAGCGGTGACGGAGACCTGATCCCGAAATCCCATAAAAACAATCGCCAGACCGCAGGCGGGTCGGGACCCTAAAGTGCAGCAATCCTTGTGCCAAATTGTTCCTTTTTACCCGGTGGTTGTGCCTCTCCAAAGGATGCCGTCCGACCAGCCCTACCCGACCCGAGAGGATGATGCCTCCCGATCCCCGAGTCCAAGCAATGACAAGAACAAGGCCGCCGTTGAAGTGACGCAGACCAGCCTGGACTCGGCTCCAATGTCTGGGCGATCCTCCCTCTCACTGACCGATCAAGCCAGCAGTAGTAAATTCGCCTCCACCCCCGCGACCGGAGCTCAAACCCCGGATCCGTTGTACGCCCACCTCGCCGGCCACGACGACACGCTCAAGAAATTCCCCCAGATTATTGCGCGCGCCCGAGACGACAGTGAAGATGAATCTTATGAGCTACCGGTTGGGCAACACAATCGCGGCGATGCGGATCCTACCGATGGCCAGCACCTCAGCTACCGCCGGCCTTCTATGGTGGCTGCTCAGGGCAGGGACTTCCCCGACGAGGCCGGCTCTCCACCCCCCAAGCCCACCCAGGGTCGTCCGACGGAAATCAGCAGCTTCGGTGCCGAGATCGTGTTGATCGCGGTCTGCTCCGCAGGTTTGATGTTGTTCTCCTTCCTTCTGGGTGATGTGCTCGCTCCGCAGCTCCAGTTCCGGCAAGCCCTCGGCATCACCAATACCGAGTTGCCCTGGCTTGTCGGCTCCTTCAACGTCGCCAATGGCCTGTCCGTCGTGGTGTCCGGCTCGTTGACCGACCTGACGCCTCCCAAAGCCCTGATGGTCGGGGCCTTCATCTGGCTCAGTGTCTGGAACATCATCGGCGCCTTCTCCGTCCATCCCTCCCGCTATGTACTCTTCTTCGTGGTGCGTGCCATGCAGGGCCTGGCCATCGGTGTCTTGGTCTCCGGTAGCATGAGCATCCTCGGCCGCGTCTACAAGCCAGGAATTCGCAAGAACCGCGTCTTCTCCGCCATGGCCGCCTGCGCCCCATTCGGCTTCTCTCTGGGCGCCATCCAAGGCGGTCTCCTCTACCAGAATCTCCCTTGGATCTTCGGCTGCAACGCCATCATCACCGCCATCTGTGCCGTAGGCGCCTACTTCTCCATCCCCCCGCTGCGCCCCATGGCAGACTCCGCCGGAGGTGAAGTGCCCTCGCTGCGCCAGTTCGACTACCTCGGCGCCGCCTTCGCCGTCGGCGGCTGTGTCTGCTTGCTCTTCGGACTCACCCAGGGCGGCGTCACCGACTGGTCCGTATATACCTGCGTGCTCACAGCGGTGGGCATTGTTCTCCTCATCGGCCTCTTCATCGTAGAGCGCTACGTACCACGCCCTCTGATCCCGAACCGCCTCTGGAAGACCAAGGGGTTCACCCCGCTCATGATCGCCTACTTCCTGGGCTTCGGCTCCTTCTTCGGCGCCTGGCAGTTCTACGCCATCCAGTTCTGGCTGCGCATCCAGCACGCCAGTCCCATCGATGTGGCGCTATACCATCTCCCAAACGCCATATTCGGCGTCATCGCCACCTGGGTAGTCAGTCGCACCTTGCATCTCGTCCCGGGCCATTACATCTACACCATCTCCATGTTCGCCTTCACGCTCGGTCCGGCCTTCTTCCTCCCGCAGAGCCCTACCACTACATACTGGGAATTGTCCCTGCCTGGAGTTGCCCTCGTCACTTTCGGCCCCGATCTGGCTTTCGCGGCCGCTTCCATCTTCATTACTAGTAATGTGGCGCGCTCGTACCAGGGCAGTGCTGGGAGTCTGCTGGTCACGAACCAGAACCTGTCGTCGGCGATTATTACTAGTGTGGCGGATGCGATTGGCACGCGGGTCGATAAGCAGGCAGATGGAAGTGTTGGGCTTAGTGGTCTGCGTGCTATTTGGTGGTTTGCGCTGGCGTGTCAGTTGCTGGCGGCGCTGGTTACGGTGACGTCGGTGAGGATACCCAAGGAGGAAGAGAAGGAGCACGTTACTTAATTGTCTGATGGTCATGTATGTTCAAAATTTGGTTTGGTTTTTCGGGTTTATACGGTGCATTATAGAGTAGATAGATGGCTGGGAACTACAATATATACATAGATTTCGGGTCTAATGGATTCAGATATACAATAATACTTACTATACTCTTCCCCCCTCGTGATCCACCACCGGCAAAGGCAAGTCCCTATGCAACCTCTCCCGAATTCTCTCCCCATCTTCACCATCCAACAACCCCCTTCTCAACAAGAAATCCACCACCACGACCGCACTATTCGGCTTAAATCTCCCCTCCCCCAGCGCCTCCTTTACCTCCTGCACTCCCCAAAGCCTAAAATCCTCCACCTCGCTATCACTCGGCCTCGGAACCACTCCGCCTTCCAACCGCAACTCATACAAGTACTCCACCTCAGGCTGCAACAGCTCCATGCCCCCCTCCATGTTAACATGAAAATACGAAATCCGATCCACAAACCTCATCTCCCCCCGCATCAAGTCCCCCGGAATCCCCGCCTCCTCGGTCGCCTCCCGCATGATGGCCTCCCGCGGAGGCAGCCCCGTACTCAGTCCTCCGGCGGCAGTGGTGTCCAACATACCCGGGTAGGTCTGTTTAAGAGAGGAGCGTTTGGCGATCCAGAGGAGCGGTGTGTTGCTGTCTTGGGGTTGGGTATAGCAGAGCATTTGCACGCCGTAGGTTACTATACCGAAGAGGGCGCTCGCGGCGCGTTCTATTTCCAGGATGATGGTTCCGTCTGGGCCGTAGAGGGGGAAGGTCTCGTTGCGCCAGCCGCGGAGGATACCGTGGGAGACGAGGGCCTGGATGGTGGGGAGGAGGATGGCGGTGCGGGTGGAGGCGGTTGCGGTGGGAGGTGTGAGGAGGGTGATTGTGTTGTTGGAGATGGACCAGGTGTCTGATGGCCAGGGGAAGGTAGTTATTAGCTCGTTGGGGACGTAACCTAGGGTTTTGGGGATGCCGGCGATCCGGAAGGCGTGGTAGTTTTGGAGGATAGGGTTGTCATTGCTCGTGGTGGGGTAGGGGAAGCTGGATAGGGTGGTTAGATGGGATTGAATTGAATGGAAATTAATGAGATAGGGGACTTGCTTGTCGAGGTCGGCTACGACCTGGTACATTGATGTTGATGTTGATGTTGACATACTGTATGTCTTAGCTGCAGTAGTGGGTGTTTATTGAGTACAGATGCGGGGGATGTCAGGGTCTATCCAGGTGGACAAAGTAATGCTATCAAAATAGCAGACTAGCTACTTGCTAGTTTCCTCACTAAACTACGCTGGAGCTGTTAGTGATCGGGCCGAGCTCAGGCTGGCCGCATTGTTCCTCTGCAGAGATCATCAGATCGGAAATTTTAGCTAGCAGTGACCCGCAGATGCTGGAGTACTTGGGAGTGGCAGTGACCCCAATGGAATGAAGGAGAAATTCGAATTGGCAACTTTAGTAGAAGTGGTGAGCCCGATGCTACCTTTCTCTCGCACTGACTGAAATAGAGGGCATATAATAGCACGTCCAAGTATAGCTGGTCCGATCACGTGCACTAGCCTAGGCCAGGTGGAATCCACGAAATGAAGTCATTCAGGAACAGCCCACATCGCCTCACTTTTCCCTCCATCATCCGTTCTTTCTTTCACTCACATACCACCATAATCTCCCCTATACCTCCCTGAACATATCCAATTACCGTGGCGCCCCAACAACTCCCTCGCTTTCGCTGGCGCTCCCCCCGGGCCCCTATCAGGCCACCCCTTCCTCCTCCGCCCCTCCGCTTCCCAGCAGCTCGCCATTCGAGAACAGGGAAACTCTTCCGCCATTTCCTTCGCTTCCTGTTCGGTCCACACGACCCCCTCCGTGCGCAGTCTCGTCTCTGGAGTCTCCGTCACGAAACGATCCCCGCTCTTCGACATCGAGCACAGGCAGGACTATACCGGGCTTTAGTGAAGCGGCAGGCGAGACTCGCACGCAAACGGGACTCTGGTCGGAAGGGTATCCTTGGTTACCTGAACAGAAAGGGGAGCCGTTTGGCTGGTCGGTCGGCTTCTGCGACTGGTGGTTTTGTACATAGGAGGCTGGCGCAAAGCACCGGAGCTTTGCGAGCGGGGAACAACAAGAGCTCAGGCTTCACGCCAATGTCACAGTACGAGCCGTCATCCTCGTCATCATGGGGCTCTAGTACTGGTCGGGAGCGGGGAGCGCGCCGCAAGAAGGTCTTTGACTACCTGAAGGCTGCCAATGAGCTGCGCCAAACCTATGCTGCGCAATGGTCGGCGCAGATCAGCGGTCAGAGCGACTATGACGACTACCGTGATACCCCGGGCGCATTTCCCGACATCGAGATTGCGCGATCCGAGTTTGAAGAGATGGTGATATTTCCGAGCTATGCGAGGCGGTTGGTGAAGCATGAGCAGCTGGATCCATACTATAACCGCCGTCGAGGATCAAATGCCACTATCGAGGAGTATCGGGGCGAGTCAGATGGCTTTGGCACAGGCATGCCGGTATGGGATGAGCTGGAAGAGGAGAATGCGATCGTTGCAGTCGATGTGCGTGGCTGGGTATACGCACCTCATCGCGGGCCGATGACTCGAAAACATCGTCTGATGGTCGCTCTCGCTAGAAAGCTCAGCGGGGTGCCAGCTCCTATGAGCAGCACGAATGATGGCGATGAACATAATGTGAATGATTCTAAGACTGAGAAGGGGGATGAAGAGCTGGTCAATACCGAGGCACAGTCGATCATCAGGCAGGCCGAAAAGGGGGCCGATCCGGTATGGAAAGACAGCGCAGAGAATCGTGACGCCCAGAATACTCCCGGTCGCCCTCTCCAGAGGGCAGCAACGGCACCGCTGAGCAAGGATGAACTCTCCATCGCCAATGCACACCTTCTGGAACGGTTACGCCCCTTTTTGACCAACCCGGTAACGGGCATTCCCGTCACTGTGTTCTTCTTTAACAACGACAAAAGCCAGTCAAGGAGCGTGATGACTGACGAGTCCGGCCACTTTCGGCTACGAGCGTCGCTACCCTTTATACCGACTCACGCCCGTGTGCTAGCCTCCGAGGATCTCTCCGCCGTGAAGGAGATCAAGATCATCGAGCCCACGGGCGTCAGCCTTATCAGCGACATCGACGATACAGTGAAACATTCTGCTATTGCCAGCGGGGCCAAGGAGATGTTTCGCAACACCTTTGTCCGTGAACTGAACGAGCTGACGGTCGACGGTGTCACTGACTGGTACAGCAAGCTGGCTAAGATGGGAGTCGACATGCACTATGTCTCTAATGCCCCATGGCAACTGTATCCGCTTCTGGAACGCTACTTCAAGCTCGCCGGCTTGCCCCCGGGTTCTTTCCACTTGAAACAGTACAGTGGTATGCTTCAGGGTATCTTCGAGCCTACGGCAGAAAGGAAGAGGGGCTCCCTGGAGCAGATTTTGAGAGACTTTCCTACCCGCAAGTTCATTCTCGTTGGAGACAGCGGTGAAGCGGATTTGGAAGTCTATACCGACATCGTTCTAGCAAACCCGGGGCGGATCCTCGGGATCTTCATTCGCGACGTTACCACCACCGACCGGAAGAAATTCTTCGAGAAATCAGTGGATGACTTGGAACATGACTTGAACCGGAGCCGTAGCACTCCGCAACTTGTGGATGCTTCTGATGCCGTGTCCAAACGTCCGGCATTACCGCCTCGACGGCCCGTGGGAACGGCCGATCCGTCCGCAGATGCCGTGAGCCTCGACAACGCCGACTTGATAGATCTTCGAGACGAGGTGGAGCAAAAGGTGTCTTTGGCTGACATGAAGAAGCCCTCCGCCGGGCGCGGACCACCCACGAAACCTTCCAAACCCTCTGCGTTGCGCTCAGTTTCGACAAACCCAGACCTGAGCAAAGACGATTTGCCCTCACTCCAAGAGACAGCCAAACGCAAACCTGTGCCACCACTACCCCCGCGCCGCTCTTCCACTAAGCCCGACATATCAAACGACAACATAGTTGATACCGAAAATGATACGGCTGTGAATAATGCAGCGAAGCAAACGCCCATACGTCCTAAGCCTAGCATACATGATATCCCCAACGAACCGACACGCTCAAAGCAACCACCACCGCCCCCTCCACCACGCAGAACCAATACAGGGGCTTCAACCCCGGGCTCTATCTCATCACAGCAAAGTACAAACCGCCCAACGCCCCCACCCCTACCTCCGAAACAATCATACCCCGCATCTGCAGCCACAGCAGCGCTACAGTATGCCTCCGACCGTTTGAACTGGTCTCCAACCCCATCGAACATTCTCCGACCAGCCCAGCCGAACTCCTCATCAAGTAGGTCCAGCACCAGCGTGGACAGCAGCACTCCGAACAGAACAGCAGTCCCCGCGGCCCCTCTACCCAACAAACGGGAGGAACTGTGGCGACGTCGCTGGGAACGCGCCCAGGAACTTCTGGAAAAGCAAGGCGTGGTTCTGGGTAGTTGGCGTGTGGGCCAGGATGCACAGGACGTGAGTTGCTGGCTGGTAGAGGAGGCGTTAAAGGATATGAAACGGGGTTGAGTTGGTCGAGTTGCTAGCGAAGTGATGAATATTTGCCAGCCTCACGGGTGGAGGTAAGGCCTGGTTGGCCACGTTGCATATACACATACATATATACATAGCCTCTCAGCGCTTTCTGGGGGGTTGTATAGCCTCAGCATGTGAAAAGGAATAAATAGCATTGGTGTTAGGCAGGTTAACGAGCATATAAATTTCCTCTCCCTCTGGACCATCATCTGAGATCTCGAAGCGGATAAGAACCGCTCAGGGAGTAACTTCCTGACTGCATAATGCAACTCATACTGAAGCTTTTCCGGCATGTATCAATGCATATTTGCAGCGACCACATAAGACGTCAAATAAGATCCTGCTTCCATACTGTAGTGTATTACGCTTCCAGTTGAATCTCAACTCGCCTTCCAACTTTCTAGCCCAGCTACCCCAATCCTATCAGTAGTCGACTGATATTATTACGACTTTCACAACCAATAACTGCCTTTCAAATACTGCACAATGCTTACTTGGGAAATTCCTTACTTATACAAAGGATCCCTGGACCCTTGCTCCTCAGCTCCATCTCACTCAAGAGTATACATCAGCGTCCCCCATCCCAACTGGTCATACCCACCACTAGTCGTTCCATAATCGCCACCACCGCCCTCAGCCCCATCGCCATCCTCAACGACCATATCGCGATACTCCTTTGTGTAAGTGACATCCAGTCCCTTGAGTACACCATAGTGGTTATACAGCAGCTCCCAGATGGGTCTGATGTCCCCGCGGCTGGAATTGCTGATAACTGTCTGGTTGACGTCGTCGCTGTTGTTGTAGGTCGTGTAGGGAACGTCGTTGCCGAGGTTGTATTTGGCGACGTATTCCGCTCTTGAGATTGGTTAGTTCTCTATATTTTTAATATGTTCCATATTGAGAGGTTCGGGGATAAGGGTAACTATAGGGAAAGTGTAATGATCAAGTATAAGAATGGGAGGTAACTCACCCAGCCAGAATGCGATTATCCAGATATTCAAACAGGTCCGTTCCCTGATTGTATGCCGTCTGGGCGATAGGGCCAAGCAGGGCGAAATCCAACATCGAGTGGCCCTGATCCCGCCCGGCCTCCTGGCCCTGACCCAAGGACTCCCCATCGACCTGATACAGCTTCCAGATCGCCTTTTCAATCTGGCCATTCCCAGCTCCGGATTTGAAATAAGTCAACCCCTCATCGAACATGGTTTCGTTATCGGTCAACACCCCAATGGACAGAACCGAGGCGATATTACACAAATCCCAATTCGCCCAGTAATGATCAACAGCCGCGCCATGATGATTCTGCAGGAAATCATGATTAAGGGGATAGAACACATCGACCATCATATCCGCAAAGCGGGTCAGATTCGCACTGGGCCATGCGGAATACGTGCGCATGATCTCGGCAACATTGGCGAATTCGTACCCGTAGATGCCTGCAGCGAGGTACATGTCTGTTGTGCCGGAGATTTCGGTTAGGGTGGAGCTCCATTCATCGAGGATCTTCACGACCACGTCGGCGTAGCTCGTGTTGCCGGTCACTTTCCAGTAGATGGCCATGGCGTAGGCGGCTGCGATGTCTTTGTACAAGGAGGGATAGTTCTCTGTGTGGGTGCCGTCTGCGCCGCGATAGACGATTGTCTTTGGGGATGGCGTGTAGTCTAGGTTGATGTTGGAGCTGTTGGTGAGTTTGTACCAGCCTGTTAGCCATGGTTCGGTGTTGCTGGATACTTTTGAGGCAATGCGTGAAAAATCTGTGGCCGTGTGGAGGAGGCCTGGATGGATGAATGAGGCAGTGTCACGGTTGGAGACTCGGGATGATTCTCCATGGCGAGCGGTTGATGCTACCGCCAACGAGGAGAACACTACCGGTAGTGTTAATCTCATACTTAGGAACTCGATTAAGATGCAATGTTTATCTCTGCTTCTGTGACATTCTCTAGTTGTTAAGGGTCCTTGGTCGGGATTGCTTTTAATATATCAAGGCCCGGTCAATTGGCCGGCAGATTAGCCGACATGTCTGATGTTCGTTGAGTTAGGGAAATTAAGATCGACCCTGCGGGTTTGCCGCTTGTAGTTCAAACGGACCGGTAGATGGACCGGCACACAATACATATCGAACAGATACTATCGAATAGGAGGTTCAGGGTCCATCCATCATCTATGTGTGACAGACACTGTGGAGAACAGGACGTAAGCAAGCGGAGGAAGGATCGGCTTCGGCCCCTGAGTACAAACCCGGGGCTGGGTCCGTTACTTGACCCGGCCGTTGGCCGACATTTCCTCCGATCTATCTATCCTCACAGGATTACACTGTCAGGGTGATAATGCTTTGCAACTTAGTGGATATAGTTTAGCCAAAGACATTTCTTCCGTTCATCTAATCTGATCTGCTATAAATAGATCAATGAATTCCTGTTTCCTTCACCTCCAAATCAACCGCCCCCTTCTCGTCTACGACGGGGCGTTGATCCACCTCCAATTCCCTTTCGCCTGTCGGTTCCATATCATGATTCCTCACAACGATCCATGTCGGAATAACACACAGTCCTAGAAATTGAAAGTTAGTAAATCTTCGAGATTCAAGTATTCGACCCAACTTACCCAGAAGAATAGTATTCACCGCCATGGGCACCCGTCCACCATACCAATCCCTTGTATTCAGCCCATAAGAAACTGCCTCACCAAAACTCTCCTGCCCGCGCAACACACCCGTCAACCTGGTCAACTCGGCGATATTATCCGTCATGCTTCCCACCAAATAATACAACCAATTCTGGCCTGTCTGCTGAGCAAAGGTCCACATGAAGAGGACAAACGCGCCCTTGGTGAACCCAGGACTCGTATAATCCATCGTCCCCAAATCAGGGTTCTTTTTATGGGCGGATGTATATTGCTCCTGCACGACCCAGCCAAGAATATACGCCGTCACATGCACAATGATCACCCAGTACCAGCCGTACGTGAGACGTTTCTTAGCGTCGACACGCTTCCAATCCAGCCAGTGAGAGATGATCTGCGAAGCGAGAATCGTAACCCAGTCGGAGAGGAACGCGATAAGCGCACGAGCTCGCACTCCAAAGTAATACGTTTCGAAGTTACCCGAGTATTCATTGAAGTAGACAGCCCAGAAGATTGGGAGCAGAAGGATGACGGTGCGGTTTTTGCATGTTTTCCAGAGTGCTTGAAATTCTGCCTTCCAGGAGTCCTCGACCCGAAGGATGACTGGAGAGCCATCGGCGCGTTGGACTTTGTCGGGCGGGGTGAGAAGTAACGCAACGGGGACAGCCAGACATTGTAGAACGATGAAGACAATGTAGGTAGAGTATCCCACACTTCCTTTGTCCTGGTTCTTGATGTTGAGGGCTAGGACAATCGAGTTCCCGATAATGGGTCCGAGGGTGCGCCACCATACCCAGATGTTGAGGTATCGGGCTCGTTTCGATGGCTCTGGGTATCCAATGGCGATGGCGCCTTCACTGGCCCAGAAGAGTCCTGCGGAGATGCCGCATGCGACGGCACCGACCAGAACAAGCCAGACGTTGCCGAACCGGTTGTTGGTGTAGAGACCGGCTGCGTAGACGGGGTAGCCGGCGGCGCCGAGGAGAAGGGCCCATTTCAGTCCGATGCGGTTGGCAATGGGCGCGCCGAAGATGCAGAAAATTCCCATCAGCCCGAAAACCAGTGCATTGGCAGCATTCACCAGAAAGGGCTTCTCCTCGCCTCCGGCTCCGAGGGAATTCATGGCGTTCCATAGCCCGGGGGCGAGGAAGCCAACAGCGCCGATCACGCAAGCATTGAAGAGTGAAGTGCGGTACCACACTCGTTTGAGTGGCGCTTTGGCGCCACTTCCAATCTCAGCGTCAGCCATAGTAAACTGAGACAATTGCTGAGTTTAATGATGGGGTTGTTCGGAGACACGTTAAGGCGAGAGGTAGAAGAAAAGACGGCGGCTCGCGAAGGTTATGTACGGCCTGCAAGAACACGCCATTTTCTTAAGCCAGAAATTTTTCTTAAGCGAAGCGACCATAGTCTGTTGTATGTTGCGCTATATTAGGTCATAGAAATGCCGTGATGCATGAGAACGTTCGCAAAGAAGGAATAAAAGTGCGGCCAGAACCGCTGAAAGATGGCTTTCGCAAGCGGCAGAGTCGATGACGAGATTGGAGCTAGTCTCAATCACCAATGGGAAGGCCCCAGCATTGGAGCACGACGAGTTAGTCATTTTATCGTCAAAACGTTGAGATATTGCCATGATTGTAAGACTGATATTGGACAGCAAAACTTCGAAACAACCTTTATCGTGAATGACACTCATTGCCCACGGTTGGCGCTGGAAATTACTTTCGGCCAGTCCCGATGCGGGGGGAAAGCCAAATTTCGGATGCCGTCAGTTAAAGTTATCAGATAATGAGATTGCAAAACCTTTTGAAGAATCATCAATATTCTTCTAATGTTTTTTTATGTTCCTATCAAAAGATCTATTGAATCTAAATTTGGCTTAGATAATTTCTTTCTATTTTTATCCAATGTCATATTTTCTACTAACAGCTGCTAAATCTAATGCTAATATTCTAGTTATATATTACAACCCAAATGTCAAAGGATCACTGGGAAGATTGGTAAATGCCTGTGTCAACGCGAAATAAGTTATATGAGCAAGCGTCGACAACAGAGGATATGATAGGAAACTCACCCAAGAGTCCAACTGTGTCCACCACACTGATCCCTCCAAGTTCTCAATGAATCCGATATCACTGTCAGGTTCAAACGACTGTGCTGCGAGATCAGCCGCCGGTTGCAGACTACCCGAATAAGCCACAGGACTATTCAGTGAAATAGGGGAATAGATGTTGTTGAGACCGATCTGCTGCGCTTCCATTGGTAGTTCATCCCGACGTGTGGCAGGTTTGAGCCGCTGTTGCTCAGACGAATCAACCAAGCAGTCGGCGTCCGGCCCAATCTGTTGGTGAACTTCCTTTCGTAACTCTTCTAGGATAATGCTGTAGCGGCGGCTCGGGCAGTTCTTACGCGTAGCCTCTGCCAAGTGTTGTTGGCACGTCTCCGCCAATCTGAAGAGAGAGCTCAGAGAGACGTCTCCGGTGCCTGGAGATGAAGTCCTTGGGTTGGTTTCGCGGTGTTGTTGGATGATATAGATATAAACCACTGTGATTGCGCAGAAACACACGTAGTGCGTGAACCAGAACGAATGGATCAAAATGCTCTGTTTGGCCAGGCCGTCTACCAGTTCCATGACCTCTTGAGCGGCTTCCACACATTTGTGTACGAGATTGGACGCTACGGGATGCGGGGTTGACGGCCTACGTCTCAGATCTGACATGTCGTTCAGCAGAAACGATCTGGTCGCATGGATGACCGCGTGCGAGTAAGCCAGTTGTAACACCTGGCTCTGCCTACAAAGAGGGGGGATGAGGCTGGTTGCGCGCACTCCGTTGAAAAGTGGCGGGGCTGTCGCTTTCCATTCCTCTAATCGGGACGTGAGCCGGGCAGCCGTCTCAAGTGGTGGACTCCGAGACGATGGATTCACCGTGTAGAGCTGTCGAGAGATATCGCCCAGAATGCGACCAAGTCTGTGCTGTCAGTATCGGCAAATAGACAGGAAGATTGCACGCACTTGAAATGTAGGATGGACGCAATCATCATGCAATCGGCGGACCCAGTGCGTCTTTCCGGGTCCTCCTGCAGCATGTCTTCATCATTGATTTCATCCGGGAGGTCTTGATCGATGTCTTCATCGTGTAATAAACGCGGCCTCCCGAACATTACGCTGAGATACCTGTCCAACATATATGCGCTCCAGAGAAGACGCTTGCGGAGCTCTCGATCCAGATAGGTATTTCCACACTTGGGTAGCCTACCTGGGAACTTTCGATGCAGGCCCAGGGCCGTTACGAGCTGAAGAGCAGTGCCAAATGAATACCAGCATTCATTTGCTCTAGAAGTAGACAGCAAGTAAAGGCACTGACCTAGCCTAGCCTGCACGGTCTCTAGTCGTGGGGGCCCCGATTCCAGGGAGGTCATGTATTTGGAGGCTGCATACCACTGCTCGCTGAGATGGCTCAGTATAAAAGACCTGAAAGACATGGCAGTCAGTAACTTACCTTCTACACCACCCATCAACCGAACGGTCCGGTTTTTGCTCCTCATAGAGCGTGCCAACAGCAAAAATCATGAGGATGATGGCCGTCCGCACTACCATGGGACCCGTTGGAGGGTTTGCAGAGGAGACGTTGTTTAGGTACACCTGGCAGAGCCACTCTTCTACAATTCCCCGATGAAGAAATCGATATGTCACCATCGAAAAGTCAAAGTAGATGCTCACCAGCTCTTGCGCTTTATCAAACGGGGGAAGTGAGAAAGTAACCTCGCGGTAGTCTGAGTATGGCTTGTCACCAAACATGAACACCGAGGTGTTCCTGGGGGAGGACTCATTCTCCAGGCCATCTGGAATGGCATGTACTTCATCCTGATGTAGGCGACGCCATACTCGGTTGAGAAAGGAGACTCCCGAGGCCGGTCCTAGATAATTGCCTTCGAAGTCGGTCACCGCTGGGTCAGGGGAATTGCGCTGAGAGACCTCATTTCGAGCTTGAGGTTGCTGAGGCGAAACGACAGGTACTCTAGGAGACCGTCGCGCGGATGATGAGCGTCGGTGTCCCAGGCCTCCGTCTGTTTGGGGGCCTCTCTTGGCACCGGGACTGTATGCGTGGCCGTCCGCTATTGACGGCGGTGCGGGGAGAGGCTCTGGTGGCAACCCCCGGGAGTAAGCGGCGTTATATTGGCAGGGCAGATCCAGTCGCATGCACCTGACACATGGAAGCGTTCCCGTACAGCGCGTCTTCTTCTCTTTGCAGTGATCGCAGGCGCGCGTGATCTTCTGACGCGGTCCATTGGAGGGTTTGACTGGGGAATTCGACACCCTTCTTGGGCGTTTTGCAGGGATCGAGTCATCCGTGTCAGAGGGGCGACGCCGAGGATTAATCAGGGTATCTGGGGACAATGCACTGTCCCCTCTTGCTGCCAGCCCTGCGGCCATGGATCCAATGACTCGGGAGTTTCTGGTGGACTCTGCTGTTGAGACATGAACGGTGGATAAGGCTGGATATTTTTCCGCGAAAGGAGGAACGAGGAAACGGAGGGACCGAGCAAGACAAGCTGGCCCCAGATTTCAAGGGCGGAGAGACGTGCAGCAAGCATCGGCGGGGGAAAATTTTCCGGGGAAGCGAGAAATCAAGAGAGGGAGAGAGACAGAGATAAGAAACGAGATGAGGGGACAATGCGGGGGCCGAGCCGAACCATCGGAGTTTCGCCGCGGACTCCTTCCCGAAGCTCATTCTGCTATAAGATCATCTGTTAGCTGATGTCTGCCACGATATAGATAGTAATGGCAGTGAGGTCTAGTGCTAGGAACACTATATATGTCTAGTACGAGAAGAGAGATGACATTGCAGCAAGAGAAAAGATCGCTGCATTGTACCTCTCGTCGGCTTGTATCACATAATCACGTGATTTGATGACACTCGCCCCTCGATCCGATCGCTGTAACATGGCGAAATACCGAATCCTTCACTGAAGCAGCAGCTATTACTCAGTCTCCGATACTCTCAAAGTATCGAGCTCTGTATTCCACAGGAAGGACATGTAAGGGGGGAGAAGATTAGGGAAGGAAAGCCAGCCGCCAAACGGGGGCGGGTAAATTTCCCCTTGGCACGACCGCCAAAACAGTAACACCGGCTTTAATTCAACCTCACTTCTAGAGACAAAATTTGCATCAATGCCATTAGCAAGCCATAAATCCACTCAATCCCCAAAAATGGAGCAACGAGATAAGGAATCACATAATGGAGGAAGTGGCAAGGCCCCAGAAACCAAACAATTCCAGCATTCGTGGCCTGAGGTGTGTGAACCATTCCCGTGCTCGGCGTACCTACTATAGACATCTGCATGTATCACGCCTCACCATTCTCTTGTTCTGAACGGCGATGCTACGATTTATCTATGCAGGAACACTGTAGATGGCTTACACTGTCTATCATCAATATCAGATCTCTAAACAACATGATAACATGCTGTCGTCGCATCTGGAAATGCTGCACCAGGTGAAGAGTCAACTCCACTCACACGGAGAGGAACTGCAATTGGTGTCCAGCATGGTTGATAAGACTAAGAGATTGATTGCTCAGTTTGATATTCTTAAGAAGCGAGTGGTAGGTCGTAGCTACTTCGTTCTTTCTTATTTCTGTTCATGTTGTGGTTAACCATTCTGGCAGGTGCCAAGTGAGTTTTTCTAAAGCTCCTCTGACGGGTATAGTACGGAAATACAGCCTAGTACAAAGAATAGTAACCACCAGTATAGAGCTCAATACAGCAGCTCCAGAGTCGGACACTCGTTCGTCGGAATCCATGTCGACGTCAAGCAGTCGAAAGGACCTGAAAAAAGAACAACTTAAACGTCATGCACACCACATGCATGACTCGGAAGAAGACGGAGGGACAACAGCAGCGGAAGACCACGATCCCCTAACTGCAAGGTCTTTAGCTGTGCACTCTAGCAAACGAAAGCGTATCGACGAGTTTATTCCAGGAGCCGATGAAGACATAAGGCGCTTCTCCCCCGTGTCAGTGGAGACCGAGGATATCTCAGAAGAGGTACAGCGAAGATTAAGGATCAAGGAGGAACAACGCAAAAGGCGGGGCACCTCGAAAGCGGACAAACGCAAGAGGGACAGTCTGACATCTAACGGAAGTACATCTTCGGTCAGAACCGCGACGAAACATCCTAGGAAGAAGGCTAGAGTTGGGACAAAGTGGAATCGTTAGCCGGTGATAAGTCCGGATCTATAACCCCAGGTTACCCCAGACTTACCCCAGACTTACCCGTACACTTTTCATCTGATGTTCTGAGACACAGCGGGGTGAGTCTAGCCCCTATGAATGGGCAAAGGCCAGGCAGGTCGAAATTGGCAAGCAGGGGTCAACACATTTTTCAAACCTTCTTTTGACACATCCAGCCATTTGACCATACTATTGGCTAGCCCTATGTACTTCATGTAACCTTATTGTTAGCGGAGGGGATAATAATAGCACGTTCCTGAGTGACAGCTTGGTCGAATCCATGGTAGACTCCTCGTCATTTTCTATTATAGGCATCTATACTTCGCTCTATTGTAATCCTGAACTCAAGTATACAAAGTTTTCAGAAGATTCTGGGGGTATAAAGAGAGCCCCCCAGTTCCCAGGGCCATTCTGAAATCTTTCTCTCTTCATCCCCGATGCAAAACGTGAAGGGATCAAATCTGCTTTAACTGTTCTGCGTTGCTTTTAACAAATACCTATACTACAAACTCCGAAATCACCTCCATACTCTAGAGATACGAAAACCATCTCTACAAATCTGCTTTTATTGTTCTCCTATACTCAAAGCACCGACATTTACCCTCTACTCTTCGAGAGATCCGTACAAATCTCTCCTAAAACCTATACTCATACATCAACCGTCCACCTCATACTCCTCGAGAGACCCGTAAACGTCTCTCCATATATCTCTACCCACCTCTACTATCTCTACCTATCAAACTCACCTATCTCTCTCTATCCTCCTCTCTAAACCAGTCATCATGGCTGCTCCTCCCGCCTCCAACTTCTTCTACCACACCCGTGCCCGCAATCAAAAGGGCCAACTCCCTCCTCGTCCATTCAGACCCAATGGACCAAAGCCATCGCCACCATTCAACCGTACCAACAACACCTCCTCCAACGCTCCTCATCATCAGAGGCAGCCAAACCACCCTCCAAACCAACCATACAACCATCAAAGTGGGCCATCCAACCCACGGTCCCAGAGACCATCCGGCAACCCTCACTACAAATCCAACTCTGGCATCTCCAAGCCAGCACCCCGAAAACCATATCGTGACTCCGATGGAGATATCTCCATGACCGACGTATTTGTCAAGTCTCAACCTCAAAAGAGACAACCAACCAATCCTCCTCCAACCAAGAACAATCCGAACACTGGCCGTAAAGCCAACACCGACAACATCAACACACCTCATCAATATCGACGCGGCACACTCAATAAGTCCGCCCCTAAGAGACCATTCTCTAAAGACTTCGACGGGGATACACCCATGTTCGACATCCTCGACATGGCCCCCACCCCGACAAACCTCCCTGTTACCCAACCGATCCAGCTACCATGCTACCCAGTAATCTACCCTTCCGTCGACTTCGACGGTGACTCTATGATGCTCGAAGCCTTCTAAGGCAGTAAGTACCTACCTCCTACCCTCACCTAACCCACCTACATACATACTAACCTCCACAGGCATCCCCAACCACCAAGTCAAAAGGACACCAAGTGGAGGAAACAAAGAAAACAAGGGCTTCTCTTCATTCATGTATAACATGAATCTATTCTATTTATCTGTGGGGACGTACAAGAACCAGCATGTTATAACCGAGGGGGCGAACTCAAGGCCCAAGTGGAGGATATCTAAGAAACTTTGGGGATCAATCTTCCTGTATTTTCTCTTTTATCTCTTTTTCCTTCTTATCTTTCTTTGGGACGATTCAGCGAAGCATGTTATCATTTCCTTAATGTCTATTGTCATGTATGGCGTCGTGCCACCCCGGTCCAGGTTTTCTTCCCAGACACTGAAGACTAAAGACGGTGATGGGTGTTTTCCCTGGATTCCGCCTATCAGGTTTGCCCGAATGGGGGGGTTGTCTTAGCCTTCTAGTTTTGAACTGAGTTAGAGATAATCTACAAAGGTCTCACTCGCAGTTCGGTTTCTTGTAGGTGTGTGTAGTTAACTACTATTTGTTTGATCTAGATGGTAATGTAGATGTAGCGAGGGCAATAAAGTGTCAGGTGATTTGTCTGTCTTCGATGGGATCCAGCTACGGGATACTATAGCTTTGACAGTAGCAAGTTAATTGACTCCATAGGAGAGTAATGTGATTTCGTAGAATCATCATAGACCATGGTAAGGTATTTGGATTGCTATAGTAGAGTAGCTCTTTTGTTCAGTTGACCCAATCATGGTCATCACCTAATTACTGCTATGTACCTATAAACAGCACAACATCTCCAAACACCTTATTTCGCTCGCTTCAATACATACAAAACAAACAAGAAAAACGTTATAGAACACGTGGAACCCCTTGCTTATCCCAAAACCATCCCTTACACTTCGACCGCGCCGGGCGAAATAGCAAGGATCACAACAAAAGCAGTAACAATCAGAGCAGCAGCCACAAATGCTGTCAAAGCAACACTACCACGGCTGGCTGGAAACTTGCCCCGAATTATCCAATACTGACTCTCGAAGTAGCGATGGAATCCAACCAGTAGGATCAAAATTGCAACTCCAATGAAAGTAGTCCCTAACGGCTTACCGATGCTCCGAAGGCGCGACGAGGCAGATGTTACCCCTATAGCGGGATCATACGCAGCGGATGACAAAAGGGGAGACATATGAGCCGACATGTTGGCGCTGTTTGCGTTGGACCCAGCACTATTCAGACGGAATAACTGGGTTACCGCAATGCCAATCGACGCAAAGGCTAGCGATGTCCGCAGCCATGCCAGAAAGGTTCGTTCTAGAGGAATCCAAGGGGATCCGGTTAGCTGGGTCGTATACGGACGAGGGAAGAAAAAAGCAAAAAAAGCAACAGCAGGCGAAACATACCCAAAGCAAGATGGTCCCGGGCCACGCTGCCTTTATTCTCTAATTCCAAACTTCCATATTTCTCCGCCAGCCGGCTATACCACGAGCCGCGCGGTTCTTCCGAATCACACTGGGAGTTCTGCTGACCGGGATCCCGTGAGACCGTGTTGTTGTTTGTTGATCCTGAGTCCCTGTTCCGTAGACCGTCGGTCGAATGATAGTTGCGCCGGGATGTGTCAGAGTTGCTCACGATGGGGGTGACCTCGTTGACTGGTTGCGATTGGCCCTGGTCAGGCACGGTGACCGTTTCGAAGGCAGCCATGCGGTGTGGCTCACGATGAGACGAATGGGATGAAGATCGTTGCGTGGGAGATAAGACGTTGGCCTGTCTGGCGTACGGCGCGGTCAAATCAGAGGATTCCATGATGGCGTGCTCGCGGGATCGCAGGGTTTATTACACTAGATAGATGCTAGGGCGGGAGTCTGGATCTTTTCCTCAAATGGATCAGGTGGATAGCTAGAAAGCGGATGGCCCCAGCTGCTGAGCGGTGGAGTTACGCTGATCGGATCTGGTGTAAGATCAAACCATCGAACTCATTAATGAAGACAAAGGAAGGAGAGAGATCCAGAGGGACTGTCTTCAGCTCGTCCCCTCCTCTCAGTGTGTGTGTGGCATGGAGCAGACTAGCCCGACGAGAAAAAATTAAAATAGATTTGTTTGCTCTTTTCCTTCGAACAGCCATCACGCGCTCCAATCCAGAAGGAGTATAGCGAGTGGTGTCGGACATGCAGCTAGTCTCGCCGGTGATCACATGGAGCGATCGCACTACGCCTTGCTGGGCCATGGCGTCATACCCTGTGCGCCGCGGGTAAGCGGTCAGTCTGATTGATGCCTCAGGCTAGCAACATACGAGAAGTAACTAGTATGTAAAAAGGGCTATCAACATCGGCCGTACACACTGGAGACCTGCAGCAAAATTGCATTGAAGAAGAAAACGATCTATGAACCATGCTCCTACGCATCAACATCCAGCACCCTCCCCGCTTCCCTTCTCCCCAGCCACTGCGGCTCATTCCGAGCGGGCTGCAACGCCAACCCATGCTCCATGCCCACATATTTATTGCACCATCCAATCACATTCTGATACCAGACCAAACTATTCTCCCTGCCCAGGACCCAATGGTTCTCGTCAGGAAAGTTCAAAAACCGCGTATCGATCCCTTTCATCCGACAAACGGTATAAGCGGCCCATGCGGCCGTAATAGGGCACCGGAAATCTCGATCCGAATGGATCAGAAGTAGTGGCGTCGACCAATTAGTGAGATACTCCGCTGGGTTATACCGTCGCCAGATCTCCTTTACGCTGGGATCGTCACGGGCAGCATCCGGAGCATTCGAGAAGTACGGCGAACCGAAGGAGCGCGTGAGCTCTTGCACTTGACCCAGATCATCACTCAGAAGCTCGGAAACAACGTCGAAGATGCCGTCGTGGCTGACCAGAGCTTTGAGCCGCTTGGCGAGAGGCTGTCCTTCCAAGAATAGTGCCAGGTATCCCCCGTAGCTTCCGCCCGCGGCTACAGCTCTATCAACATCGCACTTGGTCGACAGATTTTGTTCGATCCAGTTGAAACAGCGCTCGATATCATGGTAAGGGTGTCCTCCCCACTGCAGTGCGACTGCTCGTGCAAATTCGCCTCCGAACGAGTCGGATCCCGTAAAGTTGGGGACTGCGACGATGTACCCTTGTTCCGCTAGGAGGGCCGTATTCCAGCGCCAGGTCCAGGCGTCCATGCTAGCGGAGCTGGGCCCGCCGTGCATAAAAATGAACAGAGGATGCTTCTCTTCTGAGGTGACGTCGTACCACGATGGCTTCACAATCCAGCATTGGACTGGAGTCTTGCCATCCGGTCCACCAGGGAATGTTATCGATTCAATTTGCTTGTCCGAAATACCGAAATAGGCTCCGTGAGAGGAGGATGAGTGGATGACCCGGCTGGTCTGAGACTGAGAATCATTGTCTACAGGAGGAGTCACGATTGTGAAAAATCCCTGATCTGTAAATGACGAAGAGGTGGCCAGTAACCGATTCTCCGAGGAACTCCGGCCCAGCTGATACAGTGATGAGACGGAGCCAGGGATCTGCAAAGCCACTGGTTCCACACTCTGTGTTCTGTCTTGAACAATAGTAGTTGGGAGAGTAACTTGGAACACACAAGCTTTTGCTTGATGGTTTGCAGTCAGATACAAAGATGCACCGTCGTTTGCCCACAGAATGTCGTCTGGAAAGACATCCCAGTTCTGGCTTTGACCGAATGAACTGACTGTTCGAAGAATTGAGACAATACTCAATGTCTCTGTGTTTAGCAAGACAATACTCTTGTGCGACCACTCCTCGTTATTCTGATCAACTAGAAAAGCGACCACGGGGTCCCGAGGCGCAAATCTCGGGGTTGCTACGATATCCGCATGATCGGGAACCTTTATCTTCTTCAGTGCAGGTAACTCGGTCTCCTCAAAGGTTGACAATGGAAGAAAATATAAGGAACTCTGCGATTTTCTCCATTCTGTGTCCCCTGGCTCTGTTGTTGCAAAGGCAATCCCATAAGACGAGATGTCGAGATCCGGGGAGCTTTGCGAGTTGGAGTAAAAGGGTACTACTAGGCCTGTTCCTCGTAGAGCATTGACAGGGCCCTTAGTAGAAAGATGCCATTGCTTAGAAGCCAGGTCAAGCTTCAGAACTGTATACCAAATAACCGATCTATATTGGTCAACGTACGTGTCCCATCTTTTGGGTCGACTATGAGTCCATTCCCGGGCGGTCGTATGAGCCTTTTCTGCTTTGAGGGTGTTGTGCAGATTTTGTTCGGCATCTGCGGGTGCTGTGAAGACCAGTGCAATGTCACCGTTGTCCAAGGCTTTGGTCTTTAAATTCCCTGGCTTAGCATCGATAGTACCCGCCAAATATGGTCTGATACTGGTATTAGAAGTATCAATTTCATCATGGACAAGGCAATCATACCTGGTCTTGTGATACGCATCGCCAATCCATAACTCGGTGTTGTTTTTGCCTTCTCTTTGCCAAAGAAGCGACGTACCAGACAGCCAGCAAAACGAAGACTCCTTGGGATCATTGGTGTACCGGGTAGACTCTCCGGTTTCTAAGTTGAGCAGCTTGGCCTCAGAGAAATCTGCGTGTGTGTCGAGGTCGTATGTTGAGACAGTATAGAGCGCTACTTTCCCCTCATCGTTCGGTACTGCTGCTGATGGTCTTGGAGCAGTGATCAATAATCTATCAAAAAAGTGGTTAGCGATTAGTACTTCCAGTCATTGTTCGAGATAACTAAAGGGGATACATACTCAGGAGTGAACTTTGAATGTCCCGACATTGTGAAAGATGACGATGGTAATGATAGCGCTGATGGACAATTCCAACTGCACAAGAGGGATGAGAGTGAAATGGTGACAACTGCAATAACCAAATGAGGGGAACCCCCTCTTTCAATAGTTCGATAACGGCCGGAGCTCCGATGGTGATTAACTCGAGAGCGCGGAGAGACTAACCCACACGAGTTAGGAAACTATAGGTGAAGGATGCGAAGGATTCAGGAAGTAGGCATCGCTTACTGGAATGGAAGCAGGGTGCTTCCAATCAATTAGTTGTATGGATACATGAGGTTTCTGACGATGCACCGTCCACCTAACTATTTGTCCTCAGGCCTCTTCTTCGCCTTCTGGCGTGAACACATAATTACATTATGTATTGTTAAAACATTAGGATTAATCCAACTAAAATATACCCATTTCATTAATTGTCTATGACTAAAACGCCTAAGGTATTTTAGAGCATGCCTGGACCCTTGGTGAAAGACAACTTGATTATCCCGTCATCCTTAGTGTCGCTGTCACCTTTCTTACTGTCATCTCCAGAATGGCGTGCTCTGTTATCAAAATCACCACAAAAAGACAAGTTTGATTCCTTCTGTTTGATAGATATTGGCCCATTGATGCCTCTGAACTTCATAGGTCTAGTGTAGCTCGGGAAATTTCAAAATAATAAGAGAAGACGGTATGCATAGTGAGAGATAGGTACGATGCAATAGCTGATGAGACTGCTACACGAATTCCACGGATCTCTGTGATCTAGCGTATAGTAACTTTCGCTTCAATTTCTTTTACTAAATTAGAAAAATCGGTGATGGCTATTATTATATTGATGAAGAAAGCAACATGCAACGCACAAAACGCTGTACAACTATGAGGATGTAGTACTGCAGGCATAAGAACATGAACATGCTATTTGGCGAGACGCATCGCCTTGTGAAACGGAAGTTCCCTTGTATCAGCTATGATAAATTCACGAGGTCTAACTATGCTACATTTAATCGGACATCAACCACTCCGGAATGGCATCATCGTCTTCCGGGTCTTGCGATAATAAAGAAGCCTCTTCGTCGCTGTGCGTTTCTTGGCTGGTGATGCCAGGGGTTGGGGAGCGCGAATCAGCTGCTTGTACAGCGATCTGGGGATGTGCAGAGCTCGGAATTGTCGTAGTAGATCTGAGGATCGCTACCTCTGAGTTCTGAGGAGCAATCTGCGGTGTGATATGCCCCAAGTCCTCTTTCGTCCTGTCTGGCAACAAGCCTGAATCCTTACCCATGAAGCTTTGAATCGGGGCTGCCTGACCTGCAGGTTCAAACTTTGAAGTGACGACCAGATCATATCGAGGAAGTACTGAGCTATTCCTTTGCAATCTTGTGATGTTGCTGCTTTGCTGAGGCGAAGACACCTGATCGGCGCTTTCTTCAGGAATGAAACCCCCACCGAGCATATCCGTCTCTGTAGTCGAGAGAGACATGTCTCTGCCTGTAGGTCCTGAAGGTCCCCCTTGAGGGGGACCAATCCAGTCCATCACAGCAGCTGAACTGTTGGCCTCTTGCTCCGGCTCCGGAATAAAACCGCCGCCGAACTCTTCTGGGTCCTCCACGTTTCCGTTTGTCTCCGGCTCGTCTGCATCTCGCTCACCTTCTACAACATAGCCTTTGACTCTCTCTGCAATGCGCAGTTTCAGCATTAAGTGCTTCCAAGCCTGCAGTGTTTCGGCAGACTTCCTATCTAACTCGGCCTGTAACTTCTCTCCTTCCAGACCATTCAGCACTTCTTCAAGTGCCTCCCGATACTCAGTGGCAACAACAACTCCCTGCAGTATCGCGGTCCCATGGCGCCCCTTGAAGCTGAAACCAGTGACAGCATCCGCATAGTCAATAGCAAGAATCTTGGCAGCTTGACGAGCATCTGGATGAGCGATATGGACACCGCCTGGAGGTACCATGCTAGGTACATAGACATCCAGATTCCCATACATATTCTTGGGTATTCTCCCTCCAACTACTGGCGGGGGCTGATACACTTGTGTCTGATAATAAGCGTACAGAGGTGTTTCGGAGATGGAGTCATCCTCCTCGTCACTGAGCCTCCCCATCTGCGGCCTCCTTGATGTGACACGCTTCAATGGTTGTTCACCTGGCTTGATGTCTCGTCCCAGGCGATACCAGCGATCTGCACTACGTAGAGTATGCACATCTGATCGGCGATATACGGGCTCCAATACTTGATTATTTGACCCTGATTTACCAAGGCTCACCTGCCCAATCACCCGTTTGGGAAAGACAACCTCATTCCGCCGAAGATGCCTCTCAAGAGCATAGACAGGATGGTCCTTGAAGTCTTGGATATTCCGGGGCATAGGCTCTGCGGCTGTCTTGGCAGTCAGCTCGCTGATCTCCAGTTGGTCCCGATCTTCCAAGAATGGCTTCTCATAAAAGCGCAGCACTTTATTCCACCAATTGACATGATTACCAATGGAATCCACACGGTGTTTGTGGGTTTTTGCGTTGAAAGCCTTCGCATAGCGCCTAGTGACATCTCTAACAGAAGCATCATCCTCAAAGGCTACCACGTAGCTCAGAAGATTGTAAGGATCGTTTGCTGGAGGCTCGAATTTAGAAGGCTTTGCCATAGACTTGGTAACCAAAGCATCGACAGGTATCCATTTATTAACTGCTTCGTTAAAGGCTTCAATCCAGAATATGGGATGTGATGATTCACGGATAGGCCGGGGAGAACCTTCGGTATGCTCAGCTTCATGCTAGCATTGACAATAGGTGCCGAACTTACTTTGGTTAGGAGTTCCAGGGCGCCTGACTGGTGTGAAGCGTGGTCGAGCTAGCCTTTTCACAGTCGAACGTTGTGACATCTGCGATTCTCCAGCAGTTGGTTGGGTAACAATTTCTGAAGATTTGGACACCGGAGCAGGTGGTGCCGCGTCCTTAAATTTGTCCCGAAATGATAATGGCTGCAGTGAGCAGACAAGTCTTGCTTCAACGCCCACGGACCGTAACAAAGCACAGAATAACTGGGCGCCAAAGTCACGAGAACCTTGCATTGTTCGTGCTTGTTTGATGAAGTCCTTCCTTGAGAGGAAGACCTCGGCATCACTTATTATGGATTCCTGAAAAGTAGTTAGATACTTCTGAGACATATACAACACCGAAGTTAGTTATATTACCACTCGTTGTCTGACGCCATCAGGATCGTCTATCCACGAAGGTCGTTTCAGCCCTGGCTTGGTTACCTTAAACCTTCTATTGAATATATCACTAGCTTGGTTCAGTCCGTCAACGAAGGTTGTTGACCTGATTTGTTGTGGCCTGTTCTCGGACGGATGCAACAGTGAGATGATATTTTTCGGCAATGTCCGTTTGAGAAAGCCCTGTATAACGAGAAGAAAGTCAGGAAAAGATTAGTTCCCTATCTATTGTGGTGTATTCAGTCTCCTTTCCATTTGCTGCTTTCCCGCATGTTCTCTTTTAGATACTCCATGTATGCCTATTTACCAGATAGAGGTGGCTGAATCGGAATCGGACGTACCTGTAATTCCTCATCATTGCACCAAAGATTGCGTATCTGCACATGGCGTAGAAGGCAAAGTAGATGAACTTTATGGATGCTTAACCTCAACTGCTTTTCAGCAGTGGTGATCCCCCTTCGCTTAGCAACTACCTTGCGCTTCTGATCCTCGGGCCGACCCAGTGTGACCTGAATCGAGGTATCATCCGCTTGACTAGTCTGCGGAGCTTGCTGAATATCAACCTCTTCCCACTCCATACCTGATTCTTCGGATGATGATGGCGAATCATACACCGTTTGCACAGGTTGAACTGTAGAATGGCTGGCTTCTGAGGTGATAGCAGCATCTTGATGTACAAGCTGGGAGTCAGATACAGGATTGGGACGGGTAATCCTCCTTCTTTTGGGTGGTTGGCTATCATCTGGCCTGGTGGTCTCTCTGAGTTCAGCCTCAGCCAGCATTTCTCGGTAGACCGCTGGAATTTCATGATCCTGGTCTTCGCGCTGCCGCCGAGAATGGTTCGAAGCAGCTCCCGCTCTTCTGGAGCGAGTAGTGGGCCCACGACTCGCCATCATAGAATGTTAGACACAAAACAACACCTTTCACCTTCAGAATATGCCTCAAACATTCTACCGTACTGGCCTCGAATCGTCGCTTGAGTTCTCACTCGGCAGGTGCATTGATGACGCTTATCCAGGCACGTGACATCATGGTTCACCCTGTTTGCCCAGCGCCGGACCGTGCATTGTTCCGCGCCCTGCGGCTGAAAGCGGGGAGGAGGCTCTGTTTGTCCATGTTTGTTCGTGTTTGTTTATCGTGCTTGTTGACTTGCCGCGACCGCATCAACTACACAGTATTCTATCAAAAGATCTTCTGCCTATACCACATTACTAGACCGGCATCCACTCCTTCACAATCTCTCCCGGTCTTCCGGATCGACTATCGTCATGGAGCTTGTCAACAATGGGGCGGACTATACAATAGAGGATGTGTGTACACTACCCCTATCTTACAATGCCTAATGCAATAGCGTGAGCTAACACGCGCAGTGCCAAATGGCCCTCAAAACAGCGTTCTTCGAGCGCGAATATGACAAAACACTTGGAAAGACAGCACAACTCATAGATGAGGAAAGGCGCCGCATCCTTCACGTTGACCAGCTTCTTTTGCAATTTGATAACGAAAACCTACAACTGCAATTGAAACAATTTAGACAAGATTTAGCACGAGCTAGAGATGCCGAGTCGGATATTCGTAATTTGCTGCAAGATACCATCCAGGAACGAGATCAGTTGCAGAGCTCAGCTCACACTGCAACTCACGAAATTGAGAGTCTTCGAGTAAGACAGCGCCCGCCGTTTTCGAGGATAGCCTTTACTGACCAGGAATCTCATAGCGCGAATTGGCATCGATGAACAGCACGACCGCCGAATCTAGAACCCTTGTGACCGAGAAGCTACGCCTGACCAAGGAGCTGGCTAATATGCAGTCTGAGGTCCACAGACTACAATTGCAGGAGAATTCCTTCCAAGCACTGGTTACTGAGAAACAGGAGCTTACCCGTCATTTGAATACACTTAAGGCGGAATTCGAGAACGAGAAGCGGGCACACAGATCCACCATGGCCCAGGGAGCACAGCAAGCAGATGAGATATCTGTCTTGACTGCGAAGCTTGAAGAGCAACGCAAACAAATTGCAGCAGAGGCTCGAAAAGTGTCTGCTACCCAACAACCAAATAACACATGGCAGTCGGAGAAAGCTGCCCTGGAAGACAAAGTCGATTCTTTGAACAGGATGTTACGGACCCTAAAAGATCAGTTGCGCCAAGCTCAGACTAGCAGCCAGACCAACAGCCGATTTGACAACGGCAAAAGCAGTGGTCCTGTAGAACAAACGAGAAAGGTTCCCCTCAAAGACTTCTCATCCAGGTTCGACCCTGGATTGGATATCGCGACGCCAGGAGCAGTCCGTGTCAAGGAAGGAAAATGGCAACCTACTGCACTTCCTGGCCAGAAATCTGCCTTCTCCATCACGCCATTTCTCAATCGCACCAATGGAAACCAGGATACCTCTGGCGATGGACCAGAGAATAGTGGAGGTGCTGATCATCTCAACAGCGATGATGAGTCTGCTCTCGAGACTTCATACCTCGAGGACAAATTACACGTCAAGCAATCTGAAGCTGAGCCACGCGAACGCCGCCCTATCCAGGCCAAGCAGCGCTTGGATAAACCTAAGCCGGCAATGAATCCTAAAAAAGGGAGCGGTCTGATACTAGATGATATTGATGATGACAGTGATATCGGATCCATTGGCGCTCTTGTTGCCGGTCAACCGCAGGTCCGGACGAAACGCCGCAAATTAGGGGCGCAGAGTAAAACTATATTGGATGAGGAAGAAGAGCTAGAGCCTGAGAATATTCGCAAACCGGGGAGGAAGATTGGTCTGAGTACGGGTCACACCACCAGCTTACAGACTGCCCAAAGTGGGCCAACTCGTGGCTTCGGTGGGTTCGGCGGATTCTCTCCCTTAAAGAAGGAGAGGAAACGACCGTAAGGTTCATAATCAAGCGTCTCCCGGAAACTCGCTTTCCAACCTCCGTGGTACTATTTTCCTTGTCTCTTCCTGCGCAAGCATTCATCGCACCGTAATAATTGAATCCTGTAAGCTCTATTTCTCTTCATGTGAGATTTCGGCAAGGAGGCAACAGAAGGTCCTGGAATAGTCCTTCATGATGTCTTCTGTAACATTGAGACGTGCTGAATGAGTAATTCTAGACTGGGACAGACTGTATGACTAATGCGCTACTTGGCATGATGAACCAATCAGAAGCTATGAAGATGACGCCATGGGAAGCCGCTGTACGATCTGCCTCAGGCTGCCACGTGCTCCGCCTCCGCAATAACGCCGAAGATAAATTATTAACCCAAGTACTGCCTCTACTGGCATTTGTCCGCGTCGTCTCTTCTTCGTTAGTCCTATAGTTGCTGTTGGCACACATGATGAATCCATCAGCCGCAGGCCGCACGCTTCCAAGAGCTCTAAGAGCTACTCGGCTTTTCAATCAGCATACAAGCTTGTCTACAATTACCGGGAGTCATCGAATCCAGGCCTCCTTATCGCCATCATGTCCGGCAACATACAGGGCGCTGCATACTACCCGATCGCAAAAGTCACAATCTGTCCCAGCCTCCAATGCCGCTGCGAGGGACTCGTCTAACCCCGCCATGTCCTTTCCGTGTCTCGATGCGCAGGATGCAAAGTCTGCCCAGCTCTCCGCACGATCTCTCCAGTCAGGCCCCGAACCTTCATATACCACTGGTCACCACCAAAAGTTCCACTGCGAACAACCGTTACTGCTTGATTGGGGAGGTATACTTCCAGAGTTTGACATCGCCTACGAATCCTGGGGCCAATTGAACTCTGACAAGTCGAATGCTATCTTACTGCACACGGGTCTGTCGGCATCCAGTCACGCCCATAGCACGGATGCCAACCCCAAGCCCGGCTGGTGGGAGAAGTTCATCGGACCCGGCAAGCCTTTAGATACAGATAAATACTTTGTCATCTGCACCAATGTTGTTGGTGGATGCTATGGTAGTACTGGGCCTTCGTCAATTGACCCCTCTGATGGAAAGCGATACGCTACTCGGTTCCCTATTCTTACGATAGACGACATGGTGCGGGCACAGTTTCGTCTCCTGGACTCCCTTGGCATTAGCAAGCTTTACGCCTCTGTTGGATCTAGCATGGGTGGTATGCAGAGTCTTGCTGCCGGTGTTCTTTTCCCTGAGAAGGTTGGCAAGATTATCAGTATCAGTGGTTGTGCGCGAAGCCATCCCTACAGCATTGCCATGCGGCACACTCAGCGACAAGTCCTAATGATGGACCCGAAATGGGCCCGTGGTTTCTACTATGATTCCATCCCTCCACATTCTGGAATGAAACTTGCGAGAGAAATCGCAACCGTGACATACAGAAGCGGTCCGGAGTGGGAAATGCGGTTCGGACGCAAACGCGCAGATCCTAACAAGCAACCTGCTCTGTGCCCGGATTTCCTGATTGAGACCTACCTGGATCACGCAGGAGAGAAGTTCTGCCTGGAATATGATCCTAATAGTCTTCTATACATCTCCAAGGCCATGGATCTGTTTGATCTCGGTCATGCTCATCAAACCCAGACGAAAGCTCGAAGAGCCGAATTTGAGGCTAAAATTGCTGATGGCGGAAAGGCCCTGCGCGAGAGCAACATTGCATGCAGTCTGACTCTCCCAGAGGCACCGTACGAGGAGCAGCCCTCTGTAACCGCATCCGCTCCTGCTATGGACCAGGCTGTGGGTGGCGGGGATCTTGGAACAGATGCGCCCCCGCAGGATCTTGTCGCCGGCCTTGCGCCGCTCAAGAACCACCCGGTCTTGGTCATGGGCGTTGCCAGTGATATCCTTTTTCCGGCTTGGCAGCAGCGAGAAATCGCCCAGACCCTTCGGGCTACCGGAAACAAGAACGTCGAGCACATTGAACTTGGAGAGGACGTTTCGCTCTTCGGACATGACACGTTCCTCTTGGATCTGAAGAACATCGGCGGTGCGGTGGCTAAGTTCCTGTGATCAATGCATTCGGAGTATGTGTTTGAATATTTTTCTCCCCTATGGTAATGATGAAAGCGGGCGATGATTTGTGTTTAGCGTGATGCTGTGTCTCATTTCATTCCACGGCTGTAGATATTACCTCATCTCCTTTTCAACGTCCTGTATCTAGATATATATTACACATCACGAACATGATCATCCCCTAATCCTCGTGGAAATCATTTCCAACTCCCTAGTTATTATTAGTTAGCTCTGCTAGCTACTAACTAACTAGTTAGTCTCCTGTGGATTTACCTAATGGCGTGGCTGTCCCGAAGCGGTAAGGTCCCACTTCCTCAGGGTTCAAAATGTTCCGAGCCGCTTCAACCAATGACGATGTCCGAATTCCTGGGTTGGGATGCCGAAAACGCCGACTCCCTCTTGAGCGGAGCGCATCTTCCGGCGCGGTCCCAGGAGACCTACGGCTTCCACATCCCCAACTGTTCCTCTCCCCTCTCTTCGGTGCTGCTTGTCGTGGCTGTCCTTGGATGGCCTATCTCTTATCTTGGAATTGATGCTTCCCCACGTCTAATGGAGCTGTTACTGTAACTATGTCTGTGCTCTGTTGAATACAGTTCCCGGACAACCCGCACGACAGCTCCACGGTGGGCGAAAAAGAAAAATTTAGGGAAAAGGAAAAGCTACGATCTAGGCTCGCCTCCTTTTCAATTCGATGAGCTCGCTCTCCGGCCGCTGAACCCTCTAACCTCTCGATTCTCACAACGTCTTCTTTCTTCTTGAACGCCAGCTCGACAGCTACAGTGGCCGAAGGCCTGCCCCATCGCAGTGAGGGACCTGGCATTTGCGCTCGGCGAAGCCCCTCCGTTTTCGCTCTTCTTGGACCAGCTACGACTTAGTCTATTCAATTGCAACACTTCTCTCATGGTATCCGCTACTAATGGGGGCCCAGGGCTTGAAAGCCCGACCCTGTCCGACTCGCGAAACACAGGTCCGGCCTTGTCGTCACGATCTCCGGAACGCAATGAACATCGGAAACCACAAGTACCAAAAGCATTGGCTGGGGGTAGTGCACAAGATAAATATATCCAAGGCTTGGAAAGTGAATTCAAATTAAAGCATCTAGGTGTGCTAGGTGTACTAGGATGGATATTGTATGATTGTGTCTCGGCGCCCAAGCCGCTTCTTTTTCGGGGACCCGATTTTTCTAATTTATCCGTGGTTCCTTAGGTTCTTGCATGTTGTCGGGATATTCTTTTTCACTAAAGGATTCCTTCTAACTCGAATGGTGTTGGAGAACAAGTCGTCCTGCGACGTACTCCCTTTCGACGAGGCAGCGACTGTAGGCAAGAAAGTCGATGGGTGTTGGCACCAGAAGTCGTTCGACAAGGCCGTTGTGATCATCGTCGATGCCCTGCGCTACGATTTTACGGTACCCTTTGCGCCGAGCGCAGAGGGTGAGTCGGCACAACTGTTCCATGATCGCCTTCCCGTCCTGTATGAGACAGCTGTCAATACCCCCGAAAATGCCTTTTTGCTTCCTTTCATCGCGGATCCGCCCACGACGACACTGCAGAGGCTGAAGGGACTCACGACCGGAACACTACCCACGTTCATTGACGCTGGTTCTAACTTTGCTGGGACGGCAATTGATGAAGACAATTTAGTTGCGCAATTGCGCGCCGCAGGCAAGACTCTGGTTCAGCTTGGGGATGACACCTGGCACGCACTTTTCCCCGGCTACTTCGATCCTAATCTAACTCGCGCATTTGATTCATTCAATGTCTGGGACTTGCATACCGTTGACAACGGCGTGACTACAAACCTCCTCCCGCTTCTACATCCTGAAAATTCTACGAAATGGGATGTTATCTTCGGTCACTATCTTGGTGTCGATCACGCCGGCCACCGATATGGCCCGAATCATCAAGCTATGGCTGCAAAACTCGATGAGATGGATCGGGTCATCCGTGAAATCATCACCAAACTTGACGACAAAACGCTGTTGGTGGTGATGGGTGATCATGGCATGGACTCCAAGGGTGACCACGGCGGTGAATCTAATGATGAAGTCGATGCCGCTCTATGGATGTACTCTAAAAGGGGCATCTTCGGCCGTACAAGTGCTGAAACAGCCAGGCCTCCCATGCTCGCTCGCGAGCGCTTTGTGCCTCAGATCGACCTTGTGCCCACGCTGTCTCTTCTTCTCGGAATGCCTATTCCTTTCAACAACCTCGGCTCGCCGATCGAGGAGGCTTTCATTGGGCCCAAGGGGAACGATTGGAAGAACGTGATGTCGGTCAACCGGTTGACTTCCGCTCAGATTAAGAGGTATCAACGGGAGTACACAGCATCGCGAGGTATTGAGGACAGCCACCAATCCCAGTCCGAGGACCTCTGGAGGGCGGCGGAAAATAGCTGGCAGAAGCTTCCGAGGATCGGCCGGCCCAGCCAGGCAACTTTGCTTTCCATTTCCGAGTCCTACAAGGAATACCAGAGACACACTCTCCAGCTTTGTCGTTCTTTGTGGGCTAAATTTGACGTACCGAGCATGCTCCAAGGTGTTGCAGTCCTTTTTGCTGGCATTGTCTTGCTGGTGTTCTATGCACGAAGCCTCAAAGCCGATCAGACCGATATTACCAAGCCTCTTCTTACCCTTGTTGGAGCAGGCTCTGCTGTCGGTGTTGTCGTGGGTGCCTTTCTGTCGTTCTCGGGCGTAGCGGAGATGCCAGTCGCCGAATCATCTGCTCTGTTGGCCGCCGTGGGAAGCATAGTTGGCGCGTCATGGACCATTTTTGGCGGGTCAGCCGGTGTGTCAGTGCCTCTACCAAGCAGTCTGTGGGGCTGGTTGGCTGTTACCTTCACGATCACGCAGTCTATCGGATTCGCCTCCAACTCCTATACAATCTGGGAGGATGAGATTCTCCTATTTTTCCTCTCCACCTTCGGTGTTCTTGCTGGTGTATCCTCGATGCGACAGAAATCGACCGCCGACAGGGTTCTGGGCGTCTATCACTCCATCCTCTTCGTCATCCTCGGAAGAATCGCGTCCTCTTCTCGCCTTTGTCGCGAGGAGCAGATGCCTTTCTGCCGTTCGACCTATTACGCGTCTGCCACTTCTTCGACTTCTGCACCCTGGCAGCTTGCTGTACCATTCCTGGTGGCGCTTATCCTTCCCACTGTTGTACGGTCATTTTATGCCGGATCCAAGTCCTACGAAGGTGCCGCTACTCTCTGGATTGGCTTGGGTTTCCGATTGGGGCTGTTCATAACCTCCGTCTTTTGGGTGCTTGAGGGGGCTGATGATGGCGAGTGGCTGCCCTTGAGCAAGGAGACTTTGAAGTCAGTTAGAGTGTTCTTGGCTCAGCTCGTGCTAGCTCTCGCATTTGCTGCGGGGACAACAGCATTCATCTATTCTAAGCCTTGCATTAGCATTAATGTCAGCCAAGGGAATGCGGAACCGGAAAGCAAAGGCAAGAACCTGGCGCCACCCCAGCCAGCAGGACGCACCACCGTTACGATCCTCGGGTTTGGCAACGTGCATGGGACTCGGTACTTCCTCCTCGTTGTTAATTTCTGTTTGGGAATCATCCTTCTGCAGAAACCCATGGGTCAGGGTGCCATGGGACTTTTGCTTTGGCAAATTCTCTCACTGCTAGAGATTCTGGATACGAATGGTCTGGTCCTTGGCAATTCAGCCATTGGGCCGATTGTTTTGGCTCTTCTCGGCTCCTTCTACTACTTCAAAACTGGTCATCAGGCTACTCTGAGTAGCATCCAGTGGGAGACTGCCTTTATCCCTCTCTCCTCCGTTCAATACCCATGGTCCCCCATCGTCGTAATCCTCAATACATTTGGCGCACAGATTCTTACTGCAATTGCCGTCCCTCTCACCGTCCTCTGGAAACGCCCTCTTCAACTCAGCGATCAGTCATCCTCCTCCCCGAAGTCCAGCAACCCTTCGATTAGACTCCTCTCTGACGTTGTGCGAGCCGCGTGCACCTACATCCTCTACTTTGCGACTATTAACCTGGCCACTACCATGTGGGCTGGCCATCTCCGCCGGCATCTCATGCTGTACCGGATCTTCAGCCCTCGGTTCATGATGGGAGCCACCGTGCTAGGAGTCGTGGACATTGTTCTCATCATTTTCTCTGTGGCTGGTGTGCGGTGGAGCACATTGAGTGTAGGAGAGATCTTTGGGTGGTAGTGATCTCTCCTTATTCTTCATGGCGGATATTAATTCTCAGCCATCCTGGCTTTTCTTTATTTTTACTGCCAGATGATACCCGAAATGTGAGTCCCCTTGCCTAACATTTCGGCCTGGGGAAAACTGTAATATATGGTATCTCCGTATACCATTCTTTTTCAACCCTTTTGGGGCTCGAATTGGTGAGGAATCTAGGCCGGAAACACTTGGAACCATTCCTTATATTTCCTTTTAGCTTGCATATATTTATATTTCTCGAATAATACATAACTCAGACCCAACTTTCCAAGCATATAAGATGAGCGGAACGTAATACCCGAGATCCCAAATCAGGTTCTGGTAAAATCAGCAAGCCTTGCTGTTAAATCCTGTCTCTGTCAGGAAGATCCGTGGAACTGGCACATTAGGGGAGCACAGTTCATGGATAAGGTTTTCTTCAAAAAGAAATCTGCTCTCACGGCACTTGCTATGGAGCCATACTATGTACGTATTTGACCCATTTGCACTGGCTGATCAATTCTACTATATTATTGTTTTTCCAAACATCATTCATTCTTGAAGTCTCATGTAAATACACAAAAGCAGCGAGATTCCAGTCACATCCCCATTAAACGAGGTCAATCTTACCCTTAAAGCTGCGCAAGAAACTGATAAGGTTTACATCGAAGCCAAATCCAGACATGAATCAGGTTGCCGGACGAAGCTGCAGAACAGATTTTTTACGAGCGCATAGACCAGTGCTACCTCTATCTCAAGCTCCAAGTAACACTGTGATATACTCACTATCTCGGTAAAATTGTGACAATGGTTGATAATTACACAGGGCTCTAATACGCAAGCAGTAATTTTGTTTCTACTGATACACTGATCATATTGACCATGAAAACAGCGTCGCGTGCCAATAGCCAAATGTGCGCAACGAACTGCTCTACAGGCTGCACACGGCTTTGTTCCATGACAGAGGAACATCCTATATATCGGTCATTTTACTATTCTCATGTTTATGCAGATACCTTAGACACGATGTATCCAAAAGCCAGTCAGCTATAACAACAACTGTAATCTTTTTCACAAGGTAAATAGATAGCATGTGCTCTGATCACGTCTTAATAATGTCATGGGACCGGCCTGAACCAAAGTACGTCCATCATTCCACCAGTGACAAGAAAAGTCACGACGCTCATTTGACCCTTTATCTGCTCAGGGGCGTACCACCCATCTGCAATCGTGTGTATGTACTTTCACTCTTCCTCCACCCAAGAAATCCACCAGGCAAATGACTCTCCCTGACTCATCATCTCAGCTCCTCTCGCCAGTGGATCACACAGTCCCAAAGGTGTATTTCACTTTCTATCTTTCTTTCCTCCTGAAAAATCCACAGGCCGGCGTTGAGTCGATCCAGAAGGGTCTCACAACCTTGATCAATCAACTTCCGTTCCTAGCAAAAGATGTGGCGCCCTCCCACGATGAGAACCATGACAATGTCCACTGCATCCAGCCTCCGTCAGCCAAGTCCCAGTCCATACCTATGCTGCAAATCAGACATTACTTAAATGAATCTGTCCGGTCAATGCTAGCCACTGCATCTTGTACTGGGGCCGAAGACCTGCAATATTCCGAGCGATATGCCCCTTTGCCAACGGTGATGGATCCCCAAGAAAGCCAGCCTATACTGCGCTTCTTTGCGAATGTCATGGTCGATGGCATTATCCTATCCCTCAGTTTCAACCACATGGCTGCAGACGGCACAGGGATTGGGAATATTCTGGAACTGCTGTCAGAGTGCTGCCGAAATGAACAGAAGCATGTGGGACCTCAACGGTTCGACTTGGAATTGCGCCGTCAGCTAGCCTCGCCCAGTACTACCGCAGAAAAACGACCGTTAAATACATTCTGGGAGACATACACTCCCGAGGAGACCTTCCATTGTCTGGATTCGAATACGTGGTCCACAGCCACTACGTCAATGGCGTCGGAGTTGAATACATTTCGATTCCGAATTCCTATCCGCAAGGTGAAAGTCCTGAAAGACATCTGCACTTCTGTGCTGTTATCACATCCCGAAGGAGATAACATGCTAAGTAAAGAGCCCCGGGCTTTTATATCGAGCAACGACGTGCTCACAGCGTTACTATCCATCTGTCTTCAGCAGACAAAAACTGCCGAACTCGCTTTGAAGGATGATCACGATTACACCGTCGCATTTGTTGCAAACCTCCGTTCCCGAATGCATCCACCCTGGCCGGAGCACTATATCGGGGTCCTGCTTACTATGGTACTTGTTTCTCGATCCGAACTAATCAATTACGTTCAGGAGCAGAGGGTCGATCTTGTAGCCAGTGAGGTGGGTCTCGATAAAGACGAGCTAGTACAAATCACAAACCTGGCTATGAACATGCGCAAGAAACTGCAGGATGTTGATGACGGATATGTTCGTGGGCTACTCGCTCATATGCAGCAACAACGCGACTGGAGCCAGATGAATATCAAAGGAGGAGATTTCTCATATTCGAGCATTAGACACTTGAAGGTCCACGACCTAGATTGGGGTCCGGATCTGGGCAAGATCACGGGATTCCGGTTGTTTTTTGGTTTGCTTGAAGATTTTTGCCTCATTCTGCCCGCAGATCCGGGGGGAGACTGGGATATGCAGATTAGTTTGCGGCCAGGCTATCAGCGGGCATTGATGGAGAATCGGTTGTTTCGGTGGGCTACCAGTGATTAGTTAGCACATTCAGCAGGGACCAGACATAAATTGATCGCGTATGGCAGTTGTTGACGGCGGGTTAGAGAGAATGGTACTGGAAAATTTGCTTATGGAGGCTGCTACTACTACTGAGTCAGGCACAATTCTGTTTCTCCCTCTCAGTCATTCATTGGGGTCAGTTCCGAAAACATATCATCTGGTCGCCAGGGTTACAACTACTATCGATTCCAACCATGAGTCACCGCGTGTCTATGATGAGACCGAGCTACCTTTGTATATGAAATTGACTATCAGAAGTATTACATAGACCTATGGATCAAACTTGATACGACTTGAACAAACCATGGTAGCCCTCGTTCAATGGCCTGAACCAAGAATTCTGTAGAAAATAGTACCGTTGATTGTGGGTCTGCTTCGGCCCGGGGCCCCTGGATTGCCCATGTGGCCGGGAGTCCACTTCAATAAAACAGAACGAACGTCTCGGGGCAAGTAGTCGTCGTACTACCCCTACTACTGCCAACCGCCGTTGGTGGCTGGTGGCTGGGTAGGATGAATACCTGTAATGTTTATCTGGGGCTGACCAATGGCTAGACGTGTGCCAAAGGCAGAAAAATGACAATTTGTTAGGATACCATAATGTCTGGAAAGGTGAGCGCTACTAGATTTTCCCCCAAGCAAAAAGCCGAAAGCAACAACTGTAGAGGGACGCCCCGTAGCAGGCAAAGGATCCGGTGAGGAGTCTGTCAAATGTCAACGGAATGAAAGCGCCAACAGAACTGTTTCCCCTGAACCAGTCACGTGACATCAGCCACTCCCGTCCGGGGCTGTGTATAGCACTGGGGACCCGTTCGTTGGCGGAGTCTGGTGGACACTTGCAACACCACTCCTTTGTGCGCTATATCCCTTTGTCCGCGATTGTGTTTGTCTCATGAATTGATTGTCTTCCATCTATCTACCTGTTAATCACTCGGCCCCAAATCTCTCTGGCGGTTATCCAGCTGGCGCGGAGGATGGCGACTGTTTGTTGATCCGCCAGTTCAATTAACCGCTGCGAACTCCTGCTTGCTTCTTTAGCCGTTGTTGGTTCATGCTGAAATCGCTACCATGAGTACTTTTGACATTCAATCTCCCCGGTCGTCATATGGCGAACGGACGCAGTATGATACTGCCTCCTATTATGCCGAACCGTCGCAGCCGCCGCCAACCAACGTCCTGATGAATGGCTACCGCAACGCCCTGAACTCGCAACCCGTGGAGAATTCGCCTTACAATCATCCGAAGCCCACCAACCCACAAAGCTCAACATTGCGCAATGCCCATGATCCCGTCGCCATGTACCTATTGACCGAGACCGCCATGACCGATAGCACACACTACGAGATCTTGTCCTTGGAGGAAGTGGAGGGCTTGAAGAAGGAGCACAAATTCTTGTCTAGCAGGTTGAATGCCGCCAAAGGGAATTTGGCCCTGGAAATGAAGTTGCGCGATGCGGCCATGTCGCTCAGCCGACTTTACACCACCAAGAGCCCCCGGGCGAGCGGAGAATATGACCTGGACTCGTCCCCCGATTCTCGTCGGAGCCTTCTGGGGCCCAGCGGCTCCACCCCGGATAAGACGGAGGAAGAGCTCGCGCAGAGCACGCGGAAATGCGAAGAGCTGGCTAAGGAGGTCTGGAACCTGGAGCAGAGAGTACAGCAAGTCAACAACAGGTTGCTTGAGCATACAGCTGGGATCTTGCAAATGACACATAAGGGCCTGAAGAAAAACCTGCAAGGCAATATGGCTGATACACCTGAGACCCTCGCCAGCCCCAATACGCATGGTAGCATGCACGACTTCGACGAGCGGAGCCTTTACAAACCGATCGAGTATATGGATGAGGCTCACGGGTCCGAGGCGCGGAACGGACGTGGCTTGGGCAGCGCTGGGTTAGAGGTGATTCAAGATACAGAAAGAAGATTGGAGTATCTAAGTGGACGGCTACGGAATATGATCCTCCAGTCGAACCCAGACAGCGGTCTTGCTCCTATCCCGCAACGCTCTCAAGGTCAAGATCCAGACTATCCTACAGCAACGTGCGAAGCACACCTCGCATATATCGAAGAGGGATTGGACATGCTTGGCTCGAGCGCTTCCGGCGGTCCGTCCCAGGCCAGGGGTGTCGACTACGATCACGAGCAATTAGAAGAGATTAACGCACGACTGTACAGCGTTGTCCAACAGTCTGGGATACCGCATACTCAAACTTTACCGCCCCCACCAGATTCGTCTCAAAGCGACGCGGCAGAACACCTCGCCTACCTCAGTGCAGGAATTAGTGGGCTTGAAGGACGGATCGACAAACTGCTTGAACAAAAGAGCATCCTCACGACGCAAATCCAGCAACAGAGAGAACTTAACTCCAAATCAGACGCGGAGAGAGATGCGCACATCGCTGAGCTAGCTGAACAACTGACTCATGTACGCAAAGACCTCGAGCTATCAGAGAGCGAAGGTCAACGGTCGAGGGAGGAGCTGGATCAGGCCTTGGAACAGCTGAAGATTATGCAACAGGAGCTAGAAAACCGCAAGGAAGAGCACAAGATGGAGGATGTTTCTGGCGCGATGGCGTCCGAAAAAGAGGCGCGCGCGCGCGCTGAAGCGGAAGTCGAACGCTTGCAAAGTATCATTCAGGACCTCGAACGCGAAAAGGAGTCACACGCTGAGGCTCACGACGCGCGAGCCCGGGCAGAGAATGAACTTTCCCGACTCGAAGCTCACATGGAAGAATTACGGTCTCAGCACAGTACTCACACGGAAGAGCTCACTGCAGCGCACTCCCAGGCTCAGGCAGAAATCACACGCCTGCAAAGTGTGCTCGACCAGACTCAAGGTGAAACCGACGCGAAGATTGCAGCTGCTGAGGCGGCCCGTCTTGAACACCTCCGTTCTCAAGCTGATACTCACGCTGAAGAGCTTGCTTCAGCCCGCGCGCAGGCAGACAGTGAAATTGCGGAGTTGAAGGAGACGATCAGTCATCTGCAGAGTGAGGTAACTTTGAAGGCGGAGGCCTCTGAAGCGCACGAACGCACGACACAACAGATCCTGCAACTCGAGGAGACCATGCAACTGATGCGCAATGAATCAGATGCCCAGATAAAGGAGGCTACGGAAGCCCGGACACAGGCCGAGACCGAGGTCGCTCGTCTGGAAGCTGTATTGGGTCAACTTCGGGCCGAAATGGAACCCCAGCTGAAGGAAGCAGTTGAAGCACGTGTGCAGGCCGAGGGTGAGGTCTCACGCCTGGAAACTCTATTACACCAGCTTCGAGCCGATGTAGAGGTGCTCGAGTCACAGTTCAAACAAACTACGGAGGCACGCACCCGTGCTGAGGAGAACGCCACGCGCTTGCAGGCGGAGTTGACTGAGATGGAAGGCGAAGTTGTACGGACCCAAACTGAGCTGACAATGGCGAAGGCCGAGCTTGATGGTGCCTATGGATCTCGAGCCCAGCGTGCGGCCGATATTACAGCCAATCCTGCCATTCAAAGGGAATTTGATGCGCTGAACACCCGGAACCTGGAACTTGCCGAGGAGTTGGCAGCGCTTAAGGCCGGAAAGCCTGGCAGCAGCGACCTGCAGAACCGGGTGGAAGCACTCCAAAAAGAACTGCGGGAGACCGTTGACGATTATGAAGCAATGACGAAGGCTAGTATCGAGTTCGAGAAAGAACGCGAGAGATTCGAGAGTGTTATTGATGCGCTACGGGATCGTTGCGAGCAACTCGAGACTCAGCTTAACGAGGAACGGATCAGCTGGATGGGTAGTGGTCGCGATGGCCACTATGAGAGCACATCGACGATGGTGCTGAAGAATGAGTTCAAGAAGATGATGCGGGACACGCGTATTGAGAACATGAAGATCCTCAAATCGGAACAAGAAGAACGTCGCCGGCTGGAAACGATGATCAGGAATCTGAAGAAGGAACAAGCCATTATGAATGGCAAACCTGGCATCAGCCCGAGTATCCCAACCCAATGACCGCCCCTGCCGGAGCCTGCTATGACTATGTGATGCTATTCAGCGAGTCTACCGCCCATAGGAAAATTACTCCTTAGCATGCCAGATGCAGCCCCTACGATGCCCCGTCAGCCATATGAGAACGCCGAGGGCCCCTTTGACCCCGATAAACTGAAGCATTGTTTCCTCGCCGTGAGGCTGAAGACGCGTACGTTCTCCGGCTGACTCATCCAGTTGTGTGCACAGGGGACGGGGCTTCTAGATGCTGCATAAGTTGTAGCAGGGCAGGCGACGAAATCCGAAAATTCAAGACTGTAAATATAATAGACAGGTGCTGCATGATCAGATAATAAGCAGTATGTGGGAGGATGTGTACATATGTACCTATACAGACTTAATTTTCTTAGAATCAACGAGACTTTTCCTTATTTGGATGAGGCTGCTTTAATAAGGGCGCTCAGGAAGTTGCTCACTCACTATTTCTTATTACTAGTCAAAGCTCAGAAGCGCTCAGGTTCTATTCAGGACAGACTCAGTTATTAGTTATACATATCCTGAGCTATTCATATCTTGATAGTTTATATTACTAAGAGCCTAATGATACTGCTGAATTGACTGAGTCCACAGCTCTTGCTTGGCTATGAAGCTGATGCTAATGCGCAAGAGGACCAGTACAAGAACATCCTCAAAGTCGTATTTACCGAAGACCATGGCAAGGTCGTGCATGCGGCAAGCGGTTGATTATTAGGTGGAGTGCGGGTTTATTGAGGTGCTTTGCCGTGCTCAGTGATCGCCTCAGGCTGCTCAGGGCGTGCTCAGATCTACTCGGTGAGCACTAAATCGGAAAGAGGAGGACATCGACCCTCCTAGAAAATTAAGTACATATGCTCGAGGTTTGGATAGTGATGCTAGTGACTGGTATATGAGACTTGAATTCTATCGAAAATTAAAGTGCAGGACCTCGAAGGTTAAGTAGGCTATGACTACACATTGTCCTTCATAATTGATGACCACATTTGCACTAGCTAGCTGACCCAATGGTTCCTTATCGGGATCCTCAAACGGCTTTATCAGCAGATAGTAACATCGAGCCACGTGACTGCCTACGAACTTCTGGGCCAATTCAACGGCCAGCTTCTATACACAACACTCATGGCCATGCAGGTAGCAGCAACGCGTCTTCAACTAGCTGCTTCGCTTCTGTATCCCTCATGGCGCTCTTGGTATCTGAAGCAGCCCACTAACACCTATACTCAATCGAGGCCGCGTTGATCCCACACCTACCACTTACGGTATGTCATCTCACGTTATTTACCGTGTTAAGGACCATTCATTGTCGTACTGACCTGGTATCGCATTTTGCAGCTGTCTTGACCTCTTACTGTCCAGCGCCTTCTTTTACCGCAGTGCCGCTACCATTGAACCCCGCGATTACGCGATCGTTTGCGACCCGTTGCCCTGTACAGCATCTACAACTCGGTATTGCTAGAGGACAATGGATCCGGAGGACCCTCTTGCAGACCCGTTCTCCAGCCAGGGTCTATGGAGGGTCTCCAAGTTTACCTTACAGTCTCTACAGCCGTTGGAACGCTTGGGGTGGGACGAGAAATTACCTGATCTTTCGAGTGCTTTTTTCGAGTCTCCTTCGAACATCTTCGACAAATTCGGCACGGAAATCCCTAGCCTTAATCCTTTCGGTACCGACTTATTGGATGGGGATCAGACGCTGGAGTTGGATAACGATACGTCAAGTGAGAACCAAGTTATTGCGACTACCGATGAGCAGGACATTGAAGACGAACCGGAGGATATATGGGCACTTGGGAATCAAGATATCGAGCAGGAGCGCTGCGATTTGCTGAAAACCTGGGAGAAATACCGCGAGCGGACATATCGCGAACCTGTTTCGGCATACTTTAGCGAATCCGGTGCGAAAGGCTTTGATGCTGCATTGGCACGGCAAGCTGCAAAGGTGGGAACACAGACCCAGAGGTTTATGGTCAGGCGAGATGTGTTCTTCCAGGCGTTGCTCAAGCTTGGGCTTGGGTGGGGCTCTATGTTTTTCAAATATGATGAACATAAGAAGCAGTTCGAACGAGTGCACAACAATATTCGGATTTCTGGGATAACATCAGTTGCACTAAATGGGCTAACTGAGGAGCTGATTCAATGCGGCACAAACATGCAGAAAATACGGGGTTTTGCTAATAAGGTGCCAAGTAGGCCAAAGGAACTCTCTGCTCGGTCGGCCTTTGCGAGTGCCGCGGCTGTGGTTGTCTATACACTCGAGAAGCAGCTTGTCGGACAATTCGCCAGTGTTACCTCTCTCCTTCAGATCAAGGCGCTGTTTCATGAATGCGGGAAGGTGGTGACCGTCCTAGCGAATGTGATCGAGGCAATTGATGGTGCAGTGTCCGAGGCACAGATAATATCTGTTGTTTCTGAACGAGCCGCCCACTTTTCGCAAATATTCGACCATATAGAACCGCTCTTACGCGAGATTGTGAGTCGAGTGGCCGAGCCCTGGCTGAGGCACGTAGAGACCTGGGTTGGCCTTCGTCCAGAGACAGCGGCATCAGTAGAGCTGGCTTCGAGTGGTAGGAGCTTTGTCGTTGCGGAGAGCCAGGAGAAATCTAGAAAGGCAACAAAGGCGCCGAGGGTTGACTACAAGTATCTGCCCGATAATATGCCTTCTTTCATCCCTGATGACCTGGCGTCTTTGGTTTTCGAGAGTGGACGAAGCCTGAGGCTCCTTAAAACATATCACCCTCAACATCCAGTCGCTAACCATGAGATGTACCGTTCTACTACGCCCACTTTTGAATGTGCGGGTACGTGGTTCGATATAACAAGAATCGAAAAGAAGGCCATAGAGTACGAAGCTAGACTACGCTCTGAGATACTCAAATACAACCGTGGTGATATGGATAGAGGGCCAGGCAGAATATCTGTTGCCGAATCGACTGGGGAGTCAGATGTGCTCACAGACACTTTTGAACTCTTTGACCTCGATAACATGCCAAATCCCACAGGGCTGTTACCAATGGATGGAAGCTCTAGAGATCAGCTTGGCCATCTAATTGATGGAAACGTCCACTGCAATGCTGAACAGCCTGCAGCTCATAGCAACTTCGGTCCGGAACTGACCTCATCATATTACCTATCTTTGGCGCCTCTCCTCTGCTCTCAGGCACTATTGATCGATTTCTCTTGTCTCCATCTACTATTTAAAGAGCATCATCTCCGAACCCACCTCAACCTCCAATGGCGATTCCAGCTCCTCGGTGATGGTTATTTCACCTCTCGTCTCTCTGATTCCCTTTTTGATCCCGACATGGAAAGCGGGGAGCGCAAAGCTGGTGTAGTGAGGAGTGACGTTCACGCTGGATTACGCCTGGGAAGCCGAGATACATGGCCTCCAGCCAGTTCAGAATTACGGCTGGTACTCATGGGACTACTTAATGAATGCCATGATGCGGAAAAACGCTTGGACCCGTCGATGGACTCTAAACTGTGGAATGAAAAGGAGCTACCTGGTGGCCTTAGCTTCTCTATCCGTGACCTAACGGACGAAGAGGTTGTGAAATGCAAAGACCCAAATGCCATTGAGGCGCTTGATTTCCTTCGTCTCCAGTACAAACCCTCGCCTGTCCTGGAGACAATATTGACTTTGAATTCTCTTGAAAAATATGACCGTCTCTTCAAGCATTTGCTCCGACTGCTACGCATGGTATCAGTTGTCAGGAGTCTCATTCGAGATTCAACTGCGAGAGACTCCCTATCAGGTGATACGCGGAATGTGCTCCAGAAATTCCGGGTGGATGCGCAGCATTTTGTGCTAGCCGTAAGCGACTACTGCTTCCATGTCGGGATCGGATCTACATGGCGACGATTTCAGGAGACCCTATCGAATATTGAATCTTGTCTTGACCGACATGATATAAATGGTACGATTGAAGCGGCCAGCTCTGTCCCTAGACTGCGCGACTATCATGAAGACGTCTTAGATCAGATGCTTTATGCTCTTTTTCTCAGCAAAAAGCATACTGAGGTCGCAAATCTCCTTGATGAAATCTTTGGAACAATTCTCACCTTTGCTCCGCTCTCGCAGCTAGACGGGATTAATGGAGTACGCCACGAGGCGGAGCCTGCTGTTCGTCGATTGTACAATCTCTTTAGGAAACAAACCTCTGCCTTTGTCGGCTATTTACGCAGCATAGAAGGCATCAAATCTACGTCGAGGTCTTTTGATCGGTGGGATACGACGTTTACTGCCAAGGAGGAGCCTGCAACAGTCTTCGACCATCTGCTGGCCCGTTTAGACACGAAAAGGTACTACTAAATACCATCAATGGGAACTGGAATAAGGAACTGTCCAATTCAATATTCCACCTTTTTAACATCAGCCCGATGGCAGGGAGTCGGGCACCGGCGAGACTGGTAGACCATTTGGATATTGATGTAACGTGGCTTACATCATGGTAGCACCTATTGTCAAGTCGGCCGGCAACCGCGGCTTGCCTGCTTTTGCTTTGTTGGTAGTTGCGACCCGAGGGTCTGCACCTTGAGGATAATACGCTGAAACACCTCGCGCATGTTCCCGTCATTCTTTGTATTCACATGTAGAAGTCTGACAACCTGTTGCAGATCATGTGGGGAACCTGGCGCCAAGTAACCTGACACTGGAGGACTTCCTTCTCTTCCCTCCTTTGGAACGTATACTTCTCACCAATACCACGTTTGCTCGTTCAGTAAGATCTGTCTTCCACCGCCGATGTGGGAAGGCAGTAACAGTCGCTACCATGGCCCGCGGTTCATACTTATTGACTTGGCCGGATGCATGCCTTGGGAACTTGGTGTAACTCAATCGCACTCAGCACAATAAAAGCGCAGGTGACAGACCCTTCCAGCAGAATCCAGAAGATTATGGTGTATTTTTGGTGTTCCCAGCTCCAATAATCAAGGTAAAAGGAATAGAAAGAGATCGTATCACCGGACTTCAAGGGCTCCACATAACTGACAATCATGGTAAGGAAGTAGTCCATCATCGGCTTAACAAAGCTTTCATAGACCCTTATGACAAGATTCAAGAAACAGAAAACTGGCTGTTTTTGCTCTTCCACGGGTTCCTCAGTTGACCCGACCCTCTGATTTGTGTCTGATATCCCTTCTGATCCCAGCGGCCGACTCTCAGCATCTGTCTTTCGCGATATTTTGCTTTGGTGAGAAAGTGACAGTAATAAGTGCACCGTGGTGAACGCTGCATGGAAGACCGACACAGTGACCATAACACCGATCATAGCAATGCCTCCTATTCCAACAAGACGTGTGCTCGAGTAATAATAAAAAGCAAGAGATAGGTATAAAACTGCAGTGGCAAGTGCCAGGCCAGTTATCAGAAATTGGAGATAAATACAAAAGAAAAGGGCGAAAGGCACTTTTGCATTATCTGGAAAACTGAAGAGCAATAGATGGATTATCAAAAGACCGAACGGAGCGCTCAGGAAAAGCATAGAGGAAGCGTGTAATAAAGTAGCCGCAAGGCTATCAGGACAAGTTATGTTGAAGTAGGCATTCAGGGTGAAGGCGCCTGCAAATGTTGTGATCACAAGAAGAACATTTGCTAAACCCAAACAAGCCTTTATCACTGCTTTGTTGTTGGCGTTGCTTTTCTTCTTCTTCTTCTTCCTTCTCTGGTGGAGATTTGGGAAAGGGGTAGAACGCGAAGTCTTCGTGTATAGCATGATGTTGGTTGGCAAAAGTCCCGTCAGTCCGAACGACTAGTAGAAGCGCAATGTGTCGCTTGCTTTCCCACTCTGAATCGATGGAGTTGTATTGATGTCACATGGATCAAGAATTATGATAGCTCATGTTTTATATTAAAACTCTTCTATACTAACTGATTAAAGATATATGGAGATAATGATGGTCTAGGTTGATACAAGACATCACTAATGCGGGGTTGAAGTTGAGAAAACCCGTGACTAGGCTCGTATATATTGTAAGTTCTAGACAGGTTATAAGCTAGTATAAAACATGCTAATTAGCATTACATACACGGCTCAGTGATTTTCCAGCTCCCTTCAAAGATTAGCTTAGCGTGGTTTCCGGATAGGGCTTCAGAAACAATACAAGAGTGGAAGTGGTGACCCCGCTTTCCAGAAGAACTGTAATGCGAGGCTATAGAGCCTCCATGGATTGGTGAAATCTATTTAACCATTCGCTAATAAACTGGAATTGCGCTTTAGTTATGCGAATTAAGATAGGGTGACACATCATGGATATGGTTACACCATCGGACTACTGTGATCAGATAAGGTGCCATGGGCAACAGGGGGGACGAGCGAAGAGGGGCGGTCGGTGACGATGTCCGCACTCATCATCGAGCGGCGGGGTCGGTCGAGATGGGAGCCCAGGCATGCAAGCACCAGGCTAAGAGAGTCTTCGGTAGCCTCGACCCCTTGTTCCGGGGTTTCCATCCCACATTGGACTCCTTGGCCCTGATGTTCCATAATGTCTTTATCGCCCCAACGGCTGGAAGTGTCTCCCAACGAATACTCACCTCGTCTAGGCTTAGAGCATGATAGAGCAGGCTGCCACCAGAATACGGGTTGCCCAGATCAGGGCCAGCCGATGCTACTATTGCCCTTGTCACCAAGGGCAGTCTAGCCAATCACATCAGTTCTTTTGTATTCTGCTACATGTATTACTACTTATCTGCAATTGAAAGGTTGCGATGGAGACTTGGCAAGTTTACTGGCCTACGACCATCACCACTGTGGTGCATAGTTCGGCCAGACCGGACTCTGTAGATCGACTGCTCGACAACCCAGGAGTACATGTGGGTCTTGTGGTGGGTGGATCAAAAGGAGATCAGAAGCGCCTTGGCAATTCCGGTTCCTCGCCGGGCTGCTGATATGACGTCATCAGCACCATAAAGTATGGAGCTGGTTGATTATCGTCTTTGCAGTATTCGGACTGACCATAGGTAGTAGATGTTGTTATTTTGGCGAAAGTACCATGTGCTTGACAATGGAGTAGCTACTACCAATGCAATAAAAGACGAAAAAAGATGATCAACGAAAGAACACCTATCTAGATATCACTCTTCAGTGCAAAGTTCGATTAGTTCAATCATCCAGCTTCCGATAAGCTTATCAGACACGCACTAAGATCACGTGCCACGATCATGTGAGTGCGGGCCTCTCCCTATGACGAAGGGGAGTGGAGGAGTTTCAGGGAACTTAAGGGGAAGATCGAAGCAGCGCGCTGCATCCGCAATGAGAACTTCATTGTGGGATCAGTCAGTAGCAACAATGCGAATGGGGAAAGAAGCCTGCTGAATGAATACATTCAAACATCAATGACAAACAACATGGCGACTGATCCACACGTCTCCTTTCACCTTGACCAGTGTCAAGGTCTAGATCCGGAGTCGCACACTGCTCAGAAACTTGTACGTTCACCTGTCGCTTGCATGACACTTTGAAATGGCACTGATCCGCGAAGCACCATGCTTCTCCACACCATATACACATGACCAATAGGAGGTTCTTCATCGGACCGATCCCCCAGGGCTGGCTGCAGAACCATCGCAAGTCATGGTGGAGGACGCGCATGAAGTTCAGTAAATATTCGTCTAAAACGGTTTCCTTCTCTGCGGATCCGGTCATTGCGCATTACTCGGAGGAACCTGAGACCGACTCTGAGGATTCGACGCCAGAACACGAACCGGCTACAGATACCACGGAGGATGAAAGGACAGACAGGGAACAGGAGGAAGAGAGCAGTGATCTAGATGCACGCCCACGGAAAAGTCTTCGTAGTGTGCCCTACACACTGGAGGAGGATCACGATATTTCCTGTGTCACTACGGATTCGGAAGCTGTCGTTTCGGATTTAGGCGACAACAAACGTGAACGCGACTTAGCCTCGTCAATGAGGAGACAGGATGGGAGCTCCGCATACTATACAGCCAGGGAACAGGAACCAATTGACGGAGGTCAGGCCTCTTCAAGGCCTGGTACAACGGACCCGGATCAGACCGGGGAGGGACCAAGCGAGCAAACGCTAAGTACCCCTAGCCAGAATGGAGCCAGTCAGTCAAGTCCCATGGTACCCGCTAGTGACTATGGATCCACAACCGCGTTGCTAAGGCCAGATTCGAGATCCAAAGGCAAAGGAAGGCTCTCTGCTCCATCGTCTACCAACCTTGAACAACAGGAACCTCAGGTCGAGACATCAGAAGAGGAGCCCCTCCGGAACGGACATCGACGTCGATCGAAAAGGGACCATTTACACCAGCTTTCGAAAAAGGCAGCCAAACACAACCTTGATGACAACTTGCTGGACAAACAACAAAGAATATTGGCTCGAGTGTCGAGGACACATGCTAAACTCTCACGAACATGGCCATACAGGCGGAGAATGAAAGAAGGAGAGGTCATAAAAGCCGAGAAAATGGTTGTTCGCCTAGAGGAGACGCTGCAGGAAAAGCTTCCGGATGACTATTCGGAAAATGACAGTCTGAAAATGGAAACTAGGGTTGTGGACCAATGGCGAGAGTACCTGGTGGCATGCCGTCTCGCTTCTGACGAAGATGCCCCGTTCTGTCTCCAAATGTACAAGACCCGTGTTATCCCCGAAGTGCAGAAGACAGGCACGCGAGTCGCCCCGCATTATCAAATACCCTTGGGGCGAAAGAAAATGAATGTGAATCTCTATTCGCATCTGGACAAGGCAATTGTGCTCTGGGGTCCCTGTAAGCGTGGGACTAAGATCTACATTATTCGACCAAAGTCCTCCGCGCATGCCGTGGAATGGTTTACCTTTCTCAGTCAGATTATGGGAAAGCGGCGTCCATCATCGCTGCCCATCCATGTTCCTGATTTGGGCGTGTCGCTTGTGTTCAACAATCCTTTCGAACAGTTGGAAGCTGCCCTTGACTCTAAGAGAAAGGGTACTGGAATCCTCAGTCGTACTGTCGCCCAGGAAGAATCGCCAGCGACAGCTATAGTACGTGGATGTTTGAAGATGCTCGAAAACCGTCCTGAGTGGGCTGAAGTCTTACAACAATGGTCCAAGACTGAGATCATGGGGCTTGCTTGGAAACGGCACGATCGCCTGGAATGGATCCTGGGCGCTAACGAAGAGAAGATGTATGGCTCTCTTGCTATGCACACAAGTCACGAGCTCGAACTACGTCCGAGACAGCATTATCATACATACACAAAGCACGATGGTGAGAGAGAAGATGAGCCTCAGCCTGTAGAAGGCTTCTTGGTGCGTCTTACATCCCAACGGGGTGTGCATCAGCGGATGAACAGGATGTTCTTTAAGCGGCTGTACTTTTTCACCCAGGATCAGTACCTATTCTTTTGCCGGCCATCACGGTCGTTACCTCCAGCGCCCCCTAGACTTTGCCGCGATGGGGCTGAAATGCCTTCAACGCAACAAATTCTTGATGCGTCACCTATTTCTTACGACGTTGATCCATACCCACTACAGGACGGGGATATCGCTTGGCTGCGGAGTGGCAACAGGGACCACATTAGAACTCATGACGAAGAAGCCTTTGTCCAGCGGCAGAGAAACATCCACAACATTGAGCACGCGGATGGGTTCATTGACCTCAGCAGGGTACAGGAAGTCCGGCATGTGCAGCGCGATAGCTGCCCCGCTGATCCGAACATTGAATCAGGGCCAGATGTAGCATTCAATCCCGAAGCAAGAGACACGCGCCGGGACGACGGTGCAACACAGCAATTCAACGATGACAGAACCTTTGAGATGCTTCTGGACAACAACCTTGTGGTCCGTTTCCAAGCATACAATGACGTGACTAAGAAGGAATGGATGAGACGACTTGAAGCTTTAGTGAAATACTGGAAAGGCAGAATCGCGACCGATGCAGCCGAGCTCAAGGCTCTCAGACAGCGTAACTTGGAACTTCTGGGGATCGACGAGGAATTAGAATCCATCATGGGACAGTTCGCTAAGAAGTGGGAGGTCAAGAAGGCGGAAGCGTCGCCTTTGTTGCACAACATATGCGTTCTGTCAGACTGTCGGACCATCAAAGTATGTGATATCCTGCTTTAATTTTAACGGATGGTACTAACATGAGTCTTCAGATATCCGGGCATCTATACCGAAAACCCCGTCGCCACTCAACCTTCAAGAGGACCCACGTTGTTCTAACAGCCGGAAAACTATTGATATTCCGCAGCTCCCTCAGAAAGCGGAACGGCGTCGAAGTCCCCCACATACACCAAAACCTGGAGACCTCCATCGACCTCCAAGACTGTTACATCTACTCCGGTCTTATGGCAGAGTCTGACCTCCTATACGCGAACCAAACATTCGACAGTAACCATCCAGGCCATCACGCCCTGCCCCGCGTGTACCTCTCTTCAGATGCATATACAAGCAGTGATGAAGACGCGGCGATCACCTTCGTTATCTGGCAGCCACTAAAGAAGAACCTGTTCCGGGCACGCGAGCACGGAGTCAAGGGCCAAACAAAGCAAAAGATAAAGCAAGTGTCGACTCTCGGAGTCCACGGGCGGACCATTGTGTTCAAAGCGCGAAGTCGCGTCGAGAAGGACCGGTGGGTGCTGAGTATAGCATCTGAGATTAATCGCTTACAGGAGGATCAACCGGAGGATGTGCGGATAGTCACATAACACCGGATGTTATTAGTATAATATATAGTAGTAATGTCTGCAGGCAGATCTACCGCTCCATGATGCTTCTCTATAGTAATTAATATACAGAGCAGAGAAATCAATCGTCTATGTACAGCGCATAATAAATACATAAATGCATCAAAATATTCACTCCAAAAACGGCCTCTCCAACTTCACAGCCTCCTTGACTACGCGATCGCGCACCTCTTGCCTATAACCCTCCCCAAACTTGCGCTCCACGTCACCCTCCACCACCCCATTCTCCCAATCCGACCAATCCAACCACCTCCACTGCGGATGCAGCACAGCCATCACCCTCCCTGTAATCAAACTGATACTCACGGGCCCATAGGAATTACTATCCAGCGTCTTCCTCGGATCCTTCGCATCGCCCTCCAACCACACATGATTATACGGCACAATCTGCGACTCCTTCAGACAGGGCTCTCTTGTCGTGATCTGGTCTCCGGGTAATCCGATGATACGCTTGATGGCCATGTGTCGGGGGTTTGCGGGGGATCTAGCACACATATACCATTAGTAAAACTAAAACATACACCACAGAAACCACGGGGAAGGGAACAAACCGAAACGTAACCACCATCCCCCTCTCCAACCTCCTCTTCCGTTCCCACGGCCACAACCCACCCCCGCCCCACATATTCACAAGGACTATATCGCTCTTCGTCTGGATTTGGTCGTAGTCTTCATTCAGGTAGGGCGTCATGCTGGGCCCGCGCACCCACATCACTTGGCAGACGTGCTCGGAGAAGAAGAGGCCGATGGGAATGAGCGGGAGGAGGGTGCCCATGAAACGGAAGGGACGGGGGAGAGAGGCGAAGCTGTTGCGGAGGTGGCTGAAGAAGGAAGGTCGGGGGTGGGATTTGGGCTGTTGATGTTGTTGTTGTTGGTGTGTCTGTTGCGGTTGGGGGGGTGAGGGGGTGGTGCGGCGCGCTTTGGCTAGGTCGGGGGGTAGGACTCGGTACCGGGAGGTTGGGGGTGGAGGGGGAGCGCGAGAGGGTGGTGTTGGTGGTGGTGGCATTTTGAAAGGTCTGGGATTGAATCAATTGGAGAGAGTCGTGATGCGACGATGATCTCGGTGTTTAGTCGGAGGTGGGCGGATGGATGAATGGTGTTGGGTTTCTGGTGTTTGGAGGGCCGTTAGGGTGAACGACTAGGTGGGTCACAGACACTATGTGACAGTGATTGTGTTGGATATACGTTGATGTGGTGTTTGGGGGTGGTGAAGCGCAATTGCTGGATTGAATGGTATGATATTGAATTCTAGTGGTGATTATGGTGATAATCGATTAAATTGCGATCCTGATATCATGAGCTTGTTTGCATTGTTTGGTGTGTTTGCATTCTGGACAGAGCTGCTTTTGCTGTAGTAAATAGAGCGGCGGATCAGGTGACTCGGAGGAATCGGAGAGTGACTTTCTCCGCCTCCCGCTTCGTGGGTGCCACTGCCGTTCGGGCGTGCATCTTGCATGAATCTCTCTTTCACTAGAGCCTGCTAACTATTCCCCTTGCCGTTTGTTGTCTTGTCGTACATATCCTACTCGTCGTATATATTATATTCTCTTCTGTGTATATCTTCCAGCGCATCGCTGTCGCCTCTTTTGCCGCCCCGCTCCCCTATAGTGCGACTCCCGTTTGTCTTGCCATATGGGATTTTTCGACCACCTCCAGAAAGGAGGCGCCTTTTCTCTACAACCGAAGAAGCCTCAGATCCGCAAGGTTGTTCAGACGCGAACCGCTCCTGCTTCGCGATCCACGTCCCAGACCCCAGGTCCCTCATCCCGAACCCCTCCTGCTCAGCTCAAAGCGCAACAATCAGCAAGCAGATCCGTCTCCAGGGACCGTGACCCCCCGTCTGCGAAAAGGCGACATGGCACACCGGCGCAGAGTCGGAAGCGTCAAACTCCGGAATTACGGCTCTCGAGCGATGACGATGCGAGCGACACGGACTCTTCGTTTGAGGTGCGCAAACGGGCTAGGACAGGCGATAGCGCGGAACCAGACCCTGCTAGGCGCGTGCGATCCTTAAAGGCTTTTTCCGAAGATAGCGTCCGGTCACTCCCTATGATACATGCTGCCGATATTACATCTCGCCAGAAGGCCGGCAACTTTAAGCCTGCGTTTGGGGCAGCCAAGCCGCTACCGGAGCTACTCCTGCAGTATCCCAGCACTTCGGCCCCGGAGAGGTATAACCTTGTGGTGCCTCGAGACCATGATGATTTCAAGCCTATCGACGACATTGTTCAGGTCCTCGACATCGTGTCACAGAATTATATCCCAGACGAAGCGGCAGACGAATTCAATAATGAATCGACTGGAATCAAGCGCAGACTACGACGAGCCCTTGCCCATTCATCTGAAGCGGATTTCCGGAGTGTTGTGAACGAGTACAATGAGGCAATCGTGCGGTTAAGGCGTGATGGCAGTATCGCAAAGAAACTGGATTCGACGAGCCGCCTTAATTTACCTCACGTGGAAAGGATCCTGAATCAAATATACTCGCGCACTGTCTCGCCTCGGGTCGAGTCGCTTCGCCAGTATGAGAATGGAACGGACAACGTGTACGGAGAACTTCTTCCGCGCTTCATTAGCACTATATTCAAGGAAACGGGGCTAAAGTCCGGTCAAGTTTTTGTCGACCTGGGCTCCGGAGTTGGTAACGTTGTCCTCCAAGCGGCGCTTGAGATTGGATGTGAAAGTTGGGGCTGTGAAATGATGGACAATGCATGTGACCTGGCCGATCTGCAGCAGGCGGAATTCAGGTCACGATGTCGGCTATGGGGCATCGCTCCCGGGAAGACGCACCTCGTTAGGGGTGATTTCCTGAAGGAGCAGCCCATTATCGATGTTCTGAAACGCGCTGATGTCATCTTGATCAATAATCAGGCGTTCACTCCGCAATTGAATAACGAACTAATCAATCACTTCTTGGATATGAAGGAAGGGTGCCAGATCGTATCCCTGAAATCCTTTGTGCCCGCGGGACACAAAATCCAATCCCGCAATCTCAACTCGCCCATTAATCTACTGAAAGTCAAGCAGAGGAACTATTGGTCGAACAGCGTAAGTTGGACCGACGTTGGCGGTACCTACTTCATCGCGACCAAGGACAGCTCCCGCCTGAAAGCTTTCGTAGATAGCATGCAATGATCTGATGCTACCTCCCTGAATGCCTTTCCTCGTTTCACGACCGCAATGCTCCACTACTTTCGGTTTCTTGTATTGATACTTTCTTCTTTTTTTCTCTTTTTCTTTTTGGCATTTATCCATGGTCGGGCTTAGGACGTGATACCAAGGTTTATCATTCAGGCATCTGCATCAGCGCGTGCTAGGGCAATCCTAGTACTTTTTATTTTCAGTACATAAATCTGCCCACTTCTGCTATTGATCTTCGAAGCTGTGATGAGAAACGACCCGTGAGACGATGGTACATTGTGGATAGATGGCATCTTTTGAAGACAGTTTGGCTTGTGCGCCTCTAACAGCATAGCATGCATCCCTGGCATTTATCAAACCGACATTCGAACTTTTGATTAGCCACCGCCCTCCTTCATAGCGTCCTTGCAACAGAGCCTGGCTGATGCGAGCAACCCTTGAAGCCAGTGAACATATCAGCCAGCACCATGGAAGCGGAGTCGCCACCATACGGTATTGTCGCAATGAAGTGATAGCGAGCCGAATCATACATCGGGCGGAAAAGACTGCGATGCTGTGACTTCGAGTGTTGTATATAGAATTATTTGGCTGGATAGCTAGGGGCAGCCTCCAGAACCTCCGACGTGGCGTGCACCCGCCCACGCGGAGTTAAGAATAGACTAAGAAAGCATATCAGAATAAAGTGATTTGATATCCTATTCAAAAAATGCTGCAGATAGGCCGGTCGGTCAGTTCGGCGGACGTTGGGCTCTTCCTACTGGACTTTAGTCTGGGATGGAAACACGTACGCCCTCAGGCCGTGGGGAGACGCTAGAGTACTGTGGTTATTTCTCGGTAGCGTGGATGGGATTTCACCCACTTGGTGCTCACTACTTAAATATTCACCATCCGCTACTAGGACGTATTGGTGGTTATTTGGCGGAGGTTATATGTATCCCATCTGAGACTTGGCCCCGTTGATTAACCATCGTATTTGTTTCAGATGATTTGCTATTTCTTACTCGATAAGAGTTGGGTGTACGACGGTGTGAAGGGTGATGTTTAATAACCCAACTTGCTCTAGGCTAGGCTGGGCGGAAACGTTTGTTTCATCTGCAGACATCTATGCTATGTGGCATTCAGCAAGCGCTAGTCATTATCGCGGATGCAAGCATCCGACATGGGAAGTTCTATGTATAAGCTATCGCAAATTCAACAGCATCTGCTCCGGCGACTCAACGAGTTCCCGAACCCGATTAGCCATCCGGGCCATAGTGGCGCCATCCACCACTCGGTGGTCGGCACTCCAGCTAAAGTTCACGAGCTCGCCTTTCGTAACCTGACCAGCGTCATCAAAGATGGGCACTGTTCGGGACTTGCCAATGCCGAGGATGGCCATCTCATTTGGTATGACTACTGGCGCGACGTATGTACCTCCAATGTTACCGATATTGGAAGCAGTGATTGTGCCACCGCTGAGGTCTGCGGGTGTGAGCTTTCTTTCTTTTGCGAGTGCGTTCAAGCGTAGGATTTCAGCGGCAATATCTAGGATCGATAAATTGCCCACGTCCTTGATGTTGGGGACTAGCAAGCCCTGAGGGGTGTCCATGGCGACACCGATGTTGTGTTTTGCTCGCATGATCAACTGTGGTTTGGCGGGATCAGTGGTATCGATCTTCGCGTTGAGAAGCGGGTAGTCATTTAAAGCGAGGGACATGGCCTTGATGACGAAAGAGAGCAGACTGATCTTTTTAGGGTCTTTGGGGTCGTTGGCCAGCCTCTTTCTAATAGCCATTACGTTATTAACGTTAAGTTCGTCGGCGTAGAGGAATTGCGGGATGCTGAGGGAGTTCGTCATGTTCTTAAACATCTGACTTTGGATTGGTGTGAGTTTGACAGCGGTCTCTTCTTGCACCCCCGGGGCAGTAAGCTGTGCTGAAGGTGCTTGATCCCGCTCGGCGATAAAGCGCTGGACATCTTCCTTGAGGACGCGCCCATCCTTGCCTGTTCCTTGTACATCTTCAATGTTCACATTGTGAATTTTCAGCATCCCGCGAACCGCCGGGGTAGCGAGTGTTGCATGCCGCGATTTTGGCCCGTTATTCGTGATGCCGTTTACTGGTGTAGATGGAGCAGTTTGTGTCGGTTGTAGTGGTTGAGTTTCTGTGGGAGAAGACCTGGCCGGTGTTGGTTCTATCGGTTCTGTCTTTGGAACCGGCGGCGGGTTATCATCTGGATATTTCCCGTTCTCAACTTCTATATCGCAGAGCGCCTAGAGAAGATTTGACAATTAGCAAGCCTATTTTTAAGTTCGAATTGTAGTCATGCTTACCTTCCCCGTCGGGACAGTGTCGTCTGCTTGAAAGTGGAGCTTCTTAACAACGCCCTCATATCTCGAGGTGATCTATGGTCATTAGCTCTATGTCAAGAGCAAGTCTTTCAAGAACATGGGAACCGACATCATCAACCGCTTTATCTGACTGATATTGACAGAGTGGCTTCCACTCTTCAATGTACGCTCCCTCCTCAACGTACCACTGGATTATTTGGACCTCCGTTATCCCTGTGGAAAATGCAATGTAAACAACCGACAATAGAAGGCTAATGGGGTAGTGATGAAGGGATAAGAAGATGGTCATTTGGACAATAATGCCTTACCTTCACCAACATCTTTCAATACCTGAGACTTTACACCCCACAGTGAGGCGGCGGCATGGAATCTCCGACGAGGAAGAGGTCGTGCCTGGCACCGGATCGTTGGCAAGGTCCTTGGGCCGTGGCATAGCTGGAGAGCCCGGGACAAGCTCCCAGTCGAGCGCAAAATATTCATGTTCAACCCGGCGTCGGCTTTGACGTGCGGAAAAGTGAGAACACACGAAAGGAGGGAGTCAGATGTAGCATTCCGGCTGCAGGATGGATGATGGGGGAGTATGTAAGTAATACCCTGTTGTTATCCAGGTACGCCGGCCCCCGACGATAGCCGATGACTAGCATAATTGCACGTGATGTTACTCCGCATTTCCACTTCCGCCCGCACTTCGGGCCGCTAGTTCTTCCGCCATAGGAACATGGCACGTGCGCACCGATCTATACATCACAGCCAGTTGGATTGGCTTTCGCTTTATTCTCTCTTTACAGCTTTGAGTATAAAGAAGTGAGGTATAACTATCTTCGCTGGGATGTTGGTTTTCTTTTTGATCACCTAGTGCTTATTAGCTCCAGTTGCACGGATGTGTAAAGGCATCCCTTCTAATGAGGCACGTAACGGTGGTCAAAAAGTTATCCAAAGAGAACTGCAGAACCGAGAGTAAGAGGAGAGCCATATACTATTAGTGAGCCTATATAGATAACTCTTCTCAAGAGTGCCCCCGGTCTATGTTGCGTTTAGGTCAATCTTGGAGCCTTATACTTCCATTTTAATGAAGCTGGGATGTTGATGCTTAATAAGCTCTGGAGTCCCTTGCTGGAGCTCCAAGTTAGTCGTGGAATAACCTTGCTCCGTACTGAGTAGGAAAAAGCACTTTTCAGACTGCGATGAGCAGGAAAATCAAATTACCTGCCTTCTGACATCATTTGCCGTACGGAGTTGATATCTACAGTATCAGGCCGCTTATCGCAGCGTGGATACAGCCTAAAGCTCTACCCCAGTTCGGCTATCGGCGGGTGGGGAAGACACCCGCGCTCAGGACCGACGCCAGCCGGCCTCCGCATTCCCAGCATTCCTCGAGTTAAGAATAACGCCCTTCTATCATGAGGTGAGGCCATCGCACTTCCTGAACACCCAGGGCTGGCCCTCCTCTCCCATAATATTCTCAATATGCAGTCTCTACGGTCTGCACGTTTTTTGCGTTCTTCACAACCACTTTCGAGGGTCCCTCGGCGATGGAGCAATTCTATATCGCAGCGCCCTGGATCGGATCGGTAAGGTCACTCACATAAGATAACCAGCTCAGATAGCAGAGAATATGGGCGAAGCTGACAGTAGCAGTGTCCGGTTTCCAGGGGCTATCAATAGCAAATTCACTACCGATATGACCTTCATCAACCCTACCGAAATGTCCAATATCCCTACGTACCGAGTCATGGACTCCGACGGAGTACTGGTCGACAAGTCGCGCAAGTCCATCGATGTGCCAAAGGAAGAGATTCTGGCATGGTACAAGAACATGTTGACAGGTTGGGTTACATATATATCATGCTACCGCTCTGGATCTGACAGCAGCCAGTCAGTGTCATGGACGTCATCATGTTTGAAGCGCAACGGCAGGGTCGACTGAGCTTCTATATGGTATGCCTATTACTGTTATAAAAGTCTCCATAATTATTGAAGCTGACTTTGTTAGGTATCTGCCGGCGAAGAAGGGATCAGTGTCGGATCCGCCGCAGCCTTAACCCCAGACGACGTAGTATTCGCCCAGTACCGCGAAGCAGGCGTCTTCCAGCAACGAGGCTTCACCCTGAAAAACTTCATGAGCCAACTGTTTGCCAATAGATTCGACAACAGCAAGGGCCGTAACATGCCAGTACATTATGGGTGCAACTATCCCCGAACAGTTCGTCTCCTCCACACATAACCGCGCAGCCATTACCTAACTATACCTAGCACACAATCTCCTCCCCGCTTGCAACCCAAATACCCCAAGCATCCGGTGCTGCCTACGCTCTCAAGTTACAATCACTCCAGAACCCCGATACCCCGGCGCGAATCGTTGCCTGCTATTTCGGCGAAGGAGCCGCCAGCGAAGGAGACTTCCATGCGGGCTTGAATATAGCTGCGACGCGGTCCTGTCCCGTGGTGTTCATCTGCCGCAACAATGGATATGCGATCTCCACCCCTACACTAGAACAATACCGGGGCGACGGTATCGCTAGCCGCGGTGTTGGCTACGGCATTGACACCATCCGGGTGGACGGCAACGACATCTTCGCCGTCTACGAGGCAATGCGTGAAGCTCGTCGTCTCGCCCTCCAAGGTGGCGGTAAACCCGTCCTAATCGAAGCGATGAGCTACCGTGTATCACATCACAGCACTAGTGATGATAGCTTTGCGTACCGGGCAAGGGTTGAAGTCGAGGACTGGAAACGGCGCGATAACCCAATTATCCGGTTGCGGAAGTGGTTGGAAAATGAAGGTCACTGGAGTGAAGATCTAGAGCGGGAAACGCGCGATAAGATTCGAAAGGAGGTGCTCAGGGAGTTTGGGGAGGCAGAGCGGGAGAAGAAGCCCCCATTGAGGGAAGCGTTTGAGGGGGTTTATGACGAGTTGACAGAGGAGGCGGAGGCTCAGATGAAGGAGCTGAAGAGGATATTGGAGACATATCCTGAGGAGTATGATTTGCATCAGTTCCAGGATGGCGTAAATGGGTTACGATAGAGCTGTCATCATAATCGACGCTTTTTGTCTGCTTAAATCATGGAGAAGTTAAGTGGCTGGCTTTCTCTGATGTTTATAGCCGCACAACCTGTTTAGCATATAGAGAAACATTTATAATGCCACTTCCATGACATTTTGTGAGACGAATATTTGCTCACCGAGACGTTCAGATATGGCAGCGCAAGGTAAAATAGTGAGGATGGTCACGAAAATCTCCAGGCTGCAGTTGATGTGCTACTAGTACTGCTCCAGTTTCTCGCTTACACGATCGAACAGGGGTGACGGACCTTGCTCCCGGTTCGTCTGGTAGACAAACCAGAGTGTACTCAATTGGACGAATTATGTATCGCCAGGAAATATATCTACTGACCAATTGAACACCTATGTAGACAACCAACTAAGCTAACATCCTATTGTGATTTTACTACTTATTAGTTGTATGGCAATCGATGAGCAGTACTAAATATATTTCTGCGAAGCCACCGGATAGAACCCGTCAGTGAACAACAATCTCCCCCACCGACCAGCCTAACCAATAGAATGTGGCAGACTTGCTAGCACCCTGGCGAACTGTGACACACTGAGTACAGGCTTGTTGCCAAGCAAGCACTACGTATGACCTGATTACAAGCTTGTGACCAGGTTACGAACGCTTTCTGCAGGGAAACTGCTGGGCAGCCATACTTCCCTTTGAAATGGGCAGGCTAGTAGGCAGGGTAGGGTAGAAAGAAAAGATCTACGCCCATGGCGCTTATAGGGACAACATTGGAAACAGTCCAAGTTTAAACACGGAAAAGGATCAATAGGGACACAATAGCAATGGCCAGGAGAAATTATAGCCACCATGGATCGACAGCATGGTTGAGAACATGGTTGCTGATCAATCAGACTCTGCACCCATCATCTCCTTCAGAACATCCATACCCATTTCTGTACCATTCAATACTTCTGAGACCGATACGAGAAACCCGGAAACCTTCTCCTTGGGCTCGCGTCTGCTCACCGTTTCCCCCGTTTGGTCTCGTTCATCTGGGGACCTGGAGTTTCTTCCGACCTTTGCTGGATGACGAAAAACCATTCGATTCAGCACACGGAAACACGGGCCAGCCCACAGGGAATAGCACAAACGCCTGTCAAACCTTGTCGGGACGGTAAGCTGCTTGCCCAGATCCCCCAGTCCGGTGAAACCCGCGAAACCAATAATCCGCGGTGGCGTCTGCCTCCCTGCATACGTCAAAAGATAAACATGCGTTTTGGTCCGTAGATTGAGAGCAGTCTGAGAGTTAGCCCGTATCCTCATTGGAAACCTTTTTCTGACAGCACCTTCCAGACCACAATGGGCCGGGAATAGCGGCGTCTCTGTCGGTGTGAAGTGTACTAAATGCTACTGTAACCTTGATGACCACATCTCCCCCTGATTCAGATAATTGTAACCTAGAGAGTAAGAGTCTGGGATTTCTGAGCAACTATGGAGGGATCAGCAGACGGGAACACCAGCCACCTCGCTTCATCTAAACACATCCTTCCTAGCAGACAAGGCAATCATTCGATGCCGGAAGCCTATTTCCCCGTCACTCCCATCTGCAGGCAGTTTTCGAATTTGATAGTGGTGTTTGGGACAGGACCTTTACAGGTAGTCTAATCTGGCCATCGGCCTCTCCATTAGCTCGGTTCAAAGTAGCCCCGTCGCCAGCGTCCTAATCAGTAATGAATTATAGCGTTCTGAAACCGGATTACCACGTCTTAGTCTCCTCTCTCTTGGATGATATGACATGGCTTCGGGTACACGGGGGATTCCAGATTACAAAGAAGTAAGAATAATACAACTTGTCAGATATGCGAAGCTGACGGGAGCGGTCTAGCTTAGCAGCAATAATATGTCCTGACGAATGTATCAGTGGCTTTCATACCGAGTATTTGGCGGTGATAACCGGTTTGGGGTTCCGGAAAAATAAAATATTAGAATTCAGGTCAGTCACTTAGGGTAGTCAGATGTCCTGATACCATTGTCTTTGTATTCTGTGTTCCGTGGAAATAAGAAGGTAGACAGAACCTGCAAGCCTAGAAGTAGATGGAGTAAGATCCATGCTTGCGGCATCATAGGTTCACGTACAGATTGAAGAGATGGAACATTAATAACTCTACAGACAGACGCAGTTACATATGTAAACATAAAACAACAAGAATTGAAGAGAGAGGAACTACGAAGGAGGGAAAAAGCGAGAGTAAAAAGAGGATAGCCATCGTAAAAACGAGGCATGTCGTTCACTGGCGCCAGAATGACTCCCTCAGAGGCGGCAGCTGCTCTCCCAGTGGCACCTTTCTCTTCTTAGACCCGCCAGACTTTGCGCCCCGTCTCCCTGGTCTCTTGGTTGGCCTTTCCGTAGTTGTTTCCACTGCTTTTGCTGCACCGCCTACAGACCCAGTCCGTGAGGCCTGCCTCGTCCTCGGTCTTTTCCTCTCCACGAACACTTCCGCCTTGAAAACTCGGTGATGAGGAATTTTGTAACGTGGACCGTAAGATCTCATATCGGTGTAGGATAAGCTCGGGCGAGTCACGATCAGAACTCGCCCCCCCGCGAGAGGCGCGAACCTCGGCGTGCGCCAATAACTGGTGAAGTGGTGCGAATGCGGTGTCATAGTTTCCGAATCATAGTGGAAGGCGGGCAGATCGGGAAGCCGGTCGACGTTGCTGTTGCCGAACATTCCACCCTCAGTGTAAATGATAAAATCCGCGGCGGACTCGAGAAGCGCCTGAAGGGCACTGTTACGCCGAGTGATCTCTGCTTCATCCTCCAGCGGGCTGAGAAGAAGCTGGAAAACCTGGCGCTCAAGCAATTCCTCGGTAAGGTCTTTGAGGATTATCGGGCGCCGGGCGTTGGTGTCCTTTGACAGCTCCGTGCTAGGTTTGTCGATAATGCTGCGGGCGTTAGCTTCGGTGACAGTGATCGATTTCCACCAAGCTGCGTTGAGGGCGTCTGATTTCCGGAATCTGTCGTAAAAATACTGAAGTCTTTGGTGGAACTGAGGATCGCCGTTGGCATCTGTGGGGCTGATCTTTCCATCCACAAACCAGAAAGGGGTGTCGATAAATTTGTTACAGATGTACTGCCACAGCATGGTTTCAGCTAGAACAGGGCCCATATGCTCTTGAGTGGCAGGGGGAAGGAGAGCATGAATGGTATCCCAGTCCTCCTGGACACAGTAGCCATCAAGGCTGGCAACGATTGCCTGCTTGTCGGCCCGTGAAAGATCTGACATTGAGTCACATCGTGTCCAAGTGTAGGTCCAATTGTAGATCGTAGCGTGTAGCATCTCGAACTTTTCGTGGACGAGATCAGGAATGCATCGACGGAGGGATGGATTGAGCTGCATGGCGTTGCAATGCATCAAGACATCATGGTATTCTTCGCGCGTAATAAAGAATGACTCGCAGCCGTAAGATCGCTCCGACTCTGACGATTCGTCTTGAGAGGACTCCAGGTCTGTCTCAGGCCGATCGGGCTCCTCAGACCGTCTGGCAGTGGCCATGTTTGTCGAGTAGAAGGCGGAAGGGACGAATACTTCTGAGACAATGGGACACGTTGAAGGAAGGCAGCAATGGAGCGCTGGCTTGACTTAGCAGATGGATGAGAGGCAAGAGGGATGAGCTTTAGCGAGAAGAAGTAGGAAGACTGATCGAAATGTTCCTACACGTAATGTTGGAAATCCGAGCTTTCATAGTTGATTCCATTCATTATACTTTTCCCTCTATCTCCGCGCTTCATAAACCTAGTTTTTGTCTCTTTGTTTCTCTTTGTTTCTCTTTAATTTCTTTTTTTTTTCTTTGACTTCTTCTGTGTTTTTTATTCCTAATTATATTATTATTTTTTTCTTCTTTCCTTGCGAATGTCTCTTCTCCTTTTTTTTTTTGTTTTTTTTACCGCCTTATCCATTTTTATCTTCAATGCTTAAATGTGGTTCTTCCTTACCGAACCTGCTTTTCATATTCAGTCTTACTCTCTATGTGGGGCTGGGACAGGCCTTTTTCGGGTATCCTTGATATCACTTTTGGTGCTTAAGTTGCTGTATTTATCTATGTATCTAGAATGAATAACCCCTTCCATTACTCGGGACCAAAGTACGCATGGCACGATCGTAGCCAATATTGGGACATATATCTCCTCAGTTGCTCAGATAGCCACAATTTATCAATTCCAGTTTAGTAGCCGGCGCATCAACAGGTTTCGAGCCTAAAAGCAAATCGCCCCTTACTAGCATGTAAAGTAGATCAACAACCTTCATGGTCTCTAGTTCAAAGGTGCTGTGTTGACACGGATGGTGAAGAATATATCGATGATAATGCGCGGGGCCGGGGGTATAATTATTTCATACTCGGCCCTGAAAGTAGTTGTGTGGTATAACAGGTATAGGATTGTACTCTGTGGATAATTCAAGATGTTCTGACATTCGATGTGTCAGTATAACTAGGTACAAGGGTATCACACAATATGCTAGGTGAACAGAATGTGACTCGAAACAGACAAGTGAAATAATGGTAGCATGGGAAAGAAAAGAGAATAAAATAATTAAGGAAGACAAGAAAAATATTATAGTACAGATTTTCCCACCACCCACCCTGAAAGAGCCAAGATTCGGCTCTTTCAACTGAGGTAGTAACAGAGAGAAGAGAAAAGAAAGAAAAGACAATAGGAAATATTCCCACCACCCGCCCTGAGAAAGCCAGTATATGGCTCACTCAACTGAGGTAGTAATAGAGAGATGAGAGCAAGAGATGAGTAAAGAATAGGAAGAAAGACTGGCACCGTTCAGAAAGGATACGGGAAGAGAAAGGCAGTACAGGAGGGAAAGCGCGGTTAGAAAAACGTCAGTAATCGACGTATTCGACTTCCTTCAAATTGCCAGCCCATCTGATTTCACTCAAAGTCTCTTCAAGTCTTATAACCTCTCTCCTTGCTTCTACCCAGCCAGTTTGGCGAGGAAATATCCAACCCGCACGTTCAATCAGCTCATTATCAACTAGTTGATTCAGGCGATTTAGTAGCGTCTTGCACGTCTCGTAGTTCGTGACATATGCGGATTCCAGCTGGAGGATGATGTTGTCCCGGTGTTTAGGGGTTGGAATACTGGAGGCGGTAAAGATAATTTCTGCATCTGTAAGAAGGATCTCATGATCCCAGATGAGATAGCTGGTATAGGTGTCTAGATGACGCAAGAGGGCGGTATAGATTGGAAGAGTATTGACTTTGTGATTTTGAGTGTAGGTGGATAGGATGTCGAGGGCAGAAGCAAGAAGTGGAAGAAGCGTAGAGCTGTCGGATGTGCTGGTCGTTATGGTAAAGGAGAGTGCGGCGAGTAAGGTAGCGAGGGCTGGATCTTGGTCTTCGACCCATATCTGGGAAGTAGACTCCGTGATGTGGGTGATAGACAATTCCTCATCGTCATCCTCAGAATTGGCGAAGAGTCGGGTTAGGGCTGATGATAGATCGGGCTGGGCTCTGGTATTGCCCTTGTCCTTGCCCTTGCGAAGGTGAATGATGCGATTCAAGTATCTGAAGGGAGTACGGATATTATTGGAGAGGAGGATAGGAGCCATCTTATAGATGGTTAAGATGGATACTGAAGATTTGGTTGACAGGGTAGAGGGTGAATAGAGTCGCCTATGCAGAGGAGCTTTTGAGGGAAGTCGGTGTCTGAGATGTTTCGGGCGGGAATTTAGTAGCGATGATATGGTGTCCAGTGGAGTTTCTGAAGGTAGGAATGGTTTTGTAGTTTTAGTAGGCAGCAGGAAGCTTGCTGTAAACCGGTAGATAGTAGGGTAGAAGTGTTCAAATGATAAAACTTGAATATAAGGTTGAGGGTTGTAGAAGAGATACTCAGAAATCAGAACAATAGAAACTAAGAATAGAGGATATAGTTCTTCGACTCAGAATTTTCTTTCCATCCATGGGCCACTTTGATTCACATAGGCTTAATATAGAAATTGATGACATATTGACTCCGCAAGCTATACTGGTCACTTCGGTTCCTGCCAGGAAGCAGCGTAGTGGTATCGTCACCAGTAGAAATAGAAGTCATTTGGTTAATTATGCCACAAAAGTTTGGCAACAGCGAATGTACAAAGCTGGAATGCTTCTCCTGAGCTTTTTCACTTTGCCATCATGTTTCCGGAAGGTACCAAAATAAAGATTGCATCTTTTCAGTTCTCTATGAAAGGGGCTACCTAATGGCGTTGACATGCCATGGCCATCAAGTCTTGCGAATGGCTTGGCATCCCAAGATGGCTCCTGTTATGCCCTATTTGGATGGAAACCTATATTACCTTTGCCTACCCCGTCGTCAGGAAGCTGTCAGCAAGACATGATACATCCTCGTTATGCTCTCATCCCTACACCAAAGTTTCCCGTATCAGGATCCATAATCGCCAATAGCAGTACGCAGGTCTTCACGACGCTCTGTCGGACCTTTCCTTGATATAAGGAGATCTCTATCCCGCAGATCACAATATTGATGCAGCCGGCATTCTTGTGGTTACATCGCGTTGAATCACACCCTGCAGTTTGTATGTAATGCTTGATGTGGATGTTTCTGGATTTTACCCCCCTGAATTACTAGGATGTACTCGCCCATTTCCTAAATATCATTTTACTTGGCTTTTACGCACCTTCTAGTTGTGTCATCATCGGATAGCTGAATAGGTATGTCAATGACAGGTATAGAAGACACAGAAGTCAACCTTTAACTGTATACTAGTTCAATTTTGTCATAGCAAAAACTGCGCTCGGAGATAGACTATCAACAGTAGGAAATCGACATTGAATGCCCATAGCAGTCATGCTCCAATGTCGAAGGCTAGTCTGATATCATTGCGTCGGTGAAGCAACCCTCGGTATTGAACATACGCATATCTCCGTAGGGATGGAGGCCATATCACAGTGCCATTTCCGGTTGCTACAAGTTGTTAATAGAGAGTCAATCTTCGAGATGAAGAAATGCTCCAAAACTTACCCAATGAAATTCGTAGTCTTCCAGCTCATTAATTCTGTTACACAGGTGTTAGCCATCAGGCCCTTCACCGTCGGAAGGAGAAGAATATCGTTAATAAGCTTAAACCCGCCAAAGAAAACATATACAATAACGCAAAGCTAAACAAATGGGAATGAGCCGATAGCTCGCACAAGTTCAGAATCTATTCATGTTCTTCAATCCCATCAGCGCAGTTCACACTATACATCCTGATAGAGACTGCACTGTTGAGATGAGCTAACTATGCAGCTTTCACAGAATGATACTAAGAATCGATTCACGATAATGAAAATGCCTAGAGACGTTTGTATGCTTCTTCCATCCGCAGGTGCCGGTGGACCTGGGTTTCGGGACTGGTGGAGACGTAATTGCGTGCTGAGACTATTATTTCCTGGAGAGCCCGTGAGACATATGTTTCGTTGCCTTGCATTTCGCTGTTTATTTGTCTTTTACATCGGCGAAGACACCAGCAGCACTCAAACTGGAGTGCAGTCCATGGCTGTCGTGGGCATGGCAGTGATCAGCCGGTATGGCCTGCTTGCTCCCTGTTGGGTACGCAAAAATCCTCAATCTCTGAATTGTGAGGAAGTCGTTGTGAGTTTCCTTGGGCTTATATCTTTCAACGCTTGTAGCAGTCATCCCTCGTAAAGGCATTTGTGCGATCGTGAAATGTTGAAGTGTGCATATTGAGACTGCATTCATACAATTCGGTTGTCCAGCAAGCTCTGTCGCCTTAAACCCCTACAACACCCCCGGAAGGGATACCGATAGAAAGTACATGTTCGCAGCGCACAAGACGCTCCTGCGCCCTCAAAAGCAGCGGACCGTAGCTTAATTTCCCAAAACTGAGATGAGAGCAACACTTCAGAACCTCGAATGCCCGAGTGGTCGTATTTGCGCATAGGAGCTTCGCGAGTTCTAAAGCTGTCCTCAGCGTAGTGGAGAATACTCTTTTACCCACATCCACATGCAACAGCCAGTCATCCTCAACTGAAGAACGGCCGCGAGAATTTCCAGGACGCTGTGAATTAGGTACTACCTATGATCCAGTCCCGATTATATATATACGTGCCGAACGCAACCCCAGGAAGCGACTCAATCATTCCAAAGTGATACGTAAAGCATTTCGATGTGTCGTGAGAGTCATGAAGCTTTTGGGGTAGACCACTTTCCATTGTACACAATGTGGTAGAGACATCAACGGGTATATAGGTTGCTTTATTATAACCTATCGGACTGTAGGGATCAAATACGTAACATGCGTTTCGGTGACTCAGAGGCTGGAGAACTTCAGATGTGATGAGAAGGAAGATTGGATAGACAGAGAAAAGCGAGGGAAGCAGGGATTTATATACCTATTGTAGCACACACAACCAAGCAGCGTGAAAGCGGGACGTGCCGTGAAAGAAAATGTGCGAGTTCTGTGACTCAAGATAATTTAACGGGCAAAGCCAAGGCTGCATGGTTCTTCACTGTAGCCTTATTCTCTGTTTATATCACTTCCAGCAACCAGACTGCCTCATCGAGCCTCAAGGCGTCTATTACAGCAGTCAAAGTCATTCATATTCCCCACAGTCGAATATGACCGATTCCTGAGAATATGTGCCGGTTTGCGGAATTGGTATACAGGACAACGCCTGCTCTATGTCCACCACCACCACTAATTCCTGCTTCACGAAACCACAACCTGGCCAAAGCAATCAACGCCTGTCTGGTCCAGCTTATCAACGCCTGTCTGGTCCAGCTTTATTCATCAGTATCATTTCAGATGTAATTCTGTTCGGTGGATATCACCGATGCATTGGTTAAGAGTAAAATAGTGGGGGTTCATTCTGGAGATAAGTCCTGAATAAAACTAGAAACTTATACCATTATTCTCGTTATGTGTAATTAGGCTGCAGAACATGAGCCTTTAGTTTAGCCCTTGTACCGTGGATCAGGCCTAAGGCTTTAGGTAACATATTCTACACGGAAAGTGGCATGATACTGTGGCAATTGACAAGGTAAATGTGGAGGGTACCGATCAACTAATGAGTGATTCGATTTTAAGTTAGGAATGTAACGTAGGACCATATTATCCCTATAAATCTCCTGCTCAAGTTTGCACACAGCCGATGAAATTTCCTTATGGCTGGAAGGCTACGGAGATGGACTATCAGGCTACTCCGTGAATCGATCAGGATGCTATGGTGAAATCGCTTGTCACAGTATCACAGATGGTGCACCTTCGTCCTGAATACATTAGTCTATGACTAACACGATACTCAATATATCTGCCTGGGAGGGGCCTATGGCAGAGTCTGTTGTCCCGGCCCGCTACCGCATTCTGCAACTCCAGTCTCGTCTATCCAGTGGACAATTGTAAGGAATTCTAAAGATCGTTTCATCTGTTGTCTGTTAATTTGAAAAGAATCTATGTTTCACTCAATACGTACTTTGAACTATAATTCATCTGCTCGAGTAATAGTTATCATCCACTACGCATGTTGAAACAAAGCCATCGGGCCACATTATATGTACGATTCATGATAACAAAGCTTTGTGTTTTTATTAAATTTTGACTCACTTATCATCAATCTGTTTTCGAATGGTAGTGTCAGTTTTTTCTAGAAATAATAGATATTTTGATACACGCGAATGTTCTTGGATCAGTAAATTATCACCTTAAGCCTTTGCAAATAACCGACTACGAAGAGGGTGACCCGGATACAGAGATATATTCGGCTGGTCGGGTCCGAATAGGCACCTAAATATGCTTCAAGGAGTGGAAAATTTATTCTGTATGCGTATTAGTTGCGCAGGGCAAAGTTTAATCCTCTGGGCCATTATCCAGGATTTCCGCTAGGCTGGCAGGCACATGACGGAGAAACTCTGAGAACGTTACATGCAGTACAGACTCTGCTGATGTCGACCGTGGTTCGCCCAAAGAAGCTAATCACTATGAGCACATTGTTTAGCTTGGCCCCAACGAAGATGATGGAAGTATCCTCGTGGGCCCATCACGTACTCCATATCCTGCCTAAATACAACGATGAACTGGTCCAGGTTTAACCTTGTCTCAAGCCCTCAACCCTCTCTCATAACACTGCCGTCTAGCCAGTCAAAGAGAATGATGCGGTTACGCTTGAAGCAAACGGTACTCAGTGAGCGGCTGGCTAATCATGGAGAATAATCCGTCTACATTCCCTGCATTTTCCGGGGCTGGTAGCACTCTACCATTTCATATCCATGGAAATCAGCGGCAATTCTGGTCTCCCTAATACCTGGTCTCCTAGAGGTCTCGCTTTTCTGGTTGATTATTTGGTACCTAGCATCTAGACTCAGAGACGGGCCGATCCTCGGCTGGAGGGAAACAAGAGACACAAGGGAAGTAGCCACGACTGCGCTTTCCGCCTGCACTTTTCACCAAAAGAAATCTTGTTGGGGGGGAAGAAACTAATCGAGGGTTCGATTTTTGATGAACCATGAGACGTTACTCTTTCAAAGCTAGTTTCACTCTCTTTCGGGCTGAGTTACATCCCTATACTTTCGTTGAAGAACTCAGTCTTAAAATTATATATTCAGAGTCAGCTCAGCTACCTTTTTCGTAAACATTAGCGACATCCTCTCGATTACTCTGGTGTATCATCCTGCAATTGTTCAACTCTCCAAGGTATCAGTGATGGGTGACATCAAGATGAGCTCTCTAAGGCGCTGCTACAGAACAGCTACTAATGATTGCTTGGACAGGATTGTGGACTTTCTTCCTTAGACCATCATAGCACAATGCAGTATCCATCTTGGCCAGAACAACCGACCTTCAGGATATCCTCGACCGGTTCGCACAACTACAGCGATGTGGTGAGGGCCATCCGATCACCCTCTCGTCTATCTACCAGTCCGAAAGTTAACTGAGGATCTCAAGGGTAGTGCATCTCATGCATTGTCCTCCCACAGAGCGGAGCATCCTTTGACTAGCAAGAAGATGGCAATTCCTAGGCTAGCAGAAGGGCTGGAAACATTCCCAACTCCAAGTAGATTTCATCGTCGTCACGTGAGCCGAGCATGTGAATCCTGCAGACAGAGAAAGACAAAGTGCACTGGAGATAAGTCCGGTTGTCGCAACTGCCGTGAGGCTGGCATCATTTGCTGCTATACAGATGGTAAAAGGGAGAAATCCAAGAGGTGAGTCTGAATCTGATCAGATGGCTCCGTGGCTGACTTCAGAGAAATTGGTACGCCAAGGCAATTGGCTAGCTTGGAGGCCAAAATACGGACTTACGAAGATGCTTTGAAGAACCTGAGCAGCAGATTTGGGATTACGAATGAGCAGCTGATGAACCTTGCATTGACTGTGGTATGAATACAGGCCCCTCGCCTTGCTCTCGTTGAAATCATATCCTTTGATCCTCCTGAGCCCGTTATATTCCCTTCGCCCTCTCTCTTCGAGTGTTTATACTGACCGGAAGTAGGAAGAGTCCTCTAGTCCTTCCTTGTCCCCCGATGGGCGAACCCCCTTGCCCGGAACTCAAAGACCTCTCTCAGCTACCAGTTCCCAGTTGTCACTATATGTTGACTCAAGCCACTGCCTTGATTGCATCAATGAAGACTTCAACAAGGACGAAGTTTCCCAAGCTACTGGTTATATTGGTCAAAGCTCCGAAATATCATGGATACATTCATTAGGCCGAGATATCAATGGAGACACTGAGCACGGTACTCCGAGCGAAGCTATATTTTTATCGACCTCTGATAGTAGTCTTATCTCCGCATCGAATTACCATGTTGATGATCAAGAACTGCCAAATATCGAGCGACAAGAGGCATATGCACTACCATCAAAGGATGTAGCTTCAAAGCTCTACAACTGCTATTTGGATTGGGTGCATCCTACCTTCCCAATCATAGGAACCACACCATTTGGAAAACAGTTCCACGCATTCTTCAACGATACCAGGTTACATACGGGTAACAAGTGGCTCGCAGTCTTGAACCTATTATTTGCGATTGCTGCTAGGTATGCTTACATCTCTGAAGCAGAATGGCAGCTGAACAAGAATAATCACTGGTTGTATTTCTCAAGAGCGAGGGTCTTGAGTATAGATGATTGGAGCTTTCATCATCCTGACCTACAGCAATTACAAGTGGAAGGGCTAACAGCTTTATACATGCTTTCATTGGGGCATGTCAACCGGTACGTATATCATGTCGGGAGGTACGAATCGGCTATTCATGTCAGTGCTTACAAATATACCAAGTGCCTGGAGAATCTGCGGAAGTGCTGTTCGGGGAGCCCTTGGTCTTGGGTTGCATCTGCGCAACATGAGCAAGTCTGCTTCGGATACTTCCAGGGAGATTCGATATCGTGTATGGTGGTCTCTCTACACACTTGATCACCGACTTAGCATAATCACGGGACGGCCTTCCTTCATAGATGATACTGTCTATACAACACCTCTCCCAGTACCATTTGACGAAAAGGATTTCGGGAAGGATGAAGTTATAAATTGCCTCCGGTTCTCACACGGAACTGAAGGAATTCATACAGATTTTGATTTGATGGGCAGACACTCAATAGCAATCTCCAAGGGTACAGGCGCAATTTCCGGTCCTCCCTCCGGATCGTTGCACTTCCTCCATGTCATTCGGCTCATGCTGATATCAAAGAAGATGATAAATAAGCTTTACAGTCCCTCAGCAGCGAGCACGTCTTGGATGGGGATAGAATTCGCTATACAAGGTCTTACATCTGACGTTGAATCATGGCTTCTGAGCCTTCCTAAGGAGTTTGACTTTACCTCGACCCAATCCACGCAGGTTACTTATTCGATATCTAACCACCGAATGAGCCTGGCATTTATTTTCTATAGCACCAAAATTGGAATAACACGGCCATGTCTGCGCCGTTCCAATCCTGTGAATCAGGATGGCAAAACTCCAGATGAAAAGATACAGGATTTCTGTCAGAGAACAGCAGCTGAGTGCGTGGAATCAGCTTGCCATATGCTGAGATTGTTCCCAGATGGGCTAGATGCTGCTGCGCTGTACAGAATGTCACCTTGGTGGTGTATACTGCATTTTCTTGTACAAGCAACCACGGTCCTTTTAATGGAACTGTCTTTTGGTGTTTGCCACGTACCAGAGAAAGCATCGATGGTTTCTAAGGCGACCGAAAGAGCACTTAAATGGCTTGCTATACTCGCAAATACCAACGCGGCCTCGGAGAAAGCTCGCTTACTATGCGAAGGTCTTTTGCGCCGTATCGAACAATATGCGGGCGTGAATTTACCCAACCCGCCCATCCCTAGCAGATTCGGCACTTCTGTTACGCCTGGACCTGGACCAACCGGACTTTCGTCTGCTCCAGAGCCGCAGACTAATGAACTTGGATGTGGTCCTTTACCGCTCTCAGATCCGTCAACTTCTCTGGAAGCCCATTTAAAAGGCCAGCCTGCTTCAGAAAGTCCGGACCTCATGCATACGGACAAGGATACCACCGCTCAGGATACTTACGATGAGAGCCTTCCTTATGATCCAAGCACAGGGCAGATCATAGGGTCCTTTTTCCCACCTAATTTAGGACTCGGCTTGGAAATAAGCGAATACTTTTTGGAGGAAGTGTGACACTTGCGTACACCTCGTGATCAGTAATGAAATCAAAGGACTGTCCTCTCTTTGAGTCTTGTGAAAGGTATCCTAGTATTGTGCTGTGAAAGTTTGAGCAACGCGGCCCTGTCACTCTCGCTCCGCCTTAGTATATAGAATCGTGATGGCCCCCAAATTGCAATGAACGTCCCTCTTCACGTTGTTGACACCAGTATATTCTTACTAGTCTTAAATGCTTTGACCCGAGTTCAATCTTATTCCAATCCCTTCCAGCTGCGTTGGCCTGTTATACTATCAATTTCCACCCGCCGTCTTCTCACCCTGACAACCATGATAACTGCCAAACTGATCCAGCTTATACCTACCCGCGTTAAGATGGAAGAGAGGATACCCATTAATGAACTCATTGACTGTCTTTAGCAGTCTCGGAATTCCCTCAGATGCAGCACGCAGTCTCCGAATACTGCCTAAGCACTGATCCACTCTCTCCTTGAAAGCCTCACCTTCAGAAATCCCCTTACAGACACAAGTCTGCTTAACCCACGTTCCGGGCTCATTTCCTAGAACAGACTCCTTATAAAACGACAGCACATCATTCAACTGCTCAATAATACCCGCTATATCGGGGATCAACGTAAAATAATCCCCCAGACCCCAATCACTCCCAGGGAAATAAAAAAACGCATAAGCCTCCCCGATACCACTTTTCTGTCGCAAGAAGTCCGGAAACAACTTGGTAGATGGAGAGACCATGAAATGACCAGTCTGCTCCGCCTCCACAATATTGATACTCACGAAGTCCATGGTTGATTTGATGATCATGTCACCAGCATACCACTCATAGTGACTGACTATATCGTGAAGGGTATTGTATAGACCCTTAATGTATTGGAGGTTCGTGGTGGATTGGCCGAGAAAGACTGAGCGGTACGATTTGAGCTGCTCGCGGAACTCGGGGTCTGCGCATTGATCGTCGATTGAGAAGACGTATGCTGTTAAGACTCCTATGGATATTTGTAGATCTCGGGGTAGGCTGGGGTAGAAGCATCGTGCTAGGACTTCTCCTGTGTCGACGAAGTGGGGGATGGTGTCTTCTGGGAGGCCGGAGGCAGCTGCGAATTTGTCGAAGACTTCTTTGTAGAATGCTTCGTCGGGCGCGTAAGGTGGGATGTTGGGATTGATTTCGTTTAGGAAGGGGGTGATGATTTTGAAGAATTCGTCGGGTGATACTGCGGTTTGGGGCTTTGTCATTGTTGCAGACCGTGCTGATGGTTATGGTGTTGTGGGATGTACTAGGTATCGGGAAGGTACTATTAAAGCGGATGAGTGTAGTTGGAGCTGTTCGTCAAAAAAGCATTTCACTACGTCATTAGGTTGCCAAATCGGATTCATCGCACATTTTCTAGGACATTAATGGTGTCTGTGGCTTTAATAAGAAAGTCAATGTCGTCATATCCTGAATATGACTGTCATTGACATTGGAGCAAGAGGCATTTGCACAGCTTTGTCACACTGACGATAAAGTATGGGTGAGTTTGCCATGAGACATCTGCATGCAAGGATGGTCATGTTGTGTGAGATGACATGGATGAATAATGGTATAGACAAATGAGATGATGTTTGCGCGGTAAGTGCAAGTTAATGGCTTATGCACAAGCTACTCAGAATGAAAGAGATCAGCAAGTGTTCAGCCTGGGGATCTGCAGATATGCATCCTCGACGTATGATGTGATTGTGGGTCGAGGAATTTTGTAAGCTTGCAAGAGTATAGGCTGATCTCTGGATGGGTGTGCTTTGTATCTCAACCATTCTGCTACTACACCCTAATTAGCGTACAAGACCATCAATAGGGTATTGATCTTTTGACGGTGAAAATGTCCGTGGGACTAATAGCAAGTGTCGTGCTGTCCGAGTTAGCAAGGGAAATCCAGGTGTTCGCTTCAAGGAGGTATAGAACATTGAGTGACAGCTCTGCATCCATCCTATTTGGGTACTATGATAATCCATCTCTGTGCATTGCTTCTGTCAAGATTTTCTTTAAGATACTCACCGATATGAGTGATTTGAATTTTTGGCTATAGCGAGGCGGCTGCTTTGACATGAGATAGAGGAACCATTATTATTGCTCACCCAGCAGACAGTGATTTCGTCTGCTAATATATAGCGCTTGGCTATGGAATAATCATGTATGCCTCTTATGGTTACAGCGGTGGTTGATGTAAGGGGTTTATGGAATAATGAGGTTGGTTACACAAGGTCACAGGAACATCCTACTCACACCCTGGATCGTCCTGTTTGAAAAACTTACCACTTGTCGATCGACTTTTGATGACTTCCCATGCCTCGTGTAGATGCAGTTATTCGACTCTGAAAATAGTTGGTGGAGATAACTTCTCTACGAGCAAGTCAATCTACCACTCTGCATTGTTCTCTCCCTCCCTCTATTTGATAAATGATTCCCCGTCGACCTTTGAATGGCCTTGCGCGACATACCTTCGGAGCCAAGATGCCGGAAGAAAACGTGGCAAGCATTCTTGTGGCAACAGGAATTTTTCTGGTCAGTTGTGAAAGGCTGCTATTCTTCAGAAGATACTTCAGTGTTTGAGAGAACCAAGAGGGAGAGTGATCTATAGTACCTATTATTGATTACTTATAATCTGTTAATTCATCCACTGAAAGAGTTCCCCGGCCCGCGAATGCTAGCCGCCAGCAGGATTCCCGTGACTTATGCCTCACTCAAGGGGATTCAAACACAGTGGCTCCATAACCTTCATCTCAAATATGGACCAGTCCTACGTGTTGCTCCGAATGAGCTGAGCTTTATCGACCCACAAGCCTGGAAAGACATATATAGCAGTTCTCCCACCGAGCCACAGAGTATGCGGAGAGGGTCGGACTTTTTCAGATATCTTGAGGATGATGACAATCGGCCCTCTATTCTTGCGGCCAATGAAATAGACCACCCAAGAATCTGTCGAGCATACGTACCGGCATTTTCACGGCGAGCCTTAGCCCGCCAGGAATCAATCCTTGCCAAGTATGGCGACGCTCTCGTTGAAAGCCTTTCTGGAATAGAAGGGCAAATCACAAATATACGCAACATGTTCCATTTCACGCTTTTTGACATCGTTGGGCATTTGCAGTTTGGCGAGGAATTGGGCGTCTTGCGAACAGGAGCACATAAATCGTGGGTACACAGCCAGCACAGGCTGTTACGTGCCGCGACTTTATTATCAGCTCTCGCTGAATTCTCCTGGATTAACCTTTTGTTCCGGTCGACCATACCCTGGATGTCGAAATGGCTCCGCAAGGCTTACTTCAAGCCTTCGAATGACCTCATAGATCGTCGGCTTCAGTTGGAAAGCGACGAACCAGACCTTATCGGCCTTGCATTTCGCAACAGTCGCAGCTTGTCGTTGACTGAAAAAGACATCCGTGCCAACGCCCACATTATGATGACTGGAGGAGCAGAAACGACCACAGCGCTCATGACAGCCTTAACTGCATATCTCCTTCAGCACCCTGAGTGTTTTGCGCGTCTCAAAAATGACATTCGCACAGCATTTCACGATAAGAGCCAGGTATCTCTGGAATCAGTGTCGAATCTCGCTTACTTGGATGCCTGTATCAAGGAGGCTTTAAGGCTGTATCCCCCGGTCCCTGGAGCTTTACACCGTGCTACCCCTGCAGGCGGGGCGCACATAGCCGGTCGATGGGTCGCAGGAAACACGCGGGTCTATATTCCAATTTTCGCAGCCACACATTCCCCCACTCACTTCTGGAACCCTGACAAATTTATTCCTGATCGCTGGCTAGATGGTGCAGGGGGACCGTACCAGAAAGATAATAAAGCGGCATTCCATCCATTTTCCACAGGCCCGCGGGGTTGTATTGGTCAAGAGTAAGTGAACCTGATACCTATTATGCATGGAATTGTCTAACTGATATGTAAATTAGCATGGCATATGCCATGACAAAAATAGTATTCTGCAAGTTTGTAACGGAGTTCGACTGTGAACTTGCAGCTAATGAATCTAGCCCCTGGCTCGCAGGTCATCGTTCATGGACAACTTGGGAAGTGCCACCACTCATGGTGCGTGTATCTAGGTGCAAGCTAGCAGAGAAGGTCAGCAGCTGATTGGGATATGACGTTCGTGAAACATGGGACATGGGAAGAATGATGATGTAGTGATAACCCTGAGTACCTTGAGTGTGGAAAATTTGTCGTGATTTACGTGTGTAATTTTTGTACTTGAATATCCTTCTCGTTGTGGCCACAGGTGCGCTAGATGCATCTCATATCAGCTTCGTACTCAGCACATCTCAAGAGAAAAGGAAAGAATGTCGTCAATAGAAAAGAAGAAATGAATGTTACATTAAACTAGCTCGTTGAAAGCCGAGCCGCCTTGAATATGATATCCGTAAAGACAGTAACGGTATTTCTGAGTCCAACACCGTGGCCTATATTTACGGTCCCGCGGTGGCTGGTTGCCCGTGGTCCACGGCCCAACTGTCAGTTGGTCTTCGGCTTCACCGTATATCTGGGATGCGCGGATGCGCCAAACCGAAGTTAGTTTAACTTATTTTGTGGTCTGGATTCAGCCTGTCCGCGGGTATGGCCTAAGTTACAATGTACATATGCCTTCGGGTGCCTTTCCGAGATACCCTCGGGATCTTCCAGGCGTCGGGTTCTCGATTAGGAAGTGAAGGCATGGGCTGCTCGGGAAGAATGATTGACTTGGCAGATATGCAGTGAAGATCATCAAGCCCGATGCGGGCGAAATCCGTAGAGTTCTTCTGGTTCTCCGATCGTTCACCTAATTGAGTTAGCAGTAACTCAGTCTGCTGAGGCTCAGATTCTCATTCTTGCCATAGATTAGCGGACGCGCATTTGCACGCACTCCGATATTCCTACATGTAAGATGGTGTTCTAGACTGGTTAGCCCAATATATTAGTCTTAAAACGCCGTGTGAACCATTGGCTCGTGAACTGGACTTCAGTCGGATCTTCGTCAGCTGCTAATAGTCGCTTTTCGGCACATTCTTAGTAAGGAAAGTCACGCAAGTTTCATTCCCAAGCATAACCGATGCATATCGGGACAATGATCATTTTAGCCTGGCATTCTACCAGACCGTGATCCGGTACCTGCAAGTTCGTGGCTTCATCGTCGCATAGTACAGCTGTTATTTCTCATCGCCGGTATCACTAGGATCTTGGGATGTAATTAATAGCTACAAAAAACATGCACCATGGTAATTATGATGATTATTACGCTTTACAGTCATACTAGGTCTGCAGAGTAACTCCAAGTAATGCAGGGCATTCAATGTCCACAATGGGCCTGTTGGACCGTTTTCATTTTCTCGGTTCAAGGTTGCCGACAGATACCACTATGTTCACGGCGGCTAATCGGCTCACGAACCCGAAGTCAAGCGAGTTACCGCAAAGTTGCATCGATCAGCCTTCCCGATAGGGCTCCGCTGCATCAAGCCAAGACTATAAGTAACCATCAATTAACTATACCCAAAAAGGGCACTATTTTGAGAAGCAAGATGCTTCACAAAGTCCTGGATATGTTGCCGTCAATGATATATAGATCATACAGTAGGGTCCATAGCCATATGGCGGATGATTACCATCTCTATTTGACATAACACTCGTGAATTATCGTGAGCAGTAAGAACCAAGCACAACGAATACATGGCAACCTGCACAGAGAAATATTCTCCAACCCCGACCGAAGTCTTCCAAGACCATATCGCGTCAAATGAAAGTGACACCGCGACTCTCTCTTGGGATGACGATAATGATCCCGAAAACCCCTACAACTGGTCAGTGGGACGGAAATGGACCCTGACATGCCTCGCTGCTTTCACTACCTTCCTGGCGATGATGAACGGAACCATCATTACTGTGGCACACTTTGAGATCTCAGAACACTTCCATGTCAACGAGGATGCATTTCCTAATTCTTACTGGCCGGTAACAACATGGGCTACTGGTGGCGCCTGCTCAGCTTTATTCATTCTTCCCCTAGCAGAGGATTTCGGGACGAGGCCTATCTTCCTCACAACATATCTATTATTTATTTGCTTCCTGGTGCCTCAAGCCGTTGCTCATAACTTCGCAACATTAGTGGTCACCCGCTTTTTCGCCGGCGGCTGTGTCGCTATCCTGGCCAATACCGCCGCCGGTGTTGTCGGAAATCTATGGAGCACTGAGTGGTCCAGGTCCATCCCAGTCAGTCTATATATTCTCGGTTACATGAGCGGCAGCAGTACAGGCCCCGTGATTGGCGCTGCGATATTCCACTCTTTAGGCTGGAGGTGGATTAGCTATATGCAGCTCATTTGGTTCGGGGCTCTCTTTCCAATCTATTACTTCTTCCTTCATGAGTCGCGTGGCAGCGCGATTCTTGCACGACGAGCACGACGTAATCGCAAGAATGGCGACGAGACCAGCGGTTATGCAGGGAGCGGGGATGTTTCCTCTCGTTTGAACCTGCATAGTCTTGTAGTCAGCGCGACAAGACCGGTGATTTTATTTTCTACGGAGCCGGTTCTCTTCGTGTCGACCCTTTGGTCCGCTTTCACGGTGGGAACTCTTTTCCTCTTTACCCAGTCCGTTGAGCAGGTGTTCATGGGCCTATATAACTGGGACGTTTCACAAACCGGTTATGTTCAATGCGCCATCGTCATCGGAGAATGTCTAGGCTGGCTAGTGAACTTCCTTTCTCGGAAGCTCTATTTCGCGTCTGCTTCCAGAAATACCGAGGTTCCGGGAACTCCAATCCCAGAGGCGAGGCTATACATGGCTGTGGTGGGAGGGGTTCTTGGTCTCTCGGGCGGTATGTTCATCTATGCTTGGACTTCATATTCGAGTCTTCCATGGATTGCACCTACTGTTGGCTTGGCCTTGGTAGGTGCTGGCAGTGTTTGTGTCGTGACTGGAGTATCAGACTATGTGGTCGACTCTTATAGTCAGTTCTCGGGAAGTGCCATGGGTGCTGTTGCTGCGGGGGAGAATGTCTTCTCTGCTTTCTTGCCCCTCGCAACGATGAGCATGTACCGGGTGCTAGGATATCAGTGGGCTAGTACGCTACTTGCCTTTATTTGCTTGGTGTTGTCGCTTATACCTACATTGATGTTTGTCTGGGGGAAGGAGGTACGTGCGCGGAGTGCTTTTATGAATGAGATGGCGAATGATGCAACGAAGAAACGGTCAGAGGTTGTTTAAGGTAGCTATTGGCAGAAACACGGATTAGCGATCGATGCAATAGCGAATTGGGCTAAATCATTCCAGTGCTTCAGACGGTGAACCTCGTTCAGGTTGGAGAATTGATACTAGCCACGGCTAATACCAGAAGTATTTGCCCGAAATATATACTATTGATAGTAGCATTTGATGGGATTAATATGACATTGAACTCCACTGAGTAGCACCTTGCCAGGAGCCTATGATGAGAATTATGCCTACGTTATAACAAAGGACAGGAATCGAATTAAAATGCTGATTCAGACCACACTCGAAAAGAGAAAAAAAGTTGAATGCAGAGAAAGGCGCCTGTATGGAGTAGATAATTCCCAGCGATAGTTAGAACCCGCACGGAAGGCGCCCCACCGTACCACACCACAGTGACCACACATTGTCCGAAATGATCCACTCTCCACCAAAGAAAAAGCCAAAAACAATGACCTACGCAGGACTCGAACCTGCAATCTCTTGATCCGTAGTCAAGCGCCTTACCATTGGGCCAGCAGGCCAGTTGATGTATAATTCAAAATTATTGCGCTACATGATGCAGACGAATGTGAAATTCCAAAAAGTAATTTCCCATGCCAACGCCATCCATCCATCCAATCTATCCAACAACAAAGTAAAGCAGACCCTACAAAGCCATACTACTTCTAGTAGTAACTTACCGCCGGCCACCCGTTCAACCGACTATACGCATCCAGCGGCGTAGTCCCATTTAACTGCTCATAAAATACCCTCTCTCCACACGCTTCCTCCTTCTCTTCTTTCCCACTAGCAGTACTCGCAGTACTAACATCCTCAACACACCTCCCCTGCAACAGCGCGGCAACATTCTCACCCGCATCGCGCCCCTCATACCACGCACCATGCAAGAACCCGAAATACGCCGCACTGGTCGCTTCGCCTGCGAACCACAACCGGCCCGTATTCGCCCGCAGATTCTGATGCATCTCAAGGGTCGTTCCCGCCGGCCAGTTGGAGTAGCTGCCGTAGACCCAGGGTTCATTCGTCCAGCGGGGGTAAGTAAACGCCGTAGGCTCAGGGATGTGTTTATCAGGGAACATCTCTCTTAGAACATCGAGGATCTGGTCCTTCGTTTGAGTCAAGGATTGGCGTTCAACGCGGTAGGCTTGTTCGTCGACCACGGTGGCGAAGAGGATGTTTGATTCAGGGAGGAAGTTCTCTGTGGAGAGGGATTGGAAGACAGGGTAGTAGCCTCTTGTTGTTGGGGAAGCGTATAGGAAAAATTGCGTGTCTGTGGGCCAAAAGGTCTCTGGGAATTGCATGAAAATCTTGGTGTAGGTGCCCATGTTGAATTTCTCGATGGCGGTTTGTTTCCAGGAGGGCAAGGGTGGGTCGAAGGTTACAGCTTTGTTTTGGAGGACGCCCAGGGAGAAGGTGCAGATTGCGTAGGCCGCTCGGATGCAGGTGTTGCTGTTTTTGTTGTTGTCGTTGGTGGTGTGGATTGTTACGCCCCTTGGGGAGTATTCAATGCGAGTGACGCGGGTATTAAGGCGTAGGCGGCCATCAGAGGGGTTGGGTAGGAAACCGAGGGCTTCGTTTTGAATGATGGTGCTGTAGCCGCGCGGGTCGAGGACGAGGTGGTTGGCTTTGCCGAATTGGTTGAAGGTTAGGTTCTCGCCGGCGATGCCGAAGACCAAGGAGCTGGTTTCGGGCGTATGTGCGTCTTCCCAGTCTAGTTTTGGGATATGCGTTAGCTGAGGGTGGGATATGGGATAGGGTTGGTGTTGACCCGATGGGTGTAAAAAGGGTTGGGTGTTCCCCCTCTTAATGGTAATTGTTCATACCCCAGCTCCACCATTCCACGGCTTGTGCCGCCATGTCATTCTTGCGTGGTCTCCAGCCGGCGAGGGCGAGCCCGGTGCGTGCGGTTTGGTCTTGTAGGTTCTGGGTCAGAATGCGGCCAGCATCGCGGGCGGCGATGTGATAGGCTTGCGCGTATTCGTCGAGCAAATAGCGGTAGTCGGTGTAGCCGGTTTCGTTGTATGTTCGGATGGAGCTATAGTTAGAGTAGGTGTTTTTGAGACTGTATTTTTTGGCTAGTGCCCAGACTGGATTCTCGATAGCTTCGGAGCCGAGCCCTTGGAGCTGTTGTTATGGTGAGGCAGATGTTCATTTGACGGGATGTATGTAGATTGTCATACCCAGTTGGCTCCTAGCTCAATCACGTATGGCTTGCCTTGTTTATCCTTGCCGAAGTCCGTATGCCAGACACGGCCACCTAGGGTATCGCGATATTCGAGGATGATAAAGTCGTCGATAGATGCGTTGGACAAGGCTTGCTAGAGGTGATGGTGAGCATTGTCGGTCGGGGTTTAGGGCAAAGGGGCCTGAGGGTCACCTACTGCAGCTGCAATGCCGGCCATCCCTCCACCCCTGTTAACGTTAGACGCTAAGCTCCAACGTGATATCAATCATTAGTGGGAAGCTCCTACAAGATGGCCACCGTTGTTTCGGTGCACTTGTCATCGCTCAGCGGTGCCTGTGCAACATAAGCGGAGCAGGAGAACAGAAAGGTCGTCGCTAGGAAGGCGTATAAAGAAACGGTGATGGGTATCGTATGCATGGCAGGTGAATGACGTCTACGAAAAGCGGAAGAGTGGATGGCAAGTGTAGTATGGTATATAGTATTCACTCAGTTCTGCATTAGACTGATTGCTTGCTATGCACTGGTAGTAGTAGTAAGTAAAACTGGCCGTAGTGAGAACGGCAGCTGCTACACCAGGGAGGATAGGGGGTCAAATCAAGCCTAGAAGACCTGGCATGGCGGGCTGGTCAGCCGGACAAGGGCCAGCTCAAATAGTCAGGCGTGGACCCAAAGAGGGAAGCAAAAGCAAAAGCATCAAATTAATAGTGTGTCTGCACGGAAGGGCAAGGATGATCGGTGAAGGGCTGGAGGGGAGCGCCTTGTGATCGGGACAGGCATCTTGGCGCACGGCCAAGGCAGGAGGCGTACCACGTGAGGCATTCCGCGACAAGCTTCTGGAAGGCGATTCGGAGACCCGCGCATTCATTCTTCAAGGGATGAAAGCCGCGCACTGGAATAAGCCGGTGGTTTGCACCAGACAGGAATGTCCAGGCGGGTGAGGCGGGCATCGCTCCTGATTGGCTGGCAATGTCTGATAAGGCAGCGATAAGGAGATAAGGCATCCCCACCTCGAAATGGGCCGGTGGCTGCCTGGGGCCGCCATTGCGGATAGATCCTGATCTGCCCTCTTGGTGTGACGCGCAAAGAGGATTGGGCGATGCTTGACTTGACCAGCCGCGGGTAGATTAAGCTTCCCCGCATGAGGTTGGACATACCCCTTTGATCCATAGCTTCCCTTAGCTCAATATTACCCCTCTCCCTGCGATTTAAGCTGCCAGTAACCTCATGTCGCACATCAAGTCCATCATCCGCCAAAATATCCCGTCAACAACTCCCTCGGACTGACTCTTGGCCATGGAAGAAATGAAAGTCGCCCGAGATGGGCCCGAGGATGATGTCCAACTGGCCGAAATGGGTCATAAACCCGAGCTGCAACGGAACTTTTCGACCTTGTGTGTACCACCTAATCCTAGATGACCCGGGGGAAGAAACCCTATTGACCCGAGATTAGGTCTATGCTTGGACTGGCCTTTGCGGTGCTTAATGTGCGTCTTCTGCTGTGTCAACAGGCCGATCACACGTGCTGATAATCTGCCGATTAGTCTTGGACGGCTCTATCCGCGAGCTTATCTCTCAGCTTACCCTCAGGGGGAAGTACTAGTGTCGTCTGGGGTGGGTATGCCAATGGAACTAGCTGCCTGTTTAGGTTTGCTAACCCCCAGTCACAGGTTTGGTCACGGCCGGATTCTGCAACCTCTGTATTGCAGTGTCGCTAGCTGAGTTCTTGTCCGCATATCCAACGTAAGTTCCATCAGAATAGCTTGGTTTGCTAGTGGGTGAGTGACTGACGAGGATGTATCAGGGCGGGGGGCCAGTATCATTGGGTAGCCGGTATGTTTTCCCGCAGTAAATGCTCAGGCGCTATACTAATGTCCACTCACAGTTAGTACGTAGAATTATCCCAGCCTCGTTAGTATCCACTAACATGTCTCAGTATCCTGGCCAAAATGGGTGCCTATCCTATCCTGGGTAACCGGATGGATTAATGTGGCGGGATGGGTATGTCTCCGAAAAAATGGCTCGATTATAGCTGACCAGCCAGGTTGCCCTTGTCGCCACCAATGCGCTTCTTTCCTGCGAATTGATCGCTGGGATAGTGTCATCTGTGTACCCGGTAAGCCCCCAATACTTTACTACAATAGTCTTTGATGTTGATGCAATGCTGCTAGGACTTTGTTTGGCAGCGCTGGCAAGAGTTCCTGATCTATGTGGGATACACATTGCTTGCATTCGTCATCAATGCGTTCATGAATTCAGTCCTGCCTATCATTTATCGTGGAGCATGTAAGTTACTGTGCGGCAGCCATCTCACTCCGATCGGGTCATTAACTGAGACAGTCACCTGGTCCATCGGTGGTTTTGTCCTTATCTGCATCACGGTGCTGGCTTGTGCATCCCCGGATTACAACTCCGCTTAGTATGTCTGCCTCTGTGTCTTTGGCTACGCGCCATGCTGACCATGCATATAGCTTTGTATTCTGCGACTTTGTCAATCAAACTGGCTGTAAGTTGACTGGTGGAAACCTGTGGATATTGCAAGTCAAGCTAACAAGCGACAGGGCCCGATGGAGTGGCTTGGTTACTGGGGGTTAGCCACATCTCTTATACTGAAGTCTATCACGACGCTAACAGACGCAGCTGCTTCAAGGGGGACTTGGAGTTACCGCATTTGTGAGTATCCAAATCGCCAGTACTGATCCCAATCTAACATGAATAGGACGCGGTGGCTCATATGATCGAAGGTATCTTCTCTAGTATGCGGCCTTAATAGTACATTACTAAACTCTCGAACAGAGATCCCCCAGCCCTCAATCAAAGGACCCAAGATCATGGTCGTCTGCGTCGGCATTGGCACTTTCACCGGGGCCGTCTTCCTCATTGTTCTTCTCTTCGTCGCGGGCAACATGGACGAGGTAGTCAATTCCAGCGCGGGCCCTCTCCTAGAAATTCTCATCCATGCTACCAACAACCGCGTGGGCGGCATCTGTCTGCTCATGTATATTCCCCCCCCTCTATTCCATGCGACCAGCACTAACGATGCACTACAGGCTCCCCCTCGTGTGTCTTTTATTTGCAACCCTCAGCGTCATGACAACAAGTAGTCGAATGATCTTTGCATTCGCCAGGCATCTCACCCCCCTCCCCAGGTTAGAAAGGCACGAAGACTGACATAAACCCAGAGACGGCGGCCTCCCCGCCTCCAAATTCTTCGCACGCGTGCACCCCAGACTCGGCCTTCCCTTGAACGCGCTAATGTTGACTGCCTTTGTGGTGATTATTTTCGGCTGCATTTACCTCGGATCGAGCAGGTACTACGTTTCCCCCAGTATCATTCCCCATTAAAGAATACACACATAACTAAGATAAATCAGTGCCTTCAACGCAATCATCTCCGCCTCCGTCGTCGCGCTGGATCTCTCCTACGCTATGCCGATCGCAGTCAATTGTCTGCGCGGACGGAGAACGCTCCCTGATCGCAAGTGGAAGGTTCCTAATGCTATTGGATGGGTGATTGATACTGTATGTCATGTGACCCATGAATTGGGACAATATGGATGGGGATAGGTGATGTGCTGACCGAGTATATCTAGATCTCGCTATCGTATATTGCACTTACGACGGTGCTGTTCCTATTCCCGCCTGATAGGCCGGTTACGGGGAGTAGTATGAGTAAGTCTACCCTTTCTACAGGAATGTTGACTGGGAGAGGTTGTGTTCACTGCTGATATCCGCTGTTAGATTACTGCAGTTGCTTTCGCCATTATCGTCATCGTTTCAGTGATACAGTGGGTGGTTGACGGGAGGAAGAATTTTACCGGGCCGAGGGTGGATTTATCTTGATTTATTTATACCCCTGGTACAGGTGGCTATGGTGGTGGATGATACCTGTTTGAAGATGCTCTAGATGTGATGTAGGATGGGGACATCTATAGAGTAATTCTAGTGACGTATACGTTCGAGTAGTGTGATGATAAATCAAATATCCTGAGGACACTGCAAACATTTATTGTCTGGAGTGAGTATTTGTTTCATATATTCCGAGTTTGCGAAATTGTGGCGTTTGGGATCATAGATTGCTTCATAATGTGGACTGAAGCACCTGCGTAGCTGAAATCAACAATAATGGCTAGAATCAGGCTGAGATACGAAGTGAAGAAATGCTGTGTCCTTTGTTGTTTGTTGGGGAGCTATCGGGAAACATTGTAAAGTGGTGCCATGTATGTGCGGGGTGGTCAGTCAGTATGAATCACCGCTACTCGGGGACATAGCCAACCGCTTATAGCGTGTTACTACCGTCCGAGGATCGGGCCGCAGGGAAGTGGGGTTTGCAAGTGTCCCAAGACCAAAAGGATGTGAGTCTGGTTCATATGGATCTGCAGCATGAATCGTGTGAATTCGTATCAAGAGGAAACAAACAAATGAAGCAACAATTCAACAGTGGCTCAAAACCTAACCAAGTCTATGTTTACGACTTCGGCATTGGTGGGGATATCCACCTTCCGTCCTGCAGCCATACTCCGGCACCACCGTATTTGCCTGCTTCCGCTCCCTTGAGGAAGGCAAACCGGAAGAAAAGGTCTTCCGGCTCAGAGTCATCTTCTTGCACAGTGACGTCCAGCTGGTCACTCTCGATGGTGGGTCGATGTTGCAGTTCCAGCCCTCTATGGCCATGACGATGCCATATAAACTCGCCCTGCTTGTCTTCGTCCAAATATCCACGCCAGCGCTCGACGTCGTTTACCAATACCGAGATACCATCTACGCCCATCTTGTCCATACGTTGTCGTTCCCAGAGATTGAACGTGATGTTGCCATTCCCGTGATGAATCTCAGGAGACCCCGGGCCGGGAAGGGAGACGGAGACTGAGGAATCGCTGACATTGGGGTAGGTCCCGCCCCACCATCCGTGCGAACCTCCAGGGCCCGGAGCTTGCTCGCCCAAGGCGGCAGGTGTTTCAATGATCGATGCAAATCCCCACCGAGCGATGCCGTTGATAAAAAGACCCAGTAGCAATCCCTGGTAGATCAGAGAGGGCCGCGTAGGAAGGGCCGTTCCCGGCATGAGAAGGATGGCAAGAATGTAGTGATGAATCCTCAAGCGCAGACCCGGCAGGGGGAGTAAGATTAGCAGGATCAGACCCATGGTGCAATAGATCTTGAGGTAGCGAGGCATTAAGCCTCCCATACGGATTTGCCAGGCTTGGCTCAAGATAATGCAGACCACCGTGGGGATCACCAGGGCCAGTGCAACCTTGGCTCCAGGCTGCTTTTGGATATCATGAGGAGTCAGACGCTCGAGCGGTATCAGTCTGGCGAAAGTGTAATTATTCAGACCGCCAATGAAGGCAGGCGGCAAGTAGAGGAACATTTTAGTCAGCTGGTACATTGGCTCGGAAAGCGGGGTCAGAAGTGGCCGTGCGCAATACTTATACAGGACGAAAGCCACAAATGACGCCGGCAAAAGTCGCGAGAACATGGTTGAGAAGAGATCGGCAAACTGAGAGATCGATGGCGGATCAGAGACCAGTCCCACCTGGGAAAACAGCATGACGAACGTGCTGAAGAACAGAACAGGTGGGGAGACGCAGAAGAGCCAGAGGAGGCTTAGTGCGCCAATGGTAATGCCTAGCAATGGCCAGCGAGGATCTTGAGGGCAGGTTGCCTGTGATGAGGATAGCTCGACAAAGCTGAACGATTTGGGGAAGGTCGATGGGAATTCAACCGAGCGAATTCCATGTTGCTTTGACGCATGGAAGGAATGGGCGGCGCCATCCAGCTTCAATACACCACAGCCACCAACCGCATTCGTGATCACACCCGCATGGATGGCTGCCTGGCACACAAAACTATCTGCTCGATACACGGCAGGCTCATCGGATCCCGGTTGAGGACCCCCCACTACCAAGCCCTGGTAGCTGTAGGTCTGGTTGCCGATCGTATGCGGTTGGAGCAACTTTGCGTCGCGGCAGTTTGCAGGACACCGGAAGGCCATAGTCGACGCAGAGAACGGGCGACAGTCGTTTCCGTTGAGGCCACAGTCATTGCCAGGCTCCCATAGACTCGTGGAGCAAGCGAGTGTCTTCGGTCGTCCATAGCCCTCAATGTAACCGCCCTGTCGCGAATGCAGCAAGACAATGGTCCAGGGCAGAAACCAGACAAAATACAGCAGTGCCAGCAGCGCGATCTTGTGCTTGCGTTTGGGAAAGAAGCGTTCGAGGAACCGAACAGGCAATTCTTGATAGCGAGGGAACAACGGCTTCAATAGTAAGGATTGCGGAGGTTTCGGGCCCTTGACCCAGTCGGCTATCGCCCAGCCTGCTTTGCGTAGCGGTAATGGCACCCAACCCCAGCGGATGGACTTGGATGACTCCCGTAGCCAGACGGGTAAGTATGGGAGACCGGCCTCTTCATGCTGAGGAAGGTCGGGGGTATCATCATCGGGACGGTTTTCCGTTTCCCACAGTGGTGGGACATAAGGGCGAGAGCCGTCCTCAGGCCCTTCTCCAAGCATGCTGCAAGGACGTCGATGCGAGCAATTGGGAGATGGTGGTGAGGTATATCAGACCCCGAGAAGACCAAGGAACGGACGCAGCCAGCTGTGGGGACGAACGGTGGAGGGGCGCTAGGACTCGGGGGATTCTAGACCACGACCAGAGAGACCCTTCCAGCCCGTGGAAGGAGATCGGAGCGCTCAATGAGAGAGCACTGGGAAGGAGAGAAAGACCAACGAAAATCAGGTGATAATAAGAATAAGGAAAAGAATGAGGCGCGTCGGACTAGTTACATGGATACATATCCAGAGGAAGAGCAATAATGTGAGAGGCGACAGACACAGAGACAGTCGGTGACTAGTCGGGCTTCCGTGAGTTTCCGGTTCATCGCCTCCTTTGCGCCCGATGTGACAGCACGTGACTATGCAGGGCATGTGATCTGCACATCACATGACTCAGTGCCTGAAAGCGGAATGCCTTACAAAGAACGAGCAGATTCCCTTTTCAAAAACACTAGATTCTTAGCTTGGCAGACCAAACTTGAGAGTGTAGCCTGAAACATTGAGTAATCTCGTATAAGCCCCGTCAGCTTTTTAGAAAACTGCAGTACAAGCTGAGATAGGAAGATACCGGCAAAAGAGAAGACGATATAGAAGAAGACGATATAGGCTTTGGGAGAATAGTTCGAATGCTAGCCTCTATTGACCGGTGGCTTATTGACCTGCATACACCACTCACATTGATTCCAGACCTCGAATGGGCTAAGTAGATGTTTTGTAGGACTATCCGACAGAGCTCTAACAACACCAGAAAAAGATGAAAGCACAATACTTAGGCAGTTTTCCTCCGGTTTTAACACACTGCGACCGTCCTCAACCCGAAACGAGGCTCCAAAACCTGTCGTAATGACATTTGATGTCTGCCTTGTATGCCGTCGCAAGGTTGTCCGAAAGAGGAAGTTTTGACGCGGGAAATATAGAGGGGCGGCGCGACCCGTTGATTTTCCTCGGCGGATCGGCCTTGAATGGGCAAGTATTGTTCTTCGTTCCCTTCCATTGTACTTCTTCTTTCCCCCCTCTGTTTCATCGCGCCCAGAGTCTTAGCATGCGAATGCCTTGCAACAATGAATGATTTTGAAAGACTACGTCCAGTCGGTGAGTGAGATTTGCTTGAATTGAGAAGCCATGGCCGTCGGGGACTTGAATTGACAGCTGTCAGGGCCCCTGGAGAAATACTCCACCGCACGCCATTCACTCGGACTATATTTCAACGTCGCGGTGTCGGCAACCTACATCTTGCCAGATGCCTTCGCTCTGCCATTAAAGAACTATGTGTATAAGGCATGTGAAATATTAATCGGCCAGCATCCTATTCTGTCCGCTATCCCCATCAATGAAGATACCGAAGATACCTGGTTCGTGCGCCTCCCGGAGATTGACCTGAGCCAGTCGGTGGCATTTCAGAGGCGCACCCGCGACTTCCCCAACGACGATGAACCGGACGTAGAATTGTGCGAATTGTTGCAAGTTCAACATAGCACAGGGTTTACGGCTCCTTTGCCGTTCTGGAGACTTTACATCCTAACGGATGAGGCGAATGACCGGCGCTTTACGGCAGTCTATGTGTTCCACCATGCGATTGGGGACGGAACATCAGGGAAGGCTTTTCACCAGACGTTCCTAGATGCATTACACGCTGCTTCGTCCTTGACCCCAGGCGAGGTTAAGCAAGTCATCCCGTCACCCAAATCACCGCTGCTGCCAAACCTGGAAGCCCTCCATCCATGTCCTACGACCATCCCTTTTCTTCTTAATGCTCTCTTTAGGGCAAAAGTATGGTCTCCTCGCGATTCCCGCCTCTGGACAGGCGCCAAAATATCTGCTCCGATTGAGACTAAGCTACGCCAAATTGTCATTCCGGCGGCTGTGTCTGCGGCGCTTAGAAAGAACTGTCGCCAAAACAATGCTACTGTCACCTCTGCTCTGCAAGCAGCAGTTGCCCGCGCCCTTTTCACCCACCTGCCAGAGAAGTATACCAGAGTTCAAATGAATGGCGCACTGTCATGTCGAAGGTGGCTAAAGGGGGGAGAGGTTACAGATCAGTCCATGGGCGTTTGGGTCATGGACTTTGGGGAAAGCTTTTATCGAAACCAGGTGAATCAATATCCTGACACCTTCCCATGGGGTCAAGCCAGGAAGTCCCGCACGACGATCGAACAGGCACTGGGTCGCGAAGGAAAGAACGCCGGCGTATGTTTGCTCAAATATATAGATAACTTTCAGGATCTCTTTGGGGGTAAGATCGGCAAAGACCGAAATGAAAGCTTTGAAGTGTCAAATGTGGGAATCTTGCAGCCCGAACAGGCAGAAGACCCGTCGCGGCCGCAGATTAAACGGGCGATGTTCTCCCAGACACCCAGTGCTTTAGGTGCAGCCCTGCACGTCTCGTCAATCACCGGTGGTGATGGCTGTTTGATTCTGGGAATCACATGGCAGACAGGCATTGCGGAGCCAGAGCTGGTCAATGCGGTCATTGACACCCTAATTCAGCAGCTACACAACGCTGCGCGGTGATTTAGCGCTGAGCCAATGTAGGCAGTCATCACCCGACAATTTGCTTTGGTGGCCTCTTCCTACAGCTTCATCTCCTCACCTTGTCTCCGGAGATCCTAAACATCCTATTCGATTATGAGCATGATCATCTTCTGACCTTCTCTATGTTCAATTCTATACCTCTAATACTACCTTTGGATATATAGTCATTCATTTGGATAGTCTCTAATATATAAACTACGTGTCCTCCGTGATGACATCGGGCCCACCAACGAAAACTTCAAGGGCTTAAGGCAGAAACCAGGGTAGAAAAAGCAAATCCTGAAAGGTGCATATGCCATCGACCTTCTTTTGAGCAACTAGTTACTACTAGTATACAGAGAGGGGGTCGTTGCAGTCATGATTTTATGGTCCTTGCCCGTCAGGAATACTCTTCCCCGCCCCCAAAGAAGCCTCGTTCTTGCCAGTGAGCGCTAGGGACGTCTATAATAGAAACATGTGAAGCATGATTGTACGGGAGTAGAGTGATAACATTCAGGCTGCAAAGACTGCAACTATCAAGAATTACCTATCATTGGCTGAAGGCAGGCAAATCTGGGAGAGAAACATGAGGCTCCTGAACCTCGAAGTGTCCACCAACGTAAGATCCATGCTCTACGCCTATTAGTAGCGAAGTGCGAGTTATGCACGCCGTCGCTTTATTACTATTTGAACCTCGGTTGCTCGAGAGTTACACCAGTCTGCTGCATGATGATGTTTTCGCGGCTGCCTCCCTTATTTTGGGCTTGCTTCGGCCTCGCCGCTGCGTATAGACTTCTGTTTCTGCCCCGGTTCTGCCCGTATCAGCTGTACATCAGCAAAAATTGCCGATGATATATATAATGTTTGCGGTTTAATGGATGCGCCTTATCGGGCTTTGATTATAGGAAGGCCCCTAATGACCCTCTTATCTGGTGGCTCAGAATAAGGGCATATCCTTTTGCTTATGTACAAAGTTTGCTCATATGGAAGCCTCCTAGGCCCATAAAACCCCCAGATGATGGGGTTTTCGCTAGAATGTCACTGTATAGCACCAGGGAATCTGGAGACGGTAATAACCATTTTATAGTAGGAAGAATAAACTATCTCTTTTATGATTATGGCTGATAGCCTCACCCAAGACTGTACTTTGCTCGTAGAGAAGTCTGAGTACTAATGTATAAATATCGTGGATAGCTTCGCATTTATCTGGTTCTCATCCACGTCCCAGAGTCACAAATCTTTCCAGTGTCACTAAGATTCCGACCTTGCGAACGAATACCCTCCTCAATTACTTCAGCCTTTTCGCATACTAGTCCGTGAAGGCCTGTCCAAGGTAAGCCAGCGGTCACCTACCACTTAATATATGTTGATATTGACTCGATTTTCAAATGAGTATTCTAGAGCCATTTGAAATCGCCAACTCCTGCCACTGGTGCTCGGTGTGTGAGGGTACACCCCAGAAAACCTGGGACTGTATGAGAACTGACTGTGAAGATTCGATTGCGTACAAGCCCAAGAAGTAGAGACGGGCTTCAGTATGGCTGTTTGCCCGCAGCATTGAGAGAAAGGAATGTTGGGAGATGGAGGATGCAGAGGAGAATAAAACCAGACGAAAGAGTCATTTCTTTTGACACTGGATATTGGAGCAACAACCGAAATTAGCCCCCAATCACCTCACACAGACCAGTGACTTTCGGAGACGTATGAATACATTATGAATTATCTTCTCAGTTGCCAGGCTCGAGTAAACACAGCGGAGATCAAGGTGTTAGCTTTCACGTAGAAGTACCTGGGGTAAAGGCGAGATTTATTTCGTAGGTTGATTGTTGTCGCATTCGGACATAGTTTCTCTTGAGCATACAAGCCCATCCAGAAACCAGACTTGGAATTTTCGAAATCTAAGTACTATGAACAATGCCTTGCGGCTAGTAGTACTGTGTAGATACAGTGCTAGTTGATATGTAAAAAACCATAGGAAACCCTGGGTATATGCAACACACAAGGTAGAAAACCCTCCAGTTAGAACACCTATGTGCAATTAGCTAACGCGTGTTTCCTGGACTATTTCCTATACATTACAGTATAGGGAATCCCCGACTATGATAAATCAGAGGGTTGGTCTGTATTGATCTCTATATCTGTGGTCTATTGTAACAGCCGACAAACTAGGAGTACATTGTCGGCGGAAGTCGCACTTGCACAAAGTCACGCGTGGTTCCCACCCATGATCAAAACTTATAAGACCAGCTGCACAATCTACTTCTTTGGCCATCTCGCGCCGTTTATATCCCACCGAACTCCTCGGGTCCCCGGAAACTCCTACATCACGCTAATATGGAAGTTGTACAAAAAAATGAAGCCTTCAAAAAGATTGATGGGAAGATGAAATTTTCCTATGTCGAGGTTTTTGTCCGGCAAGACGGCACACTATATTCTGGAAAATGGAAGAATCGATTCGAATCCCCCAAGACGCTGGAAGATCTAGACGAGGTCAAGCAGATCCCAACACAGGATAGGGGCCCAGAGGTGAAAACCAGTTGGTCAGCCGTCTACGTGAAAACCCCAAGTCTACTGGCGTATGTCAATGGAGGTATCGAAAAGCAAATCACTCGCGAAGTGGAAACATGCGAAATCCTTCTCAAGCATCCCCATCCGAATATCGCGACCTATTATGGCTATATGGAGACTAACGGCCGGGTCTCTGGGCTATGCTTCAAGCGATATACATCTACGCTACTAGAAGCGGTCAACCCTCAACGCCTTAACAAGGTCGCTTTCCTTTCAAGTGCTCGTGAGCTGGTAAAAGAAAATATGAAGAGGGGCCTAGAAGGGATTCTGTCTGCCGTCAAGCATCTTCACTCGTTTGGACTTGTCCATAACGACATCAACCCGGCTAACATTATGCTTGATGAAGATGGTAGGCTTGTTCTCATCGATTTCGATAGTTGTCGGTTTATCGGTGAGTCGTTGAGACACACCGAAGCGAAAAGAACACACCAATGGCATGATCCTTCTGTCGATATCTCGGTGGAGAAGAATGACCTTGACGCTTTTAGAGATTTGAAAATTTGGCTGGCTGGATCGGTGGATGAAGTCTTTCTTTTCTAAATGAAACGCCTTTTAGTACAATCGTTCTCTACAGATATGCCTACGTAGTGCTGTTGACAAGCTTATGCTGGAATAATTAGACGAGTGTAAGCCGACGAATATGAGCGATGAGTTCTGTAAGGTGTATCCGGCAATTATAATTTCGGACAAGGGGATAGCAGAAACTGAAATCTATTCTAAGCCAATGAAATTTCCCATCTATCCGACATAATCAATACCGTAGCAAACAACCAACCCAAACATAATTGATACAGGGAATCTAAAGAGTCAACATGTCAAACTCCCGGTGCAACCTCATCCCCATGAGGGACGCTATTGACCAAGCTCAGGAAGCAATTCCATCCTATTCATCTATCAGCTTTACCGAATTTCCAAGATACGTCCGTAGGAAAAAAGTAGAGGAATATACATACCAATGTTAACCACATTGACCGTCAAAACACGATACTGCAACGGCACCAAAGCAAGGTTCAGCGTCTGAACCGCCGGCCAGAGCATCCAATTGGCGCGCAGCGCATCCCAGTACGTCCTACTGAGCTTTTCCTGGGGGTTGACACCTTCCATGACAGACATACTGGTGAGGAAGACACCAATCATAGTAGGAGCGCAGACGAGCTGGTCAGCACCAACGCGCGCCGCAAGAGTCTTGGTTGGTGTTGATAGCTGGACGCGGTTCTGTAGGAATTGGAACCATTTTGTGGCGACCGGGCCGAAAACAGCTGTATATTTTTTTTGCTTTTGTTTAGAGGGAATGAAGGGGGGTGAGGGATCGGGGGCTGGGCTTACCACCACCGTATAAAGCCATTCGGCCAGTTCGGGTTACATCATGATTGGGCAGGCCCTTCTTTTCGACGGCTTGTTGGGCGAGGCCGTCACCTACTGCGAAGAGGGTCTGATTGTTTCCGTCTTAGCTTTACTAAAAGAATGAGATATGGGGGGATTGAAGCTTACCGCTGTGGTGAGGCTCTGCGTCAAGAGAGGACGCTGGATAAGACATCTCTGGTACCTGTAGTTTACTATTGTTAGTCTGGGGGGTGGAGGTCGCAGCCGTGGTGATTGGGTAGGTATTGCTCAACTCACCACGCGAGCATGTTGAAGAGTGGTCAATTGGTCTTTCTCTTGTTTCTAGTCAATGGATCAATGGGATGAAAATGAAGATGAGACGATGAAATTAGAAGTCTGTTTTGGTTCAATAGGGAGGAATGTCGGTCGCGTGGCGGATGCGCCCGATTAGGAAACCGGCCCGCTGTGATGTAATCCGACCACTGCAGGATTCCGGGCACTATTGGACTGGTTGGCTTGGTTCAGCAAAGTTTGTGAAAAGGAGGCAAATAGACACTTTTGCTGGCTTGTACCAGTACTAGTATCCTCCTCCTTCATACTGTCGCATTTTTGCCTTTCTTTGAGATGCTCAAAGTATTCTACAAGTAGCGGATTCTGGAGTACGTCATGTTTATGTTATCCTTTCGCTCTTCCGGCGTCTTACACACAATAGTACTCTATATCGAGAGTCGGATCCGTACATATGAGATCGATCTAAGCTTGAATGCAACTGACACACCGATGATGCGTCCTCTACACCGGCATTCGCTCATGCCTCTTGCCAACACAAACTTGTATGCCGTTCCTTGTACCAGCTAACATCAACCATCGGACCAGTCGAATTCTCCCGCTTTGGGTTTAGTGCCCGAATACATACTTTGTGCCTGAGGCCATGAGTTTGTACCTGAGGCACTAGGTGCCTCAAGGACTAGACGGATCTTCGAAGGTGGCGTCTAAGAACCCTGACATGAAGTCATCCTTAAGGGTCTTGATACAATCACCTATAGAACCTCTTATCTATATCTATACTAAACACATTGGATGATTTCTATCTATAAGGCATTCCCATCTTCCCTTAAGGGCTCTGAACATCTGGATTCGTGTCCCAAAGATGAAACTGCGATCTTCCATGTATACGCGATGACTTACCGCCTGTAACTAGAATAGAAAGAAATACATCATGTGGCTAGCAGAGCTTGACTGAAAAGTCAATTAACTAGCTAGCTAGCTAGCTGGCATGGACTCCCAGCATGACCGACAACGAGTCGAAGCGGAGAATAAGATGATTCACACACCGAGCCCTCTTGAAACTGCCTTTTGCGGCGTCTGTGGCCTTCATGACACGCATGGCGTGGCTGCCGCGGTTCCATTTGATAATAGAAGTACTATTTCCCCCGAAGACATATCATAATGTCTATCTGGTGTACATAAGATCACGCGGAACACGTTGAACATGACAGGGCCCATCGGTGTAACATTGCCAGCCAGCCAATCGGAGGACGGATAAATCCGTAAAAGTACGGGGTATCTATTTGCAAATCAAATGAGTCACGCGGCGAAGCCAAAAAGATCTGCTCAGGCATTGATTGATTCATCACCCAAGCATGCATCCCATCGCATAATTCCATTTTGTAAGCCGTCGTGGAAAAGTACCTTCACGTGAGCATGCACTAGTCCCAAACAGGCTGCTAGACGGAGAAAGGTCAGCGGTAGCCACCGAAAAATCTGGGTCGCCAACGGATATTGAGAGAGCTTGAGGTGCCTGGGTAGGAACGGGGAGACGAAAGTTACCGACCGGATGGTGCTGGAATTGCACATAATCCACCAAGGTCAAGGAACCGTCGATTCACTGTGGTGTGAGCAAATGTGATGGCCCCGGTTCTCTCTACACATCGGCCCTGTCTCAGGGTTCATCTTGTATCTACACAATATCTATTATCTACACTCTCGTGAATGGTTCTAGAATTTCCAAATCATGAGAGGGGAATAGGGCTGCACTAAACACTCGGGGACCCATATGTAATTCAGCGGCAATTTCGAACTCCACTTCTCTCCTTCAAAACCCTTGAACGCACCCAAGCTTTATTAGTATCCTGCCTCCCCACTAGCCTTCATATCCATCCTTTGGTAGGAAAGTTCCACTCCTCAGCTCTCTTTGATGGAGCCATTCCCTAACCCTTTTCGGTGAACCGGATGCGATTTTCCCGCCAGAAGTGAATGTCTTGAGTATAAGTCATTGCGATATTCCTGCAAGGAGACTACGAATCGTTTGGAATGTCCCGCCCTGATCTGACACCAAAGACGTTTACCGCGTGGTGATAATTTACATATAAATCCCTCAACCTGTCTTAATATTGGCTCTTGGACTATAAGCTTCGACTTCCCCGGGAATATCTAAGCACAGACAGGTTTCTCACGCCGCCGCCCATACTTTTGTCTGGGTGTCCTCGCGAACCCGCAAGCATGGTGGCTGTTGAGGATGAGGAGATGCCCTCGAGTAGGTTTTTCTACTTCATCTGTCTTCAAGAAACTTGATTCTAACCATGGACTCAGCCCCTTGCAGTGATTGCTCTAATGTGTCCGTCGTGGACTGGGATGGCCCCAAAGATCCCCAGAATCCATTCAACTGGCCCACTTCCAGAAAATGGCTAATGACCATCACTGCTCTGATCACCACCTTCGTGGCCCTCATGAATGGCACTATCATTACAGTCGCCCATGAAGCAATTAACGATGAATTCAACGTCAGCGATGCCACTTTCCCCAACTCATACTGGCCCGTCGCCTCTTGGACGATGGGTGGCGTCTTCTTCTGTCTTCTTATTCTTCCCCTCATGGAAGACTTCGGTACCCGTATTACATTCCTTCTGACCAACTTCATCTTCTTAATATTTATTATACCACAAGCCGTTGCTCAGAATTTCGCCACTCTCATCATCGTCCGCTTCTTCGCTGGTGGCTGCGTGGCCGTGCTCGGCAACGGCTCAGCAAGCATCATCGGCAATCTCTTCGAGACAGAGATGGCCCGCACGAAACCTGTCGCTCTCTGGATCGTCGCCTATCTCGGTGGAAGTAGTGCGGGGCCACTAATCGGTGCACCTATCTTCGCACATCTGTCCTGGCGATGGCTCTCCTACCTGCAACTCATCTGGGTCGGCGCATTGCTGCTCGTGAATATCGTCATCCTGAAGGAAACCAGGGGATCTGTTATTCTGAAACGCCGAGCCCGGAAACTGCGAGATAAGGGCGAAAATGCCTACACGCAGCACGAACTCCAAGCCGAGCCGCTACGCCAGGTCCTACTCACCAGCATCCGCCGACCCTTCAAGCTGCTCTTCACCGAATACGTCGTGTTCTTCTCCACGCTCTGGTCGGCCTTCACCGTCGGCACACTATACCTGTTCACGCAATCCGTCGAGCAGGTCTTCGTGGGACTGTATAACTGGACGCCCGTGCAGGCAGGGTACGTCCAGGCGGCGGTGTTCATCGGGGAAGTGTGCGGGTGGTTTTTCTCGTTAATCTCTGCGAGATTGTACTTCAACTCTTCGAAGCGCAATAAGGAAATCCCCGGGACGCCCATTCCAGAGGCTAGACTGTATCTTTCTGTTGGTGGGGGTATCTTCGGCATTGCGGGGGGAATGTTCGTGTACGCATGGACATCTTACCCCTCCATGCCGTGGATTGCTCCGGCCGTGGGACTCTGGATGGTGGGCATGGGCAGTGTGGTGGTGGTCAGTGGGATTGCAGATTACGTGGTAGACGCGTACTGCAAGTATGCCGGGAGCACGATGGCTTGTTTTGTGGTTGGGGAGAATACTGTCTCTGCGTTCTTGCCGCTGGCTACTTCCAGTATGTACAATACCTTGGGATTCCAGTGGGCGAGCACGTTGTTGGCGTTTATCAGTTTGTTGTTGACACTGGCGCCGTTGTCGTTTATTGTTTGGGGAAAGAGCATTCGTGAGAGAAGCCCGTTTATGGCGGAGGCGATGCTGGATAAAAGGGCGGATTTAATGCGGGAGCCTAGTAATGGGCCGGCGAGGGAAATTAGGGAGTAGCTTTCTTGTTTTGGGATGTATGTATGTTTGATGATTGCATGAGAGCGTGTGGCCTGGTGCCATTAGAATGATGAACGACTATGTATGTAATGGGTTTGTTGTATGTCGGTAGAGCGTTTGATTCCGTGACTGGTCAGTAGTATGATGAATGTAATGAGCGGATCTTCTGATTAGCGAATCGCCATGTACGTACTTACTAGGAGTTGCCTTTCACACATTTAGTGTTTGCCCCTGGTGGTGCAATGCAAGGGTGATCTTCTGCTGGATCTACGACTCAAATTCACACATCGACGGAGTAGAGCTGGTCGGGGTAGAACTGCATCAACATGAATTACCCAGTCTCAGCCACGAAATGCCCTGGCAAATAAATGTGCGATAATGCAAATCAATGCACACTTTACTCCTGGTTCATGACAAATGGGTGTGAGGGATTGGTTATCCTGAAGGGGTCGAGTCTTTCATGTCGAGACAGGTAGGACAGGTACTGACCTCTCAAGAGGCAGAGCCTCTCCATCTCCAGCAAGGCAATTGGCGTAGCAGCACAAGACCTGTGTGCACTTCACTTTGATCGGTGGGTGGCAATTAGATGTCTCATCACGTTGACTGAGCAAGAATGTACAGTAACTTCTTTCGTATGTGGACAGTAAAGTAGATCATTAAATAGCCTAGCCGGCTTGGCTTCTATGATATTGCCACAACAGCTCTGATATGAGCGACCAGAGTAAACCTGTAATTAGCCGCAGTCATGCGAGACGATAATCTCTCTGCTATTGGAGGTATTACATTCAGGAACCCTTCCGGTATGTGCGGAGTGTTCCCGCTTTGCACAGGAGGATGAATCTTGATAGTATTATGGTACGTAGGCCAAAGTGAGGGATGAGGTGTCAAGATCAAGGCATCGTCATATTCGAGCTAACCGAGACAAGTAGAGGCCCGTCTGGGTCTATGCAGGAGAGGGTCGTGGAAGCAAGGGGGGAAGGAGTCAGGTGCAGTCTGCCTACAGGAACTCCCCAACATCATAGAACTGGGATTCAGTGCTCGAGTACGGCTTCTGCCCCTTCATGGAACGAATCTTGTGTTACGGCGAAGTATGGCAGGATTCTTGCCATACTGTGTAAAGCCGGCCAGGTCCTAGCCTGGTGCACGATACTATTATACATCTATCATATCATACACATACACTAACCAAATGTCAAAAGCTCACGGATTAAGAGAATGTCTTCCGTGTAAAAGCCATATAAGCCTTCCAAGGGAGCTTCCAATCCGACCGGAGAAGTTCAGGCTGGAAGATATCAAAATCATAACTCTCCAGCCTATCCAGCCACAGCCGCATTCCAACGGCCGGCATAAACACTCCAAAGGCACGATTGACCTCCTGAAGCGGTGTCTCATTCTGGGATCCGAGATCATACTGATGATCCTCTTCATGCCCGTGCTCAAAATCATGTCCTGCATCTTGCCCAGCACGAATATTGCTTAGCATCTGCTGCACGGTAATCAGGTGGTCGCTGGCGCGAGTGGCCACCGTAAATACAGCATCCCGCAAGCCTGGCGCCTCACTGCCCAGGCGAAATACCTCTTCTTCTTTCACTCCAGCCTGCGCCATGACATCCAATGGCAGCATTACGGCTCCCTGCTTGGCTCCCCCGGCCATTGTCGTACCAGTCTGGTCGGGACGTTGGGTTGATGCACCCGGGAATGCTACCAATGGCAACCCACGAAGTACAGCTGTGATACCGGCTGCCTTTCCAATATGCGATGCCACATGGTCCGCCGTTACCGAGGTCATGGGGAGTGCTGAGAGTGTCAGGTAAAGTAATGTCGAGTATGTGCTTTCGGCGTAGGACTCGAGTGCCGCGATATCAGGGTACGGGTCGTTGGTAAGGGTTTGTTCGCGGGCATTGATCATTCTGTTCAGCCAGCCTTTGCTGATGCGCGCCCGGCCTTGTGTTCGCTCGGCTAGGTCTGAAATGGCAGAGGCGAGGAGAATAGCAATTGGCTCTTTCGGGGGTGAACCGGATAGTGTTTTGGCAACTGCATCGCGCCAGAATTGGAGGCGCATAAGCCCGATGGTGTGGGAGGAGGTGGTGTCGGGGATTAGGGAAAGAGAGACATTAAGAGCTCGAAGAGCGATGTAGAAAGATTGCGCATTTCGGGGAATGAAGGTGCTCAGGGTATAGGAGGGACGGTCGTATTGTCTGGCATAGTCCAAGAATGTATTAGATACATTGCCGGTTGAAACGGTTAATCAATTGGAAAGACTTTACAGAAGAAGATTCGAGCAGTACTTCTGAGCTGCTTGGACTTCGGCTTCACTTGCTCCGGTCACTGGGGCGGCGACAGCGCGAGATCGGCTAAAGTGGCGTTCCTGTGACGGCTGTACCTGTCGGCGGGATATGCTGCATCGACATAGCGATTGCTGGGCGGTGCGGCTTGAGCGGATGAAGTTTTTGGACAGAGACATTTTGATCCAAGAGACTCACTAGTGGCCGGGATAATTATCGGTATGATTACTATTCCCGCGATGAGCACTGGATCCTCCCCAAAAGCGGTAGATGTCGGCAAAACGGTGTCGTCACATCAGGTGATGTTTGATGCGATGGATGGCCGTGTTGGGACTAGCGCTGTAACTATCTCCCTACTGTCAATGTCATCGAGGTGAAGATAGTTTCCGGTCGCACGACCAAGTGACTGGTACAGTTCCTGTGAGGGATTGGAAGTCTCTGGTTAATGGCAGGAAGTGGAGATAATGGCCTGGCAGGGTTCTCCAACTCGAACCCCTTGGCCAGAGAACCTTTCAGACGACATTAGTTAGATATAATCTGTCTTAACAGACGCGAGATGTCTACGCATAGCGCGCAGAGTGCCTGACCTACGTCAGGATTAGCCTCGGTCTAGGGCTCTCTTAGCAATAGCTAATATCATAGGGCCACAATTACGACTCCGACGGAGCTGGTAGGGCCGGTTCCTTTCGATCTTCAGAGGGGATCGGGGAAATGTAACTGTGCCGACGATTGCTGCAGCCACGGCAGCGGGAAATGGACCTCCGCCACTTGAACGGCATGATTCCTCAGCGCCGAGAAATCCTCCGCAGATCGGTTAGCTTGCCGAACTATAAAGCAGAATGCTAATCTATATAAATGGAATCGTTACCTATTAGGAGGAGGCTGTTCTCCCTTTATCGTCTTCTTCCTAAGATCATTCTTCCTCAATCAAGTGATACGTCCAATACTCAATCCTATCATTATCATTTTACTTGAGTCAACTGACGTCCATAATGACTGAATCAACCATATTGAAGCGACTCTCCGCCCTAGACACCAACACAGTGTCCGATGCACTAGATTTCTTAGACCTCAAAGGCGCCACATATGGTTTACGACCGCTCTGGGACTGCCCGAAAATAGTAGGACGAGCCAGCACAGTCAAAGTCGGTCCCAAGACCGACGCTGCTCCCACAACCCATCTCCTCACACCGGTCATCGATGCCGTCACAACAAATGATCGCATTCTAGTCATTTCAGGCGGCACCGAGGGCATTTCATGCTGGGGCGATATCATCGCCAATGCTTCGAAGAAGAAAGGCATCCGCGGGACCATCATCGATGGCATGAGCCGTGATATCGACGGCAGCAAGGACGTCAACTATCCTGTCTATGGCCGGGGAGTGACGATGATCAGCGCGCGAAACCGCTTAGTGCAGCTCGAGTCCGGTACACCATTGCAGGTCCGCGGTGTCACCGTCAATCAAGATGACTACGTAATTGCCGATATCTGTGGAACGGTGTTTGTGCCGGCTGCGCGCATTGAGGAAGTTCTGGACTTAGGTGAACGCATTGATCGTCGCCAAAACCGCATGGTGCAGGCTGTGAGAGCTGGAAACCCTGTCTCTGAGGTCATGCATGATAAGCAGTTTGAGGCTATCCGCTCCAGTGATGAGTCTGCCCCGGCTAGTTCATCGTCCTCGTCGTCATCGAACCCCAAGAAAGCGAGCCCTGAAGACGCAGAGCTGGCTGCCCTGTTTGCTGAATCAGATACGCCTGGCATCTCGGATGCGCTTGATAAGCTTGGTATTCCTGGACAAGCGCTTGGGATCATGCCCTTGACCAACTACGAAAAGGTAACGGTAGGGCCGGCCTTTACCGTGCGTTATGTTCCTGCTAGCGATCCCCCAGGCAGTGTTGGCGACTTCATTGACGATGTCGCCGAGGGTGACTTTGTGGTCATTGACAACGGCGGCCGTACTGATTGCACTGTTTGGGGAGATATTATGACGCAATATGCTGGCCTGCGAGGCATTGCTGGCACTGTCATCGACGGTGTCTGCCGTGATGTAAATCGCGCAATCAAGGACGAGTACCCTATTTTCACGGCTGGGCGTTGGATGCGGACTGGCAAGGACCGGGTGCAAGTCGGAGGCGTCAATGAGTCTGTGGGAATTGGCAAAGTCCGTGTCAACCCCCGTGATATCGTGGTTGCTGATGCCAACGGTGTTGTCATTGTCCCTCGGCATCGGGCGAGGGAAGTGGCGGAAGTTGCTCAGAAGATTGAAAAGAGCGAGGAAGGCATTCGCGAAATGATCATGGGTGGAGCAAGCATTGGAGAGGCACGGAAGCAGCTTGGATATCACACACTGCAGCGGAAGAATTAATGGGATATATTTCAGCCACTATGGTGAAAATTCTGTCCAAATATTCACACAGGGTTGGCAATAAGCGCATATAGATTATGGACGTTGACTTTAACTTTAATTTTCGATGTGCCACATCGCAAGTTGCACTCAATTACAATAAACCCCAGGTAATTAATGTCTCTTAATCCAGGACCTCAAATAGTAACATCAACTACAGGTAACATCAAATCTGAAAAGTGAAAGCACGTAATTCACCAATTTATTTTAACGAATGTCTTAGTTGAGTGTCAAATATAAGCCAAATCCTCCACACAATTTCTAAAGTCGAAACCCCAAAGCAGCTCCCCTAAGCAGAGACCTCCTGGAGATCGATCTGAACACAGGTGCTGGAAAGAGTGACACCAGAGCGGCTGGCGCAGATCATGTAAGTCGGTTCGCCCGCAGCGTACAGGGATTGGTGAGGGCAGGCATAGAAGTTTCCCTGAGCCCACTCGAGGGTGTTGTCGGAGCCCGTAGTAAAGCCCTGGGTCAAGCCACCGAACTGGACACCGTCGGTGCTCTTAAGGTCAACGTGGCCATCGGTGCCAACGTAGACTGAGTGTACTCATATTAGCGTACTGTCGAGTTTAGACTGATCATATGCATCAGAGACTTACCAACGTCGCCGTTCTCGATGCCCAGAGTGCCATCACCGCCGGTGAAGTTGATGCCGTGTTCGCCGCTCGGGGCCACGATGAAGGCGTCTCCCTGGCTGATGAGGGCGCGGCCATTGAGGTTGTCGGTGTTGGAGCTAATGACGAGCTGGAAGGAGCTGCTGGTAGGAGCTGCTGCGGCGAGCATGCTCGAGATAAGGGCGGAGAGTGCGAGAGTGGTCTTCATTTTGATTGAAGGTTATTGTTCAGAATGGAAAGCTTGAGAAAGTAGTGGAATTGTGCTTTTGCTGTGTGATGGTAGACTGGTGATCGGGCAGACAACCCTTCTTTATATGATTGAAAGTTGAGAGCAATTGAGCACCTTGATGAATGCTTACATCTTAATCACAGCGTTTACAGATCTATCTCCGGTATAATATCCACAGGGTGAGATATTAATATTCATGCTGACAGCCAAGCCAGCTTATTTTGGTTTTCTTCGCCTAGTAAGGCTAAGGAATGGTCCGTTCCTTGCTCGGGGACCTAGTGGCTGTGTCTTGATAGTCTTCAGATACTCTATGCTCTTCACGATCTGCAAGACGATCTGATGCAGTTCTCTTAGCACTCCTGATACAAAGATACAGCGCTTTGATATTGATACACAGAGATTAGATATATGAGCCGTCATTCATGCCTGAACAGAGACATCTCACTACATATCTCTCTATGTCACCAAAGCGATTTACACATTGACCCTAGTCCCTTCTGCCTCTCTGCTCTCAAGGTCCTTTGTCATGTCTCAGGTTAATCTGGAAGTGATATTGCTAGAGTGCTCCACTGTCTCCACTTTGTTGGCATCAAGGGTTCTCACAATACCTCTATACCCACACTTGAGGATGACAACAACGAAACACCCTACTCGTCCAATTTTTGGCTGTCATCATACCATGATTGATCTCGCCTGAGTATCATACAACACTCTGCCTCTCTCTCATCGAGCCCCTGCGATGTTTCGGTTATACTAGGGTTGACAATATCAGAGTCCACTCGACACACTCCTAAGCAAGGTCCTCAGAACAGCTCCATCATTCGAAGAAAAGTTTACGGTGATATAGGCTCCATACTGCCATATCTTAGTGCGAAGACCCTGTGCCCTCCCATGACTTCATTTAACTTCATACCTGATATGTGTATCTTGGCATGACAACGCTTTGATTACAAGCCTAACGAAGTTTAACAAACGCCGACTATATGATCCTCTAAGCGAAGACTTAATTGATGGGTATTCATTCAAAAGGATAATTGTATGAGTACGAGCCTCCACTGGCGTTAACGGTCTCCACAAATCTAGACCCGATATGTCAAACCGTCCAAAGACTCCAAACGCATCACGACCGCGCCACCTGCAACTCACTAGTATACCAATTCTGCATCGCCCGAATATCATAGCTCAATGCCACCGTATCAAAGACTTTCAAGTGCTCCCTGCCCAACGTCCCATTATTTGAGAGCCTACCAACCCACTTCCCATGTTTCCGAGCCCCAGCTACAATCTTCTCAATAGCTTGCACAAACTCAGGCTCGTCACCTCTCGCGGGCACGTAACCTAATAGTGACAGTGCTAGGTCGTTTGGCCCAATGAAAATCATATCTATTCTAGTCAGCCCACTTGACACCATCAACAAACGAGTATGGGCGCAACTCACCAACACCAGGTACCGCACAAATCTCCTCAACATTCTCAACTCCCTGTTTAGTTTCGATCTGAATACACGTAATCAAGGTCTCATTCGCTGTCTTGATATACGTCGGGAGATCAATACTGTGCGTAAACGCCGGGAAGGCCGATCCTTGTCCGCGAAGCCCTTGTGGGGGAAACTTGGAGTAAGAGACCACTGTTTGGGCTTCTTCAGCGGTGTTGATTTGCGGGACCACAATTCCGCTTGAATATTAATTAGTTACGTATATTATATATCAATAATAGGTAGACTGGAGTGCTACTTACTGTGCGCCGGCATCCAGGGCCCGTTTAATTAAGTCCGAGTGAGTCATTCGCAGACGGACAAGCGGTGATACTCCTAATGAAGCTATAGCTGCTGTTGCGCTGTGCATTGAGTCATCGCTTATGTGCCCGTGCTCGCAGTCGATGATAATGCCCTTTTTGATTATCAGCTTAACGGGTAGATTGATGGGTGGGATAGTTACTGACGTCAAGGCCGGTCTGGGCTACTATTTGGGCTGTGCGGAAAGATGGAAGGCCCAGGAATGTCATTATGGGCTTTGCATTTGCTCGGAGAGCATTAAGGAGTCGCAATTGCGGGTTGAATGTTGCAACTGTCATGGCTGAGTATTTCTAGTATGAATTGCTGGTAAGGTGTGTAGAATACAACTCGGATAATTGTTATGATTCGACGTAGGATTATCTTGGAGAAAAGGTCATATAACAGAAGGAATGGAGAATTAATCAACTACATGTGCCGGAGAGCAGCTGCAATGAGAAACATTATAACAGTAAGCATCGGGACAGTCTGACAGATTCCGAACGGTAGAATCGGAGTTCAACCGAGAGCCCAGGCATTATTATCTGCCTTCTCCTATACACACAATTTTCACATCTCCGAATCCCCATGTCTAGACTCTAATTGATCGGTCAAAAGGCACTCTCCCCAGCAGCACTCAAACCCAGGGCAAAAGGGGTCTATCTATATCCGGCCCCTCCCGCAACGGCGCGGGACCGGCAAGTCGACATTTCGCCGACGTCCGTCAACCCATGAATTGACGTCAGGATGCATGTATAGCTTGTCCAAGTATCGAATCATGCAAAGCAACACCCTCGTCGGATCAACACGCGGTTGCCAAAGCACATACCCCTCACCATCATGCCGCTCACATACTCAACCATCCCGCTCAAAGTCAATGGCGTGCGCCTCGAAATCTCCACCATCCAGAACAACAAGCTCAACTCCAACCCACCAATCGTCTTCCTGCACGGCTTCGCCTAGCCGACATAATCGTGCATCCATCCTTCCAACAGTATGCCTATCTGGCATTCGACGCCCCCGGGTGCGGACACTCACTTACCGACGACCTTTCCGTCGTCGACATTCCCTTCCTAGTCGCCACCACGGAAGCAGTCCTCGCGCATTTCGGCATCGATCAGTTCCACCTCATGGGCCACTCCATAGGCGGACTTACTGCGCTTCTGCTGGCGCATAGGCTCCCCGATCGTGTGTTGAGCTTCGTCGACATCAAGGGAAACCTGGCCCCCGAGGACTGCTTCCTTAGTTGTCAGATCTTACAGTTCCCGGCTGATGATCCGGGGGCGTTTATGGATGCTTTTATTGTCCGTACGGCAACGGCGGAGTCGTATGCCAGTCCGTTGTATGCAAGTACATTGCGCGTGAGGGTCCGGCCGGCTGCTGTTAGGCCGATCTTTGAGTCGATGGTGAATTTGTCGGATGAGGAGGATTTGATGGGAATGTTTCTGGAGCTGCCCTGTAGGAAGATGTTTATGTTTGGGGAGGAGAATCGGGGGTTATCGTATTTTCCCAGGTTGGAGAAGGAGGGAGTTGAGTTGGCGATGATTGTTGAAAGTGGGCATTTTCCTATGTATTCGAATCCGGTGGAGATGTATCGCCGGATTGCTGGGTTTTTGGACGGTAGAGCGTGAGGTGTGGGATGTAGATTATAGATTTGCATAGATTGTATACAGATTAATAGAGTGATATTAGTAGGTAGGAGGGGTACAGACTATATATATTATGTCGAGTAATGGTATTGATGACTGGCTAAATCATTGGCGCAGCTAGTACTCACAAGAACACGTCGATACAATGCTTTTTTCTAGCACTATACTGGTTGTTCTGGCACAGCTGGAGGTTTAGTGAAGAACGATTCGTACGAGAATACCTATTCTCTTTACGCGAGGCAATGGCATTAGAGGCAGTGGCTTATCACGATTAGCCGGTATGAGACAGCAGTAGATACTGGGACTTGCGGTGTGAGCAAGGTTTCATCTCCTTAACCTTCTTGACATACCTCCCATTAATTGAAACTTCAATTATCCCCGCAGTTCACTTATTCTCCCTAAGAGTATATGATGTTCAACCTACTTCCTAATATTCTCAATCCAGTCAACCCTAGTCCTTGTTCTTGGCAGAACAGCTCTTTCCATTATCTACTTGAGGCAAGTCAACAAAATACCCTTTTCTCTACCTCGGTCACGTTATGCAAGGGGTATCAAGGGCCTTGCATGCTTGAATAAAGGAAATCCAATGATAGCGCTTCTTAGAGTCGGAATAGCCGAACTCCAAGAATGGTGCTAGCCTAGCATATGTTCTCTATTTATTCTGTTACTAGTTATTGGGTGTGTCAGAGGTAAAATCCATCTCAGGATCAGCAACAGAGTTATGCGATGAAGCTTTTCATTTCATCTATCTATCTAGTCGTACCACGATGCATCATTTCCTCATTGAACCTCGTTAGACTCTCCTCAACATCAGTCATCTTTTTGTCGCCCAACACATTCCATAACTCGTCATTGACAAATAGTCTATCTAGTAGTGGCACTGGCCGTGGGCATCACGGGGGGTCGAGGTACCGTTGATGGTCAACTGTGAATGGCATCAGCATTGAATCATCTGAATCCATACAAGTTGGAATACTTACGGTCCAGGGAGCGTGCTTCTTGCACCAGATGGCAGTCAGGTCCTCGGGGCAGTCGGTGCGGTTGCCACCAGCGAAGCCAGTGGGGAATGCAGTCTGGCCTATGAATTGCAATCCAGTTAATTTCAATTCCCAATTATGCTATCCATCCCAGCTTAAAATATGGCGTCCACTTACATTCACCCGCAATGGCCTCACCAAGATCCCAGGCACCACCGCCGTCACTCTCGAAAGCGCTGGTCACCTGCTGAATGACTTCGTCTTCGGCCTCGGAGACGAGGTCGTGGGTGGTGCAGCACAGCGGGATACCGTCGCTGTAGTCGAGGACGACGTTCTGCGCGGAGACGGCAGAGGCGAGGAAGAGAACGGCGGGGAGGATGAACTTCATTTTGGAGTTTTGAGTCGTAGTGACTTAATATCTCAAATGATCTGGATTGGATATCCTGTGGATGAGCGATTGGAGAACAAGCTATGATCCCGGGATGAGTCGACGGTATTTATGTCCCTTCTGATTTGGGGAGCGACCTCACTTTCACAACATAGTAGTATCGGAGGCAGCTGAGGTACCTCCACCCCTCACGTCAGAAGGTGACATGTTATTTGTCAATGCTGAGACTCCTGCAGTGACAGCGGCCCTTACTTGTAGCTAGCTCCATGGGTTGTTAGCAGATCGATACCTAACAAGGGATAATCAGAAGAGACAGGAAGCTAGCTATACAGCACACAGCATGAGGGGATAGATGTTTTGGCTTGGGGTTCCGAAACTCAAGCTGACATTGTTGGGGAACTGGCAGGCAGGGTTGAAACAAGGGCTGGGCAAGACATTCCTAGCATGCGCAGACCGGCTAAGACAGACATCCGGCGGTGAGGTAGATATCGACTGGGGATGACAGACAACGGTAGTCCCCTATGGAAGGAAGATTGGATACCACTACTGGGTAGGATAAGTTATGCTAGCTGATTGTTTTGCTATGAATCGGATCTTGGCATGGTCGTTGTCTTCTTCAGAACCGATGACGACTATTGTAGGAACACGGGGTCCAGGCACCCGAACCCCATGATTTGCATAGCCTGATATGCGAGGGCAGGAGCTAGAATGAGAACCCCGTGCGACGATCTGCGGAGGCAGCATCGATCTGCATTATGCAGTCTACCAACAGGTTACTTGGAGCAAGCACGGTGCTTGGTTCGTTCAATCACCGGGTCTTGTTGTCTTTCATGGCCCTGTTGATCTTTGCAGCGATCTTCAACTATCTACGGAGCAGCTAGAGTCTATTCAAACCTTCTGTACCTGGTTCACAGCAAATCCGGCTGGATGATCTTCATTTACTGGATTGGCAGTGTACTAGTGCCAGGGTTTCCGATCTCTCGATCTTCATTTTCCTAACCGAGAGATTGGCAACGTAAGAGTCTGAGATGGTGTACTGGATGTGTAACAAGCGGGTTCGCAGCGTACTCTGTGAGATAGAAGTAGCAGTCACATAGTGGAACCCCCGCGATAGCGGAAATCAGCACCTGATAGGATGGAGGGCGATTGATATATACAGAAGCTGGTATATAGAAGAAGTTCACGAGGAGCTAATGCAGGGAATGTATGATCATTCATTGCAGCAACATCTCGCTTGCATGCCACCAGCTTGTACTCATTCTCATGGATAAACACCGACCTTGTCACCGCACTACCAACTGACTCAATAGATAGTAGTTAGAAACCGGCTATACTGCACGAATGCTAGTGAAATGTATACACATCCTAGAGGACCGCGACAATAGAGCTGAAAGTTTTGTAGCTAGCCAGCCCCAGGCTAACTGAGACAACTGCTGGCCATTCCAAAAGATCTCCGCGGGGGCGCGGAGAACAGGGGTCGACAGGAGTAACACTATCAATGTAGAGTAACATCTTCATTTTAATCAGAAGTCCTGTATCTGACTGATCATGGTTTCATTCCTTACTCCGTTTCGGCGCCTTGCGGGCCATGCCGGAGCTGTTGGGGCTGGCGGCCGGCGCCGAGCTACATGACCGTCTACTGACTTCTCAGCCAGGTCGACGGCGATTCTATATACAACGCTTCAAGATATACAAGTGGCAGCATCGGTTTCTTTACAGCCGTCTGCCGTTTCACATCAATACTTGATCCACCCCTAAAGACGCACTTGCGACCCCAGCTGACCCCACACTTGCATCTCATTTCCCGTTATCCGCTGTGTCAAGGTCGCTCCATTGCAGGTCACTAATCCGTGTTCGCGCTAAATCTCAATTGTTTCACTGCATGTGGTGAGGATACAGAGATGAGTTCCTCACTTGAGGGCGGGCGTCTGCTCGCTAGCTTGGGGAATCCAGCCATTACGAGCGCGCTTCGTGAATTAGGCAGAGGAAGATGATGGAGGTTAGAGCCTACAATGAAGCGGTGGACTTCGCAGGCCAACGCTATGACCAAACATCCAGCGTTAATGCACTCAGCTAGTGCAGGTGTGAGTTCGAGCTGGAGCTTTCGGGCTTAGCTGTTTTCACGATGAGCTTGTCTTCCAGCCAACGGGCGAACTTCACGCTGGGAATATCCACCGCACGCCAGAAGACATCACCAGCCCAGAGGGAGATGGGAAGACAGATGAGCCAACCAATCAAAAAGCCCAGGCAGTACTGGAAGTTGGTCTCTTTTCCAACGACGGCCCAGATGTTAGGCATGAGAGAGTAACCCAGCGAGTGGAGAATGGGCCCGTGGACAATGTAGAAGGCAAATGAGATCTTGCCTAGGTACTGTGAGACAGGGTGGATGAAGAGCTTTTGGAGATCCTTAGAGTGGTTGATGCTGAACACAATGAGTACAGCGCCCAGGGTCTGGGGAAATCGATGCGGCTCCGGGTAGGTTCGAGGGGTAATCTCCCAAGTCCAACGGTAGAAGGGAGTCCACTTGTAGCCGGTGTTCGGGGCGGATCCCAGATACAGACCGAGGACGAAGAGGCCGATCCAAAGATTGCGGGTAGAGAGACGGAAAGGTAGTATTTGTCTAAGGGCATTTTGCTGCTTCGGGAGGAAGTGTCGGTGCCCAGGTCTGGGCTTCGATTCGCTCTCATTCGCAGGTCGCTCCCAGGTGCCGTTGATAAGATCCGCCTCCGCCATCAGCATGCCGAACAAAAAGAGGACAATGTCCCAACGACCCCAGCGCATACAGAACCAAACCAGGCCACTGACAAGCGAGATACGTACGGGTGTTGTCAAGCGAGAGGTGCCCAGGAGGGTGAGGAAGAGCACGATAGAGCTGCGAAACTCGACGGGGATGGTCCACAGATGGGGATTATAGTAGTTGTAGTAAAGAGCCCAGTTGAAAGGATCCATCAGATGAACGATTGTCAGGTACCAATCCCAGTATTGTTTGTAGAAGGACCGCATGATTGGAGGATGCTGCTCGTTCGTGCCGAGAATGGTGTGGCCCTCTACGAGGACTTTATGTGAGTAATTGTACACACCCAACCGGACCGCGATAAAGACCAATAAGATGCCGACGACAGACGGGATGTAGAGACGGAGTGCGCGGCGAAAGGTAGATGAGGCTAAGGTAGTGAAGGTCTGTTCCCAGGAGCGACTGCGAATCAACTTCAATGGCTTGTAGGAGAGCACATAACCGGAGATGACGAAGAAGATAGCCACCATTATATGACCAGAGACCAGCATGTGTATGATAGGGAGCTGCAGCACGCTGAAATTCTCATTGTTGAATCCCCAGCCCACGGCAACCTTCCAGGTATATGTGAAGAGGAAGTGGAAGTTGAAGACCAGCAGGCAGGCCCAGCCGCGCAGACCATCCAACGCTGCGATCGCATGTTGTCTAGACGGGGGCTGCGACTTGCCGCCAACATGATGCTGCAAGTAACTCGGAGTTATGAAGATGGCGACCTTAGTGAAGAAGTCGTCCAGACGGTCGATGCCGTTATCCATGTGCTGCTTGACATGAGGAGCGAGAGCCGAGGGGTCGGTTAGATCGGACCAATTTGGGGTGTGATAACGGCGAGGGCGACTGGATTCTAAATCATTGAGGGGGATATTATGGACTGGCGGTGGGGATAGAAGGCCATTGTCAGTCGACGACATATTGTCGCCAAAGAGACGTCCGGTCGGTCGGAGAAAAGGCAGGAGATGCGTCTACCGCGCGGAACAGGTGAGGTTGAGCCAGCAACCAGCGATGAATTCGAAGCGATTGAGGATTCAGTCAGAATGCGGAAAGGGCGGGGGCTCACTCAAGTACCGAGTAGGGTAGAGGAGGAGGTGTTCAGATGAGAATAGAATCATGGATGATCTAGAACGCGCTCAAGAGAGCAGACCAGGTGGAGGCGAGCAGGGCGATAGTCTACTTTCAACAGGGACAGGGGACCATCCCCACCGCCTGCATCTTTGAGGATTCTGCACTTATACTACTTTGGGACTAGTGTATTCGGGTGACTTGAGTCTTACCACTATACCCAAGTAGGCAACTAGTTCCTTGCAAGTTTGGAGTCAATGCCCCGTTCAAACTTGACATTATTGTTATATTTTGTTTGAAAGTGATATTAATCTGAGTATCGTGCTTGTATCGCCGATTGTCTAGCCAAAGTAATCGGGCTTGATCTTTGCAGTACAAAATAGCCACTATCTACACAACCCTGAACTGGCTGGTTGTGGATGACGTGGCATGTTGTCCCGTGTCCTGGTGATCGACAAGCGCATCATATATAATCCTGCTCACGCCATTCAAAAACCAGACTTGAGTTTTAGATTAAGCGCTGACATATCGTTATAAAGCTGTCACTGTGAAGGTGTGGTTGGGCTGTCCGAGGCAACAATCAGTGGTGGCTCATGCAATGCCATTCATTACTGCTACTTTCCATAAAGGTTTCACCTCATCTCCCACTAGTCTAAAATATTTGTAACAAACGTATATGCATCTGAACCTACCGACTAGGGCACTTTTAGATCTCAGTATATTCAGCAAATATAGGGAACTTGACTTTCAAATGTAGCATACGATGCTGCTAAGGTTGGCTCTGGTGCTCCGGCAAACGGCAACTAGCCGTAGGATAGAACCAGCTATGGTTGGATGAACACTGCTTAGGCTCAAGCAATCCTTGGAAGCGCAATCATTAACTTATCGTGGTTTGTAAACCATATCAATGCTGTCTAAAACCATCACGAACTGGACTCAGTTGGGCTGTGCGCAAATCTTGAGAATCATTATATCCAGACCACCTGCCGGCCCGCAGCGCTAAGTCTGCTGGCTTTGGGTTCTTGCAAGAGTCAAATTTTTCAGTTTGAGAGATATCTTCGGCTCTATGATTATACGGTGTCTGTGGATGTGAGTTTGGCAATGCCGAGTAGTGTCGACGCATCGGTTCCGAGCCACCGGGAAGAATACTTTGTGCCGACTACCAACAATGACAGCAAGCCTCGGAGGCCGGTAAAAATGTCACTGGGCCGAAACGATTGCACTGGACAAATAATGAGACTATCTAAATACATGGCTAGCATGATTTTCTAATGGCTGATAAGTTCGGTTTTCTCTCAATAAATCACTGGCACCCTCTTCATCATTTCCCAGGCTTTGCCACTCACCAGCAACATAGCAAACACAACCATACAGACCCCGAACATGAGCGAGCAATACCTTGGCCTGCCTATTGCCCCAGCAGATACAGCCTTCGGGTTAATGGCAGAGTACGATGCAGACCAGCACCCAAACAAAGTATCCCTGATAGCAGGGGCCTACCGCGACGAGAACGGCCAACCCTGGGTACTTCCGAGCGTGAGAGAGGTTCGCTAATACTGCCAGGACTCTATTTTGGCTATTGAAAAGCTAACTCTTAGACTTAGGCAAAAGAGCTCCTCGCTCAAAGTCAAAACCATGAATATCTCGGCATCGCAGGCTCCCCAGCCCTAATTAACCTAGCCCAGTCCCTTACATTCGGATCCGAGATTACCGCAAAGCTAGAAAAGAGCATCGCTTCCATCCAAACAGTCTCAGGAACAGGCGCAAACCACATGGCTGCACACTTTCTAGCACATCATCTTCGCCCAAAGCGGGTATTCATACCCTCGCCGACATGGATCAATCATAAGACTATCTGGGCCAACGTCGGGGTCCCTATCGCAGAGTATCCTTACTACTCCACAAAAACCAGGGGAGTGGACTTGGAAGGAATGCTCTCAGTGTTTAAAACAACCGCCGAGGAGAGAGATGTAGTGATCCTGCAAGCCTGTGCACACAACCCGACAGGTGTGGACCTCACCCACGAGCAATGGGCACAAGTAGCGGAGGTAATGAAGCGGAAGAAACTATACGTTGTGTTTGACAGCGCATACCAAGGATTTGCTACAGGCGACGTGGACGGTGATGCCTGGTCAATTCGGTTTTTCGTGGAGCAACTGATCTTGGATGGACAGCCCGACTGTCCAGGCCTCTGCGTGGCTCAGTCTTTTTCTAAAAATTTCGGACTTTATGGCGAGCGTGTAGGTGCTCTCCACCTTGTCGTGCCGCGGCATCTTGGAGCTCAGGGTGCCCGCTCGGAATTGGTTGCTCTCGCTCGCTCCGAGTACTCCAATCCCCCTCGCTTCGGGGCGAGTATTGTTGAGACTGTCCTGGGGAATGAGAAGTTGAAAGGTCAATGGTTGAGAGATTTGGATACTATGAGTTCGAGAATCAAGAACATGCGGCGTGAGCTTCGCAGAAGGCTGGAAAGCAAGGGGACGCCCGGGGATTGGTCGGTTTTGGAGAGCCAGATTGGTATGTTTAGCTACACGGCGCTGGATCAGGAACAGGTCACTCGTTTGCGGGAGAAGTTTCATATCTATCTCTTGCCTTCCGGGAGAGTGAGTATCTGTGGGCTGAACGAGAAGAATATTGAGTATGTGGCGAGTGCATATGGTGAGGTGATCGAATTCAATTCTAGCTGAACGTATTTCTTTAATAGCATATTATACAACTATTGAACCTAATACTTGTATGTTCATAATCATGGTTGACGCATGAATAGTTATTCTAGGAATAGCATGACTCGCCTTACTATGTGCAACCAGGGCTGTTTGTTCAAGTAGGATATCGCACACTCCCGCAAATACCGCACAGAGTATTCACAGAATACATCTGGCCTATTCCATGTCATTCACTTGAACTGTATACCAAATCAATTGACCCCAGCATAAGTCAGTCCACATCTAGATCAGATAGCGGCAATCTGATTGGCCCCACCAACTCCCAGATACCGAATCCGGTTAGTTCCACCCCGCGGGGCAAGTCCGGGAAAATTCTTCCCAAATTAGGATTTGCCCGACAGTATAACCCATCTATAACTTGCCTATACAAATATAAAACCCAGCAGCGGACCAAACAATGAGCATGAAAGAGCTGCCCCTCACCCCCCGTGGAATCTTCTGGCAAGAAGACTTCATCACTCCCGAGCACGAGCAGCATTTAATCTCCATCTTCCGCCATGAACTAAAGTGGCCCGACCGCAGCGGGCGCACATCTCTCCACTACGGCTACACATTCGACTATAAGACCTTCGGAGTAGATCCTGAGATACCCTATAAGGAGTTTCCAGACTGGCTGAAGCCCTTGATTCCCACGACGGAGTCCCGTCCCCCGGATCAGGTCTGTCTGCAGTATTATCCGCCGGGAAGTGGCATTCCGCCTCATGTAGATGCGCACCTGGCGTGGGATCAGCTGTATGCGCTGTCGCTGGGTGCGCCGGTCTTGATGCAGTTCCGGAAGGGAAAGACGGAGGAGCGGGTGGATGTGGATTTGACGCCGCGGACGATGATGGCGATGGTTGGAGATGCGAGACTTCATTGGACGCATGGGATTAAGAAGCGCAAGACGGATACGATGCCCGATGGTTCGGTGAGGCTGAGAGAAGATAGGTGGAGTCTTACGTATCGGTGGTTGAGGAATGGGGAGTGTGAGTGTGGGAATATTGAGCTTTGTGATGTTGCTCAACGGCGGAATGGTATTGAGAAGGAGAAGAGGTCGTTGAAACAGTTGGCCGAGGAGAGTGCTGGGCAGACTGCTTCTGATTGAATGGCTACGGTCCATTGGAACCACTGAGACTAGTCGACGACTACATGTCTTCATCCCAGCCTCTGCCGCTTGTTGGTGTCTAGTGTCTCCAAAGGCCTTTCAATCGGGCAAACTGCCTACTATCCTGCATATGGCAGGGTGAAAGAAGTATTCTATGGCAGAAGGGGATGGCAATGATTACTAGGTAGCCCAGCCAGGCGGACATCTGGACTTCAACTGACACCGAAGGAAAAAAATTGCTGCTCGAAGGCTTCCGATACTCCAAGGCTTTAATTGGTGGTTGCATCAAAAGCATACATTCGACAGCTAGCACAACCTGCAGTGGGTGCAACCAACAAGGACACCAGTTATATCCCTTCATACCTTTGAATCCGAGACCAAATAATGCTCATCCATGCTAATCCATTGGCTGGTCTTCACCACAGGCAAAGTCCTCGTGTATCATATTCCTCAAGTGTATATAATGCTTTTCAGTTTCCATCATATACCATTGTGCATCAGCAAAAAGAATTGAATTCTATTACTTCTTCATTCATGTGTGATAATCGCTGATATCCCTACCAACAGATGAGCCAGATCCGCCACACTACGTATCAAAAGCCCTCTCCGACTGAGTGTCAAGTACTAAGTATGGCTGACACTAAAGCAAAGCAACAAATGCTCTCGACCTTAAAATTTAGCTTCGCCCTTACACCTGGCTTCTAACAAGGAAGACATCTTTTGTTGCCAACGCATGAAGACTACTGAGCAAATCCTCCTCTTCGACACTCAATGTAGACACTGCAGATCCCCGAGCAGACGGGTAATACTCAGCATCAATGCCGCACCTGTTTACTCAGTTAGTATTTAGTCATCAAGTTGGGAGAGAAGTTGTGTTTTACGTTGCTCTGGGCTCCGGTAGTATTCCTTCAACGAAATACCGCCTCAAATGCCCCACAGTACACAATGAGGGCATGCTGAGAGTGCAGTGACCATACGATATCTGTTCAACTAGACGAGCGCCCTCGAAGCTATTCTGAGCTTTTTTTGCAGATATCAATGGACATACAGGATCCCAAGTAGTTGACAATATCAGTATCGGCTCGAATGTCCTCGCCCGGGGAAACTCTGGGTAGTACCGAGGATGAAATCCATGGGTTGTCGGAATAGACCACGAGGCTCGATCGTAGATATCAGATCCTTCATACCTTGATACCAAATAGGACATTTCCGGTCTCGAGCTAATATGATGGTAGACTGGCTTAATACCATGAACAGGGGCATTCTTGCCGGTTTTCCGGTTATCATTCAAACCTATAAAGGTAGTGGATTCATCCACCAGATACTTCAGCACCCATGATTCAGAATATGCATTGTAAGCAGGAGTCGTATTGCCGTTTAGTAATTCAGCCAGATTCTTGGCAAAGGATGGCCAAATTGTCGGCTTGTAAAGTTGCAAAGAATATCCCGTTCGTCACTAGAGTTCGTCGAGTGATGGTACCATAATTCGTGCTTTTCAAGTAAACGGGAATTGGTTCTTTTTCGAGTTCGTGTAAAAACCCATCAATATAGGACTGAAGGCGGCTAGCCGACTTAAACTGCTCCCCTTGATTGACCGTAACGGACAAACTTCTCCGGCTTTGAAACATTCTTCGATAAAGCCGGTAATGATCTTGTCCGTATCAATTAACGACTCTTCAAATAAAAAGGAATTGTACCATTCATCCAGATTGCTCACGCCGTCCAGCACCATTCGGGAGACCCGCTCTGGGAACATTGCGTATATGTCTGACCGAGTGTAGTTCCATCTATGCTCATTAGTCAATTATCGAGTCAGGGGGCAGAACAGAACAGACAACTAAGTCCCCAGTAATACATCTGCTGCTGCCCTATCGCGTCGAGGATAGAGTTCATATCAGCAGCTATCTGCAGGGTGCTGATGTATTTTCCATGCTCGCCCATCATGTCTTCACAGGCCTTTACCTTATTCTCGGCTCTAGTGTACATCTCACCAGCTTGAAACTTAAGGTCCCAAGGGGTGCTGGCAAACGCGGCAGCGCGTTCGGAGTTGCTTGGATAGCAAACAGCTTTCGGTATCGATCCACTTACGCCACGAGGATCAAAGCTCAGTAAGTGGAAACCTTCCCCGATGAGTTTATTTAGGTCATATGCAGATCCACGAAGAAAGCCCACTCCACTGGCTACACCATATCAGTGAATATAGCACTGACTGAAGTCTCAACGTACCTCCAGGTCCCCCCGGGTTTAGAAAGATATGTCTATCTCCGGTAGCAGATGCATTCTTGGCGAGCATTCTGATGATGGGTATCGAGAAAGACTTGTCGGAAGAGTGGCTGAAGTGGTCCATGGGAACATCCAGTCTGGAGCCTTCCTGTCGCGTCAAAGCCGGCCTTTCAGAACAGGCCTAAAAACATGGCATACTTACATTGGAGAGAGTGGTTGTTAGCCACGCCACAGTCTTTCCACTGCATTCCTGACCCTCCATGAAAGTTGAGGGGCATCTGGGATGCTTTCGCCAAACATGATGCCACTATTGCAAAGCCGATAACTGTTGCCACTAGCACACACGAAACAATGTTATTCCAGTCCCTGGATCCGAACATTATGGACGCAATAATTATAAGGGAAGTTTTGTGAGTTTTGGCTAACACGACGATTTGATCAATCATAAGTGTGTCCTTCCCCCTTAAGTGGGACGCTAGCTCACATTGTATATAAAAAGCCGACACTTGTATGCTGTAGGAGAGTCACCATACAAGCGAGCGCTAGAGGTAATGAATCATCGCAAGTAGATACATATATATATAGTATGCGTAGGGTATCACATCACAGCGAGGGGTTGTCGTCTCGTTAGTTTGACCCAGGAGTCCTGTTCGCTTCACTCGTTTACCCTTTTCTTTGTTCGAATATTTCTGCAACCAGCTCGTAGGTTCTGCCCCTCTCGGCCGCCTAGTGGCTACTGCTCAGTATAGCATCATAGTCTACAGACGGTGGGCTTCTAGGTTGGATGGCGGTGATCCAGAAAGTCGCATTTCAGTCTAAATCAAGAACTAGTACTGGTCATTCGAAATGAGGAGGCCATGTGCCGATGACTGTGTCATGCATATTAGGTGTTGAAGAGTGTTTATAATTTTCTTCTGTTTCTCACTGCTCGCGTTTTTTCTTTTTCGTCTCTTCAAACTACTCCGATTCTTCAGTTGCTTTTGCCTCTTCGGTCACTTTCATTGCTTCAGTCTCTTTCACTTTTTTCATTACCTCTCTTTTCTTCAGTCTGCTTCCCTTCTTCAATCCAAGTCGTCCCCCCAGTCCTCAAACTACCAGTAGGAAACACTATCAAGATACCAAACTCAGTAGTCGAAAAATTAATCTCATCATTCCAAAGAGGAATTTCCCTGGCTAGGGGAGAAATAGACAGACAATAAGAACACCCCATACCGTGGAAGCAGCCGAAGGGGTAAGATAATGAACTCTAATCAATATCCGAGTCAAAACCGTATACAACACAACAATCACGGTTTATTCCATGGCGTTTAGCTCAGACCTACCACTTAGGTGCTGCAGGGCACATATACAGATTCTTCAGATCTTGGCCAGTGCATTGTTCCTGCAGTACCAGTATCTCCGCATGATAATATCCTCGGTGCTTTTGATCCCTGTTCGAAGTCCTCCATTTATATTGAAGTATCTGTAGGAACATCTCCGAGAATCAGACTATCTGTGTGGTGCTCTCCAGAATTAAGATCTCTAATAACAATCTCACCTGTCAGTATATTCTCAGCATCCTCAAAAGGCCGGAATCACCCTCAAACCTCAACCAACAAATTAATTCCACCTCGACAAGATTGTTTATAAATACCACCACCTCACCCCTTCGAAGTATTGTTCCATCACCTTATCAATCCTCACTGTTTGTTACAGTTTCCTTCACGCACAATCCACCAACCCCCAGTAACCATCCTCAGAAACAACCAGCACCATGTCCATCTCCACTCCCCATCTTAATGGCCTCATCAACGGCTACAGCGGCAGGCGTCTCCCCATGTACTTGGCCGACCTCGAAGAAGGTGACTGGAACGGCAACTGGGACTTAGCCTCTGCCTGTGCTGAGGCTCGCTGGCAGGTGGAGCGCCAGCTCAACCCTGACGTGCCGGCGGACTGCTGCGCAGGCGCCATCGTGTACCGTGGCTTGCACATCCGCCTGATTCCCGTCGTAAACGGCCAGGCGCTAGAGCCGTTCGAGTCCGAAGGCGCGGTAGAGTGGGTATCAGAAAGTCAGGAATTCGAGGACGCGTTTGATACATCTATCGATGCACTGGCTCAAGTTGATTGAGAATTTATTGTGGAGTAGATGGATAGCATTCGGTCTCTATTTTCTTATTTGAAACACGCTGAGAGAGTAAATAGTGACAGGAGAAAGAAGGAGAAAGGAATCAAAGCATATTCTTGCACAAAGTCTAGATATCGACATGGGGAGCACGTCGTTCTGTGGGAAAACCCCCAGACCTCCGGGCTTTTCATCTTTCCATATATAGTAGCTACCACGTGCCTTAATTATCTTGAGTAGTAGATTCTTCAACAGTATGTCAAGCTCTTTCCACTGCTACATGAAAGAAGACCATCAACATTCGTTAAATAATATGTCGAGACGGGTTACTACCTCTAGCCCCTTTTCGCTCCAGTCCAGGGCTTTCCGCTATAGTTACTCAGCATATGGTTCTCTGATATATAGGAACTGATCGGGCTTGCTATAGTTCTTCTTCTTATGTTATTGCTTCTCTCACTTAATGTCAATACCCTCTGGCACTAGAGAATTGAATATCCACAAGAAAAGAACACATGGACTCCTGGTTCATGCTAGACGCATTGTTCCTTCGGAAATGGGGCCAGGATCACCTGTTGGAATCAGTACTATACTTAGAGGACTTTCACGTCCTTTGGGGGCGGATCCGCCTTTCGAAACCCAAAGAACAATTCTAGAATCCGATACGTGCAAATCATGGATGTTATCTTAAATGAGTATGTTGGCTGAGAAATTTGTATGAGAATCACGCATGAGTGACGGTGTCGATAATGGCCCGGCCTTTCTACAATGCTCTTCCCTAATATATATTTACATCATTTTATCGAGAGAGACGAAAAAAGGACTAGTCCCTGGGGATAAAATCCCATACGCGCAGCGGGAGTTGATACCATTTCCTGCCAATTTCTCCTTGGCAACCCCTCGAAGTCAGTCAACTGCATATTGAGGACAGGGATGACGCCCACACCGCTGCTTGGAAGTCTGCAGCGTATTCCCATTTCTTCGTTAACTAAAATGATAAAAACGAGGTAATTTGGCCCGAAACGACAAATATGGTCATCCCAACGACAAAGCGAGACGGAAAATTCCTTTCATTTCCATGTGCCACGGCTGTCGCCAAGAGTGATGCTAAAGTCAAAGTTAGAGTAATCCCCGAACCATATGCGCTAACAGCCTCCGGCCATGTGCAGATGCCACCACGATTATTTTCCTAATTAGGGCCAAGATTGATGGAGCCATTCCCACAATGCTTGTCAGCAACCGACCTATTAACCTTATAGGCTAAGTGTCGAACAGTGCACAGGTCGCAGGTTTCTCTATTTAACCCAACTCCTACCCAACAGTGAATTCAGCTACGTCCAGCTCCAACGAACATCCCCATCATGCGTCTTGTCTCTGCCATTGCCGCCTTCGCCGCGGTTGCTACTGCCGCGACCGCGGACACCGTCCCTCCTGAACTGGCGAGCATTGGAGAGCCGTCGACGGTGTTGAATGTCACCTATTCTGTGGGGTCGACTGAAGTCAGCTTCACCCCTGGCGAGTTCCTAAACGCGAGCGGTATGCACGACCGATACTCGATTCAGACTTGTTTGACTGACCAATACACCATCTATAGTCGCCGTGGACGCGCCGCAGCCGCATCTCCACGACATGGGGCTGAGCAGCTCGGGTCCCTATCTGCTGCTCATGGTCGACCCGGACTATAACAAAACCACTCCCCCCTCGGTGATCTTGCACACTGTCGTCGCCAACCTGACCACCGCCGTCAACAGCTCCAGCGATGCTAATGTGCTGGCCTCCTACATCGCCCCCACCCCCACGTCCGGCACCCACAACTACACCCTGTTCCTGTTCGACCAGCCCTCCAACTTCAGCATCCCTAGTCGCTACGAATCCTTCATGCTGACCGTAAAGGGTACGCCCGTGAACCGGGTCAACCTGCCGCTGGTCAGCTTCCTCAACCAGACTGGGCTGGGCTCGCCGGTCGCGGCCAATTACTTCCGCGTTACGGCGCCGAGTAACAGCTCCAGCTCCAGCTCGGGCGCATCCGGTTCCAGCACGACCACAAGCTCGGGCACCAGCACCAGCACTGGCGCTGCCGCTAGTGAGACTTCGAGTGGGGCGGGCCACAAGATGGCCGCGGGGAGTTATCTGGCCGGTGCGCTGGCCTTGGTTGGTGTGGTGGTGGCCTCTGTTTGATCTGCTTGTTTGTTTGAAGACAATTATGGTTCTGTAGAAAAGAAGAAAAAAAAATCAAACTAGCAAGTCGCGTACTTGTGTACACTCAGCATGTCCAGTAAGCAACACCACCTCGGGGAAGACCGGCACAAGCGCGCAGCGAAAATTCGACTCTAGAACCTATCTACTAAATGCAAGCTGCAGGCACTAAACTAATCCTGCTAGCAAAGGCCTGATTGTATACTATATAGGGATAAGCTTTACACGCTAAATGCTCTTGTCAGCACTAGTGTAGGTAGGTACCCCTCCTCGGTAACATGAGAGGCATGTTGGCTTTTCGTTCCTGACTTCTTGATTACTCTCCTCCTGTTGTGTATTCTAGGTTGCGGGAAATAATTTCCCATGTCCATCCATGTTGTGGTAGGGCTTATCTATGTTCCTGGATCAATGCCGAAAAAGAAAGAGAAGGATTTTACACTAGATGGTGTCTTCTTTCAATTGTATCAATCTCTACAAATTAGTCAGGCCGAGTAGAGAGCCAGTGCATATCATTTACCATAACAAACAGGTGGAGTCACATAATACCACTATTTTAGCACCCCGATTCTCTGGGGCAGGACAAGCAGCGGTGGGGATGCAATCGGGATTAGACATTCCAGATTTTTATGGAGAAGCATTCCCTACAATCAAGCTTAACGGTCACATATCCTAAACTCACTTCCTAGCCCATCCATCCACCCCGCCGTTAACTCCAGCCAACAACAAGACTCACCTACCATGTCCAACACCATCACAACCACCACCACCAAGCCAGCCTGGTACGAAACCAGCGTCACGGCCATCGACCCCGCTGCGCAGTCAATGCTAGAGAATTACAGCGGACTCACACCCGAAGAGATCATTCCCCATGTCTTAGCCCTGGTAGGCACCCACACCCCGGAGGACTACTTCCAACGCAGGATGCTATCCCCCTAACTTTAACCGAAACCAATTGAGTGGACAGCGAGATGAAGCCTTCCGCATCTTTCCCTACCCCTGCATCGGTCAAATGCGCTTCCTAAGCTGCCACCTCTCCTGCCTCCCCTTCTACCCACGGGTCCTGTCCCGCCTGCGCGCCTCCCCAGACAACGGCTTCCTCGACGCCGGCTGCTGCGTCGGCCAAGAGCTCCGACACTTAGTCTACGCGGCCTCGATCCCGCCCTCGCAGTTATACGGCTTCGATCTAGAACCCGGGTTCTTCGAGCTCGGGTATAAGCTCTTCCGAGACAATGCCGACTCGTTCCCCGCTACATTTGTGGGCGCGGATCTAGGTGTGTCGCACGAGGAGTGGGAGACGAGCGAGATTGTGGGGACGATGAAGGGGAAGATTGATGTTGTTTGGGCCAGCTCGTTGCTGCATTTCTGGGATTATGAGGGGCAGGTGCGTGGTGTGAAACGGTTGATTGGGTTGACGAGGGGGCAGATTGGGACGGTGGTTTGTGGGAGGCAGATGGGGAGTACGGTAGCCGGGGTGTATGATTTGAAGGGGTTCACGGAGAAGACGATGCTGCATTATAGACATGATGTGGGGAGTTTGCACGGGTTTTGGAAGGAGGTTGGGGAGAAGTTGGGGATGAAGTGGGAGGTGCAGGCGGAGTTGGAGGTCGGGGAGACGACGCTGAAAATGAGGAATAAGGCAAGTTTTGTGGATGATAATGCCAGGATTATTTGGTGGTGTGCTACGAGGGTGGAGTGAGTGGCTTTTGAGGGTGGTTTGGGGGTTAGTATTAGGGTATATGTTTCCCACTGCGTGTCTATGTAACTGTATGGTAGAAGTATACTATCGAATATCCACATCCATCTTCACCATAATCCCATTCCCTGTCACGGGCTCTTCTTCCCGCGCCCGATCTTCCGGCCCCTTGGAGGCACAGCTGGTGGTGAAGTGCCCCATATGCAGCTGTTCGGTGCTGCTGCTGGCCTCTTCCTCGAGCCGCAGGCGTGCGGCCCGCGCCGCCGCCGAGGCGTGGCTGCTGGACGTATTCCCGCTCACACCTTTTGCCATCCAGCTCTTGTCGCGGCGGCGCTTCTTGCTGAAGGCCACCCGGAAGCCCGAGGCGATGGGCACCGCGGTCGCGCACACGATAGCCATATTGAGCTGGATCACGACCAGCATCTCGAAGGGGGCAGCTGCGTAGGGGAAGTCCGTGTGCAGGCTCGTGGCCTTGTAGAGCACGACGACGCGGGCGACCGCGGATACAATGGCACTGCGGAGTGAGTTAAGCTAGCTATACATCACAGGGAATCTCATTCAGGGGAACGTACAGGAATCCGACCGAGAACACGATGATGAGCCCAGCTTTGCGGGCTAGCGGCATCTGCAAGGTGGCGATGGTAGCAATGGGCAGCGCCAGGATCGCGACGTCGGAGATCAGGTCCAGAATGAGCGGCACGCCGTCGGCGTTGGTGGTGTTGCGGCAGCTGCCGTGCATTGTCGACTCCGGGTTGAAACGCTCCCAGTAGTAGCTGGCTGGCACGCACGAGAGCATATATGTGATGGTCGAGCCGATGCCCCAGAGCACCACGTACACAACGTTGGTCCACCAAAAGATACGCAGCCAGATCTGCTGCACGATGAACAGCCGGCGGTAGTAGAGGAGCAGGGCAATCTTGGTGGCCAGCATGGAGGGCCCGTTGAAGGTAGCCGTGAGCCACATGCACAAGAAGATCCACTGCAGGGAACGCAGCGATGGATCCTCAGCGTTGACGCGGAACTGATGGTACCCCAATCCAAAATGCACCGCAACTAGGACGGCGATCGAGCCCACGTTGGAAAAGAGCTAGAGACAGATATGAGGGGTTATTGACCGAGTTGATTGAGATGGGTCGACAGAGCGGCGAAAGAAAGATAACATACAACGGCCATGATCAGCCAATAGTCCTCCTGCACGGGACGTTTGTGAATGCGCCGTTGGGCCCAGATACGCAGCATCACCCCCAGATTGCCAAGTACCACCATGGTGATACTGGGGCCCAACACCACCGGCTTGAGGGACTGCGACCACTCGGCCAGCTCCGCCGGAGTTAGCGTCGAAGAGCGGGCGGAGGGCGATGAGGACATTGTCGCCGACATGGTGGTAGTGATCGTCCCATAGAAGATACAAAGATCGGAGAATGACAATGGATGGGAGGATAAACCACTGGGATTATCAAGTCCCTCTCAACAATCCCCCGAAGCCCATTGTCAGCGAGGAGGAACTCAGCCGCCGCTAAATAATCCTCACTGCCTCCTGAACGGTGGTCAGACTGGCCATGATGACAGGGATACTGCGCTGGACTCTGCATTAGGAGTGCCAATCTTGCAGGCAAAAGAGAAGAGGGGAAAGGGCCGGATTCTAACAGGACATCCGGTCCACTTTTCGGCCCCTGTGTCGGCCCTAATCCAGCACTAACCGATTTCTTCACGAATAAGATCCGTTCAGACACGTTGGCCCACCCTCACTAGAATGCCTCGTCGACTCAGACAAGCCTTGCGAACTCCGAAGATGGCAGTGCTTAGCTCTGCACCCGGCCCATTTAAAATGAACTACCACCGAGCCTTGTGGATCTTCTCCAATCATCCGCAACAGCCGTCGCACCATGTTACTTCATCCTATTCCTTCACCTGCCGTCTTGGAGCCAGGCAAAGACCAGGTCCAGAGCTACATTGCAGAAATGAACCCCAAGATCCTGCCGCCCCCCGCCCGCAAGGCCACCAACCCGCTCGAGCTTCTGCAGTGAGCTGCAACCACTTTTGTAGGCAGTACTTTCTACAAGATCTCAGAATCTGCTGCGGAGTCAGCAGAGCGGCTCGCTTATCAGCAGCTGCTCGATGCGCACTGGATGCAAACCTCGGTGTCAAACCTCCTTAGCGGGACATAGTGTTCCTGCTGCATTTTGACCCCCACGATGAGAACATCCGTTGGTTCCGGGCCTGCACAGTCGCTTATTGTGCCCAGGTTCGCGATTTCAACCGGCCGTCGCAGGGCCCAGGCCAAGCACATTCTCCAGCTGCCGGATGACCCGGTGATACTCACCCACAGCTGCATGACATGCACCTTCCAGGGCGTCAACACGGCGCATTTGTATCTCATGGATCAGCTATCTGCATTGATCTCCTGTTCCCCCCCCTCCAACTCCACTCCCGATGAATCGCAACCGACGGGCCGATGATCTCGGGGCCCTGATGCTCCCCTCTGGCAGCACCGGTTTCTCCAAAGCCGTATGTATTCCCCAGCGCTAGCCGTAGCGGCCGGTAAAGCCGCGCACTGCAACGTGACCTCCCAGGATGTCTTCCTTAGCTGGACTGCGCTGAGCCGCGCCGCTTTCTCGACCTCGTCGACCGCCATCGCATTTTCCTCGGCTTCGCTCCCAACTTCTTCCTGGCCCTGCTGTACGACCGCATCTGTCGGTCCACGCCGAAGCAAGAGGCTCAACCCGCTCCGACCTGGGGCCTCTCGGGTCTGCGCTGCGTCTTCTCCGGCGGAGAGCCCACCGTGCGGCAGCTCCTCCGGCTGGTTCATCACGTAAGACAACGCCTACCTAGATGCCCACGCCAGCTGTACATCACCGGCCGCTTCAACAACACGCTCCTACTCAACGGGGAGACCATCTTCCCCGTCGAGGTGGAGTGCAGTCTCGAACAGGTGCGTATCCCCGATCTGACTTCGAGCTTCGCGCTGGTCTTCGCCCACCTAGCCCCCGACGCCCATCTGAGACCTACTGCCCAGCTACGCTCCGGACGATGTCCCTCCCACACAATTATCTCGAAAGAACCTCGGTCGGTACGCTCTCCCGACCCCACTTCCGGCGTCCTCGACCCCGAGCGTGAAGTCCACGAGACTAGCATCCAAGCCCACCGTCAAGTCACCGCCCAGCTCCCTCCTCGCCCACCGAGCATACCATACTCACCCTCTCGTCTGCGCGCGCCTCGACGCCAATCCGGACGCCGTCAGCGTGATCACTTATCTCTTCAGCCTAGGCCTCCCCTCCCTCGGACTTCTACACCGTCACCCAGGACCTGCAGCAGACGTTCGGTGTTGTCTTACCCCTCCCGACCTTCTCAGGGAACCGACTGTTGCCGACCTTGCCCACTGCTTCGCCTCCGAATAACTCACCTCCTCTTGAAATACGAAAGACACCACCCATGAATACGACGCCATAATACCCCTGCAACTCTCCGGTCCCAAAACCCCCTTGTGGCTCGTCCACCCGGCCTCTGGCAACGTCCTCATCTTCGCCAGTCTCGCCCGCGCCCGAGATCGCTAAGCGGCTTGAGTCCGCTGGCGAGGAAGTGCGGTTCCTGGGCGCGCTGGGACGGGCCGCCCGACATCGCGGACTTGGTGAGTCGGTTGACCTGGAACAAGGGGCTGGTGATGGTGGGGTATTTCTATGAGCTGAATGATGAGCCGAGGTGCGTGGCGCTTATGCCGGGATTGATAGCAATGACTACGTGGAAAGGTCCATATGATGATGATTATAAAGAAGAGGAGTAGATATGCCACTAGCGACACAGGCTCGGACTCTAACCTGAGTCTTCCGAATGGCTCTGTATATTATATATTTGAGATTGACGTAGCTTTGACTGAAATTGATATAGTATATATTCCCAGAAAAAAAAAAAAAAAAAAAAAAAAAAAAAAAAAAAAAAAAAAAAAAAAAGAAATGCCAGCAGAAGATTAGTATGCGGACAGTACTCTCTGCAAGATATGTTTCATGTCTAATAGGTAGCTGCACCGCCTTTACAATAAAGGATTGTGCCGATACTAGTAGTCGGAATATTTCTGATGTATCGATTATGACTGGGTTAGTGAATATGACACTGGACAAGAGTATTCGATGCGTCATGGCTATTATCTACATGAGGCTAGGTAAGAACGGCGGTCCACCGACAATCACGGGGCGCAAGAATGATTCACCGAGTTGGAGGGTCGGCCATTTAACTAATTTGTTAACAAACTCCAGCCCAAACCTAGCCAGTCAGGAACAGGATCATGAGTTATTTTCAGACCACATTGGGCTGCAACTGCAAAGACACAACATCACATACTGCTATTAATAGACTTTTGACATTTAAGACATGCTCTAATATTTATCGTGATGTGGTTCTGTTTTCTATTAGAGATGATCGATTCTATCGCAGTCGAGCTGCTTGGAAATGGATGCCTGGGGAATGACAGTGGGCCATGGAAGCTCGATTTACAAGAGAGAGAGAGAGATATAGACTAAAGAAAGGGAACAATTCACCATGTGGAGAGGAGAATTAAGGGAATTTCCCACTTGTTTTTTTCCCTCAATCTGGCCATGTCTCGGAGCCGACTGGCACTAACCCTAAATGAGCTAGTCAGGGTCCGGGCCAGACCCCGTCGTGGACTAGACTAGACTATCCAGCAAACCAGCTGATTAGCCTTGATTGCCCCTAGCGACGCTGTCCCGTGGGCGGGCAATTATTTGTGTACGCCCGAGCCATCGTCATTTACCCCGGCCTGTCTCTGTCTTCCTGGTTGACAGACAGACAGACTCATGAATGTTTGGCTTCCGAGCAGTGAACGTACTTACATTCTTCCGTTTAAACTCGATCAACCAACCTCACTGACAGCCCCGATTCAGTTCACATACCGATCGGATTCTGCATTCCTGTCCCCGAGACTAACAACTTGCTTGGGGTCTTGGCGACGATAAGCGGCCACCCCGTGATATTCCCAGATTCAGCATCGCTTCCCCTCATCACCGGCCCCAGCATTCTTCTTTCTCACTCTCTTTCTCTCTGCCTCCCTTCAGGCTGCTTTCCAAACCCATTGCCCGGCCTGGCACTACGCCTACGTACCTGACCCTCTAGTTCCGGTGCAGATCCTCGAATTGGAATCTCTTCATTGATCAGCTCTCGTCGCATCCACGCCGATTCTAGTCATCGCAAGAAACTGCTCCCGGTCCGACTAATAAAGTTAAGGTGGCATTACTATTGGGTGTTAGAGAACGCTTAGTGCCCCTCGACCATCCCAGGCCGGGTCCGGGTCCATCTCCTCCGCTCGACTACTCGGTATTAGTACCCTCTCTTTGACCACTCGCGCCCGCCACTATTTCCCCTTCTTTTCCTCTCTCATCCATCGCGCTCGTTGATCCTTTTTGCGCTACTGAGTTCCATCCGGTTGTCGCCTTGGCAGGGGGTCTGACAGCAAGCACTTCCTGGCCTTTTTCGCTCGCCTACTACATACACTGGGATCTCCCTGTTCGCATTCGTTTCGTATCCGCGGTTGTGGGAGACTTTCCCAGGCACCGGCCATTCAGCTGCGCGCGACTATACGAGCCTGTTCAACCGAGATCCGCAGACCATACTGCATACCTGTCCATCTTTCGGTCGCTTGAATCGCTGCGTCCTAGTCCACCGTATTGGACACCCCTCACCCCACGGCGCGATCAATTCGCCCACCCTCGTTCTGCCTATGCGCTAGAAAAGGTGAGTCGCGAAACCTTACGGGAGGGAATATCGAGAACATAAATGCCACTCTTGCCTGCGCAAAGAAAACCATTGCTAACTTCGACATCCTCGTCCTGCAGGGCCATGTCTTTACCTCAACGTCCGGGGAAAGCCTCCCCGCGACGAGAAGATCCCTACTCCTCCTTCCGGGAGTCCTCCCGCCGACGGCACCGCACCCACGAGAGCGCCCACCACAATGATTCATCAGCCGAATCCCCATCAGGTCACCGCCACCATCGCCATCACCGCTCACGCAGCTCCCGAAGACGCGAAGATGTGGACGAAGAAAGAGGGGAAGTGGGTGCGGGATCGAGGCACAAGAAGACACTATCGAAGCCGGAACGCAGTCGGGTCGACCAAAGCCATCCGCACTATCATTATCGCCAGAAATCTCAGAACATGCCCACGCAGCCGTCGACGACCGGAGATGAGCCCCTAATGGGAGCGGAAGGGGAGGCAGAAACAAACAGCTCCCAGAGCATGGACTATAAAGGAAAGGATAGGGTATATGTGACGGAGGGAAATATCAACCAGCCCTTAGAACGACTCCCGAATCGACGTCGCATCAAGAAGAGGCGATCATCACGCAAGATCACCCGAAGGGCAGCCGCAGCGGAGAGAAAACGCCAGGAAGCCTTGGAGCAGGTGCGGGCACCCAGTCCGTGGACCACATACTGCGCGATTATTACCTTCTGGGCTCCCGACTTTATCTTGAAGTGCTTTGGGATGCCCAAAAAGGCCCAGCGGAGTGCCTGGCGCGAGAAGATTGGCCTCATCAGTCTCATTTTACTTGTTGGAGCATTCGTCGGTTTTCTGACCTTCGGATTCACGGCGACCGTGTGCGGAACCCCTCCCACACGCCTGAGGATCAATGAAGTCAGTAGCAACTACATGATCTTCCACGGCAAGGCCTATGATCTCTCCCACTCCACCCACCCGGCTGCTGCGGGCATCCCTGCCGGTTCCAATGTCCTCTGGGACCTGCCCCACAAATACGGAGGTCAGGACGGAAGTTTCTTTTTCCAAGAAGTCAATGGGGCGTGCAAGAATCTCATCACCCTTGCGGACGGATCGGATGTGCCTACCAATTCAGCCGGCGACCTCGCCTGGTACTTCCCCTGTCACGCCTTCAATCAAGATGGGTCGTCCAAACCGAACAAGACGGTGGATTACTACCTCGGCTGGGCCTGTCACACTTCAGGGACGGCTCGGAAGACCTTCTATAACTTGAAGAGCGCCGGAGACGTGTATTTCACGTGGGACGACACCAAGAATACAAGCCGAAACCTTGCAGTTTATGATGGCGACGTGCTCGATCTGGATCTACTGGAGTGGTTCAATGCCTCCCAGGTGAACTGGCCGTCGAAATTCGATGAGCTGCGCGAGAATTCCAAGGTCCGTGGGGTCGATCTCACGTACTACCTGCAAACGGGCCAGGAAAAGAGGATTGGCCAGTGCCTGTCGCAGATCATCAAGGTCGGCAGTATTGACACCGATACCGTGGGATGTATCGCTTCCAAGGTCGTCCTATACGTCTCATTGATATTTATTCTGTCGATCGTCGTGGTGAAGTTCATCTTCGCTCTGCTGTTCCAGTGGTTCATCTCCGCTCGCTACGCCGCCCCGAGAACCAGTATGGACTCCGACTCCAAGACACGGAACCAGCAAATCGAAGATTGGGCCAATGATATATATCGGCCGGGCCCGCGCATGACGGATCACAGTGTGGTGGAACGGGGCACCAAACGGGCAAGCTTTCTGCCTACCACCTCTCGCTTCTCCAGCCCGTACACTGTGAGCAACGGAGGCAAGCAGAAGTACCAGTACGTCACGATGGCGAGCCAGAACTCCACCACACGCCTAGTACCAGGCGCCATCAACTCGATGTACAAGCAGAGCCACAACAGTAGCGGGGGCAGTATAGGACCCGATGGCTCGCGCCACAATGTAGCAGCCAGTCGATCGAGTCTGGCCCTTCCCGGACAGGACTCGCGCTACTCAACTGCCATGCTTGAATCGGAAGCTCCGGGGATGGGCGGATATGTCCACGAGGGTGTTATCCCGCAGCCACCGCCGGAATGGCAGCCCTATGGGTTTCCTCTCGCTCACTCACTCTGCCTGGTTACCTGTTACTCGGAAGGTGAAGAGGGTATCCGCACCACACTGGACTCGATCGCCATGACCGATTATCCGAACAGTCATAAAACTATCCTCGTGATCTGCGATGGAATGATCAAAGGAAAGGGCGAGGAGTTTTCCACCCCAGATATTGTCCTAAGAATGATGAAAGATCCCATTATCCCCAAGGATGAAGTGCAATCCTTCTCATATGTTGCCGTTGCCACCGGGTCGAAGCGCCACAACATGGCGAAGGTGTATGCCGGATTCTATGATTACGGTGAGGACTCCATCATCCCAGAGGAAAGGCAGCAGCGCGTTCCGATGATGGTCATTGTGAAGAGCGGCACTCCAGCCGAAGCAAACAAGTCCAAGCCGGGAAATCGGGGCAAGCGAGACAGTCAAATTATTCTGATGTCCTTCCTCCAGAAGGTCATGTTCGACGAGCGGATGACAGAACTCGAATATGAAATGTTCAACGGCTTGTGGCAGGTTACGGGCATCTCGCCCGATTTCTATGAAGTCATTCTGATGGTCGATGCGGACACCAAGGTGTTCCCCGACAGTTTGACCCACATGATTGCCGCGATGGTCAAGGATCCGGAGGTGATGGGACTATGTGGTGAAACGAAGATTGCCAACAAGAAGGACAGCTGGGTGACGATGATCCAAGTCTTCGAGTATGTGCCCTCCTTCTTTCTTTTGTTACTGCAGTACTAATACAAACAGGTATTTCATCTCGCATCATCAAGCCAAGGCGTTCGAATCGGTCTTTGGTGGTGTGACGTGCCTTCCCGGGTGTTTCTCGATGTACCGGATCAAAGCACCCAAGGGCGGTCAGAACTACTGGGTCCCCATTCTGGCGAGCCCTGATGTGGTGGAACATTACTCGGAGAATGTGGTCGATACGCTGCACAAGAAGAACCTGCTTTTGCTGGGTGAGGACCGGTATTTATCAACACTGATGCTGCGGACTTTCCCCAAGCGAAAGCAGATTTTTGTGCCCCAGGCAGTCTGCAAGACGCAGGTGCCGGACAAATTCATGGTTTTGCTCTCGCAACGACGACGCTGGATCAACAGCACCGTGCACAACTTGATGGAGCTGGTCCTGGTGCGAGACTTGTGCGGGACCTTTTGCTTCAGTATGCAGTTCTGCATCTTCATTGAGCTGATTGGCACGCTGGTGCTTCCAGCAGCCATCGCGTTTACCTTTTACGTGGTGATCAACTCCATTGTGCACAAGCCAGTGCAAGTGATTCCACTGGTACTGCTTGCGCTGATCCTGGGATTGCCGGGAGTGTTGATTGTGGTGACGGCGCACAAGTTTGTGTATGTGCTGTGGATGCTTATATATCTGCTGTCCTTGCCAGTGTGGAACTTTGTACTACCGACGTACTCGTACTGGAAGTTCGACGACTTTAGCTGGGGCGACACCCGACAGACGTCCGAAGGGAAGGACAAGGGGCACGAAGCAGGGGAGGGAGAGTTTGACAGCAGCAAGATCACGATGAAGCGGTGGCGTGATTTCGAGAAGGGTATGTAGACATTATGTGTGTGGTGGCCAAAACTAACATATCAATAGATCGCCGATTGCGCATGCAGATGTCGGGCTGGGGTCAGGCTCCGGGGCCGGGAGGATATCCAACCTATCAGGACCCGTATGGGGGACACTAATCATCGACGATTGATTTTTGGATGTATATTTCGGATGTTTGATGAGTTATGACTGTACTATTGTAATGTTCTGTATCTTTGTCGCCAGCTTGGGTCGGCTGGATTTTGCCTGAGTTATTCGGACTGAATGGCTGTACGCTCTGGCTGGCTCCTTCAAATATGGCTTTTATAATATCTTTGGATGCGTTTGGATTGAGCATGTGCTGCAACAGCGATTGTGACATAGCAGTTACGAGTAACGATGGAAACGATCCACTGAATAAGATGTATGCTTTTAGAGATTTCTCGGGAAAGAATGCCGGCAAGCCAACCGACCCTTTGCATTTGAGATATTTCCTACGGTTTCATCTACCTCAGGTATTGTGGCTGCATCTCCTACGTCACGAATAAATACGAGATGCTTCTGATGAACTCCCATGAAACTTCTACCAGAAACGTTCTAGCACAAAATAATCCCCTAATCATCCTTCACCTCTCAATAAAACGATCTAGTACGGCTTAAACCTCCCCTTCTCCCTATTCTTCTTCTCCTTACGGGATCCCTTCGCAGCCTCTTCCGCCTGAGCACCTCCCTGCCCCTCACCCTCAGGCTTCCACGCACGAACAACCCCATCCTCTCCGCACGTAAACACAGAGTGCGACTATAGTAGTTATCGTCAGCTCCATCCATCCAATCAATCCCGTAAACATAATATTCAGAAGTGATACACACCTTCTCATCAACATACACCGACCTTACCACCTCCTCGCCATGCGCCCCAGGCAACCTCCACAGATTCTCCTGATCGAATCTCCACGAGGGCTCCGAAACAAGCGGGATAAGATCAAGACGGTTCTCCCTACACCAGGTTACAGTACTCGTTAACATCATCATCATCATCATCCACAACCAAATCAAAAGAGAAAAGGTGGGGGAAGGGATAAACATACTCCTTGTTCCCCCCAGCAACATACGCCCCCTGACTTCCCACACACACCTGCGCAATATACTCACACCCCAGCGGCTGCCTCAAATCCCCGAACTGAATGGGACTTGGCTCCTGGGCCGCATCATCGGGGTCAGTCGCCGGGTGCACGGAGAATACCTCGTCATGGCTGAGTGCGTAGATGGTGTTGTTGCTGAGGAAGCCGGCGTGGTGCACGGAGCCGTGGTTGATTACTTGAACCAAGGCCTCGTCTTCGTCGGTGATGGTTGTGTTGTAGATGTTTACTAGACCGTCTGTGCTGCCGGAGAGGAAAAGGGTCGGGTTGGTGGGGTGGTATTGGAGCTGGGGTTTTATGTCAGTGGTGTCGGTCGTTTGTGTGGATGGAAGTTCTGGGTTGGGTTGGGTTGGGTTATACCTCTGTTACGTCGTCGTTGTGGCTCTCCACGTATTGCAGGCTTGTTTGGCCGGGGGATCTTGTGTCCCTGGGGCGTCAGTTAGCAGCTCGTGAATTTATAAATGTAGTACTTCGTGGAAAAAAGCTGTGCGCATATTGTGAGCTGCTGGCTTACCAGAAGGCGACGATGGCTTGGTATGAAACGAGCTCTGTTCCGGCTGCGACTCCGTGAACTTCGGGACAGCAGGCGACAGATAATATGGGGGCTTGTTTCGCTGTTGGGAAGGTTAGCATTGGGTAATCATGAGAGTTGTGCATAGATATAGGAGACAAGAGGAGAGGAATTTCTGGGGGAGGGAGGGCTTACATGTCTCCAACTCCACAACAGCACCCTTCTTGCCGCTGCGCAGATCCCACAGCTTTACCTTGTTGTCTCTTCCTGCCGTGGCCAGCACCTGCTGGTTAGCATCATATGTCTTTAGAGACGTGACACCCTCATGAGCACTCGCCGCGATGACGGTCGCATGGTCGAGCCTGTTAGCGTCAAATACGCGAAGCGAATCATCCGATGATATCACTGCGAACGACTCCGGGGATGCGGGAGTAATCGCATAGATGTAATGGCCTTCCGCCAGGGACAGCGAGGAAGATGCAGTGGCTTTGAGCGTATGCATGATTTATGAAGATAGGGGAGCTCTCAAAAGATGATCTTCGCACAATTGCACTTCCTGGGGAGCCTGTTTAGTCTCTAGTGAATTATTGATAGACAGGTCATCTGCCTCGAGGGGGTTCTACTAACAACGTAATATCTATGTTGCTCCTTTACTTTAGAAGAATGGTTCTGCTTGGTAGCTGGAACCCAGTATATAGTTGATGTGAGTATATGAAGATTCGAATGCTTTGGAATATTCCGCCGTGTCTGAATGATGGGACTATCACTGCCAAGCCAAGGGATTCCTTCCGAAATTTTTGCACAAATGTTGTTGATGCCTTATCTATCTGGCATTCACTCGTTGCTGCCTCGGGTGGGACCCGACAGTCCTCCAACGATGACATCTTATTGGCTATGCTACTTGAGCTCGGTTTCACCATTTCTATTGGCGCTTTCTCACTCTATTCCATATCACAGCTTCCGCTTTGCGATGCGGGGTTGTGCTGCGACTTTGAATTGCTCGCATTGCAAGGGACACTGACCAGCAATCCGGCTCTTCTTCCCACATATCTTGCCTTTGCCTTAGTATCTCATAAGTTATGTGTCCAGTGAGACAGTTTGTTTGTACTGTAGCTTGAGTTGGGAAAAGTGTCCTGTGGCCATGGGGATATATATTCTGGGTCTCGGGACACCTTTACCGTTTGTAACTTATGATATACTTCCCAGGATGGGACAATGGGACGATGAGTATTGGGATGCCATATCACTTGAAAGCCTCTTAGACAGACTGCACCTATTTTTATTATGCTAGATTCTTTACGAGACACTTTCTTCAAGTTTCTGGCCCTTTGTGAGGCAGAGTGAAACACGGGCGTTCAAACTTGTGTTGTAGATGTTTATGATATTTATCTCAGACAGTCTTTCCACATCTTGTAATCCCCAACAGAAAAAGATACACAACATATCAATACAAGCTCCCAATAGTTATCATGCTGCACCCTAGCAGCAATGCAGTCACCCTGCTGCGTCTGCGACCCCGATTCCGGAGAAGTATCCGAGATAGCGATAAGGATGCGGAGATAAGATTGGCAAGTGGAGATGAGAAAGATATCCTCGGCCTCAGAAGTAGGACCGATGATAAATAACTAGTGAACAAGTCCCCCGCCCTTCTCCGAACAAACTACACTTCAACATGCTGAATGCACGCTCCATTGCTCTGGCCTCGCTGCCAGTCCTTCTCCTACTATTTGCCCAGCAACTTGCCTCCCACCCAACCGAGCAGATTCAAGCCATTCTCGCTCCGTGGGTCCCGGCCGCACTACAAGATGTCGTGCTCTATAATCGACCTCGCGTCATAATCCCCCAGGGCACTGTCGTCGGCACGACCTTGACAGACACGCTCAAGTCCCCTGTAGATGCTTTCCGAGGAATTCCATACGCATTGCCTCCAACTGGGGATAGACGGTTTCGCCGTGCGGAGGCTGTCCATGCGACGGACGAGGTTATCGATGCTAGTGAATTCGGCCCAAGGTATGCTTCTTATACGACATTCAGATCATATCTGACCTTTCAGGTGCCCTGGAAAGCAGCTCTTGAATCCAAATGACATAGGTGGTGATGAAGACTGTCTCACAGTCAATGTCTTCCGGCCTCATGGCGCTCAGGGAAAACTCCCTGTCGCTGTATACGTGCACGGCGGAGCCTACAACCGCGGCACTGGTAGGTGTATCAGCCTCAGTTCTCTATATACCCACAGCTAAACATCCAGCCTCCGGACACAACACGGCCTCGATGGTCGGCTGGTCGGACGAGCCCTTCGTTGCAGTCAGCTTCAACTACCGGTACGTCCCCAAACCTGTCCTCCGAATCAACTCAACTAACAACCCATCAGCATCGGCGCCCTGGGCTTCCTTCCATCCACCCTAACCGCCAAAGAAGGAATCCTCAACCTAGGCCTCCATGACCAGATCCTCCTGCTGCAATGGGTCCAAGAAAACATCGCACATTTTAACGGCGACCCAACCCAAGTCACTCTAATCGGCCTCTCCGCCGGCGCGCACTCCGTATGCCCCCTTCTAAGATACAAATAGAACCCAGTCCCCTACCCCCAAACTAACATCTCCCAGATAGCCCACCACATCATGAACTACAACCCACCAAACACCCCCCTCTTTCACCGCGCCATCATTGAATCCGGCGCCGCCACCTCCCGCGCCGTCCATCACTACAACGCCTCCCTCCACGAATCCCAATTCACAGACTTCATCACTGAAACGGGCTGCACTAACCTCCCTGACTCCGCCATATTGCCCTGTCTCCGCGCCCTCCCATCCTCAGCCATTACCACCGCCTCCATCTCCGTCTTCGACAAATACAACCCCTCCATCCGCTGGGCCTTCCAGCCCGTCATCGACCACGAGATCATCCACCGCCGGCCCATCGATGCCTGGCGCTCAGGAAAGTGGAATAGGATGCCTATCCTAACGGGATTTAACTCGAACGAGGGGACATACTACGTCCCTCGCAACCTCTCCCTCTCCGAGGATTTCACTTCGTTCTTCCGAACCCTCCTCCCCGCGTACCCCGAGAGCGATATCCAGACCATAGATGAGATCTACCCCGATCCAAATGTATATGCTACGGCGTCGCCATACCTCGAGACAAGGCCGATCCCGAATTTAGGAAGGCAGTTTAAGCGGCTGGAGGCGGCGTATGGGCATTATGCGTATGCGTGTCCGGTACGGCAGACGGCGGGGTTTGTTGCCAATGATAATGATGGTGACGAGCCGGTGTTTTTATATCGCTGGGCGTTGAATAAAACTGTTATTGGGGGCGCGAACCATGGTGATCAGATGGAGTATGAGACGTTTAATCCTGCGGTTAGGGATATTTCGGAGGCTCAGAGGGAGGTTGCGGGGTTGTTCCATGCGTATGTGACTTCGTTTGTGGTGCATGGGGATCCGAATATTCTGGGGGGTAGGTATGAGGGGAGGGAGGTTTGGAAGAGGTATAGTGGGGAGGGAGGTGAGGTGATGGTGTTTGGAGAGGGGAATGATGAACGTGCTGGGGGGGATGGAGTTGGGGTTGCGGCGAGGTTGAAGAGGGATGAGTGGGGGGTGAGGGAGTGTGGATTTTGGTCGGGGAGGAGTGGGATTTCCGAGTGATGAATCATATATAGTCTAGTGGAAGGGGATGTATATATTGTGGCAGTTGTCTGTAGAACTTTACTTGGTGTGTAGATAGTAAATACTACCACTGATGAAGACCTTGAGATGGAACGACATGCTGTTTGATTCTCAACCCTGACTAGATATATTGTGCATTAGTTGCATCCGCGCCTAACATCTACTCATTTGCAACAGGTGTATCCCGATACACCTCCACCGGCACCCCCACGATATCCGCCTTGATCAGCAGCGCAATGAACCGAGAAAAGTACCGCGAATGCGTCGTAGTTCCGGATATGAACCAGATATGGCCATCTGCATTGCCATCCAGTCAGCTTCAATCACTCACAAAAACAAAGCAGACACCAATAGGGTGCATAACATACGAGGACTAGGCTTAAACGCCCCCCTAACCTCCCCCTCCTTATCAAGCCCCCAATAATCCTCAACTCGATCATACACCTCCTTCCCAAATAATTCTTTCACCGTATCCCTGGCATTCCCCTTATACCCCGTAGCAAAGACCACCACGTCAGCAGGGAGATGCGTGTCATCTTCGAAGAGAAGTCCGGTACGAGTGAACCTGGCGAGAGGACTATCGGACTTGACTTTTACCTGCATGACAACCACCCCTAATCAGCGATCCATCTTCATCAGCAGAATCTGAGTGAGTGTATGTAACAAACCAATCCCTTGGCAATGTTCGCACAATTCCCCACATCTATGTAATGTCCCCCGTAGCGTTCGTGAACGTGCGCGACGACTTCGGCGCCTCGGTCGACTTTGAACCCCGCTCGTTCGAGAGCGTCGAAGCGCTCTGGGTTTTGGGCAATTTTGGCGCCTAGGGTGAGGGTGCTCATGAGTCGGTTTACAGCTAGGGGGGTGGAGAGTTGTTGTTTGTCGGCGGCGAGGGTGCCTGTGTTGCGGATATGGGGGTTATTATGGTTTGGCTTGTGTGGTGTTGGTAGGGTGGAGGTACCTTGGGCTCGTTGGGGCATGAATTCTTTTGGAATTATGCCTGGAGAAATACATATTAGGGGGTTAGGGGTACATTATGGGTGTGAGTGGGTTCCTTACATGTCCGGCTGCGCTGGATCATGGTTATCGAGGCCATTCCTGTTCCGACCATATCTGCTGCCGTATCGTGTGCTGTCTTGTTAGATAGGGTTGATTGCTTTGATGGGCAGGCATACCTGAATTAGCGGACCCAATGATGACACCATGCTTGCCCTGCCATGGACGAGGGCTCTTGTATTGTGCGGTGTGTATGATATCGCCTTGGAATATATCCTGGTTTATTGTTAAATTAGCAGATACCTAATGGATGGTTAACTTACCTCCCCTGGATAAAAGGGTCGGACTGGCTCCTGCCCTCCAGCTCCAATGGCCATGACGACGTGAGAACAGGTAACGGTCTTGGTAGTCACTTGCTCGCCTTGTTTCTGGCGCAGATGGAGAGTCCATTTACGTCGATTGTCATCCCAGGTCCCTGAGGTGAGCTCCGTCGAGAATGAAATATTCTGTACTTGTTAGCGACGTATTGAGTGGTTGGTTGAGGCTGCATACGATGCAGTATCGCTCAGCCCATGCCTGGTATCCACGGGCCAGATCCTCCCTGTTCATAAATTCGGGATATTCCTCGTTGAAGGTGCGGTGAAACGGGAGCTGGGCGGCATCTCGGACAGAGTGTACTGCTTCGGTCAGCTTGACAGAAAATAGCAATGGAAGGGAAAACATGTCAGTAAGAGGCTGTACATTTCATTGATTCATATCGCTGAAGCCAGGAATCGCCCACGCGAGGTGCCTTGTCCACCACCAGATATGACACCCCAAGTGCCTGCAGTCGACCAGCGACACTCAAGCCCGACTGTCCACATCCGATAACCACGCATTCGTACACTGCTCCCTCATGAAGAGGTTGCCTAGTAGGTGCGGGCCCAGGCTCTAACTCATCCACATTTGGCAGGTCCTGGAACTGGTCCAGGATCGTCCTGAGGAGCCAGATTCTCCAGTTACCATTTCCATCCGGGATCAGCGAGATAAAGCCCGAGCTGGTGGTCGCTGGTATAGCTGCTGTCTCAAAGATGAATGGGACCTCAATCCAGCCTATTCCTGCTGCTGGACATACTACCCGCGAGGCGTCGGGGCTCAGCTGAAAGCTTCCTGCCTGGCGAGAACGGCATCGATCATTCCATGCCTTTAGGACAGCAGCAGCGGAATATAACGTCCGTAAGGTTCCAGTCAAGGCGAATGTATCTCGCCATAAGGCATCTGGGGTGAAATGGTCAAGCGACAAGCTGCTGAATGGAATGTTAAAGCCCTTCGCGATACCAACCGCATCGGTGTCGCTGGACAGATCGGCTTTTGGTAGGGCACAAGGCAGGGTCGGAAGGATACCTTGGGGTAGGTTGGCCATGGTATCGGGATCCACCGTACAGGAAGGCTTAGGAGGAGAATACTGGACTGACCGACACGGGGTTCTTAACTCGGATGCTACCGGTGCCGTAAGCAAGGCACCATCCCTTCGGCCAACTCAGTGGGGTTAAGGGGTCATTACTGATATCCTGCAGGTCTGGTGTATTGATTGGTTGCGAGGGAGAAAATATTGGATATATTCGAGATTGCGATGCAGAGAGTGATTCCAGAATTAGCTGACGAATTCCGTATAAAACACACTTTCATGTTATTGAAAGCTTGCATCTAATCGTTCTAGAAGACTGATCCTGTCACGATGTTGAGCATATAGGCGGTGAACAGAGCAGTTCTTCTGTCTGATCGATGTCCGTAAGTGCGTGTGAACCTTGCATCCGCATGAATACATTTGACGGTCAGCCATCATTGGAAGTAATTACCGCATGCATGGTTGCCCTTGACTCGAACCGACGTCACAGTTATCAGCTCAAATGTCAGTCTTATGCATCACCATGAGAGCAATGGAGGTCAGTACTGCACATTGCTAGCTCTTCAGCCGGAGCTGAGAGCGTGCTACTTTCATAACATGTGAATTCCAGTATGGGACTGTTGTATAGGCCATCATGTGAACCTGTTATACAAAACCGGCCGGCTATACAAAACATATCCGGAATCTATCTCTAAGTTGGTATCGTAATATGCCGCACGTTAAAGCCTTCTGTCCCTATGCCCTTAGACCTCAACTATTCAAATAACAACCTCAACTCCTCGATTCTTTCCTTCTTCTTGTCATCCTCGGAGCCATCTCCACCAACCCTCAGTCCTAAAGACCCTGCAATATTCATCTTCCGTTCCTGAACCCTCAACATTCTTCCCTCGATGGAGTCCTTCACCACGAACCGTGTCACTTGCACATCCCGTGTCTGACCCATGCGATGAACCCGATCAATAGCCTGAGCCTCAATTGCAAAGCTCCACCAAGGATCCATCATGAAGACATTACTAGCTGCCGTGAGATTAAGACCCACACCTCCGGCGCGGAGACTGATAAGAAGAACCGTGGGAGGGGGCGGGGCGGTCGAGTGTCTGTGCTTTGCCCTGGAGAGGGGAAGCTGGGTGGAATCGTTGGCGTCGACATCGTTGTCAATTTCATTTTGGTCGGCAAAGGTTTCGACCCGGTTGAATTGCGCGAGGGTTTCCGCACGGGCTTTGTGCGGCATGGTACCATCCAGACGGACGTGATGGATACCCGCACGGGTGAGTTGGGGGGAAATGAGGTCGAGGAAACTGGTAAATTGGGAAAAGACAACGGATTTGGTATTGGCAGGGACGCGGGCAAGATGAGCGAGAAGGGCATGCACTTTGGCAGATGTATGGGCAGACGGCGAAAGAGGGTGGATACGGCGGAGGCTTATTCGGGGAGGCGCTTGAGAGGGGGTTGGAGTACTGCTATATATATCGTCTTCGGGTGTGGTATTAGGGCTTTCATGACGAACCACTTCGAAGATGTCTCGCGACGTGGTGGGTGCTCGGCATGAAAAGCACCGAGGGTCCATGCCCTTATCGGTTTGGTGGCGGATGTAGTCCTCCAGACATTTCTTGCATGCACTGTGCCAGCAGGCCGTGACGGCAGGGTCAATCATGGGCTCTTCCGAGCAAATGGGACATTCGCCGCTGGCTTCGTTTTGGATTTGTTTCAATGCATGAGCAGTGAATTTGGCGGATGGATCCTGAGGCTCGTTGGATTCGGCTGCTTCGGTGGATGCCTTGAAGCGATCAATGAGATCTTGAAGATCCATGTCGTCCTTGAGGTCGTTGGCTGCGTCGGCAGCCGCTGCTGCATCTTCCTCGTCTGCAACTATCGCTTTGTTGCGTGTGAGGATAGGATGACAGCAGGTCTGGCGGAGGCGGAGAATTTGTGCGAAGATCGTTGAATAGGACTTCAAGAGAGTGCCAGCTTCGACATTGTGATTGAACGTCTGCTTTGCCCGTGTAAAGATAAGATCATAAATCTCCCGCTCCTGGTCGGGAAGTTCGACCTCCTCTATTGTGATGGTGCGACGTGGTAAAGGCACTAAAGGTTCACCCTCGGGGGTCTTCATTGTCTTCGTACGTCGGAGGACCAGGGGCTCCAGCACGCTCTGCACAACGTTCAGGGCGCGCACATAGTCCTTGGACTCAAAAGGCACTGTGATAAATGTCTTCCAGAATGAGAAGTTATTCCAGGGCTCGACCTTGAGAAATCTCACAAGGCTGAACAGGTCCTCCAGGCGATTAACGATGGGAGTTCCTGTCAACACCCAACGATGGGTTGCCTTGAGCTCATAGCACGCCTTGGCTGTCTTTGACAGACGGTTCTTGATTACATGAGCTTCATCGACGATAACTCGGAAGAAGTCCACGGAAAATAGGCCACCGGAGCTCATAGATGAGAGCAACGCGGACATGTGCTGACGGTATTCCGAGAGAACAACGCCATAGCTGGTTATGATTAAATTGGGGCCAGCAGCATTTCCCGAAGCGCAGAGGTTTTTAAGATTGATATTCTTGTCCGCCCCGTAATACATGAGGACGTTCATTGTTCCCGGCTGCGAAGCCTTCAGTGCTTCACTTTCCCACTGCGAAAGGAGGGATGTGGGCGCAATCACAAGAGTGGTATATGGGGCGGGTACGACCCCGGAGGCCGACTGAGGCAACCTCACAAGATCAGTGGACCTCTGAGGCATAATGCGATGAGAGTGGACCAAACTGAGCATCTCAATCGTCTTACCCAGGCCCATTTCATCTGCCAGGATACCCCCAAGGCAATGCTGCTCTTGGACAGGGAAGTCAAGGCTAAGCTCGCCAGAGTAAGGGTTGACGTAAAAGTGGTCAATGCCAGCCACAACTGGGAGTTCTTTGTCGTCGACATCCCTGGACGGCCAACTGTACTCCTCCCATAAGGGATGCAGCGACGTCTCCCTTGCAGACTTATTGTCCTTTTCCTTTGCGAGCATCCAGTATAGTGCCTGCCTCTGATATTTTCGAAGATGCAAGGTGAATGACGAGGCAGGTTCTGCTTCAGGCATGCTAAAATCGAATGACTGAGCCTTCTTATAGAGGGTATCAAGCTGATCCTCTTCAAGCTCAGGGCTGTCCTCCTCCGAAGAGTCGTCATTTGTTTGATTTTCTTTTTTCACTCGCTCGTGCTGTTCAGCCATTTCCGCCGCACGAAGCAACCCTTCTTTCTTATGATTTCTCGTCATGTCATTGACGGATGTCGGTTGAAGATGGATTTCATCAAACAGCTTCACAAGAGCCACTTGGCGGAGCCGCAGTGCTTTCTCATCTGCACTTTCTTTCTCCTCGAAGATTGCAACGGACCTATTGTCATCCATCGATTGACTGAATATCCGTGGCTGGAATGCCTCGATGCGCAAGTAGCATCGCAGCTGCAGATAGATGGTGTCATTCACCCGGACCCGGTCCGGCACGTATACGCATACACCTTCAAATGTACACACCCTTTGATCCAGCAGGGTTGAGACCCATTCAGCTGTTTCCCGGGGCAATCTTCCTATTTCCTGCCCTGATTTAGTGGTAAACCGGGTGAGAACGTCACTCTTCTGATTAGAAACCAGCTTCCCGGCACGGTTCCGCTTTGAGAGCGGCTGGGACCGTGTACGCTCAATATTTACAAGATCCCCATGTCTGAGGAATCCAGCTCCACTCCTTGTAGCCCAGGCTCCAACACCAAACGCACCTATGTATCTTAAGGGAGGCTGAGTCGCAGGGCGAGATGTGACCTTGTCAGGCGGTAGGGTCTGGGTGTGTGGTTTACAGGCTGCTGACAGGGGAGTAGCGATCTTATGGGGTTGTGTAGGAAGCGGGCGTTGGCGAGCCGTAAGAGTAGTCTGATTCTGAGCACGAGGAGTTGGGGATTTCTTCCAAGAGCCATCGAAGTAGATGTTGACCGCCCGTTCAAGGTCGTCACCAGCAGCGCTTCGGATTCTTTGTATTGAATCTGCCGAGAGATTTTCCCCTATAATACTTGTGAACGTCGATATATCGAACCCGTCGTAGTCCACCTGTAGTAGGGCACCCTCTGTCCTAGAATCTGCATTGTGGTGTTCCGCTTGCACGATCTCTTGCTCCACATGTGGCACAGCATGATCCTCGACCGGCGTAGAATCATCCATCAAAAGTGCTTTTGTATTTTCCGGGCCATTTTTAGATCGTGTAGGCTGTGGCTGGGCATCTTGACCGGTCAGGGACGAGGAATCGGGCGTGTGGAGACTTGCTGTGACAGAATCAGTGGATGGTTGGGGAGTGGCGAGATCTTCATCATCCACGAAAAAGCGCCTCTTCTTCAACGGGCGCTCATCAGCGTCATGAATATTCATCCTGGATGGGATTTGTCCCCCTCTGCGTGGCTGTCCAAGCCTGTGCAGAAATCGCTGGACTGGATAATCGCCAGGCGGCCAGGAAGACGCGCCGAGACGCGGTGGACAGTCGGGCCGACGTCATTTTCGCGCCAGTCATGTGACTGTCAGCCATTATGAATCTACACACGTAAATCACCCCAACTTCCATTGACAAGCATCAGACTTTCGTCGAGTAGGACAGCTTCAGGTCCCGATTTCACCCTGGTCTTGGGTTGCACTCGACTGCAAAGTGGCGCTGCCATGTCTCTGCAACTGCGGTCTGTGCCTGGTCTGCTGACGGACGGGCAAACAGGCTCCTCTTTGGCTTCCCTCAATTCAGGCGTCTCATTGGCAAGAATGATGTGGAGTTCAACCGGCAATGCCCATGCCTGCCTACCCTTTAAGACATGCCATACTAATTAGACTAATTGGCTGATGTCTACAAAGTTGGGTGGCTGATTCGGCTTTTACACAGTATGGTCATGGCCTCAGGCATTCATACTGAGTGGTGCCCAAGGCAGATCGCTAGGGGCATTCCTGGCGCAGAGGATAGCAACAGAGGTTGTGCTCTTCATGAGAATGGGACTCAAGAACTAACTACTAACTAGTACGAACTCGGTTGAGTCCATGCTCTTCCCGAACTAACCGATTAAGCGATGTAGATCGACCATTCCTGCAGGCATTCGACACCGAGTTGACTAGCTATCTTACTAGTGAATCTCACCGATAGCAAGCAAGCGACCGAACCCAATAACTCTCCTTCCACGGATAGGACATCACCCGCGGGGACATGCTTATCGAGAACCGGACTAATTAACTACGGAATGCCAACTGAAACTAGCTTCGAATCATTCCCTTTGATGCATTCCCCCGCTTCGTACGCCTGTTTTCCTGGCCCCCTCTGTCTTCCCCTTTGTACGCCCGGCCCCCAGCCACTGCTGATCTTTACTATCCTGTTTGCTTCTTAACCCCAATCTCCCCGCCATGCCTCTCCGCACACTTCAACAAACCTGCCTCTAATTGTACCCTGTTTCCACTTTTACCATGCCCCTTGCTCGCCTCTGGCCGGCGTGCCTCACGCTGCTCGTGGCCGGGGCCGCCGCCGTTAAGGTCAATCCTTTACCAGCTCCGCGCAACATTTCTTGGACTTCTTCGGGTCCTAAGCAGCTGGCAAGCTTTGTCAGTCTCCGTGCATCGCAAGATACCCCCGACTTCATTCTCGCCAATGGATGGAATCGCGCATGGGATTCTATTGTCTCCTTACAATGGGTACCCGCAGCGACCGAAGGCCCCATGTCATCCTATCAACCTTTTCCCACCGCGACGGCCGCGGCCGGGGTCACTAAACGGTCCTCGCAGGCACTGCCATCGCTGCAGTTTGTTGATGTGAATGTGGCTGATCTTGACGCGGATTTGCAGCATGGAGTTGACGAGTCTTACACACTGGAGGTCACCGAGAGCGCTACTTCAGTCGTCATCGAGGCACCCACTGTCTGGGGAGCACTCCATGCCTTTACTACTCTCCAGCAGCTGGTCATCTCTGACGGACAGGGCGGCTTGATAATTGAGCAGTCAGTTAAGATCCAGGATGCGCCGCTCTATCCTTACCGGGGTATCATGCTTGATACTGGTCGAAATTTTATCTCAGTTAGCAAGATCTATGAGCAGCTGGACGGCATGTCACTTTCTAAGCTCAATGTTCTACACTGGCACATGGAAGACACCCAATCGTGGCCAGTGCAGATTGATGCCTATCCAGAGATGATCCATGATGCCTACTCCCCGCGCGAGGTATATTCACACGCCGACATGCGCAATATCGTAGCGTATGCCCGAGCACGCGGCGTACGGGTCATTCCTGAGATTGATATGCCCAGCCATTCCGCTTCGGGTTGGAAACAGGTTGACCCCCAGATGGTCACCTGCGTGGATTCCTGGTGGTCTAATGATGATTATGCCTTGCATACCGCGGTAGAACCCCCACCCGGTCAAATGGACATCATTTACAACGGCACATATGATGTGGTCCGAGAGGTATATAATGAGCTGTCCAGTATCTTCCCGGACAACTGGTTCCATGTTGGAGCGGATGAGATTCAGCCGAACTGCTTTAACTTCAGCAGCTACGTCACTCAGTGGTTCGCAGAGGATCCGTCGCGCACTTACAATGATCTGGCCCAGTACTGGGTAGACCACGCAGTACCGATCTTCCAGAACTACAGTTCCTCGCGGCAGCTGGTTATGTGGGAAGATATCGTGCTATCTACGGAGCATGCGCATGATGTACCCACAAACATCGTGATGCAAACCTGGAACAACGGGCTGGATTACATCAATCAGCTGACTGCCAAAGGCTACGATGTGATTGTGTCATCATCGGACTTCATGTATCTGGACTGTGGGATGGGTGGCTTTCTAACCAACGATCCCCGATACGATGTAATGAGCAATCCAGATCCAAACACTCCCAATTTCAACTATGGCGGCAACGGAGGCTCGTGGTGTGCGCCGTACAAGACGTGGCAGCGTATCTACGACTATGACTTCACGCAGAATCTGACTGACGCCCAGGCCCAGCACATCGTGGGCGCGGAGGCACCCCTCTGGTCGGAACAAGTAGATGATGTGACTGTCTCTAGTCTGTTCTGGCCGCGCGCCGCTGCTCTGGCAGAGCTGGTATGGTCTGGGAATCGGGACGAGAATGGACATAAGCGCACGACGCTGATGACGCAGCGTATCTTGAACTTCCGCGAGTACTTGGTGGCCAATGGGGTGCAGGCGAAAGCGCTGGTTCCTAAGTACTGTGTGCAGCGCCCACATACCTGCGACTTGTATCGCAACCAGAGTGTAATTCAGTAAATTGGATTGAGAACGGCGATTGACATGACATAAGGGATCGATATGGCTGACGATCTTAACCACACATATTAATCTAGTCCTAAAACCGAGTTTCGTGTCTACGTTCTTGTCCTGAGAGAATGTTATCAGTATGTTCGTGATATAGCAGTTAGACAATCCGATACTCGAACAAACTGTAAGATTCATTATATAGTATTAAAAGGTTTTTTTCTTGTTGGCTACTGCCAGGATACGAAAGTCTATGAGTCGGGATGTCCTGGATTAGTGGAACAGAAGCTCCCTTAAAAACACAAAATGTGGGAGGGTGACGACCCAAGATGGTTTGATCATTCCGAAATGAGGTGGACCAGTGAACCATACAATGTTCACACAGTAAGCGACAGTTAGGTCTTACGACTTAGCTTGCAAATCAAATGAAGCTATTCCTTCAAATATTCACAGCAAGAAATAAATTTAGTCACATGTCGTTGGGGAAGGTTCCCCCGGCTTGAAACATTTGCCTCCTGCAGTACCTCCAACACCTCCAACAGCCCCCCAAAATGCCAAGCCGATGATATCAAACCATATTGACTTGCTGTGTGGCCACCATGAAATGATACAAAAGCTAGGACATGTCTTCTTACCGTTCCCATTGTAAACCAGACTTTAAACTACCAAAGTGAGCAAGTCACCTTTGGCTCGAAACACCCATCATCTTCGTTCAAAACACCAATCGTCGTCATAAAGTATCATTATGTCTCATCTTCAGTATTACGCATACCCTGGTTATGGCACTCGCAGCCAAACGGACCTTTACTACAGCCAGGCAGTTAAAGTAGGGGATCGCATCGAGTGCTCCGGTCAAGGTTTGTAGCTCATATGTTCCATCCCAGTCCTGTTATAATCCTATGACATCGATGGATTATTAACCCTTAAACTAGGTGGATGGGATCCTTCGACCGGAAAGATCAACACCGAAATTAACGCCCAAATTGACCAGGCTTTTGCGAATGTCGAGCTTACCCTGAAAAGCGCTGGTGGTCAAGGATGGAGTCAAGTGTATCGCGTTAACTCTTATCACCTTCCTCTCAACGATGAGGCGTTGAACGCAATGGTTCGGAATTTGAAAAAGTATATGCCCAACCACCAACCTATTTGGACGTGTATTGGCGTGTCGCGGTTGGCTTACGATGATATGAGGGTTGAAATTGAAGTCACTGCGCATGTTCCTTAGCGATAGTTGAAATATTGTATCTATTTGTTCTCTTCTTTTGAGTTCGCTATGTAAATCTGTGCTTCAAAAAACAAAACCAATAGGCTGTTGATAGCTTCTGCCTGATCTGTAGTCTGTTTTCCTCCGGCACACGGAGAGCAGTCATCATCCACTGGGTTTCATCTGGGTTTCATACGTCGTGAACATGATGCGGGCGGAACGTAGCATCCCGAAAGAGGGGCCATTGATGCGTTATCTGGCAAGTAGGTAAGCTAACTCCCTAACAAACTCAATTAAAGTACATCATTGGCGAATACTTACTACCAAGGGGTTCATAGTCAACCTAGTCAGATGTTGGGGATATTACGAATCCGTCCGGCTATTGGGGCATCATTCCCGAAAAGTCTTGGCATATTGGGGGTGTGGTCGGGGAAGTTCCACATGTCAGTCTCGGAAACCATTGATTCACTTGTTCCCCGGCAGTCACACAATCATCACCAAGTGTACCGCTGGAGAAAAGAAAGATGGGGCGGCTGCTTCCTCAAGGAGCGATAAAAATTATGGAAACAAGGAAGATCTGTCTTCTTAAGGGAAGTAAACACCAGATCTTGATACCAGATACCCCCCATAATCTCCACTCGGCCAGCCGCCACGGGTGTCCAGTAGACGGTCTTGAACGCTATATCATTCATGACCTGCACTGGGGCTTCTCAATTTTCCAACTAGACGTAACTATCAAGAAGATCGAAACCAGGTGCTTCATATGGACTGCTCGAGCAGAGATGCAACATCACGTGCTTACGTGTGGCGTTCCCGTCACGGGTCATCCCTCACCGCCTACAAAAGAGCGACAGAAAGGAAGACTTTCAGCTGATCAAGTAATCTAAAATCGCCCCCACAGCCTGCTGGACTTGTCCGCCATCGCGCCCAGCATGGGCTCGCGCCTGCACGAGAACTCCAGCGCGGTGCGCAAGCGCATCCAAAACCATCAATTTGACAATGAGGCCGGGGAGGAATATGAGGCATCCGCCTTCGGGGGTTTCAGCGATTACATGCGCCGTAAGAAAATCAAGCTGCAGAATCGCGATGCCGATATCCGCTCCTCTGCGGCGGACTGCCCGCCCATCTTTCGCGGTGTGGTGGCGCACGTCAATGGCTACACCCAACCCTCACTGCAGGACCTGCATCGCCTCATCGTAAGTCATGGCGGGGGATTTCTACAGTATTTAAGCGGCAAAACAGACGCTACCCACATTATTGCCAGTGCCTTGACTCCCAAGAAACGCGAAGAGTTTCGTCGCTATCGCATTGTCAAGCCGGCATGGGTTGTTGAGAGTGTCAAGGCGGGTCGCATGCTACCGTGGGACTCATTTCGGGTCGTTGATGAGGGTCAGTCCCAGAAGGTGCTCAGGTTCGATGATGGCCGTATGGTCAGTCAGATGAATAGTCCGCGATCTGGCTATCGCGAGCAGACTAATACCAGCTGGTACACTGCCCAACTTCAAGAGGCTGCATCATCTGTTGAGAAGACAAATCCACAACGATCACCGCCTCCACGCTCAGAGATGCCTAATAGAGAGGATGCGACACCTGATGACGGGTCCCAGTCGGACTATAGCCAGTTTCCAAGTTTTGCCTCTTTGGATGAGATAAGCACGACTCCTAAGATATCGCCTCCCGGGGAAGTTCGAGCGGAGACACCAGATAAACAGTCACCAGTGGAGCATAAGCACGCTGAACCAAATACATACAAACTAGAAGATGACCAACCTGAGGTGCCTCCAGCACCGCTCCCACTGTTACGGGAATCTATCCCAGTGAAGCCAGAAATGACTTCCGAAGAGTACAACGCGCAGCTACTGTCAGATCCACACATGAGGAATTCCAGTGTTGCGAATCCCCAGTTCATCCAGCAATTCTACAGTGAGTCCCGATTACATCACCTGTCAACGTGGAAGGCCGATCTCAAAGCCCAGTTGCAGTCGGCAGCCAAGGAAAAGTCGCAGTCACAGCTGAAACGCAAGAAGCCAGCCCCCGGGGCTCGGAGGTACATTATGCACGTGGATTTCGATTGCTTCTTCGCAGCCGTGTCGACCTTGAAGCGCCCGGAGCTACAGGGAAAGCCTGTCGCGGTGGCGCACGGCACAGGCTCGGGTTCGGAGATCGCAAGTTGCAACTACGAGGCTCGAGCACATGGGATCAAGAACGGCATGTGGATGAAGGGTGCGCTGCAAACCTGCCCAGAGCTAAAGGTGGTACCGTACGATTTTCCAGCATACGAAGAGGCCAGCCGGAAGTTTTACAGTGCCATTCTTTCGGTGGATGGTATCGTGCAGAGTGTCAGCATTGACGAGGCCCTGGTAGATATCACTACGCAATGCCTGGAAGCTGGAGGCTCGGATGGTAGGGGCATTTCGGAGGGGTCACTCTATAGGGAACAGGCCAGGGCTGATGAAATCGCGGACGAGTTACGGGCCACTGTAAAGAAGGAGACAGGCTGCGCTGTTTCCGTGGGTATTGGGGGTAATATCCTATTGGCCAAGGTCGCCCTACGGAAAGCGAAGCCTGCAGGTCAATTCCAGCTCAAACCCGATGCGGTTCTTGATTTCATTGGTAATTTGACGGTTCAGGATCTTCCTGGAGTGGGATATAGCCTGGGCACAAAGCTGGAGGATTTGGGGGTTAAACTCGTCAAGGATGTTCGAGACCTTACCCGCGATAGACTCACGACCAGCCTTGGGCCTAAGACCGGAGTCAAGATCTGGGAATATGCCAGGGGTATTGACCGGACTGAAGTTGGCAATGAAGTACTTAGGAAGTCGGTCTCTGCCGAAGTCAATTGGGGTATTCGCTTCGTGAATCAGACCCAAGCTGAGGACTTTGTGCGGTCTCTGTGTCAGGAACTGCATCGCAGACTGGTCGAGAATCTTGTAAAAGGCCAACAACTGACTCTCAAGGTCATGCGGAGAGCACTCGACGCGCCCTTAGAGCCAGTGAAACATCTGGGCCATGGCAAGTGTGATGTATTCAACAAGAGTGTGGTCCTTGGCGTGGCGACGGATGCAGCCGATATTCTGGGCAAGGAGGCAGTGGCCATGCTACGCAGCATGAATCTATCACCTGGTGACTTGAGAGGGCTGGGCGTTCAGATGACCAAACTCCAGCACCTCCAGACGAGCTCTCCCTCAAAGTCTGGCCAACGACAGCTCAATTTCAAGGCATCGCCTGTCCGCAAAAGCATCGAGCGTCACGATCCTGATATTCTAGACAGTCCCCAGAAGGGGGAGACTGAGTCGGTGAAGCCCGTCCCTTCATTCAGTGAGAGTGGCCGGCCGCTCAATGTTTCGGGAACCCAATTCATCTTGCCGTCACAGACTGATCCCAAGGTCGTTGCCGAGCTGCCGAATGATATCCGGTCGCGACTGATCGCCCAGGCCAGACCTCGAGCGGAGTCACGCTCCGAGTCCCCGTGCCCTACCAGTCGCCCACGGGCGCCTGCGCCTGCAGAACTTCCTCCCCAGTCCGAGCTCGACCCGGATACATTAGCCGCCTTACCAGAGGATGTGCGCGCGGAGATTTTGGGCTACTACAGCCGGCCATCCTTAAGTCCCGGTCCGCAACCCACGCCATCGCCAGCCGCTCCCTTGCCGCCGTCTCGGCCCTCCTCCGCCGGTGGTCTCATGATGCGGAAGCCCACTACTCCCCCGAAGAAGCGACGAGGGCGGCCCAGCACCAAGTCAGTAGGCAATTCGGCCCTCACACAAGCTCGGTTCGTTCTTCCCAGAGCCACTGCTTCATCTCCAGCTCCCGTTGAACGTCATTCGCCTGCACCCGAGCCAACGGATGTCTCAGCCGATTTTCTCGCCGCGCTCCCGGAGGACATACGCCGTGAGGTGCTGCAGGAACAAGAACGCGCAAAGATGTTACAGCGGCCAGGCGTCAACCCTGCCACGGCGCCGCGAGCCGCTTCACCAATCGCCTCAGATTCGGCTGTAGTACCAACTACAGATCCCCCTGCAGCGCCAGAGAAACGGCTCGTCCTACCGCCACTTCCAGATAGACCTACTTTCACCTCCCAAAGGCTGACGAACATATCCGACCTCCGTGATGCGATGAGTTCGTGGCACGAGGCGTTTAGCAGCGAGGGTCCCTTCGAAGAAGATGTGCTCTCGCTTGGAAGATATCTCAAGCGTGTCATTGTGGACGAGAAGGATTTAGACAAGGCGACGTCTGTCCTATCATGGCTTGCGTGGCTGATAGATGATGAACAGAATGCAAACAAGTCGGATGCATTCAAGACGCCAGACCCAAGTGGCCGAACGGGTAGCAGCTCACAGACTGCAATGACATGGGAGGCAGCGATGAAGAGTCTCCGGACAAGTGTTGATGAGGGGTGTGCGGAGCGAGGATTACCTCCTGTTGAACTGTGATGTAAAAATTTCAGGTGGCAGTGGGATCTTCAACAAAGATACCTGTTGCGAGTGAATCGGCTCCCACCATTCTGAATGAAATCATGATAGGAAGCGTTTTAGTTGGATAGTGCACAGCAGGATCTGAACAATGCACATTGGATAGTCGAACTACAAGATCTACATGAAATATACTCTAGTGTCATATCTAACTTGAACGCCACTTGAAAACCAAATCCTACCCTACAGATCCACTAACCAATAAATCAAGCTATCCAGCACAAATAATCCCACCTCAACAACGTCAGCACTACCCTTTTCACCAACCTATAGCCCTCCCACTTCATTTGCAAGGATCAATTCCACCTCCCATCCTCGCATGCATCCACCCCCCATACCTATAAAACACCACCGGCGCCGGCAAAAACCCCAACGCCAAAACCCCCAGCAGCGTATTCCCCCACCCATACCCCAGACTCCGATACATAGCCGGTCCCGCCAACGGCAAAAACGTACTGCAGATGAACCGCAATACGTTATTAGCAGCCAGCGCGGATGCTGATGCACTCGACCCGAACAGATCAATCAGATATAGCTGTGCGGACATCTGCGCCATTAGTGGGGGTTAATAAGTAATCAAATTTGCATTGACTAAACTGAGAAGGAGGGAGGAGAAAGGCTACATACCATCACGAAAAACGACCCAAACCCAATAACACTCGTCCCTATAATTGGCACTATCCAGTGCACTTTGTAGTACACTGTCCAGCCGTAAATAAATAGTCCGATGGCCACGCACGGTGAGAAATATATCATCGGGAGCAGACGATATTCTGCTCGATGCTGTTGCTGGGTATCATCATCTCCTGTCTTCATAAAATGATACGCCGTCAAGCGCTCACCCAGCGGCTTCGCGATGAACATGCACGTTACCAACGATACGCCGAGACCGAGATAGACCAGTCCAGACGTCGCGGTGGTGAAGCCATACTGCGTCTCGAAGACGTCCGTGAAAGTAGTAAAGAGGAGGTACATCAGGCCGAATATGAGGGCCATGTATATTGAGATAATAAGGAGTATTGGGGAGCGGAAGAGGAGTTTCGTGGGACGAGTTAGGGCTTGTAAGAGGAGTTGGTGTACGGGTTTGGGGTTGGAGAGCTTCGAGCGTAGGTGGGGGTTCCCTGTCGCTTTGCGCAGACGGGCTGCTTTTCGTTCCAGGATGATCTTGGGGTGGGTTTCGCGCATGACTAGAAGGGATGCGAGGCCGATTGTGCCGGAGAAGATGGCGAGGAGGTAGAAAGTCCAGCGCCAAGTTAGATTGGATGCGACGAAGCCGCCGATGAGGGGGCCGAGGACCTATCATTGAGAGAGGATGTGATGAGTCCCTGTATTATAGTATGTCTTTTTGAGGGTTATAAGAATTAGATAAAGAGTGGGACGTACCGGACCAGCCATCGGACCCAAACTATACAAAGACATGGCGACAGCGCGTTGCTGGATGGTGGTCACATCTGCAATGGTGCCCCCTCCCAAAGCCATGGGAGTTCCTCCCGCGCAGCCTGAGATGAATCGACAGATCATGAAGGTAGCTATGTTTTGGCTTAGGGCGTTTCCGATGACGAAAGCTACGAAGAAGAGATTGGCGAGGTGGTATACTGGAAGCCGGCCGAAGACTTCACTGAGGGAGGACATGAACATGGGGCCCATTGCTAAGCCGAGGACGTACAGGGTGACTGCAAGTGTGGATATGGTGGATGATTGGATATTGAAGGTACTGAGGACTTCGTTGATACCCGGGGCGCACATGGTTGGAGCCATGTTCCTGGTGAGTAGGGTTAATTTTAGGGTGGTTTTTTTTTGTTAGGGGGAGGATTGCACGTACATGACTAGGGATATGAGGGCCACTACAATGACGTGTGCCCATCGCTTGCGTTCCGGCCAGTTGTGAGGGTTTTCTGGGTCCTGGGGGCCGTCCCAGTCGATTATGTTGTTCTCGTTTGGCTTGTCGTCGAGCATACCGGCCTCGAGGGAGGTGGAGGTGATGGCTGTTTCGATGTCTTCTTTGGATACCATGGTCTGTTGTGAAGCTTGCGATGGATTCCATTTGGGTAGTACTGTATATGCTTCCCTATTTATTTAACTATTAGTGAGCTTGTATATGATAGGATGCATCCTATCTCCGTTCAACTGTTACAATCGTATATGCGGTCGTCCTCCGCTTAGGGCCGACTAGTACACATCTCAGCCTGCCGCCGTATATACGCCCCGATCTCCGAACGCGACGGATGATCGGATTTTGTGCAATACGAAAGCTTCTCTTCGTGCTACTTCGTCTAATAAAATATGGTAGACCTCTTGGTAGGCTTTCTTCTCGGTTAGGTATTGCAGTCTCAATCAGTTAGATAGATTTAGTTATGAAATAATGGACCTCCAACCGGTTGTGCATTACCTTCTTACCTCCATACATCTTGATCGCAACGACCCCTCATTTTCCCACAATAACGCGACTACTATGCATACAGTTGGTTGCCTTTGGCATACTTACGAGCAGTTAATGTGAGCCATTTATATGCTATATTGATACTTCATTAAGTTTCACTGGGCATGGTTGAAAGAGTATAGTGGTTAGTTCCAATAGTATGTAGACGGTCTAATTTGGCCCAGACACTTGAGTGGCCTTGTATAGAACCGAGTTGTATTGTTATTGCGTTACTTAAACGATAAAATATCCAAAGACCATCGTGAAACAATTTAACGTTGGGTACTAACAATACAAAGTCAATCCTCGCTTCTCCAACTCAAGCCTAGTGCGCATTGCTGAGACATGCAGTTACAGTGCTCTGCTCTCCTCTTACCCGAGCACAAAGAGGTCGTTTGGTAGATGTTAGTATTACTCGGCCACATATATATATTCGATCCCATTCTCCCAGTATTGCTCGGTATCAGTTGCAGTTGACTGCTCTGCAGAATCCGTGGTAGCACCGTTGTCAGGATCCGGCTCTGATCCCGTTTCTGAGTTTTTTGGTCCTGATGGATAGTCGTCTTCGAACGGATACTCTGACCCGGAGGGGGAATTCGCCAGCTTCGGCGCGGTCGTTTTTCCGTTTCTCAGGTCGTTCTGAGCAATTGTTGCATTCTGCGCTGGTAAACACGGTTGAGTCAGGCGGCAGGGATCGCCTGGCCAGATTGGGCTCGGCCTGGCCCTCAGCTGGCAGAGCCGGGGCTGCCTCTGCCTTTGTCACCAGATATAGAACTATTCTTGTGTTTCCGTAGTTGTCTGACTCTCTTCACGGCGGCCTTCCGCAGTCTGCAATCTTTATCATTTGCGGCGTGCTGCTCCCGGCAATTGAAGCAGCGAAGCCTTCCTGAATTCGAACAGTCTTTCTCACGGTGTGTTTCCGCACAGTATAGACAACGGGGGGTGAAAAAGCAATGGCGTTTTACATGTCCGAACCCCAGGCATTCGGTGCATTGAGAAAACTGATGGTCTAGAGCAAACTTTCCCACCCTCAATTGAGTACCGTTCAGGTCAAGGTGTCCACCTTGTAATATGTCCGGCGTCATTTCCCAATACATTACTTTATTCAGGAAAATTCAATCATGCCATGAAGATTGATCCTAGGCGATTCGGATATCCAAAGAGTTAGTGCGAATGCCGCGACCACGAAATTTTGCGGTTGAGACCGGTATGCCATATGTAGGTCAAAGTGTCGGCCGGCATCTCCAACGAGTAGTCTCGGTGGCGCAATTGGTAAGCTTGCCCTTCATCAAAATCATCCAATCATCCAGTTACTAATTCAATATAAAGGTTAGCGCGTACGACTGTTAATCGTGAGGTTGAGAGTTCGATCCTCTCCCGGGACGCATCTTTTTTGGCTTTTTTTTTTTGGTTCCCGCTCTTCTTCACCGGCACCACATGTTCGGGGTTATTCCGTCGTATTATGCTTTTAGGTTGCTAATCTTGGGGCTGTGGCGTACAATAGCTTGTCAGAGCCGTTCCTGGTGGACTGATTGAAACCTTTTTCCCCCACGAATGTCCGAAGTTACACCATTTTATTACTGTTGTTGGGTTGAGCCCTGCCGAGTCAGCCACAACCGCCCGGGTCCAATCGCTTCATTGTTCCCCAAGGCTGGCAGTTCGAGTTGAAGTGAACCATCTTGAATCTAATTATTGTGCAAAAGCGGAATTAATTGCGGATGACTGCTACGTAGTCGTGTTTTGTGAGGGCGTTTCTCCTGCTGCTCTACAGTGCACCGGTGACCCACAAAATATACTTCGGATCCTCATCCAACACATGGGGAAATTGCAGGAGGCATCAACATCCATTGTGAACCGAAAAAGGAATTCTGCTCATGACTGAACCACCACTAGTACTATTCAGTAATTAACGTCTTGGTCCTGAATCACCAGCCTCGATCCTTCCCAACATTCCAGCGCAAAGGAAACCCTTGACTGAGCAGACCACGTGTTCAGAATACCAGCCTTTGCAAACTCTCCTTTCAAGATGACTTTCCCTGGGAGCAATGGCCCCCACCATTTGCTTATCGCTACTCACGAGGCTGGTGCAATGGTCAAGGGATCCTTGACTGCCCGTTGAACGGATGGTCCGGTCGAAATAAGAAAGCCTTACGACCCCGACGGTCAAGCGCGTAAATCCGGGCGTTTAAAGTTAATCGCAAGGGGCCAGGTCATTCAGCAGCCGAACTCTATCACCGTCATCACCGCTGCAGCACTCACCTCATCCCTTCGCGGTCTTCACATGTCAGTCCGTCTATCAAAGGACGCCCATCGGAGACCGTCGTCCATCCGACCAGCCGATAAGGCTGCAGTTCAGTGTTAGATAACATGCAACAACGCAGTCGATGTTCTTCTGCTATCTAGTTCTGGCAGTCGCAGGATGCACGCCCCTGTACGATCATGCATCGAGCTAACCTTGTCACCTGTCTGACTACCGAGCTCCTGCAGGCACGCTAGCCCAGTCATCCGAAATCACACCCACTTCTTCACCCGAACTAAGCTTTTAACCTCCTATTCTACGGGCCCGTCTCTGGTTAAACCTAGTTTAATATGTACTCCTAGTGTGATTGGCGGAAGCAGACGGATCAATATATGGCCCCCGCTAGTCAAGCCCAACTCAGCCAGGCGCAGGTGGGTTGCCTACGGAGTAGCGGTAGGGGCTTTCTAGAAACGCTGCGGGTCGTGGACTTTTTACGTTCACCTTTGTCCGGCACACGCGGCCAAGCGCATGGCGGCACTCCGCAAATGATTGTTCTCTCCCTGCGTGATTGAGACCCAGAGGACCATTGGTTCATAGCCCCTTGCAGCCTGACATGCCAGAACGGATTCCTCACGACCATGGCGCGCCCCGGACCAAACATGCCTGCTGATTGGCGGTTTATAGTGCACCTGGGGGCTAAAATCCTGGCTTTTCCTTTTGCAGCGCCAGGAGCGTTAGTCACAATTGCGTTTGTTGGCGACGTCTCCTATCTCCGGTCGGTGTACCGAGTCCTAATTCATTAATTCATTTCGAATACACTCTCCGAGACGTGGGTGACAGTTATGGGCCGCTGACAGCCGTCGAATCATCCGGTTCATCTGATCTATAAAGGGGGCGGACCGCACCGTAGGTGAAGCCTGAGAGAATCGCAGATCTTGCCCTCAAGAGTATCCTGCACTGTATTGCCTGGCGCCCAAGATGTTTCTCCGCAGGGAATTTGGGGCTGTTGCAGCCCTATCTGTGCTGGCCCATGCTGCTCCCGCACCTGCTCCGATGCAGCGTAGAGGTAAGACACACTTACCCATTTGCAGAACACCCGCTAACATACTCAGACATCTCCTCTACCGTCTTGGACAATATCGACCTCTTCGCCCAATACAGTGCAGCAGCTTACTGCTCCTCCAACATCGAGTCCACCGGCACGACTCTGACCTGCGACGTAGGCAATTGCCCTCTCGTCGAGGCAGCCGGTGCCACGACCATCGATGAGTTTGACGAGTAAGCCAATCCAACCCCAACGTCTCCTCCCACTTGGCATCCAGCTCACACCCCCATAGCAGCAGCAGCTACGGCGACCCGACGGGGTTCATCGCCGTTGACCCGACGAACGAGTTGATCGTTCTGTCTTTCCGGGGTAGTTCCGACCTCTCGAACTGGATTGCCGACCTAGACTTCGGCCTCACCTCCGTAAGCAGCATCTGTGATGGCTGTGAGATGCACAAGGGCTTCTATGAGGCCTGGGAAGTCATTGCCGACACCATCACATCCAAGGTGGAGGCCGCTGTCTCCAGCTATCCGGACTACACCCTCGTGTTCACCGGACACAGCTACGGCGCTGCATTGGCGGCTGTCGCGGCCACCGTGCTCCGCAACGCCGGATACACTCTTGACCTGGTAGGCCCCTACCCTTGTATTTTTGCTATGTTCCTCCATCATTTGGATGGTCTACTAACACAATCGACAGTACAACTTCGGCCAGCCCCGTATCGGCAACCTTGCTTTAGCTGACTACATCACCGACCAAAACATGGGCAGCAACTACCGCGTCACGCACACCGACGACATCGTGCCTAAGCTGCCTCCGGAACTGCTGGGCTACCACCACTTCAGTCCGGAGTACTGGATCACCAGCGGTAATGATGTGACGGTGACTACGTCGGACGTGACCGAGGTTGTGGGGGTGGATTCGACGGATGGGAATGACGGCACGCTGCTTGACAGTACGACTGCCCATCGGTGGTACACGATCTACATAAGTGAATGCTCGTAGAGCATCACTAGTGCTGTGCAGTGATTATGTGGGTTGGATATAGTCAAGATGAAATGAATCTGTATATAGTTCTAATAATAACAGACGAAGTAAATAGGCTAGTCTGATCATGAAACCGTTCGTTCGAGGCATTTGCTGACTTGTAACTATCCCAAGGAAAGTTCAACTAAAACTGTTACCGTCTTCACTACCCAAAGACAAGAGGCAGAGAAAGCAGCAAGTAATACCGAAGAATCCCCGACCCGTCCATCCACTTCACCCTCAGTTCAATATCGAACTGATTAGATCAACTTCCCCCTCCCTACCCACCGATTATCTCAAGAACCATTCAGACTGGGAACGGGAACCTCTCTTCACGGATCATCCCACCAACTATTTATTGTCTGCCGTAATAAAATTACATAACAGCCACCCACCACGGCAAAAGCAACGTTCAACGTAAACCACGGATCGAATCATCTACCTGAATCAACGCACGGGACATAGACTATATACGGTGTGTGACTTCGTGGTATATTAAGTTTAGCTTAGCTGAGTTTAGCCTGATGAAGAGCGGAGTAAGTAACTAGTCAAGTTGATTAGATTAGCGTAACGGTTGCCAAGGGACTTGCTTCGTCAGTAGTAAGTTAGTAACACCACCCCCCTCCCAAATGGAAAATAGTTTCCCCACCACCACTTTTCTGACGTGATTTTATTTCTATTATCGGGATGCTTGTACCTCGTCTCTTCTTCACATGTGAAAGAGGGGGTGTGCTTGCGACCGGAGGAACTAAATGCGGGACTGTGCGGGATATCCGACGGGGATCTGCGCTTTTTTTCGGAGATAGGAGAGGTAGGGAGGGGATGGGTTCATGGCTTGATGTTTTCTGTTTATCTCGCTCAGGCTGGTTACTGATAAGGCAATGTGCAGAAGGGTAATTAGTTAGCATGTGTATCATGCTATGGGGACGTGTGTGAGGTATAATTGGGGAATGGGTCCATGTTGTTTCTGCCCTACAAGGCAGCTGCTCCGAGCTGTTTGATCTGCTGAGGTCGGCTGTTGCACAGTGAGTGTGAAAGATTCGATAAGATAGAGGCACTAGTGCTAGTTTCATGAGACGTGATTTGATTAGACGGTTTGTCTTTCGCTTTCTGTGTATGTCCCGAGGACTTCGCTATGGGGTTTTGCAGGTTTAGCTTAGTACGAAGGATATACTGATATACTTGGATCTTTATCAACTCCTCAGCGTCTACTCTCATAGCGTGGAAAAGCTTGTCTCGATTACGTAGGCTATTAACACACCCAAATCAATTTGGCCCATCATCTCTTGCAGCTACTCATGTAGACCAGGTAGTTATGCCAGCTGTCATACCGTTTAGCAGAATCTTATCAATATAATCAAACGCAGAGCCATACTGGGTCCTATTTTTTACTGACTGCGTCGTGAATCTAGGTTTAAGCTTGGCAATCCGAAGGGTGTATCCTATAAACAAAACCTCGGGGGAGATATATTGTCTTCTCTGGCTCTAATCACCGAAGCTTCCATAGCTACCACGGCCAAGTAGCAGCTACGTCTACTCATCCAAACACTCATACTCATCCAACTCCAAATCATCCGTCACAAGCTCATCCGCCAAGCTCAACTTCCCACAGACCACACCCCTAAGAAACGCCTTAGCCACAACATCCGCCCCCGCCGGACTCGTATGCGTATGATCAATCGGATAAAACGCATCCACAGTATCCGCTCCCAACGCTTCGTATACCTGGTCCACATAGGCGAAATGATTCACGTACGACGTATCCGCCGTGTCCGCTGCGATCTCCGCGTACTCGACGAACCGCGGCGGGTCATCCACGAAAGTGCCTGTTTCCCAGGGGTTATCGGGCGTCTGCGAAGAGATGATGACGGTCGCGCCGATCTTCTGGAACGTATTGGCGGCGTTCTCGAGGTACGCAGGGAAGGTGAGGATGGTTTCATTGACGCCGTCGTATTCCGAGTAGCATACTTCAGAGCCCGTGCCGGAACAGTCGGTGCGGCCGTTGTCGCTGGTCGAGCTGAGCGTGCCGCCGTCGTTGTGACCGAACTCGATGATCACGTAGTCGCCCGCTTCAAGGGTGCTGGCGATGTCGTCAAACCGGCCTTCGCGCGTGTAGGACCGTGCGCTGCGCCCGGCTACGGCTTGGTTGGACACGGTGATGCCGCTTGAGTTGCTCAGGTATTGGGCGACGTAGTCACCCCAGCCTGATTGTTTGTTAGTGGATGAAGGTGTGATGGGGTAGGAGGGAAAGTACCTGCTGTGTCGGAACCACCACCGCCGGTGGCCATGGTGGAGTCCCCCGCCAGGTAGATGGTTGTGGCGAGGGAGGTAGGGAGAATGGCTAAGATGGGGAGGCTGGAGACCTTCATTGTGGCTGGATATCTCATAGGCTTAGGGTTGGCAATTCAGTTCGTCAGGACATCACGGAGCTTGCAGAGATAGGGTTAATGAACTGCCAGCTCTTGGCGAACGCTTCCATCTATACGTGGAAAAAAGTGCAACATCGGGGTGTGATGCACCGAGAATCGTCCGAATCAGTCCGTCTACTGCAGCAATAGAAACGGAGCTGAGGTGGTATGTCCGTGATCTGCAGGGACGAGATCGGCATGAATTGAGTGATTGATTCATCTGCAGGATGCGGAGTGGGTGAGGGGAACTGGTCAGCTGGATCCCCGCATCTGACATGCAGCAAAATCCGGTCACAAATTGTCCACAGATATTGCTGCATCTGCTATTCCATAGGAAATTTTCCCTGTTCGGAGAAATCGTCAGGGTGCAATGTGAACAGACCGTTGGGTAACTGCCCTCGCAAGAGGGACTCTATGCATGTTGATATCATGCGTTGGCAAAGCCAGGGACCGAAATCACCGAAGAGAAGAGGTTTCCATTAAGGTATGGAATCACGCAACACTAATCCATGTCTTTAACAAACAAGCTCCTTGTCTATCGCTGGTATCGGGTGATCCCACTTGACAGCCCCAACGAACGGCTCCGTCGCAGGGGCATACCCCAGCACCGGGGACTGCTTCATCGCGCGTGCGCCTAGGTAGTTGATCAGAAATCCTTCAACCACCTCCCACGACATGATGTACCGCGCTGCGAGAAAGTACAGCGAATTGGCCCACGCATGCAACCGTGTTGTGCTCGCTGACTGCCCCGCATCTGAACGAACTGGCCCGGCGCGTTCTTTTTTATATTCGTCGAATATCTGACCTAGCGCGGCAGTGTCTAATGGCTTACCCGATGCGCTCTGTAGCGCCTTGTGTAACCCGTTACACAGGACCACTACGTCCTTGATGCCGTTATTGAACCCGAGTCCAGCATTGGGTGTGTATTTGTGACATGCGTCTCCCGCGAGAACGACCCGTCCCCATCCCCAGTGCTGGAGAATGCCTTCATCCAGATTCGCCATGCCCGCGGTGAACCGCTCCGCGTACACGTCTTTCACCTTCAGCGTATCGGTGATAGGGAAATCGGCAAACCGTGCCGCCATTGCCTCTATGTCTTCCGTCGAGTAGTCTACTCGATCGGATGTTGGCTGTGGCAAGCGCTCGTAGAGGAAGATCCATCCACGTTCGCGCCCGGAGAGATACATGACCGAATAATCCTTGCTCTGGGTTTCGGTAGCATGCCCGACGTCAGTCCGTCTCGGGAAACTGCACCACAAGCATTTGTACTCGGCCGTGAAGGGGCTTGCGGCATCCCAGCTCCGCGTGGGGTCCGCGGCCAGGGCGAGTCCGCGCATCAACTGCCGGGTTTTACTGTGGACGCCGTCTGCTCCAAGGACCATAGATCCTTCGAACGAGGTGCCATCAGCGCAGGTGACTCGAACCCCGGTGTCGCTTGATTCGATATCACTGACCTTTTTACTGAGTAGGTACTGCGCTTTGGCCTTCTCTGGGAGTAAATCATATAGGGTTTGAACCAAGTGTGCGCGGTGGAACGCAACGGGGGCAATTCCATGACTGTTGATATCAGTATTCCGCCGACATTAGAGAGCGTGTTGCCAGAAAACAAACGGTACGCAGTACGTACTTCTTACGCATGAATTTGAAGGGATTGGTATTGCGGAATACCTGTCCCTCTCGCGTATACGCCTGAACCTGGCGAAGCTCTCCACCAATAGCTAGCAGTTGATCGAGGAGGCCCAGTTGGTGCATTATTCGCAGAGAAGAGGCCCCAAGTACCAGGCTAGCGCCTTGATCGAGGACCACCGAGTCCCGGCGTTCGAGAACGACAAAGTCGATGCCTGCGTGAGCGAGGGCATGGGCTGCGGTGAGGCCGACAGGGCCACCGCCCACGATGATAACTTTGAAAGGAGAATTCGACATCATAAAGGCGGAGTAAGGAATCCGATGCTGCTCTTGATAGATGGGAAAAGTGGCCAGGGGAAGTGGGCATCTGTGCAATTCATATATGGGCTACAAGGACGTCGGGCCGGCTCTCATCTGTTCCGGACATTCACAAATGGCTACGTAAGAGTCCTCTTGGCTTGGGAGTTAGCAGCCGTGGCTCAAATAGGCATATGGGAAGCAGACAACCTCCAAGTCAAACAAGTCGAATATGGCGACATGGGGTGGGCCTTGGGGGTACAGCGATACGCGATTGGCCAGAGGGTCTATCAGATCATCACAGTCCGGCGGAAAGAATCCATCGGCCTGAGTCCCTATTGGTGGGGGAGTGGATGTGAAGAGGTTGACCCATCGGCGCAACGGCCGGTAATTCGGCTATTATGTACTTTCAAAGTACCTGTTGCGGCCCTTCATGCCATTGTCAGTTTGAGTGTCCGTGCCTGTTTTGAGTTGGAACCTGGTGTGAGAGGAGACTTCATTCAGAATACTGTATCGACTGATGCGAGGCAGGCTGCTGAAAGTTGACACAATTGAGAAGGGAGAGTGCAAGGAAAGGACCTTGCTCTGGTACACCTAGCCAAACAAACACTCAAGGTTAAGAACGGGTCCGGGCCGCGGGAGGAGAATGCTGGAATCTCTGGTTCCAGATTTAGATACTTCTCCAAAGCCCGCTGACTCATAGGACATAACGTTGGCTGAGAGACGGTGGTGGTCCAGTGGGGATGGAGGGGAAACTTTGTCTCAACATCCCGGCTTCGACTTGTGTGCAAAGGACATGAAGCATAAACAGGAGGAGCAGGCCGCTGCGGAACGCCGGATGAGGCAGAGTCCGAGATCGACTTTCTAATTTCTACGGAGTAGTTAGTTAGTGGTTGAATAGTCGGTCACAACTGTATTCCGCTTAGTCATGACACCTGGGGTGTGGCGCCTTGGGGCCTGAAATGGCAGGCATCATCAGAACTGGTATGCAATGGAGATAATCTCAGCCGAGGCAGAGGAATCCCCAGAGAACATAGACAGCTACACTTCTATCCTGTATCATATGGGATTATACAATGTCAGTAACATGCAGGCATACTCCGACATCGCTGTCAAAGTACATCCGAACAAGCAGACTACCGTGACCATGGAGTTCTTCCCATCCCACCTCTTGCCCCTTTAGTCCCTACCCTATCACCACAAGCTAACCCAGCCAGCAGATGAAGGTGTACGGCATCAAGCTCGACTTCACTCACTCAGAAGCCGATCGTGACTACATCGACAGCCCGTATCAGTCGCTATTTATAGCTGTCAAAGCATCCTTGGCACTGGTCAATATGGACGCCTTCGCTCAAGTGTTCTCGTTATGTGGGATTCATGAAGAACACTGCAAAAGCCCATTTCCCCCAAGCAGCACAGTTAGCAACGACTGACTCGAAAGATCAGTCAGTGTACCTGCCAAAAGCTACTTGAAATTGAGGATTATTCCTTATGTAGCTAATACAAAGAGTATAAAACTTATCCAAATCATAGTATTTACATCCAACTCGATAGTCCCTAAACTGCGCTATGTAGGTATCGAACCGGGCCCCCGCCGGAAACTGCACAGGATCACATTCCACCGCCAAACGTCTGATTAATTATACTTGTAGATGGTATCGTGCAAAGAAAAATCCGCTCATTAATCGTGTCTCATAAGGCCGCCACCTGCTACCTACGCTTACTCCATCTCCTCCAACGCCGCCTTGACCAGTCCGCGTTTTTCCACCCGTTGATAATACTGGCTCAGGTTCGGGTAGCGCTTGTCTGAGAGCAGTGCTGTCGACTGCGCAATTTCTCTCAAAACGGGCCATAGCGCGCAGTCATCGATCCCAAACCCTGGACCGCTCAGGTAGGTCTGCCCGGTCAGGGCCTGTTCCCACTGCGACAAATCGTAATCGTCAGTTCCCTGGTGTTGTGAGTCGCGCCATTGGGCCAGCAGCTTGTCGATGGCCGCGAGATGACTTCCCCCGCGTAGGGCCTCGAGCTCTGGTCGCACGAGCTCTGCGGCGTGCTGCGCAAAGTGGGTCAATATGGTGACGTCACCAGCTATCTGGGCTCCGTCAGCGGCAATATAAAGCGGCCGTATGTCGTTTTCTGAGGCGCGTGCAGGCTCTGAATCGGTTTCATAGCGAATGCCGTTCTCACTCAGGCACAGCCGCACCCGCAGGTTAGCCACGGCATCCGGCCCGAGGATGAGCTTGGTTGTACCCGCCGTGACAAAATTGACCACGTCGAACCCGCTTCCATACACCTCCTCCCAATCAAAGTCTGTTGCGTGGTTCTCTTGCCCAAACGCCCGGATGATGCGCTCCGTCTCGGTCGCATCTCCATGGATTACTGGCTGTGCTTGCTCTTGCGACTTTGACACTGCACCCTGGCCCCAAATTGTGTCGCCAGCTGGGTTGAGGAATGTGCCAATGTGACGGAAGGTTAGGGAGATGCGCTGCCCCTCATATGCACGCTCCTCCGTCGACTTCTCCGTCTCCGGTCGCTTGTCCGGTCGGATACCGTGAAGCCACCGCCGGTTTGTCTTCTCTCCAAGGATGAACAGCGATTCGTGGGGCATGGGGATACGTTGTGTCTGTCGGCCCGATTCTCCACCCTCTGCGGCACCCTTGGTGCGGAGAACCATGACTCGCTGGGCGCCGAGACTGACGTTGCAGATCGAGGAACCTCGAACGATGTCAAGGGTTTTATCGGAATGCTCAGAAATCCGGTCTTGCCCGTCCCGGTAGAGTTGAATGAGCACATGGTTCAACGGGTGCCCGAGAATGCGCTCTACAATCGCGCGGACCTTATTTACTGTAGCCGTGAAGGGTTGTAGCGGCGGCGACTCATCGGCCGGATGGCGATAGATAGGGATTGATCCGTCATCTGATGCCTTGCCTTGCACCGCTACTAAACGCGGCACCTGGCCCGACAGATGATACATCTTCTGCCATGACACTTCCTCGCGGATTTTCTCGAAAGCCTCGGATGGCAGGTCGAGATCATAGATAATGCGGGAATCTCCCTCACCAATCACGTCGCCCGGTCGGTATATATCGGTTTTCTTGGACTTGCCGCTGCGTCGCTTGTCGGGCCGAGACGAAGACTCTGTCTTTGCATCCGGTCGTTTTGAACGTCGTACCCGAGCACGAACCTTCTTCTCCCCCGACCCACCGGGCGTCGCTCCACGGGCTGACTCCCCATATCGAACACGCGAACGAGCCAAGGAAGCTAGCTCTTTCAAGTCTCCGTCCTCGTTATCAGTGAACTCCGCAAGAATATCATCAATCCTGCGGCGTCGGCCTCCGCTTGAGCCCGATTCTGGGCTCTCCTCCTTCGTCGTGGGGGAGGCGCTCGGCCTTACCTCTAGTTCATCCAAAACACCCTCAATACCAGCGGGAGTCGGTGACTGCAAGGGGCGCGGGCTTCCTTTGCGTGCAATCTCTTCCGTCTCCTCCCAGTCCAACTCTTGAAATAGCTCCTGAGTGGTGATGCCATTGGCCCCGAAGATGTCGGCCATACGGCGCATGGCTTCCTCATGGCGCGTAAAACTGCGAAACCCGAGACAGTCTTCGATGAGTGTGACCGTGAAACCATGTCGCACGGCATCCAGGGCTGTGGCGTAAACAGAGGTGTTGGACAGCGACCCACAGAGGTATAATTGGGTGATAAACCTCGTGCGGAAGTAAAGAATCAGGCCTTGATCCTGCAGAGCGGAGTATTCAAACTTGTCCACCAACATATCGGACTCATTGTCGATCGCAGCTAGGATTGGAGCCGGAAATTGCACGCCAGTCGATTGGGGGATACAGCATCGTGGAGAGTCAGCGGAGAGGAAGGCTTCTTCGTCAACGGGTCCGGCACGATCGGTAGCGGAGGGATCAGAGGGATCGAATGCATCTCCGTCGAGAGTCTGGGTTCTGGTCACTCGGTCCATGCGACCGAGCACGATGAGGTCCTGCGCATCTGTCGGGCTGATCAAGGGCTGTCTTTCTTGGTAGTGAGAACGCACCCAGACGACCTCGCCATTGCGCCGGAAGGCGGTCGCGAGCTGGGGCAAGAGATCGAGAAAATCGGCGGTGTTGGAGACGGGCAACGCGCCATTCGGCCGTACAAAGTCATTCTGGAAGTCAAGCAGAAGAAGGGCCTTTCCGGTGGCGATGGCGGGTAGATTGGTAAATTGAGCAAAGAAACTCATTGTCTGCACATGGTCATTCGGAGGCGGACAGGAGCGGGGAATTGATGCGGTGTGGACGGCAGATCGACTGGGGAGACAGTCGGAGGCCAAGGACAGTGGTGTTAGTCAAAGCACATGAGAATGAGCAAGGAAGAATGATGAAGAAGGAAGGGGATGAAAGTCAAGAGGCAGCGGCAGGAGAAGAGCTGAGGAAGAACTATTTGTGAAGCTGAAGATGTTGGGGATTCGGGGATTGTTTGGCCTGTTTGCCGAGCCGCCTCAGGCAGCGGGGCCGAAACCGCAATCTCGTGACTGCTGCTCGGAACCCTTTTCCGCCGGCCGGATTGCCCGACTGTAGTCCGAACTTACCCTATCCCTAAGTACCACAGTAGACCCTATGGAGTAGCTATAAGTCCCTCCGTAGGACCGCTATGTATGCACACTTTCATTGTCTTCATACCTGCTCCAAGGGAAATATCATCTATACATCAGCCATCCCTATTACTGCTCTCAATTCCCATTTCACTCTAGCCAGGACCCACGGCAGCTGGGTCTTCAGGAAACATCATACGTCAGCAACATTATCACACTTTCCGTGACATTCAGCCCCTGGAAACCAGCCTCGGCTTACATGTTTTGGGGAGACTGATCAAAAGTGAGAGTTACGTCATCTGGGACGGCGTTTCGTTCTGGAGTCTTCCACCCCTAGCAGTCCAAGCACATGCCCACGACAGCCACCCGAACCTGCGATGAGGGGACCTATAGAAGAACTGCATACAGAAAATTTCCCTCGTGACATTCAGACAAGTGCATTTGTACTTGATACAGGGCCAGGCTATCTAGATGTACGAGATGGAGTCATATGCTAGCCAGTCGAGAAGGTGGTCCGGTCTCACCCGTGCATATCCTCACCGGCTAGATAGTACAGCCCTATATGGGAGCACCTGCATATAGCAGCTCGCACTGATTGCATGATATTTTGGTCAGTACTTGACAGACGATTAGATTTGAGATGACTGTGGATTCGGGGGCCTGATCCTGTATCCACTTCTACTCTGATGACACATCTGACGAACCTCATCTATTGAGTGAAAGGCTTCTGACAGTTAACTGGCTACCGGAAAATTCTTATCTATTCATCGCGGAGGAGGTTTTGTTCGCAAGCTTACTCTGCTGTTGTGAAGGAAGTAAAAGCAAGGGGAAATGGTGGAAGAAATATCCATGTTACACGACTTGGGAATGAACCTGTGTTGTGTTACAACAATGATGAGATATCCCCAACCGTGCTAAGAGCTATACTGTGGAAGCCGGGTGAAGGGCGAGACAGTATATTAATCATAAAAAGTAAACCGGTGAATTCTCTGCATGTTAGCGCAAGCTGAAATGTACAAATCCAATATCCGTTGAAAATACGGTCGGATTGTCTAGTACATATCGTGAGAGCCGTACTATAATTTGCAACTTAAGCCTTTCGGGCTCCCTGAACCCGTTTTGGGCCCTTGGCCTCCAGATCTTCCTGCAGTGACACGTATTACTTTTTTAGTTTTCATTCTTAGAACTTCCGTATTTGCAACACAATGTAAGGGGATCCTTACACAAACAGTTCCCCAGATCTCGAACCTATGAGTATCACACAAATCGCGCTGCATTGTGATACGTATGTTTTGGTTCTCACGTGATCCGCTGTATTATCTTACTTTCAGATTGGATCCATGAGCTTTAAGGCTTCCAGCAGTGTCACAAGAATATTAGGGACCGGCAGTTTGGGCTGATAGCATTCCTTCTCTGCATCTAATGAGACAATCCGGCCCTTTCACGGCTGATATGCTTGCAGATCAGTGGCGTGGCTGAAGCATATAGATGCCGAGGCCTTTCCCAATCAGTACGTTAACCTCGAAGTCAATTTGGGGTTGCACAACTGAAAGTAGATCGTCCCTGGTCCTCCTTAGTACCTCATAGATGTTCCGTCGGCCATTGGCTAAGAGGAAAGCTGCAAAGCATGTGAGCACTCTCATTAACTTTAGGACCAAACTCAAAGAGTACCCGAGTCAGGTTCCCGGCAGGAGTTCCTTGACTGGTATCAACTGACTCACGTCAGAATAGACCTATCAAGGATGCTTTTCTGCAGCAGAAAATGGCGTCTTATGGCTCTGGTATGTTGAGCATAGCCGTTTAGTGCATTCATGCAGGCCAAAACCTGTCGCCGCCGCATTTTAACTGTAGGGCCGTTCTGGGTAGGGGGCATCAATGCATCAGATAAAGACTCGAGCCGCAATCCTACTATCAGTTCCTTCGAACATTGCCCTATGCCATGTTAGTAAATTCAAAGACTCTCCAAATTTGGTTCATTACATAACCATATTAGAGACTACTCTTTGATTTAGTGTGCCTTGAACATATTTACTATCTTCGTTTTTGTTGTTTGAGAGCCACCATAGCGATAGAATAACTGGCCATGGCTACCGACGAGTTGATTCATAGAATTAATTGGTCGCCCGCCGCACTGTCTAAAGAGCCGCTGAGCATTGCGCACGTGGTGTTCGTGCTCACGGACAAGGAGAGTGAAATCCTATCTGCGTATCAGACGCAGCTTGCTCACGAGGGCATTACAACTGTCGTTATCGATGATGCAATCCAGATCGACTCTTTGATAACTCCAAAGTCTGTTGTTGTTTATATCCCACTCACAGCTAAGCATAAAGATGACATATACGCTGCCGCAACCCAGGCATGCACCGGCTTGATCAATGTTGCACAACAGCTCTATAAATGTCGCTGCCTGTTCAGGCCTGCGCCACGTGATCTCCCCCCTCCCCTCACTGCGTCTTCCCTGCCAATTCTCTTTCACCCCGCTGACCTTATCAAACCCAGATTCAGTCGAGCAACATGTCCAGCTTCCTCTCCTTCCTCTGCGCCCAAACCATCGGCCGCGTCCTCCCCATCAACGTGGACCGCCTCCCGATCGTGGGCCGACGACTCCCAGCACTCGAAGGCGTGGAGCAGGACGACGCCGGCTCGTGCCCCGTGAACCCTCCTCTCTCGACAATGGAACGGACCGTCTTCAGCCCCGGAGGATGCCTTGTCTATGGGTACCCCTCCACTGGTGGCGTCCTCATTAAAAGCGCTAACCTGGTTGACCTGCTTTTCCTCTCGCTCCCGCGCTTTCAGGCCGTGCAGCGCGCATCCAGTGTCGATGAGGAGGACAGGTTCTGTAAGCTCTTGCGCCGGACTGGGGCGACGTGGTGGCTGAGTAGGGAGGATGAGCTTGAGGCGGTTCTAGGGGTGAGAAAGATGACGGAGGAAGAAAAGAGAGTGCTGGTGTTTGGGTGGCCGGCGGATGGTGTAGGCGTGTGGGTGTTGAGGTTTGCGAATGCCAAGGAAATGCCAAGGGACTTTATGAGAATCAGTTTCGCGATGAATATGGAGGAGAGGATCCAGATTATGAGAGAGTATGGCGCTACCTTTGTGGAGGATGTCTCGCAGGTGGAGGAGCTTCGTGAAACGCTCTGAGTCACATAGCCAATCACTGCTCATGGTCTGCCGGTTCGTGGATTGAAGGGTGAGTCACTCACCCTGTCTATTGCGCACTCACCCTACTCACCCTGATCGCGCGACGATAAAGCGGCTTCGCCGTCTAGCTCCGCCGGGGCAGCAGCCACCCTAGTTGGGTGGGTGACCACCAGCGAATGCCTTCTGTTGTATGTATTATTTTCGTTTTTGTGCTTTTTGTTCCTTGAGATCTTGCTCATAGCTTCCACGGTTGTGACTATCCTTTGCTTTGTGAAACTTGGCTCATTATGTACAGAAAGAGGGGTCAGTGGTTCAATCGTCGTGCTGAGACTGCCCTTGGGTGTGTTGGAGTTTGTGTGCTGGTAGAAGATCTAGCTTTCGTATTGCCATAGATTGCCAGGATACTGCGAGGTACCAGAGAACGGTCCTGTCGGATAAATGCTTGGCCCTGCGTGAGGTAAAACACTTCCAATGCAGCCATATGAGTTCCTGCTAGAGTGCCATTCTGGCTGGAGCCCTGCATTGAGCGATGCATTGGGAGGTTGTATCGGCTGACTGCTTAATTGAATCGGCTCAGGATTAGGAGTTGAGTTCATGTTCTGACGTTTGAACAATGACCTTTCGCCGGATGCTGTACGTGCAGCTGGATCATCTTCGGCGCGTCGCTTCGTAACCTCTGCGTCTGTTTCAGGGAGGTCACGCTCGATGACTACTTGTACATCGTAGTGATTGCTTAAATTCTCTTGGAGTAAGTCAATACTGCGACTTTTCTGATAAAAGCAATCCATCAAAAATTCGCGTAGCTGGGTCGAGGTTTCCGGCGGGCTGGAAAGCATCTGATCCAGCAGGGTATAGAACTCCTCTTTATTGGTGGGAGCTTTCAATTCCGTAGGATCAAGCACATCCCTGGCTTCCGGAAGATCGAAGCCCGCCCGTTTGTACACGACACCCTTGCTGACAGGCCACGTTCCTGATTTTCGCCAGCCCATGATGGCGTTCTCCGGGTACATGGCCTCCTCCCGAGAACGCCACCACAGCAGGAAGAATACTTCCCTGCTAATCCTGAGCTGGTGGGGATGTAAGTTATTCCGCATTTCACCGGTGTAGATCTTGGTGAAATCCGGGAGCACCCCGACATCTAGTGGATCAAGGAGATGCGAGGTGCATGGAGGGATGCAGAGTTGTATGATATCAGTTTCCCAGCAGGTGAGGACAAACTCGAATGAGATAGGAGAAGAGTGTCCATCTAGCAGGAGCAAACGCGTGTATCGATCCGATGATACACCACGTTCAGATAGAGTCTTTCGAGACACGGCTGTTTGTGGTATGAATACTCTAGTCAACCACTTCATTTGATTTTTCTCATCGACGATGCCTTTCTCTTGATATCTCATAATGTTTCCTTGTCAGGGATCAAGCGCCGATAAGATTTGACCCCATCCCCTTTGAGGATGACATAAGGAGGAAGTACCTGGCCGTCGTATTGCAACACTCAATCGTGGAGACCCAGTCTTCGGTCGGCGCAAGCAATTTACGGCCTTTATATTGAATACACTTTTGCGAAAGGATGAACTTCTGGGCGCCGGTCCGATTCTCAAGCATGAATCCCTTCTCATCAGCATTCCAGATATCGTCGGGGTGGATCTCATACTGGTTTCTGGTCTTTTCGAACAGATCAAGAAAGCTAGAGACTTGATCAGGCTGGGGCTGCTTGGTTCCCTTAAGAATTTCAGAATGAGAGGTCCAAGTTGCCATCAAATGAGGATGGAGCTCTAGAAATCGGCGACCACAATTCTGCGCAAGGGGCCTAAAATACGAATATAAACGTTCGCATTTCCGTTTGTGTACAACATTTCCAGCTTCGCGGACAAGATGCGGCGAAGGCGGGAACCCTGATTCAAGCCATCGAAAAATATAACCGCAAATTCTGTTTCTCTGATCCCTCTGGTCCATTTGGGTTCGGTGGTGAAGAGGTGACTGAAATCATCATCTGCTGGAAGGGGTGTTCTCGGAAGGGGCGCGGAAAGCATCTCCCGGATTATTTACGGTGTCTTTGGATTACATTGAGATCAGTTGCAAGTACAGGGTATGGGGTGGAGTTACCTACCCCTCATAATAATCACTGAGGATTGATAGACAGTCTGGCCGAGTTAGGGACTGGGTTGAATGTTGTACGCGTTGTTGTGTACACTTCAGGTTCGCGCTCGCGTTTTGTCCGACGGAGGCAAGGCGGGAAGCTAATTACTTTTAATTGTTTTAACATAAAAGATGAGCCTAATATAACAACTAGCATCATTGGTCTAGTGGTAGAATTCATCGTTGCCATCGATGAGGCCCGTGTTCGATTCACGGATGATGCAAGTGGATTTCTTTTTTTTTCGGCTCCCGTCACCTCCCCCTCTCTTCCTCCCGTCTTTTTTTTTTTTTTTTT